TTATATTATTAACTTTTAGTTAAACTAAAACTTAAAAAAAAGAGAGTTATTACCTTTAAGGTATCCTTTAGGATTATATTACTACTTATTACTTTATCTATAAGGATAAAAAGTCTATTAGTATTACTCTAGCTATTATCTCTATAGCTACTCTAGCTATCTCTCTAGCTATCTCTCTTATTATAGCTCTTATTACTCTTATTAATAGCTCTTTAAGCTTTATACCTATTAATACTTTAGCTCCTATATTATATTTAGCTTACTTTATTTATATCTATATTACCTCTAAGTAAATAGCTACTCTAATTAAGCTATTCTCTTTTATTATTAAGGTCTTCTTTAAGGTAAGTTTATTACTCTTTTTATTATTATTTTAATTTATTAACCTATAAGTAGATCTTTTATATTTTTAGCCTTTAAGTATAATAAAGTAACCCCTTAGTAATAATAAAGAGGCCTCTATTATAGCTAGAAAAGATTTTATAAATATTTATATTATACTATATTATCTCTAGCCTATAGGGCTATCTATATACTCTCTAGCTATTAAGCTATAATAAAGCTTTATTTCTATTATATCTATATCCCCTTTTTTCTATTATATTTATTTATATTAGTAATACTTAATATAGCTCTTTTATAGTTTTATATAATATTATAAATTATTATTATAACTTATAATAAAGCTATATTATTACTTAAAGTTATTAATTACTTTATTTTCTTTTAATATTAAGAGGGGTTTTTAAGTTAATATTAAATAGCCTTTCTATTTTATAAGGACTTTATATATCTTATAATATCCTTTTTACTTTTATTAAGCTATTATAACTTTATTTATATACTATTTATTTTTATTATTATTCTTTTAAATTAAAAGTAGCTATAAATTAGTTTATTTTTAAGTTAATAATAGGTTATAGCCTACTTAATAGAGCTAGCTAATATAGAAGTTTAAATATCTTATTAAGTATATTAAGAGTTATAACTATTAGTAATATAACTTTAATAACTTTATATTTCTAATAGAGCTAATTAAGTTTTTAATAAGGCTTAAAGGTCTTATAGTTAGCTATAAATAGCTAAACCTTATTACTAACTTTAAACTATTTAGCTAAAGCTTATTATAAGTTTATAAAGTTCTCTATTATTTACTATAAAGCTATTATTACTATTTATATAACTTCTAAAGCTTTTATAAGTTTCTAGATAAAGGACTTTATAGCTCTCTCTTATTTATTATTCTCTAGTTTATAAGTAAGGTCTTCTTAAGGGACTATTATTATTAGCTCTATATAGTATCTATATTTTGAGAAGAAGGAGCTTAAATATATAAGGGGCTAGGCCTAAGTTTATTTAATATAGGGGTGCCTCTATTATAAAAATCTAAGCTAAAGAGAAGAGAAGTTCTCTATATAGCTATACTATAGCTTCTAGATAAGTTTAGTATAGTTTCTACCTTAGCCTTAATAGGTTATTCTACTATAGTAATATCTATATAGTATAGCTATTAGACTATATAGCTAGGTATAGCCTAGCCTATAATAAGTAGATATATCTACTTTAATAGCTTTATTAACTAATTTAAATTAATTTCTAAATATTATTAATAATATTTTTATTATTTTATACTTTTATTATATAATAATATAATATAGTAAATTAGTAAAGTTATCTTTAAATATCTATTATAAGGTTTTTATTAGTAAATATCTCTTACTATTAAAAAGGGAAAATTTTTTTTTTTTATTATTTTAGTAATAATAAGAGAGAGCCCTTATTAACTTCTAAAATAGTTTAAATTATTTCTTTTTACTTTAGGGATTATTAACTCTATTTAGGTAAAAAGCTTTTAATTAAGCTTTCTCTATCTAAATACTTTAGCTCCTTTTATTAATAATAAATAATTAATATTATTTTTATTTCTTATTAAGCTTTAAATATTATTATATTATATTTTAATAGTATTAGTTAATTAACTTACTATAAGTAATCTCTTTAGGTTACTTCTTTTTAAAACTTATTAATCTTACTTATATAAATATTATTATTACTTATTATTATTAGTTAAAGAGTATATATTTAATCTATAAAATAGATATTAAATCTTTCTTTTTTTTAAAAAGATTATTATTATAAATAAAGTTAAATAAAACTTTTTTAGAGAGTAATTAAGTTATAAAGAATATATATAACTTTTTAAGGTTTTTATTATTTCTATTTTAAGTTTAAATATATAGCTACTATATTTTTATTTTTTAAGATTAAATCTATAAAGATAATTCCTAAAGCTATTATAATATTTTAATTATCTTAAAGTTAAGATTTAATAATTATTAATAACTATATTAATAATAAACTTATTTATATAATATAGAAGTATACTTTTTCCTCTCTATTTAAAAAGCTTTTATAAAGCTTTTTCTCTAAAAGAAAGAAATATATCTACCTCTAGATATTATTAAAATAAGTATTAAATATTAATAAGACTAATTAATAATAAATTAATATAACCTTTATACTTAAAGCTATAGAGATATATTAAAATATTATAAATTAGTCCCTAAATAAGCTATAAGTCTTAAAATAAGCTCTAAATAACTATTTAAGTTATTATAAACCTAATTAAAAGAGTTTATAATAATATTATAAATATATATTATATTCTAATAAGATAAATTAAAAAAAGGATAAATAATAAATAATATTATTTATAACTTATATATAATATATATACTTAAGTAAACTCTATAGAGGACCTATATAGGCTAACTAAGCTTAAATTATATCTACCTATATATAGATATCCTAGTCCTATTCTATTATACCCTTTATTCTTCTAGTAAATAGTAATAGTAGTAGTTATAAGAAGTAACTTTATAAAGATAGTAGTTAGCTAGCAGCTGTAATAACTATTCTAGTGCTTTACACTTAGTTTTTTATTAGTAACGTCTTTAGTAGCTATATATTAAGAGGCAAGATTGAAATATTCTATGCTAGGTTTTATTAGTCTATTAATAGAAATGAAGTAGGCCCAGCAGATGTATGATGGTGATGAATGAGGCGGCACTACGACTAGAGGATATTCAGATACCTCGGGTAGCATTGTATCAACATACTGCTCATACGAGAGACAGTGAATAAATACTGTGTAGTAGTCATCTGTGATTAAGTGCAATTACACTTCATATGGACAATGCAGTCCTCTTCCCACATGTGCAGCCTCGAAATCTTGCACCCATTGGCTTGCGACCATGAAATAGAATTCGCGTCTGATTCAGTGGCTTCTTTGGCCAGTCTGATCAATTTCGTGGCCATTGAATGACGGTTCAACCATTCTGTTGAGCGTCCGGGTCGGTTCATGCAAAATAGTGGTGATGGCCGAACCTGGTTGGAACGCTGGAAAGGCTTGCTGCAATAACCCAAGTCGCACAAATAACACATATGCATTGTGTGTTTCATGTTTCACAAATGACTGTCTTCAGAACTTGTGCCATCATAGGCCTCGTAGACAGATATTAGTTGGAATACAGCATGAATCATTTCGCAAGCAACTCCTTCACAAACATAAGTATCTAGGAAAAGATTGGATCACAGGTTCGAGAGACTGAACGTAACTTATCAATGCGATTCGCTTTTACAAGTCCTCTTAGAGATTTTTTGATGGTCTAAGAGAGAGATTGATTCACCGTCGCTCGTGGTGCTTACCAGCATCTTATCATTGTGGACCTCACAGAATCACATCATACCAAACACCTGCATCCAAGAGTTCTGTCTGAAACTTTAACAATACTCTTCGCTTTGTGATTCATCTTGAATAAGTCAACCGTTTCTAGTCTATAAAAGATTGTTCAAATGCCACTCCTCACGGACAACTATGCGCATACCAAAGCATTAAGCATATATTTGGAGATCTACTTGAACAACAGTGAAGTCCTCATTTCAGCTCCCCACCGGATTATACTCTATTTTCCTTCAAAAACGAAAGTTGGTGGACTAATACAAACCATTTAGCCAGTACGAAGTCGACCAGGTTTCTCCGGGACGAAGACCCTTTTATTCAGGAATTGACCGACTCCAGGAAAGGTTCGTTGCGAAAATGTCAGGTATGTTGACTATCCGTTGATCTAGAACTTTGCGTACCCTATACCATGAATGGAAGATAGCTAACGTCTAGAAGCTCCTCCGAGACTCGGCTCGAGCAGATCTACTGCCCTGTCTAACGACGAGTTCGGCGAAGTCAACTTCATCGTGATCAACAGAGACGAGTTAACAGTCACTCACGAAAAGATTAACAAGGCTCTCCAAGGCCTTCGGGGTCTTTTCCCTCAGTCAACGGTCACTTTCCGCTCTGAGGTTCGCGGGGATCCCAGAGCCATCGAGGGATTCACGACGACTGATCACGTGTACGATGTGAAGGGCGGCGCAATTCACGTCGGGGCTATTGTCAGGGCCAAGAGAATGATGCGGCAGATGTTTCCGGACTGCTCCATCTCCCACACTACGAGACCTAAGATAATCGACGTTTAGTCGGTTGTGGTTGTATTTGTGGTGCAATGCGGATCGTACCCGGGGTTCAACTGCACCAGGCAGGATGGCTATCTCATGATGACTGGGCGGGGGAAGCTGAGCTTGTGGTTAGTGATCGCGAGACATAGTTCAAGCCCGCGAGTTGCTCGTGGCCATGCAATTGAAGCAGAAGCAAGTAGTCAAAGTAACAAAGGCGGTGGTATCAAGTATAATTGGGTTGATGAATCTCGTTCGATTGATATCCGTGCCCCTGCGCTGACCCCTAACCCTAACCCCTTCAATTACTTCCGTCTCCGAGGTTTCATGAGATACTATACCGGGTATTTCTGCTGTCTTAACTGGTGAAGCAGCACCGGTAAAAGGAGAAGTAGCAGGCAAGTTGGCAGAAGCCCAATTCATTGATTGGACTCAACCAAGCCTGCCGGGATGTGCTAGCCAACGGGAGGTGACGACGTGTTTCCACGCAACCATCAGCCTTCCGCCGCTGCCGCTGTTGTTCCAATGTATAGGTCTCTATACTCAGCCAACCAGCCACCGAGAGTTGCGAACGGCACCTTGGCATCTTCCTTGAAAGTCTCCAATACTTCAATTACGGAAAGCAGCCGTTGACGGGCCTCCTTACGACTCTGAACGCCCCCTACTTTCGACTTGAGACGGGCTACTTTCTCACGCAAGGGCGCCAGGTTGTCACTCTCAAACTCGCAGCCTGGAAGATGGCTCAGCTCGATACGCAGCTCCAGCTGACGCTCGCAGTTTCGAAGTTCCTTTTCAACCTCGGATTCTGGTTCCACGTCATGGTCATTGGACGCATCCAAGTCCGGCGAGGTGGCTTCGAGATCGGCGGGTGGCTTGATGAGGGTCTCTAGAATCGTTCCGATGTCCTCCAGCTCCTTGATCTGTCCAATTCGACCAGAGAGATACGCGATTCTCTTTTCGAAGTGAGACGACCATGTCTTGCGCAGTTCGTGGAAGACGTCGATGTCCCTGCCTTCGGTGTGCTGAGTTGTCGGGACATCATCCAGCGTAGGGAGCTCTAGGTACTCGGCGAACGTCTGGGAATCCGGGGTACCCGCATCAGAGAGAAGCATGAAGACTTTGCGCCACGGGTCGGCCGAGATGGTCATGGGAGGCGGCCTTCCAATGAGGGCGTGAATGGCATTGACAATTGTGAATACCCCGCAGTCATAGTCATTGTCTTGTTCTGCGCTAGGTACTTCGACGAGCACGCTGTCAGGGCCTTCAGGTAGATAGAGCGATGCAAATCGATTGTAGATTTGACCCGCCTTCACCCGATTCGACTTGGAGGGCATGGAATCCAACAACTCTGCCCGATAGTCCGAGAGTCGAACAACAATGAGAACCCAATGGTTCTGAAGATGGACGGGCAGAATCAGAAAATCGGGCGGGTTGTCCAAGAGTAAGGTCTTGAGTGACCGAACCGGGGTCTTTCGTGTTGACGTGACAAGGAGGGGCTCCACGACGGCAGTTCTGTGCCGGCCTTTGACGATAGCGCATGACGCAAAAGTTGTGAGCAGTACGTAGATGGCATCGTCATTGAGCCACTCCCCAGGACCTAGGGTATGGGCGAACGATCGAGGCCATTCTGCCGAGTGCTTGCCCTCTTTCACGCCATTTTGAGGGGCAGGAACCTCAACATCAGATTCGGGGATCTCCTCCGGAGCAACGTCCTTCGAGTGGACCGAAGACAGAGGCGACGAATCAAGAACGGGGCTTGGTTGTTTGTTGAGGGAACGGCGTGTCGTTCGTCCGTACTTGGTAGTCGCCGCGGATCGTTTCGGGGCAGGGTATTCGTAGTCATTATCCTCAATGGACCGCTTGAGACGCGATTTGGACGCTGACTGAGGCTTCGCTGTCGTAGCTGGGCTGTCCACAAGGGTCTCTTCCATCGAAGAGCTGGCACCCGCCTCTTGTTCAGCTTGTCCGACGTTGTCTTCTTTCTTAGTGGAGGGTGGCCCGATGTTCGAGACACGGTATCTGGTGCTAGCTCGTCGCCGCGAAAGGGTTCGGGTGTCGTCTAGATCATCGGGCATCTCGTAGATATCCTTTACGTTGTCGACCTTGTCGAGCGTTTCGCTGGGGGTTTGAGGTGTCTGCAGGGAGAGGTACGAAGCATAAGCAGGCTGTTCAAGGCGACCGGGGAGTTGGAGAGTATCAAACGATGACAGCACAGGACATCTCGACATACCTGTAGGCCAGAAGATCGCGAAGACCTCGTTGCGATATGCGCATTGGAATCGCGATCCATTTCGGCTAGCACAATGGCGCCTTTGACGTCTTGGACCTGCCAGGTCCCAGTCTTTGTCCGCGACCGTTGGAGAAGGGTCTTTGCGAGCGACCACGATGTTCGGACGCGGAGATCGCGCAGACACGAAAGAAATTTCGGCGTAAAGACGTCGGTGCCACGGCCGCCAAAGAAATCGGTCAACTGCGCAACGGGAACGCCCCATTTGCGGCACAAAACCTCAATCTCTTTCCGCGTCCGCACTGACGCGGTGTCATTAATGGCAGAGCCATCAGGCTGGGCCGCGCCCTGGGACTTCCGAGTAGCCGGCATGGTACGGCTGCCGGTTGATGAAATACCATAGAGTTATCATGGTGAGATTTACGACGGGAAAAAGACACCGGCAGATAGGCGATGTCGCCGTCCGGGTTGCGGGGAGCAACCAACCTTCCTGTCCAACTCTGCGGTTTGCAGGCTGGATTATTATTGTTCCGCACATCCCTTGCGATCAGACAGGGAGCTTTCCAGGCAACTATTGGCTGGTGGTGATCCCTTGGACAAACAGTTCCACAAACAAGCGGATTGACAAACGTCATTCCGGGCGAAGGCATCGCCAGGGGGCATGGCTTCAGCGGGAAGCCGAGAGAATGTCGACGAGCAGGATGCTTTCAGACTGTTTGTCGACAACTAATCAGACTCAGGTCCAAGGACACAAATCAAGATGCTTCCTCCTACGGCAGCAGTTGGGAAACATACTCAAGGCTTCGACTTTTTGCGCGTTGTTACAGGAAGCCTGGACATTGGACATTGCTCGAGAGCATTCGGCTTCTGCTCTTGTTGGTCGATGAGTGTGTCAACTGATTCATAGTATCAGAATATCAACATACCTATCGTGACTTATGTGCGAGCTTCTCTCTCTTTGTTGCTCGTATCTTTCGTCTCCCCGAGCGGATGTGGCTTCAGTTCGATTGACTTCGGCGTCTTTGAAGACGGCGAAGAGACCTTCGGGTAGAATCGAGGAGATTACAGACGCAATTAGACACCTCTAGAAATTACAGCAAGAGTGACAAGAAGCAACAAGATGTACAAGAACATTGAATCGCTCGGCTCTAGACCGAGTTTCTCCTATCAATATCTCCCAATTCGCATCTTCGCACTCGTACCCGAGGGATTTCACAGAGACAAGACTCGCTAGCAGCCAGAACCCCGAATCAACAGTTGTCGAGTATGTCCGGAAGACCGAGCCGTAAGCGGCCGTCGCCCCAGGTGTTCGGTTCCAGCTACACGGATTCCGACTACGATGATTCACCCTCAAAGCGCCATCGCAGTCCCTTGCTCCCAGGAGTAAGCATCGGTGGCGCTTTTCGCCCCATGCGACTGCCAACCCGGGTATATTCTCCGACCGCGAACGTATCAAACACGCTTCCTGTGCTTGACCACCGCCTTCCCGTCAGGAACTCTTCGACGTTCAACACCTCTGCGATCCGAAGCTCCGCTACCCCGAATGCCGATGCGACGCAGCCTGGGGTTGATAGGTCGTCGGCGCCATGGTCGAGCATCTTGGGCTTTCCCAGATTCCCGCCGTCGTCGTCTCCAGCAAGTAGGCCGCCTCCGGCCTCGCAGGGCGGCTTTCGCAACGACTTCTCTCCGTCCGGCATCGGGCCAATCCCTCCCGTCTCGTCTCAGCCCACGCCGGTCCTTCTGTCATCCGCCACCCTCTCGGCACATCCCGACTCCTTTCCGAACCCTCAAGCCCGTCAGCATTTCACCAACACCGTGGACGCCTTGAAGAAGTCCCGCGCTGCGCTCGAAGAGATCTTGCAGGGTCTCCCAAGCTACCCTCTCGCATCGGGTCCGTTGTACAAGGTCATCGACGCCCACAACAACCTCGAGAGCTGGTTCATCTCTTACGCCGGGAGTCTAGCGCAGAACTGTGCTTGCGCCGCCGACGTGGAGAAGGAGTACTTCTTTGCCGATTGCAAACATGTACGTTCCCCTTTTCAAGACTCCAAGCATTGCTAACGTGTCGCCGGTCAGCGAGCCTGCGCTGCGTGCCTTAGCAAGTCGGGCCAGTGCTGCAAGCGTAACCAGAGTGTCTTCAAGGCTTTTTTCCCGCAGAACGACGTTTGTCCCATCTGCCGAGACGCGGACAACACCATGTCCATTCTCGTATGCGGTATGTTTTCCACAGGTGGTGGCCTGTGATGCCGGATGGTAGCTGACCTTCGATGAACAGGGCATGTAGTGTGCCGCAGGTGCTGGGATAGGATGCAACGCGACACTCCCCTACTTTCGACGACCTGCCCAATCTGCAGGGTAAAGCCGGCTGGTCCTGTCACATCGTATGAGCCATCCATTACCGTGGCGCTGGACGCCACTCCCCAGCTGAACTGAAGAAGAGAGGCCAGAATTGTACATCCGCATGAGAGAGGAGTTCGACCATAGATGGCGGTATGAGGCACTTCGGCGGGACCGACGGTGTATGGCGAGATTCTTTGTGTACATTCAGTCTGCAGTTGATCCGAGGTGCTCACCTTCCGTGCATCGAAACCTTACTGCCTCAGCATCAGCATCAGCGTCAGTAGAGTCTGCAATACTTTTGCCTGGGGCGTAAACGACAAGGAGTTACCAATCTCAATAAATTAAGCACCAAGTCTGTCGTGTGACCCTCGGCCAGGGTCTCGCCACCTGTTCATTGGACGATATTGCTTCTCTGGACGTCTTCCTTTAGTGTAAAATGATCGAGAATACTTCTTAAACAAGACCTAAAGCAGGCCCTTCCGCAGCGGACCAAGGCTAAACAACAAGGGCAAGTCTCCCAAATCAACAGCTCGACATCGATGACGTGTTATCTTTACAAATACGACCTTATCTTGCTCTCACGAATCCTTCATTGTTGACATTTGCTGAACTTCTCGTTAGTAGGCCTGTACAACATCAAGAGGAACCGTCACCTACCGATTCTGACAAGTAGCGCTTGCGAAATCTCGGACGAAGCCTATTCAACCATATCGTTGCAATGGTTCTCGTGTCCGCCGCCTCATCACCGGGTTTCCAAAAGCCGAAGGCGCCGAGTTCGACTACTCAAACACTGGCCTTGTTCTCCTTCAACTGCGGCCGATGGACATTGACAAACGCTGAGGCATACGCATCGCAGATCATCGTGTGAGGCAGAGGAGTGCAGTAGGCGGAAAAGTAGTACGCACCATACCAGCGCGTAACTTCGTTGACAAAAAGAGGCCCTCCGGGCTCCCGAGCTGAAATGTCGAGCCGACATCCAACTTCCAGCGACTTGAATCTCGGACTGTGCAGCCGCCGTAGGGATTCGAAGACGCGTAGGGAGAACGCGTGAACCTGGCTCTGGGTGAGACCAGCCGCTTCATAGTCCGAGGTACGGGACTCCCTGCTCAAGAGGCCGTCTTCTACTTCATCCCTGGTGAAGCAGACACGCAAAACCGTCCCCTTCAGACCGCGAAGACCCTCTGGATCCAGCTTCGTGACGATGAAGACTCGGAATTCGTTGCGGTTAAGGAATGGGACGTATTCTTGATGAAACCAAGGTTGTCTTGTAAGTTTGAGAGTTGCAATATGATCGTTCGTAAGGCAGTTGAGAGTGGCGGACTTGGTCTCATCGGACCCGGTCTCTCCAGTGTGAGACGAGCATCCACTCCAGGACCGCTTTTTGAAGTCCCTTTTGCCTGTGAGAGCGCATTTCTTCCGGGAACCGAAGCAGGTGATAGGTCGCCAATCGCCATGTACACGCGCAACTTCATCGAGAGCACGTATGTCGGGCAGCTTTTCTCCGTCGGCTTCGGCTTCTGCACGCGATGGGTGCACAGATACCAACCCAGGCCTGGTTCCCACCTTATCGATGTAGCGCTCGATGGTGGAGTATCGTGACTTGACGAGACCTTTGTAGGGGAATCCGGTGTCCAAAATAACGATGACGAGTGGAGTTTGCAGACTGAGCTTTAGGTACTCGTGGAGCTTGACTTGGGCGAGTTGCTCTTCGAGCTGTTGCCAAGTCATGATGCTAGAGCGCTGCGAGCCGGCGTACTCGTTGCCAATAAGTGCGGTGACAAGCGGCTGATGGGCCACCAAGTCGCCGCGACGAGAAACTTCAATGAGACCGGGGAATAGCAGCTCCAGATCCCGGAGGTCATCCTCCCACTCCGGCAGGCAAGGCGGTACTGCGCGACTGTTATCGACGCAATACGGGAGTGGGTAGCGCACATTTGCAAATGGAGTCTGCGTTGGCTTGTAGCGACATCCAACACCGTGATCTGGCAAGTCATTCATCGGACACTAGAGGATGAAGGGCTCGTCGACGGGTGCGGATGGGGCAGCTCGAGTTTGTCCGGTCGCAGGCTCCTCAGTACATGCTGGACGAGACGCAATTTGTGCAAACGAAGGCTTGGGGAGTGAATGAGACGAAGACAGCGCGTCAGCCACTCTTTCGTGGGTGTTTTGCAGAGCAAGTCCATCGATACGGTCGGCGAGAGCTCGAACACTCGTCTTGGAATTGTCTTCGTGGTCCATTTTCTGAAGGCTTTTTGGGTCCGTCGGCTCGTCCGCATCCTCGATGCTGCGAAAACGGTGCGCGCTGTGAGCTGACGACTCCATTTGTTGATGTCGCATGAGTACCTACGTAGGTACTAATACAGGGCGTTGAGAGATGGATTCTCAAATGGTCAGCACCAGTGAGGTGGTTCGAGAAAGTGCGTTGCTTACCTCGCGTGTATCGCAAGTGCCGTTCGCGAGGTGACGCGTTGAGATATGCGTTAAAGGAAAGACGACGCGACCGACAGATGATGGATCAAGGTGTCGGCGAGGTGTTATGTGAACGGTCAGGCTCCGCGATTGACAAAGAAGCTGGAAGGAATCCTTCGTAAAGCGGGGCGCGACGAGAAGGGCCCAGAACACTAGGCACCTAGGAGACGAGTACGAGGGCTGGACTGGTAAGGGGAATTTCCGTCCCCTTCTGCAGTCCTTTGATGCTAATTTTGCGAGTCAACTGTTTTTATTTTTCTCTTTTTTGAAGAAAATTAATTCCACCAAAGCTCCGAAAGCCGCCGATAACGAGTGGAGACGAAGCCGGAGAGCGGGGCCGAAGACGGACCCATCGCCGGAGGAATTGAAGGCATCATGGGAATTGTCAACCAGCAAATACTGCGGAGAGAAATGACATTCAGCGTTCCCCAGTTAAATAAATATCAAATGAACCATAATCATCAGCCTAAACGCAAATGCGAGTCTACTTGTAAAGAGAAATACCTCCCAAATCCCTTCCAAAAGTAACCAGATCCGAAAAACACCAAATAGCTCAGTAGTGCGTGAAGATTCTCCAGAAGGAAAAGAAAATTCCAAAGACCGCATCAACTGCAAAAAAACCAGATTGCATATCAGGCTCCCGCCACGTTAGGGCCCATTTTGGGTCCAACCTTGACCCTCTTGCCAACCACACGCACATCCTCGGCCACTGGCCCATCTGGGCTATCCAACTTTCGCTTCTTTCTCTCCTCGTCGACCCTCATTCTTTCTTGAGCCCGTCGCTCCTTTTTCAGATCGGAAGCTCTCTGCTTCTCTTTCAGCTCGAGGCGTACTTGATTCTGAACCCTGCCGCTCGGGTCAAGAAACTTCTGTCTGTCAATCCAGTCGTAAACTTTGACAATGCTGGCTTCAGGAATCGAGTGCTCGATGAGATATTCGTTGTCGAGATACTTTCTGTTGTCGTTCTTGAGACCCATCTGATAAAGCAGCGATCTAGCTCGCCACATGCGTTGCACGTTGTGATCCCAACCCTCGCCATTGGTTGCGAATTTGATGATCTTGATTCCGGTATGACCACGCTTCTCGTAGAGCAAGGCGATTCGAACTGCCTTAGCCCAGTCGTTGGTCGCGGAGAGAAAGGGACTGGCTTCTCGGCAACGCCAGCGGAGGTGCTTGCGGAGGTGGATGTGCAGGAATATTGGGTCTGTTCCGCGGCCGAGACGAGACTTGATGCCGTTGTTTGGAATCTCGCTATGAAAAGCGCGGTAGAGGAACTTTGGCCGGTACTTTCCTCCAACTGTGTGTACTTTGTAGTCGGTCTGCAATAGGGCGGTTCCGTTGACACAGCCATTGTTTTGTCCTCGGGACATCATACCCAAAACGCCTGGGAAGGCGTTGTTGACTTCCTCCTCGAATCCTGGAAGAACTCGCAAGACCCAAGGGATGCCATTCGTCGTATTCTTGGTGAGCCAGGCTTTGACTTCTTCTTTCTGCTCGGCGATCTTGCCAATCTTCCAGTAGTACCGAGCAACGACGACCTCCTGGCTGGGAACGGTTTCCATTGTGTTCTCCATTGTGGTGTGCGGAATTAAGGAAGTTGTTGAGATGTGAACATCCCGCGGAGCTGAGGTATCTTGGCTTCACTGGGTAACGACGGATAAGAATGAACCGGTAATGTCGTGGAAGTAGGTCGGTCTGAAGTGCTTGCGAATAAGAAGAAGCGATATATTGGTGGTGATAGATTGGCGATGAGATCGGCAGTGAGATGTCCCAATATTCTCCGGTGTTGTGAGAGAAGAGGAAATAATCCCAGAACAGATGAGTAGAGGACGTTGTGAGATTAAGAAAGAGCGGAGGAGAGACAAAAGTTGGGAAGGAAGGAAGAGATCGAAGCGGATCCATCTTTAACGTGTTTTTCTCTCTCTGTAGAAAATGGAAGGTAGTCACGTTGAATGAAGCCAGGGAAGGTGCGATGGAGTCCTGCATGTTGGATTTTTGAGACTCTCAATCCAGGCTCCAACAAGCCTTCTATGACATTGCATTTGGTCTCGAACTATTACGCAGAATTCGATGGGCCAAGATTTCCAAAAGGCCCCTTGGTATGATAGGAGCACTGCAGTCATCCTCGGGGGCACGTGAGGCCAGGACTTCCAAGGCGCCGGCGCCGACCGCACTCGGTGGATCCTACCCGACTCGGCGCTTTTATGTGGAGCTCCAGACCGGCCTGCCCCGATCGCGCTTTCCATATCGGCCCTCTAAATCAAGGCCACGTCTTTCCATCTTCCGCTTCTCTTGCTACGGCAATGAATTAGGTGAGCCTCGAGCCTGACAAGAGCACTTCTCAGCGAAGCGTAGCTCCTTCTCTAGTCACTCTGAATGGCATTTTCGAGGTAGGTGCTTCGCTCTAGAGCCTTTTATTTGATACGATGAGCAGTTTCCCAGCCCTGCCATTTGCTTTATCCATCCAGAACTCTGTTCGAGGAGACTATTGCTTGTCATTCTCTTTCTCCCTGCTTCTTCTTTTGCACCAACACCACCACAGTCTGAAGTCAATCCATCAACCCGAATAGGTCTCGCACTCGTTCCACCAACCTGGACCTTTCGCGATCAGAGATGAAAGCCTGAAGTCAGATATGCCAAACCACTGTGACGACGCGGAAACAAACCCCCGAAGATTAACCCAAGACGGGTGGCTGACGAGGCGAGAATGGACCGCGAGAAGGAGAAAAGCCGAGAAGTCCTCGAGGCTTATTGCAGAGATCTTAAGTTCCACTGGGGCACGTACGACAAGATCTTGCCCAAGAAGTACCGACCCATGTTCTGCGAACCGGTGCTCGAAAGAACGAGTGAACTCGCAATCCGCCGATGGCATGACATCATGAGCCACTCGATTACAGAGGGAAAGTCTTTATCATCACTTTGGGAGAAAGGGGGCTGGCTTTATGAGGAAATCAACCAACCACAAATCAAGGAGTTCCACAACGGGCAACCCCTGTTCTGTAACACTGTGCTTCACAGGGTAATTACGAAGTATAAGATTCCCAGGAGCGCCTCGGGAGACGAAGATGAAAAAGGCGATATCGAAACCAAATCGGAACTCCTCAGCGAAAACACCCAGGCAGCAAAACCGTCAAACATCCAAAAGCGAAAAGCAGAAAGCGGCAATGGGCAACAAGGAGTCTCGACGTCGAACAAACAGCCACGACTGGGTCAAGTAGCTGATGGCGAAGAGCCATCGTTTACGGAACAAAAGATGCAGCAATCGGTAGCCACCATCTGGTCGCAGAAAAGGTTGCACGGGGTAGAGTTGAAGATGGCAGGCCACCAACATGGCATACGTCTAAAACTAGAATACATCAACGGCAAACAACATGAGATCTATAATAGACGGGATGAGATCGAACGTCTAGAGGAGGAAATCCATCAGCTCCAGGAGAACCTGAAGGAAGACGAAGCGAAAGTCGTTTCCTGCCGAGCCGAGGCCGCCAAAGCAGAAGAAGAGTGCAGACTTCACACGAATATCTTGCAGGCGATGAGAGAACTTGCCAAGTTTCAGGAGGAGAACACACAAGCACAAACATGAAAATCGGATCATTTCTGGCTCGAGCTGGTCAGGAAAACGAACTCCGAAATGGAAAGATGGACGAGTTATTGCAGCTTTGGAACGCGTTATCAATGGAAGGCCGGAGCTGTTTGATGGAACATTGTTTAACGTGGTTTCTCCTGCTGTAATTGGGAAAGAAGGAGAATAACGAGCTGAACATCATGGATTGGAAAAGAAGACGCTTAATTACTTGGAGCAAGACTTTCCGACGACTAGTTACCTTACCTACCTTATCATATAACTTGACACCAAAGAGGGGTGGTCTTTACAATGGGACCCGGATCGTCATGGAATCTGGGCTTTGATTTTGCGAAGAGTTGAGAAGCCGAATAGACTCCTCCAGCTGTCAGGGCAAGATGGAAACTCGTAGACGACTATCCCGGTTCCAAACGAGAAAAAGCTGGTATCAAGTAGCTGTCCCTCTTCTTCTTTCAAACAACCATGTCTCTGATCCTTGAAGCATCTGCTGGACAGAGGTTGTGCTTGGTATCCTTGAAAGGCACAGTAGCGAAGAAGAAAGGCACATCCAAGCTCTATTTCGGGCTGCCGAAAGGGCAGCAATGAGCCAGAAGATTAGACACCCGACGAACGCCATCGCGATGCTGACAAAATGAGGGCTTCTCCGCTAAAGAGGGCAAACGTTTGTCAAGAGCGTCATACTGGGTCTCCAGGGCGAATACCTTCCTTTGGGGGTTCTACGACGCAGGATCTCTCACATCACCGTCCCTTCTCTCGAGGGAAACCCGCCAGCGTCAAGTGCAAAGAAGCCGAATCCAGGCCAGCTGTCGTGCCGGTGAGACTGTGATTCGAGGAGGATTTCTATGCATTCTGGCAGCCAAGAAACAGATCCAGTCGTGGCAAAGCCATGATAAGTCCAAGTCGTCAAAGTAGAGTTCGGGTACTGACTAATTGAAGCTTCGCCGCCATTGGAAATACGCCGGTGATTGGTTTCAAATGCCGGCGACACCGGAGCCCAAGACGTGGTATGTTTGTCGGTGACAAAGTCTTCAGTATGTCGATGACGTCGCGTGGTTTTCTCTACGTTCGATTCGTCAGGGTAAAATAAACCGAGATCGGAGTTTGAAGATAGCCTAGGGCGAAAGGTAGGGCGCGGGGTATCGGCGTGATTTCAAAGAGGCTCGGGTCAATTCTTTTGTCGTACAGTCATTGCTCCACCGGCGGCGTTTGAACTAACACATCGCTTGCCAGGTGCAGTGGGTATCTGAGTCGGCTTAATTATCGAGATGCTTTGAAATCGTCGTTATGCGGTGGCCAGTTTTTTCAGTGAGAGTTGTTGAGTGATAAAGGCCCCAAGTCGCCAATTCCATCGAGATCTTTTTTGTCCGTCTCAGATCAAACTTTCATTTCCGAAAAACCGTCAACTCATTCAACTCTCATCATGGGATCCATCAAGACCACCAACCCCCTCGACAACGTCCCGCAAGAGGGCGTCCCCTTCTTCACCCCCGCCCAGAACCCGCCCGCCGGCACCGGCCTCTCCGGCTCCGACGCCCCGGCCCGGAAACTCTTCAGCCCCCTGACGATCCGCGGCGTCACGTTCCAGAACCGCGTCTGGTTCTCACCGTGCTGCCAGTACTCCGCCAAAGATGGCTACGCCACCGACTGGCACCTGGCCCACCTAGGCGGCATCCTCCAGCGCGGGCCCGGCCTCTCCATCGTCGAGGCCACCGCCGTCCAGCCCGAGGGCCGCATCACGCCCTGGGACCTGGGCCTCTGGGAGGACGGGCAGATCGCCGAGCTGAAGCGCATTGTCGAGTTTGCGCACAGCCAGAACCAGAAGATCGGCATCCAGCTCGCCCACGCGGGCCGCAAGGCGAGCATGCTGCCGCCTTGGATCAGCGGGAACGGGATGGCGACCAAGGACAACAGCGGCTGGCCGGACGAGGTCTACGCCCCTTCGCCGATCGCGTTCGCCGACACGTACCCGACGCCCAAGGAGATGAGCGTGGCGCAGATCCAGACGTTCAAGGAGGCTTTCGTGGCCTCCGCCAAGCGGGCTCTGCAGGCGGGCTTCGATGTGATTGAGATCCACGCCGCGCACGGCTACCTCCTCAACTCGTTCCTCAGCCCCGTGAGCAACAAGAGGACCGATCAGTACGGCGGCAACTTCGAGAACCGGACGAGGCTTCTGACGGAGCTCGTCGACCTCGTGAGGAAGACCATCCCGGAGTCGATGCCGCTCTTCGTGCGGATCAGCGGCACCGACTGGCTCGACCAGCTCCGCGACGAGTTCCCCGAGAGCTGGACCGTGGAGGACAGCGGCAAGCTCGCGGGTCTGCTCGCCGACCGCGGAGTCGATCTGATCGACGTCAGCTCCGGCGGCGTTCACCCCCGTCAAGGTGCCGGAATCAAGCCGGAGGCGGGGTACCAGGTGCCCTTGTCGAAGCATGTGAAGAAGGTTGCGGGCGACAAGGTCCTCGTTACGGCTGTTGGTGGGATCAAGACTGGCGAGTTGGCGGAGGAAGTCGTGCAGAGCGGCATTGATGCCGTCTTCTGCGGACGCCCGTTCTTGAAGAACCCGGGGCTTGTCCATGCGTTTGCTGATGAGCTGGACGCCGATGTGAGGATGGCGAACCAGATTGGTTGGGGATTCCTCGGCCGGGGGAAGAAATAGATGAGAAGTAGACCAAAACCGAAGAAGTAAATAAAAATTAGATGCATTAGGGCAACTTGCGCTCGCACTCACTTCGTCATCGAGGTATCTTGGTTTAGAATTAATCATCGCCGGACCGAAGCCGAAGCCGAGTTTGCAGTGGAATCACATCAAGAGTATAGCAGTATATCACTCGGCCCTAGAATTGACAGGTCCTGCTCTATTGTCGGCATCTACCTCTTCTTCCCTTTCGTCTTGTCTACAACATCCATCCACCTCTTGTCGACGCCTCTCTTCTCCAGCGCTTTCACGACCGCAGCCTGCTGCGGCCCCTGCACCATGATCTCCATGACCTGCGCCTCGGTCTTCTTCGCTGCACCTGCCAAAGGCTCGACGCTTGTAGATCCAGCACAGACCTTTCTCAACTCGTCAGCCAGCTGCTTGGGGTTGATGTGATATGCCTCCAACCCAGACACCTTCGTGACGGTCTTGTTCCCGCTCCTCGTCTCGAGAGTAATGTGGATCTTGGGCGGTGAGCCGCTCCTCGCCTTGATGCTGCTTGGGTCTGTTCCATTCCGAACGATAGCGTACGATGTGGCCATGGCGCCCTGGACCCTTTCGATTAGAGTGTCGCGCTGGACAGAACCTTTGGCGATCACGGCCTTGTCCGCAGGTCCGGACCCGGTGAAGACGGCGTTGGCGAGGATCGGATCCAGCTTGACGATGCGCTTGTTCGTTTCCGAAACGAGGTTCTCGCCCTCGATGTAGGCGGTGACTGCCTCGCGCACTTCGGGTTGTGTGTAAAAGGTCTTGGATGCCGCTTCGAAGATGGGCTGCAGCTTGGACGTCGGCTTGAAGTACGAGACGATCTTCAGCTTCTGCCCCACCGAGTCGTCGCCCACGTCGATCTTCGTCGTCGCGGTCTCGCCTCGGCCTTGGGACGCACCTCCGGCGGTCTCCTTCTTCGGCAGTCGATACGGCCTGAAGTCGACGATTGCGGGGTGGTCGAACTTGACGTCCGAAATAACCGTTTCGCGACCGTCCTTTTCTTTGCTCTTGAGAATTCCCTCCTTGTCGAGGGTCTTGATGAATTTCTTGATGTTTTTCCATGACGTCTTTTTGATCTGCAGTTGCTGTGCCTGCTTTGGCGTGTGCGCAGGCAAGAAGGGTTGTATGAGGGTGGACATGACGGACGATTGCGACAGTGGGAAGACGAGCCCGAAGTTTGGTTGTGATGAGTTGGAGGTCTTGTGTTGGTGGATGCCGAAGAGGAACGCCTTGCGGAAGGCCTCGTCAATTTCTTTCTGGGTGAAATCGGGAATCTCGTCGTCGTCGTTGGTTGCGGCCGCCTCCCCTGACTCGGCGGCAGCGGCGTCGTCGCCCGTGGCCTGATCTTCCAGCGAAGCGCCCCCTCCTTCGTCTTGGTCCTCCAGGGACAATCCGCTCAGGTTCTCGATCAGCCCGCGTACCTCCAGGACCTTGACCCAGCCTGCGATCTCTTCGGGTGCCGTCCTTCCGGGCTTGCCATCGGTGCTGAAGCTCCAAACCTCGTCGCCAAACCAGTGCAGATTCTTAACGGCGTGCCCCTTCGCACCCCGCACCGCCTGGAGCGCGCTGACGTCGATCTCGCACTGCCCCACGGCGACGGGCACCGAGGGGTTCTCCAAGCTCGCAATGGCGACGACGGCGCCTTTCCTCGCCTTCTCGGGGAATGGTGGGCCGCCGAACAGCCCCGGCGTCATGAGGTCGGCGCCCGTCTGCAGCTTCTTCACGACGATGCCTGGGGTGTGGAGGAGCGGGACGATATCCGTGTTCGCCCATAGCGTGTAGACCGTGGGGTAGACGACCCCCTCCATCTGGAACCATAGGACTCGGGGCTCCTCGCCATCGTGACTGCCGACGTACAGGGTACCGGAGGCCTGCTTCAGATCGGGGCCGTAGGTGTTGGTGAAGCGCGCAGACTGCAGGTTCTCGGGGAACAAAGATTTTCGCAGGTTGGACTGGACGGCTGTTGCTTCGGCTTTCTGCTCGGGCGTCTGGTCGTCGGTGATCGGTACGAGCTTCGAATCGAGGCCGTAGTCCTTGATGACTTGGTCGGCAAGCTTCCTGCGGTCGGAGGATCTCAACGGGGCGAGCGATTTGACGGTCGGCTTCTTCTTGAACATTTTGGAGGTTGTTGTTGGCGCGATGGCTTTGTCGCGAACAGCGTTCGTTGGTGGGCTTCTTTCAGCGAGAAATAAATCCGCTGGAGCTTAGGGGAGCTTGGGCGCTGCTGACGTCACCCACCAAAACGCTCCCGTCACTGAGTGATTGAGTCATTGCGTAGGTAATATTTCTAAGAACCTCCACAAAGGTCTGTCATTATTGCATTTGCAATATCTGAATTCATAGTTCATCACGTATTTATTATAATTTCTGGTTGTGGTTTTGATCTTGAGCTGCCTTTCCAGGCTGGCTGCTGATAGAACCTGAATGGTTCCCTCCCGCAGGCTGCTCCCGGACTTGAGGCTTCCCATTGGTCATAATTATCTGCCTTCAGAGCTTCTCAACTCTTGATTGGATGTTGTGCAGGGTTCTGACTACTGATTGGATAAAAAAGCATGCCGTTATTACAGAATAGCCAATCCAATGCAGAGAATAAGGATCTTGCCTTCGGGCCCTTCGGGCTGAATAACATCCTACTTGTCTCCAGGGCTTGGTTACGTCGCAGCTAAGGCATCGGATCTTGAACATCGACTTTCGGACAATCTGTGTGAGTATGCAGTTTTTCTATTTTCTAGTCTGCTGCGCCCAAGACAACTTCTCTGTCTGCACACCCTATTTCCACAAGAATGGATTTGTTTGACTCGTCCCTAACTCAGAACATCCTACAGATCACTTCCAACCTCTCCGTCTTTCACGAAAACGTGCCCCACGTCCCAATGTCTTGAAAACTTCCAGGTTGCCTCTTCGATGGCTGTTGTCCTACGGCCTATCCTGTTTATATGCCGCCCATCCGCATCGAAAATTTCCTCGTCCGAGTGATTCCCTGCACCCGTGGGCCCAACATCACGGGAGGCGTTCACTGACGGCGATCGGTCGGCTCTTCCGCTGGTAAGCTCTTGTGTTGGGACCTGATTGAAAAGCTTGCTTCCGCCGAAAAGAATGTTGCTCTGAACTGGAATACCCTCCGCCTTGGCTTCCAAACCGTGAGGTTCACGTTCTGCCTCGAAGCTGAAGATGGATTGAGGAAACGCGATCGAGTCCGCCTTGCTTTCGAACTTCAAGATGTCTGGGGACACGCGGATTGGGATGGATCGAGTTTCTCCCTCCTTGATAGGAGTACTGTTCACCGAGGTCAACGTGGTAGCCGGTGAGACCGTCTCAGCTCTCGGCGATGCCTCAGGACTGGTGCGAGGCGACGTGCTTGGCCGTGAAGAGTGACCTGTTGTCGCCCGTCAGCATCAGGAATTCACACTTTTCTTGTGGGAAATGGAAACTTGCTGCTTATTGACTCATCTGGGTCGTTTGGTGATACCGCTTGGATACCAGCAGCAGACTGGACTGAAGAAAGTGTAACCGTGTATCAAGTCAGCCTCCGCCTGGGTCTGGACTCTGGAACGGGGACTTCATCTTACCTGGGACGCTCCTAGGTCTGTGCCGGCGGCATTCCTTGAGTCCATCTTCAAGCAGCCTGATTTCCGCTTCCAGCTGCGAACGAATGCTTTGGGTCTCTTCAGTCTCGGCAGCTAGCTCTGCCACTCTGGCATCGCTCATTCGGGTGACATCCGCTGGGGTGAACATTCCTGGGAGCTCGTGGACAAGACAGCTTTCCACTGCCAGGTTGATGAGGTTGTCTGTGAATGTACGCAGCGACATCTACACCCAGTAATTAGCATATGTTTTGAGCCATCTTAGAGACCAGACGTACGTGGTAGAAAGTCTGCATCATGTCGATAATCCACTCAGCTGCAGACTCTTGCTCACTAGAATCATCAGGTGACGCAGCGTTCCGTTCTGAGACCCGCCGACGTAGGTCTTCTTCAAAGCCTTCATCAAAGACCATCGAGAATCCCTCTCTGTAAGGTCGCAGGAGTTCCTGCAATTTGTGCTCAAGAAGCTTCTGTCGTTCTTCGAAAAAAGGGTCTACGCAAGTGGACAGAATGGAGAACGTCGTGCTGCATGTGTTGGCAGTTCCTGCTAGATGCTCGACAACCTGTTCCACGAATGACTTGGTGATGGCCGTGACTTTCTCGAAGTGTATCCTAGCAATCTTTTCCCAAGGCTGGGCTTGTCTCCGGAAGAGCTGAACGGCCAAATTCATTGACTCTTGGTGGAGAGGTTTGACGTTCTGTCCCGCGACCGCTTGCTCCTCAAGCTGGTAGACCACGTCTTCCCGGTCCAGGGGCTCCGGGAAAGGGAGGCCGTACGGATTTGCCGCAATAAAGTCCACCAGATGCCATGGCGTGTTTGGGGGTGACGGTCTATCCTCAACGTCATCCAGGATTTCGTTCGATGATCCTTTGGTAGCCAGAATATGTCGAATTGCCCCATGGGACCTTTGTATCTGGGAACGGAGTTTCCGATCAGCGCCGTCCAGTCCGCCGAAAAACGGGTCGTTGTAGTGGCCTTGAATGCCTTCACGGACAAGCCTCTTGAAACCACTCGCCAGCTTCACGAGATATTCTCTCTTCTCCAGAGAGCCAGATCTGGATGGTCCCAACATCTTGAGCTCAAGCCTTAGTTCAGAGAGCTTTTCCTGGATCGGTCCGAGGATATCTGGGAGGCCTCTCACAACATGATTGTGGATCAAGGGGTTCAGTTTCTTCCTCAGGGCAGATACGCCACATCGATGAATCGGAAGAGACGACCATGATTCCGCTTCGAAGAACTCCACTTTGAAATCGTCCCGCACGTTGTCCACATCTCTGGGTCTCTCATCGGTTGAAGGATTGAGCAAGACATGGAAGCCCTGCCTTAGACTATGGGTCGACTGACGGCCTCGAACAGCTTGGGTGTACTGCTGCCCGTCAGGAGATCCAGGCTCGAGAAGATCGAGCTTGGTGATGACGCCGAGGATTCGCTCTTGGTCGAAACCTTGTTCGGCGATCATTGGAAGGATGGACTGGTTAGCGAGTGGGATGTTGGCTGAGACGATGGCGAGAACGATACAATTCTCATTATTCAAATAAGTGTTGAATATCCCTGGGAGTGCACTATCGTCCTCTGTCCCATCATCGGAAAATTCTCCAGGCGGAACCGGGGGCAAGTCGATAAGTGTTAAGGGGTATATGTCAGGTCCCTCGATTTCGAAACGCAACACGTCGTTAGAAAACGTCTCGTTCGACTCGTCGAGTCCCATGTCGTCTTCGGCAGCGGCAATAACGCTGTCGACGCATTGTTGCTTGAAGTCAATCTCAGTGACTTCCAACTCGACTGGTTTCTGGCGGGGATCGAAGGGCCGAACGCTTGCTCTCACACACGGTCGTGGCCCACGACGAAGAGCCAGCTCCGTTGCAAAGCGAGTGAGGGTCCCGCACCTGAATGGGATCTTGGAATGAGAGATTGCGTGGAGTACGGACGACTTTCCAGATGACGGGGCACCGACGACGACTATTTGGGGGGGATCGGCGACGTTGGAGATGCCCAGCGAGGAGAGTCTGTCGATGGCGTCGAATAAGGCACGCGTTTCGATGGAATATAGCTCCCGAACTCCTTCAAGGTCCATGACGATTTTGTTAAAGACTAGATGTCTGGGGAACGTAAATAGTATGGGGAAAAGAAAATAATAGAGAAAGCAGATGTTGAGAAATATGTTGTAGCTGCAAAGCTGTGGTGCTTCCTGGCCATGCCGGAGATGTCTCCCTCTTGTATCAAGACATTATTCCAACACTGAAAATCAACCTCTCATTCTCAAGTAATGTCAATTCTCTCTCAGTGCTTTAGGGTTGCCTCCATCGTTGTTAAAACCGCCAAAATTAGCAAGATTTGATGCAGCTAGAATGCAGGAGATGTGCAGACGCTCTTGGCACAGGGCCAGGTTAGTCAAAATGCAGTACAGCTAGAACCCGTGGATTACTTAAATTCACTTGAACATGGAGACCTGTTGGTTTGGCTTCTCGTCGGCCGTGTTTCGTAGTTTCTCAACACGAGGTCGCATGCATTCTTGGTGCCGCGCGTTAAAGTGGTGTTTCAAGACGGCCCAATGTGGCGGCCTGCCATCGTCCATCCTATAAGACCACCCCAACAGCAGTCTAATCCTAAATACGCGCCATCTTCAAAAACGATTAGTCCATCGATTCTTGTTCTGCAGCTGCTATTTTGGGTTTCTGAGTAAATACTGAGCCCATCATCTGTGAAGCCGAGCCAATGTTGAGGCATTTGAGGGCGCAGCAGGCCTTGTGCTGTTTACTTGTACCGCCGCAACGTTTGGCCAAGGAAACTGACACATTGATTCCTCTGGAGAGAGTAGGCTGATGGGTATGAATGAGAAGTCAAAGGGTAGGTGAGGTTGGCATGTTCATTCGCCATGAAAGGAACCGCATGCCGCGTGATGCAAATAATGGCTTGTCTTTCATCGCTTCCAACTATTTGTACGAGTATTTATGTACATTGTACAACGGATATCTACAGCAGAAAAGATTTCAGGCAGACAGAGGCAGAGCATGACCTTTGCACCCAAGACATCTGCCTACCGGCTAGGTAAGGTAGGTAGGTAAGGAAAGATCGATTTTTCAGGTACTTTGATGGGGCTCGTACCTGCCGCCTTCAACTTCTCAATTTCAGGCCTACAACCAAATCTCTCGCACTCTCTCCTCTTCATCCATCTGACGGGACAGCAAAATTCGACATCATCGGCTGCTTTTGGCATTACCATCTCTTCGCCACACCCCTCCAGAAGTACCTCTAGGGCTGTCCCAATCCTTGGAGAAACGCTGTCTCAATCGCCGAAAATTTCCCTGTGCTTCATCTCCAGCTCATTGCCACGGAACACCGGACGCTGTTATTACCTGTCTCATGATGGACAACGCCGCGAGCATTCCGGACACCACCGACCCGTCGGTAGATGGTAAACTCCGTTCTTCTTGGTTCAAGTTTCCCTGCTGACCCCTCAACAGACCCCGCCGCTATGCCCTCGCCCACCCGCAAGGTCACCGGCATCACCTCCCATCGCCGCATCGAACCCCCCTCGCACGAAAAGATCGACCGCTTCGAGCTCAAACTCTCCCTCGCAGACGGCACCACCGAGTGGGAACCCGAGTCCGTCATCCAGACCTGCTCCGCACGCTCCGTCTTCAACTACTAGAAGAAGTCAGGCGGCCGCGCCCGGAGCATGAAGTACCCCAAGACCTGGGACGTCCACCACGCAGAGGCCTGCCGCGGAAAGATCTTCAAGTCCGGGCCCAGGAAGGATTACTTCGTCGTCGAGCTGCAGGTCACTTACGTCGGTAAGCCTGGGACCGAGTGGGTGGAAGAGAGCACGGTACCCTCGAACGCGTATAAGGCCTTGCGGGAGGAGATTAAGGAGCAGCATGGGAAGTCTTGGTCGGAGTGGCATCTGCACCTGATGGGTGCTGCGAACTGGGAGAACGAGCGGGCGTCGCGAAGCCCGGTTACGGCTGGGAAGCGAGGACGCGGCCGCCCTCGTAAGGACAAGGTCGCGATTGATATCACGCCCCGTTCCGTCAAGGCTATCGCTGCGCGCTCTCCCCGTACACCTGCAGCTCCGAAGACTCCTAGACCCTTGCGGTCCACCGACGAAGCCTCGACTCCCTCGAAGCGCAAGAGACCCTCGGAGAGCGATGATGACGAGGACTACTCTCCACCCCAACCGAAGAAGCGGACTGTCGGAGACGTTTACAAAGGACCAAGCCGAAGGTCTCAGGGCAAGCCATGAAGAGGGATGTTTTGGTTCCTTTGATCGATTTGCTGCAGATGGCTTGGCGGTTGCTAGTTCTCGTTGCGTCTCCGGGTGGCGCGAAGAATATGGAATAAGACACCATGAAGGGACAAGCTCATGTCAGATAGTTCATTTCCTGCCTTTGCAGATGAGTTGGGGCCTTGTACGAACTTGGAACGGGTCTTTGAGTGTATATACTGCAACATTATGACAGTTGCTTCATGGAAATCGTGTCAGTCAAGAGCAAACGATAGTCGCTTTGTGCACCTTGATCCTCATTCATCACATTGTTCAAGTAAACAAGGCATATTCTAGAACTAGCAAACTTGATTTCCTTACTGCGAGAACCTGTATTATAAGTACCTACAAGAACGGTGCACCTCCAATTATCTCGACCGGTTGCACGATCCGAAATGCGATCATCCTGATTCCATTCCTCCCGTGCCTGATCAACTCTTCTCCTCGGAGATGTAAAGTCAAGATCTGAATCGCCTCATCGTGTCTATTCCCTCCGTCTCCGTCGAAACTCCCAATTCCAATCAGTCTGAAGAGCCGATCACATGACGGTACACTCCTGACTCCGTTCAGCTCTCTTGGGCTCTCCAGTGACCTCGCCTTCATCGTGATGCTGCTTCCAGATCCTGAAATCGTCGAGACGGATGTCGGACCTCTGGAACATCTCGTTGACAACCTTTACGCAGTCTTGGTGGTTGCTGTTCTCCGACAAGAATTGGTCCACGAAATGCATGCGATCACCAAACCCGGGGGTGCGCTCGCTCATCTGATGGTAAAGTGGGCTTCCCATCTCACATAACTTGTCCTCGACGTATGAAAACATCAAGATGAATTGATGAGTCAATGCCATGTAGTCAAGGCCAGATTGAGGACAAGAGCCGCAGACGTCGTCGTAGATGTCGAGCTGGATGAGATCGACCATCGCCGCCTTGGGAACGCATTGCTGGCTCAGCAGACGACTCTTGAGATCCAAGGCATAGATGGGTCGAATGTTCCCGTCCCGAGAACTCAGATGGGCGCCTCCCCCAGTGCTCCGTGTCTCAATGAAATACCGGGCGAACATCTTAGTATTGGCGATATGAACCTCGACCAAGTCATCGAATCCGAGAAACTGCCTCAGGCGATTCACCAGCTTCGTATGCTCCACCTTGCTTTTGCCAGTTGCAGGATCGATGTGGTGCTTCGTCTCGCTGAGGTGAAGGCTCCATAGGCGAGATCCGATCCCAAGCTCATGTTCAGCAATTGAGTCCAAGTTCCAGTCTGCGTCACCGTAGACCTGAAGCTGTGACTTGGTCTTGAAGAAGCGCCTTGGTTTCACGAGATTCTTCTCAGTTTCTCTGCGAGACGAGCTGCTCGCCTTCTCGTATGTAATGGTGTAGATTGCGGCGGCCTCGGACGGATGCGGTATCATTGCCCATCCCGCGGTAAAGATGTCAGGGAAGAGCGTTCTCGCGTTGTTGAAGAACTCTACATTCTTGGCAACGTTGTGGCGAGCGAGGGGCGCGTACAGGACCAGCAGCAAGGTGGGCTCGGGAATCAACTCCCAGATGTACATGGTCATACGGAAGGTGAGGTCGAGGGCATCAATCAGGCCCACCCCGCAGAGCCAAGGGGAGTACTTCATGATCCCTTTGCAATCGGTAGTCGAGAACTGCGAGTGCGGTTGAACAACTGATGCAACTCTCGGTGTGGCAGTGAGCCAAAAGGTGAGGTCAACTCGCAATGCGTCGATGACTAGAGCCGCAGTCTGATATTTCGTGCACTTATTGTGCCTTGCGTAGCGTTTCTCGAGCGCCTGCTTCAAGTTCTCCGCTCCGGAGACGAAGCCCGGACGACCGCGGGACTTGTCGCCATGAAGGAAGACCTCGATGTCCCTTGTTGACTTGAACGAGTCAGGTGGATGCTCAAGAACATGACCCTGGAAGACATCGATGGCCCAGCCGCGCGAGACCGAAAAAGAGTCGATGATGCATTGAAGCTGGAAGACGTGGTGGGGAAGTATCTTGTCGTCGAAGGTTGTATCCGGCTTCTGCATGGCAAGGTTTGTGACGAAGCTCGCAAACTCGGTCAGGCCCAATAGACTCGTCGTCTTCCCACACGGCCCGCTCGTAGACCAATCGAAGTCTTGTAGAGGAGTCGTATTCTGCTCTTTCTTCATGATTGCCATTGCTGTCGCTGTGTAGTGATTGACAAGATCGTAGAGCCAGTTGATCGTGTAAACGTGACGCCACTCGAGCCGTTGGTTGGGCGAGGCAGAAGCCAGATCCAGATAAGGATCCCAGCCACGAAGCTTTGATTGCATGGCTTTGGTTGGCTTTCCGGTGCGATTCTTCCGAAAATCGTCGATGAAGTCGGTCAGATCCATGAAAGCATAGCCCATGAGCTGCTCGGTGACATCCATGACCTCGCCGCCGGTCATGCCGTCGTCTTCCCCATCTGGCTCTCGTGTGCGCATCCAGACATCCCACTCGTGCTTGTCGACCCCGCTGGATGAAGAATCCTTGAAGGTCATACTCCTGAGAGTGTGGAAAACCCAAGCGAATGGTTCTTCGCCGGAAAAGCCAGTGAATAGGGCGACTGAGGCTTGTCGAATCATCGAGACAGCCACGTTCGACTGCGCTGCGGCAACAGCGCTGTTGTAGTCCTCGTACGCGACCGCTCGCCAGACATCTTGAAGATAGCATCGAAGCATGGCCGATTCGGTAGCGATTGCATTCGCCGCCATCAAGTAGTCTCCAAACATGGCATTGTCGTCGCCCACGATGTTGCAATGCTCCAGTTCAACATGAACAGCCGCTTCGTTCGCGGTGGTGTCGGTCGCCTCTCTCTGTTTGGTGGACTTCTTGCCCTTTTTCGACTTCTTGCCTTTTCCATGCTTTTTCTGCTTCCGACGGGACGTGGCTTGAGTCTTTGACGGTCCAGCATCGGATTCCGCGTCGGATTCTCCGTCGGATGTCGCTTCGATTGCGGAATGGAGGTATGGTGACGAGAACAAGATTCCCTGAGCATCGGAGTCGTCAATTGGATGGAAATCTTCTCCATTCCAGTTGGGCTGCCAATCTTGACCACCCAAGACCTTGAAGACGTCGCTGAGTGTGTCGACAAACAACTTGTGCGAGGGGATGCTGTTCTTAAGGGCAGTGTTGGGATTTCTGGAAGCCACCTCCTGGTGCACCTTCAAGAGGCTAGATCGAGTGCCAATGACCGATTGCAGCAGGTGAAAGACGATAGAAGGCGTGGGACGGGCTTTTGCAATTTGCTTTGCCATTGCAAGAATGCCAGGAATGGTCACTTGGCCGGTCGTGTTGGGCTGCAAGGGCTGGCCATCATCGTCAAGGAGCTTATGGGTCTTGATGAGCGCATTTGAAGTGTTGACGATCCAGTACGCAATGTACTTGGTGTCGCGCTTGTACGCGACGCAGATGTTTTGGTTTGGCATTGTGCCTGCCGGGGCAGCGCGAGGCCAACCCTCTCAAAGCAGGAAGAACGGATACCTAGAGCAAAAGAATGTCAGTTTTACAACGGCAAGATGTGAAATAAGGCTTACTCAGAAGGACGTCTTTGCCAAAAATGTCATGTTCAAATCACAGCAAGTGGTGTTGGTGATGCTGCTTTCCTCTGAAGATGGTTGAGGTGAGGTGAAGGAAGTAGGAAAGGTCATAAGGGAAAGTGTGAAGTTGTGAAAAGCTGGGTTGATTTTTTGATTGTCAAGAAGAAGGAGCAGACGGGACCTGGTGAACGGTCTTTGAGTGCCTTAGGCTGAGTCTTTGCTGTATCTGCTCACCCTGGGCGCACGTAGAAAGTTGGGTGTTGGAAGAAATTTTATTATTGCTGGGTTGGAAGCCAGGCATATTAGGAAGGCACTTCCCTTATTTTGAAGGGGCTGTGAAATTTCTTTAAAGGAAAATAAGCCTGTGTTTTTCTTCTAGTATGGGGATTTGAGAAGAATAAAAAATGACTTCCTTTGCGAGCTTCATTCTTTCCCTTCTTTTCAAGCCAAGAGAGCCATCTGCATTTGTTTCCACAAAAAAGATATCCAACTGCTATTATTCCATGGGTAAGGTATACCTTCTTGTAGCTTCTCATCCTGCTAACTCCAGCTGAGCCTTTTGGTAGATGATCTTTTAGAATGAAGAAAAAAAAACAATTCCTTCCACCCTTAAAAAGCATGTGTCTCGCAGTGAGTACTTGGAGATGTGATGCTGTTCGCCAACACCCCACCTTCCGTTTTGGGCGATATGTGATGCATCACCACCTTCACTTTCGAGTCAACAAGGAACAATGAAGTTTTCTGCGATTGTTCCTGGATGTAGAGAGCTACCTGCAAAGGAACTTCCCTGAAGCCTTTTATCTTTATTTGGCTACTGCCTCACACTAAAAACACACATTAATCAGAGGAATCTGCGAGCCCAAGTGCATGCAGCATGCCCCGTCACCCAAGTCAAATTGTACGGCAAAACCACAGTCAGTCCTTCTACCCGTTCTCCTTCCTCGAGGGAAGCTATTTTTTCAAATCTCCCTCGGGCACCTCGAGTTTCTCGCCTCTCTTTCATTGCAAAGCTTTCATCGCCAGGACGACATGCACAACCATGGAGCCAGCAGCAGTGCAACAGCAAAATGACGGAATGGCTCAACAGCTTCCCCCGGCTCTGCCGCCCATTTCGCGGCCGGTAAGACCCTTCAGTTTTCCCGTCATGGTCGCGTTCTAATTTATTTACCACACAGACTACCACGATTGCTCCGCATTACCTCGAAAGGATCTGCCTCAGCGATATGAAGGACGTCCCCGACTCTCGTCTCATGGAAGAAGGACCCATCCTCGTCGGAGAGCTGGACTGGGCCTGGAACGGCCGCTTTTGGGATCCCTACTACCGTCGAACGGAAGAATACCCTGGTTGGCGTTACTCGGCGACAAACACCCCCCATTTCGCTCAAGCGGTGGCCTGCATGACGCGACTTACCCGGAAGTGCGTGGATCTCAACTTCCCGCTGAACCTCGTCTACGAGAAGGATAATATCATGCATATGGCCTCTTCTCGTTTCTTCAACTGCTTCAATTACACTCTCACGCCCAGAGTCGTCAACGCCGCCTACGATTTGCTGGTCGCGCTGCACCCAACAAGACTGCTGGACCTACCGCCCACCGACAGCGACAACGACATCTCCATCGAAGCGATTCAGAACTTGCTAGAGCTACAGAAACAGGCGCAAGAGAAATGAGAAGGGATGGAGAAGGAGGAGGAAACAGAGAAAACCAGTGCAGACAGAGTCACTTAGAAGCAGTGTTATCGAAGTTCCATAGCAAATAATCAGGACTGGGGTTTCTAGATGTGCTTTCTCGTGGGATGTGGTTCCCATCATGTTTGCATCTGACAGGCTGAGATAAGCCAGACCAGAGGCCGTGACGTCACGTCATGCCGTGGGTCGAAATGAATCGCTGTCAGACTGTTGCCTTGCGGCCCATCTCACCGCCTTCATAATCCATCTCACGCATAAAACAACTGCTCAATCCAAACCAACCTACTCGGCAAACATGCCACGCCAAGCCAGCGTGCCTCTCGCTCGTTACCTCTTCACGCGATTGGCCCAGCAAAACGTGAGATCCCTCTTCGGCGTGCCCGGAGACTTCACCCTCAAAGCACAAGACCACGTTGAATCCTCCGGTCTCAAGTGGATCGGCAATTGCAATGAGCTCAACGCCGGGTATGCAGCGGATGGGTACGCCCGCACGCGAGGTCTCGGCGCCCTCATGACAACTTATGGTGTTGGGGAGCTCTCAGCTGTCAATGCCGTGACCGGCAGCTATTCCGAACATGTTCCCGTGGTCCATATCGTCGGCACGCCGGCAACTCGGTTGCAGGTGCAGATAAAAGATATGGCGCTGAGGGATCACCGGCATGTACACCACACTCTGGCAGATCCGACGAGACTGGGTGTTTTCGGCGAAATTGCTGCAAAGGTTACGGCGGCGCAGGTGAAGCTTGACTCGGCGGACTCGGCGGCGGAGAAGGTGGACTGGGTAATCGACGAGGCAATACGACACAGTCGGCCAGTTTATGTCGAGCTTCCGAGTGATCTCGTCGATGCGGACGTGGACGGCTCTAGGCTCGGGGATCCGATCGGAAGTGTTGTCCCCAACAGCAGCGAGATTCGAATTGCCGAGGGAGAAGCACGGAAACTGATGCATCGTCTATGCTCCGCAAAGCAGCCACTTCTACTCATAGACCGAGGCATGGGAGTCCAAGGGCTTCGGGAGGAGATCAACAGCTTTGTCCGAGCCTCGGGAATACCGACTTTGTGCATGCCTTCAGGAGCTGGTATGGTGGAGAACGACCTGCCCAACTACTACGGCGTTCATTCCGGTCCGGTTGGAAAGGTAGACACGATGTCTTATGTCGAGTCCGCGGACTTCGTGCTGGCCTTTGGACCTATGTTCTCCGATACGCAGACTTTGGGATGGAACGTCCTCCCTGATCGAGCGAAAACGACAATCTTCGGCCGCACTGCCGTTGACAACGTTGCGGTCGATGGGTCTCAGATCCTGTGCAACATGAGTAAGGCACTAAACGAGAATGAGATTTTGATTCCCGGTGCCGCGAACGAGAAAGTCGAATTGCTCTCCAACTGGCGTAATGCCACAAAACTAGAGGCCACGCCGGCCGACGAACGAATCAACCAAACAGGCCTCTACGACCGACTTAACCAGTACCTCAGACCCCATGATACGGTCATACTCGGAAACGCAACACCAATCATCGGCGGACGAGATATGGTGCTGCCTCGAGGAGCTCGTGTAGTCGCTTCGGGGATGTGGTTCTCGATCGGCCACATGCTCCCGGCGGCTTTGGGTGTAGGCCTGGCCCGTCGTGAGCACGGTCAGAAAGGGCGGACCATTTTGATTGATGGAGATGGCAATATCCAGATGACGATACAGGAGATCAGCTCCATCATAAGAGAACGCCTGGATATCACCATTTTCATCGTCCAAAACCAGGGGTATGCGTACGAGCGCCTTATTCACGGGCTCCACGAGTCGTACAACGACCTGGCTCCGTGGCGATATCTCGAGGCCGCGCGGTTCTTCGGGGCCCCAGATGACTATCCAGTCTCATGCCATCGAGTAGAGACGTGGGCTGACTTGGATGGAGTGCTTGGGGACGCGGGCTTCTGCGAGCCAAATGGGCTGAAACTCATTGAGTTGGTGCTGGATAAGTACGACGTCCCAGACAAGTTCAGACAAGTCTTTCGCAGAGCGGGCGAGAATCTCTGATTCAAAGAATCTGGGTCTCCGAGTAAAACAAACTTCATTCATCGTTATCTTACACTCATATAAACAAACTATGCACTACACAACTCGTTGGTTTCTCCTACCTTCAACCAGACCAAAGCTGTCGACGGTACCAGTGCCCCAACGCATCCACCAACGCCTGCCCCAAGATCGTCCCTTCTTTGCGGTCCAGTGGTTGTTTGAATCCTTCCGGACCTTCTCCCGCCCGTGTAAACCTTCACGGAGGCGTGTTAGTCCAATTCACTCTTGACATTTCGCAGCGATGGCAACTTACATCTTCCATTATACTTCTTAGTCCACTCCCTCTTCGTAAACTTCCGACATTTGGAACACCACCGCAACTCGTCTCCCATCCAATCTCGAAGTCTCACATAGAGAGGACATGTGATACAGGTGCAATGACTACACCAGCGCTTCCGGCATAACGCGTGATCATCCGGATACTTGCGGCACAGGGCCCAATTGTCGCACGGATCGCGGTGGTTCACGCTCTTTCTGATGTAGACGTGTTTACGTTTGCGGTGGAAGTACGGGTCCCATTTGACGCCCTCGATCTTGTCGTTGCCGCAGCTGCATACGAGCGACCTCGGGGACAGGTTCTGGTCGCATGATTGCAGTGACGGCTTTTTGGGGAGCATCGGGAGACATAGTTGGCGGAGGTCTCTTGATGCTAGGGAGAGGCATACGAGATCGTTTTGAGGGCAGTGGGAGAGTATCTCAAGTCGGATCTCGGGAGGGAGGTGGTTGAAGAGGGTAAAGTTGAACTGTGGTGGTGTTGATGTTGCCATGATGTCTAATATCTTGGAAAATATGATGTTGATATCAATGTAAATATTCTCGATGTAGTACTGAATATTGGGATTAGATTTTCCCGATAAATGAAGCCTTTATAAATTCCGTCGTCTCGGTCTAGTGTTGAACTCGTGATGCTTGCAGCCAGGCAACTTTCACGCATCCTGCGCTGTTGCCTGTCGCTAAAGCTCGGCCCCACAAATCTGCCTAAACCTCCCATCCTTCCCGTCAACTGAGGCGCACCGAGGCACCTGGCACCATAATGGTTGAAGCCATCTACAATCATGAAAAGTGTATATACCTGTTGTATTTCTACGGAATTCTCTTCATATTGAACAAAAGCTTAATCTTCTTATGTCAGATTGTACTGATTTTATTCACCCCGTGGTTTATCTAGGCACCTTTTGTTGCTTGGCCCCGTGAGGGCTTGCCTCGCTAAAAGTATACTACGCCGGCTCACCCTCTTGCATCACTGAGCCGAGATATCGAAAGTATCACCGAATGTGGCAAATGTGTGGAAAATGGACAACAAGTTGTTCACAAGGTGGTTGAAGATTGCTTCTACCCGCAGAACACTGTGAACGGTACTGGACCGGAGTACAAGCCGGGCCCACTTTCTCCATCCTTTCTCCATCTCATGTCAACCACAAAATTCGCCATTGGCCAGAAAAAAAGTGATTTAGTCTCCGATTGGCCAATGCTTCCATCAGCATGTACTGCTGTCCAATGACGCCGACTTCTTAATTGAAGATGAGATGTTTGAAGAGTCCGACCGTTTGAATTACTTGTTCGATGTTGACTACATCCACTCGATGAATCCAGTCGATACGTCCAGGGGGCAATTGCGAAATTCAACATGAAATAGAGCACTCTAAGCACTGGGCACATGTCGTTGGCTATGTTCTCATCATCTGTTCAACGACGGGCATGTGACATCGCACGACTTGAGGTTCTCAAGATCAACGGCTATTGAACCCCGTGCGGTCGAGAGCTCACCGACAACCTGTCAGGGGTCGCGGTGAACCAGTAGCTGAGTCAGCGTTCGCAAGAGGGATTTTCGCGCAATTATTTCAAAGGCCAGGTTTGAGCCACCTACCTTACCCATCGTCTTGAATGACCGCCCTGCTTCGACATATCTAATCTCAGCACAATATACCTACACCGCAACAATGTCATTGGACTGGAGTTTACCACCCACGCCACCCTACCCCGAACGAGGGCCATATCATGGGACCATTCTGGACGGCCGAGACGCTTGGTTATCCTGGTGGTCTTCATGGCTGGATGGAGCTAAATATCGCTGGCATGTGGAAGTATTGCAATCCTGACAAGGACGACAAGCCACCCTTCGAAGAATTTCTCGGTAAACCAACAATAGAGTTCCCAAAGTATAGCGATTTCAAAAAGAAACCAGCCGGCCCACAAACCCAATCATCAGAGTCGCAAAACCAGTCTGCTGCCACGACTGAAGCCGCAACGAGTTTGTCCGACATGTCAGAAGAAGACCAAGAAGAATATCAAAGTCGAGACTTTTATGCGCGGTTGGTGTGGAGGGAATACCGCAGAAAGGAGGAGGCCGTCGCGGAGATGAGAAAATGGTTCCACGACTCTGTTGACCCCTACTTTTTCAAGACTTCTTGCCTCAGCCATGCAGATATACCAGACTGGATTATCTCTCTACAGGCTAGGCTGGGCACCACGAACGATGAACTCGCCGCAAAGACCACCAGGAAGCTGTTCGATTTGTACATCAGAGCCGAAAACAATGAAGCCAAGACAAAGGCGGCATTCGCATCGTAGTACCACGAGTGGGAAAGGCAGGTCTCGTTTCTTGAAGCCCTCAAGCCTGAAGAATTTGAGAGGTCGGCCTGGTTTCACAGCTTCACCGCGGCCCTATCTCACACACCTTTGAGAGATTGGGCCAAGTCGTACCTCACCAAATATCGCTGCGAGATTGAGGAAAATAATGTCGATCTCAAGGTCATTGTCCATCTGATCGAATACGAGATTTCGTCCTATTCTCGGGATGAATTCTTGAGGTAGACGAACCAGGTAGACAAGAAGCAGACTTCTAAGACGCGGAAACGAGACGAGAACCCTTGTCGAGCTTGCGGCATGTCGGGACACGGTCATGTCACGTGTTTCTATTTGCAACCGGATGAGACCCCCATAGGATGGAGACATGACGCCGTCATGCAATTCTCGATTAACAGGAGAGTCAAAACAGACAAAGTGTTGTCAAGCTTCATGTCAAGCCTACACCGATGTCCAGCGAGATACAGGTAAAGGGGAAGCTGAACGCCATAGTTGACATGGGAGCTGAGGTTGGCTCAGTTCCTCGAATCAATTAAATTTAGTTGTTTGTTCAGGAATAGTCGTGTTAAATTTGGTATTGTCTCACAGTCTTCAAAGCATTCAACGTCTGAGACTGTCTTCATGTTGGCTGCTATCATTTCTCCAGAGCGTCTAATGCGTAGTATCAAAATTTCCGTCCATCTTTGCCCCACGAGAGAAGGTTAAGGTTAACGCTGATTTTAAAAGTACATTGTGATCGTTTTCAGAACTTCCGCAGTCAGCCGGCTCGGAAAGACTCTGAGGCAGCCATCAGAAGCCAGAAGTTTGAGTCAATCGAGGACAGGGCTTCAATGGTGCTATTGAGCTGGAGAAACCCGAGCCTACGGCATGGGCTTGATCAGTGACACGACAAAGAGGGAGGCCGGCAGCGTTGCACGGTAGCTGTGGAGATGTTAAGTTCGCACTAGTTTGCAACGTCTTTATGCCTCGTGGTCCCTTCAGATCTGTGAGTAACGTCGAGACCGATCCGTTTATCTAGAGAATGTCAGTGCTAGTGTTCGAGAGCAGGATAGCGCAGGCTTATTCCGAGATCTAGCGTGCATTATGGCGTCCGCTAAACGTCAAGCTCAATTCAGCCGCAGACAAGGACCTTCTTCACTTTCCTATATATCAGGATGCGATTCTCCCGGGAAAGAAAGAAGGCCAGAAAGAGAGGAGATTGAGAATCGTTACCATGGCTGGCTCGGTGTATCCCGTGACATCACAGACGGAGCTCGTCTCCTCGAGCAACGTTTCTCGCCGCAAGCCGGCGACAAACGCGCCGATCTGGTATTTTGTCTATAACTCCCTCATCATTGCTTTGGTTATTTCAGCCATAACATTCTGGTTTCGTGCCACTCAAAGTCCCCTTCTATACTCATTCGAGTTCGGTCAGTGGCTGCTAGACCACCCGAAGACCGGCACCATCATCTGGACAGCATGCGGAACTGTTGCAGCAGCTGTGCTGGTGGTTCTCCTCAAAAGTGTTCTATTCTTGATGGTCAGACAGAGCTCGCGTGTGGGGGCGACTCTCTCTACGATTGAAGGTTGAACAGCCTACCTTCAGTTATGACACCGTTGGAACAGAAGCTTACCATTCATAGTGTGGAACAAGTGCGCGAATCAGCAACCCCTTCTTGATGTCAAGCGTCCTTGGCTCTCCGGGTTCACAGCTATCAACTGGTTCGTCGCATTGACCTTGACAACGGCCTTCACCACTCTCATTACTCCGACCAGAGTCCTAGTCAGCGAGTCTCTCCTCGGCAACGAACTCGACTTCACCTCTCCAGAGTTCTGGACTTGGTATAACACTTGGAATGCTACTACGGGCAGGCCGGTGAGGAAGGTTTTTGGCTGTACCCGATACACCTACACCTCACCCACAGGTTCCCTCACCTTCCCGACATGCCCTATTGCAAACGACCCCGTGGCTTGCATTTCTGCGGGAGTAGCCGCCGCCCAGGAATCGTTTGGTGCTCGAAACGCCTCCGTCAGGGTCATCGACAGCTTGTTCAAGGGCTCAACCGGCGGTGTGCTTCCACTCGGCTTCGGCGGTATTCCGGCGTTCAACAACGTCAAGTTCGGAACCTGGGATCAATCCACAGAATATCCTCAGTACAACTACTCTCTGACGCAACAGGGTCTTTCTGCAGACATATCCTGTCACGAGACGCCGGACACACCAATCCAGACGGACGTCCTGCAGACCATGAACGTCACTAACTCGGCGGCAGGCGGGAAGATGCAACTCGTCAATTTCTTCATCGAAAACGACTACTGCTACTCTTCACAAACATGGGTCGTGCCATTGCTCGGAATCGTGGCACCTGCACTATGCCAGCCGAACAAGAAGGTCAAAAAGTACGAGTTCTATCTAGCCCCATTCCGTCAGTACAGTCACCTCCCAAACATGACCTGTTCAATTGAACCGGTTATCACCAAGAACCTCGTCTCCTACTCAACTTCTACCGGCCTCTTCGCGTCAACTATCATGGAGAGAATGGGCAGTTCCTCTGTGCCCAACGAAACTGCAGACGCAGTCTCCGCACTTTTCATGATCTCTATCACTAGCTGGGTATGTCTTGTCTGTCGATTCCTGCTTGGTGAGCTTTTCTGACTAGAACTCTCACGAACGCAGGGGAGTGGCCTTATCGAGTCATTGCTAAGCTTGAACACGACCGGCGATGGCTCCGGCAACTTCTCTTACCCAGCAGCAGTCGAAGCCGCTTTGAGAGGAATCGTTGAGTATGAAGGCACCAACCTGCGCATCTACTACTCAGCCAATGAAGCAGCCGGGCGGAGCACCGTGAACGGGACGTACAACGTTCTCCGTGTTGGGTATCACCAAACCCAGCCCACAGCGTTGTTGATTTTACTTCCGCTGCTTTTATATGTGGTAATTGTGGCCTGGTCGTATACCTGGGTAGGGCTAAGGACTGGGTTACACATCGAAGATGGCTTCAACCCCACGGACAGCACTTCACTCGTCACTGCTGCAGCGGCGGGCGCTGAAAGTGGTAAGCTTGGATTCGAGGGAATGTCATCAGGGAACCACAAGGTTCAGGAAGTAAGGATCAGATATACAGGCAGGTCAGGGCTGGTGATGACGGAGGGTTCGGAAGTTGGCGATGGTGTACATCTCAACCTGTTGAGCACACAAACATCTTATAGATCAGAGCCTTTCCAGTAAGATCATGACGCTAATGGACGGCTCTGGGAGTCTCCAGAACAGCTCAGCGATCCAATTGTTCATCGTGCAGGGTTGACAATAATAGGAGATCATGTTCAAGCTCGTGCATTCGCTGTCTCAACGTATCAATGATCCCGTGACGGCCCTTGTCTATCGGCTCGGATCTCGGACCGATGGATCCAAAGGGGCCGGTCCCGTGAGTGACGAGATCTCAGATAAGAACCCCTGATCGAAAGACACGGATAGTTCAGCTCCAACAATCTTGGCTGCATCAGATCACGGCGTACGTCAAATTTGATCTACATCAGATTTCTTACTGTTTCATTTGCACAGTCCATTAGACAGAATGGTATTTTGAAAGTATGCGATAATAGTATTCAGGTCATTGTAATACCAATTCTGAAAGCTTGACATGATAGCGACATATATGTGTATGATTCATAAGTCGACAAGTTACGATGAGTACTTGAAAAGGGGTAACCGCAATCTTCGGGAGATGTTTTGTCTCAATGTTGTCAGCTTCGTGCCGTACATCTCAGATTCAGTTCTTGCGGACTTCAGTACAGATATCGGAAACTGCTGATGTCCTTTCCACTCCCATCAATCCCTTTCGCATTGGTCTTATCAGCAAGAGAATTGTGAAGAGCGTCCTCGCTGTCGAGTCTCTTGTTCTGTAAACGGAGATAAAATCGCAAGCCAAGTGCAGTCGTGCAAGCCAGCACTAGTAGGCCGATCTCTGCACCGAAGGATTCAACGTAGTACGGACCGTACTTTGCTGGCCAGATGTACGAACCCGGAATACTGCCGATATTGCCCATGGCGTTGACCATTGCGATTGCAGCAGCCTTCTTTGCCGCAGGGCGAGGGATTGTGTCTGAGATCCAAGCAAGGATAACGAACCCGGAGGCAAAGCCCACTGCATGCATGACATATGCTGTCAGTGGATCTGTATTTGATGTGTAGATGAGGAATAGATGCTCACCTGTCATGAGAAACATTGAGACATAGCGGGGCGCAGTCGTCGTCGTAGTAGCGGAGATAATGTACCCAACGATGCATGTGAGAGCTGGGATGAAGAAATGAAAAAACCGTTCGCCAGTCTTATCTGCATGCCACGCATTTGGCAAGGAAACCAAGACAGCGAAGATCCACGGCGGAGCTGTCAGCAATAAGGTTACTGTTCGGTCATAGCCCAGAGCTTCTGTGATGGTCGGAAAGAAGAAGACGAACTACATAATTTCGTCAGTAGTTGTCCCATCAGCGTGTTAGTTTTGAAGAGGGCAGTATCTTACACTTAGTCCCATGATCGTGGTGTGATACGTGAGACCCAAGAGCCAAACCTTGACGTCCTTGCAAGTCATTATCAGCCCCTGGACGGCAGTGACATCCTCCTCTTCCGAATAGCCGCCTGCAAGTCCATGGTCAAGCGCAAGGCGGTTCTGAGCGATTTCTCGCTGCTCTTCCGAGAGCCATTTGGTTGTGCTAGGATAGTCCGGTAAGATGAAAACTGCAACGGCAGCTAGAGCAATCGTGATCGACCCTTCGACAATGAAAAGCCACCGCCAGGCGCGGATGCCAGCGGCTCCCTCCATGTCAGCGAGAATGCCTGCAGCTATGAGGCCGCCAAAGCCCTGCGCAGCCAAGTTCCCTGCATTCAGGATAGTAACTCGAAGCTGCATCTCTCTTCTCGTGTACCATCGCGACAAAAACAGCAGGCTTCCTGGATAAAAGCTAGCCTCGACACACCCAAGAAAGAATCGGCACAGCACTGCTCCGGTGAAGTTCTGGACCGCACCAGTTGCGGCCGAGATCAGACCCCACACGGCGACGCACCCGCAGAGATACCAACTCGGTCTCTTGAGTTTGTTGAGAAGCATATTGGAAGGGACTTGCATGGCAACATAGCCGCTTAGCAAGATCGAGATGCATGTCTGGTACTGGACATCTGTGAGGTTGAGGTCCGCCTCGAGACCCCTGAGTCGAGCGTTTGCGAAGTTGTTGCGGTCGATGAAATTGAGTATAAAGAGCACGATCATGACGGGGAAGATACGGAAATCAATTTGACGAACGATTGCCCTTTCCATTGCGGGATCCCATCTCGGAACAGATCTGGTCGTTTCCACAGCTTCACCCATGTTGAAAGAACCTCAGCCCTGGGATGGGCCGCGACTTTTTGGTGATCAGCCTTAGTGTTGAGAGAATACAATTGTGTAAAGCAACAAATGAATTCGAGGAGAGCAGAACAGGAGTACTTAAAGGTTACCAAGCGGCCGAAGCAATGGTCTTCCAGGACTCATAAACCCGCCCTTTTGACCAGGTGAAGTTCCGGCTGCAGCTGTTGGTGAACTACCCGACTGGCAAATCGTCGGTCTCGGTCTTATCTGCGTATCTCGTTTGAAGACATGGGGCTGAACGCAATGTTATCTCTGCCTGCATCGTAAAAGCCCAAGACAGTGTTCATATTCTTATCTCTTCTGAGGGGAGATATGATCAGCAGCGCAACACCAAGTCGCATCAACCAATCCTACGGGCCGAGCTCCGCGCCGTATGACGCTCCGAGACCCGTGCCGGAATTGTTCATCCGGTCGTATCGCGCACGATGAGACAGCATTTAAGAGAAGACGTAGCTTTCTAAATCGCTTAGTATTCCCCTGCGCATATTTCGCTTATTGATTCTATGGCCCCTGGCCAATTTCGGGAGTCTTATCAACTGCACTGGTTATTACCCTTCATATCTTGTTCTTGGCATCATGGCCGATATAGACATCCCAACGTCGAACAAGGCCTTAGTATGGGTCGGATCACGAAAACTTGAGGTTCAAGAACGCCCCGTCATCCCTCCCAAAGACGATGAGGTTTTGGTCCAAATCATCTCCACAGGGATTTGTGGCTCCGATTGCCACAATTGGGAGAGTGACAGCCTTTCTCGACAATTGGTTCTCGGGCATGAATCGTCAGGTATCATTGTCAAGGCCGGCGAAAGCGTGACTAGTCGCTTCGTCGGCCAAAGAGTTGCCGTGGAGCCCGGTTTTGCGTGCATGAGGTAGAACTCCCTTCAAGAACTGCTTGCAACGAAGTAACGAGCAATGCAACAGGTGCGAGTTTTGTGTCAACGGCAATCCAAACATCTGTCAGAACCTCAGATATTGTGGTCTTGATCCCACCGACGGCACACTCTGCCAATATTTTACGTGTTTGGCCTCGATGACAGTGCCTATTCCAGACTCCATCTCTTGGGAAGAAGCTGGCGCAATTCAACCCCTTGCTATTGCAGTTCAGCTTGCTAGGAGAGCGTCTTTCAATGCTCATCGAACATTGGCAATTTTGTACGTTTCTCCACCTTCGAGCTTCATGATGAGGACCTCCCGCTGATAAGCTATTTCTGTCAGTGGATGCGGACCTCTCGGGCTCCTCGTTCTCGCTGTTGCGAAGGCTTATGGTGTCAAAACCATCGTCATGTTCGACATCGAGTCATCGAGATCTGCGTTCGCGCAAGCATACGGCGCAACCCAAGCCCTAGTGCCTCCAACCAATGAGGATACATACAAAGATTCTTTGCAGTTCTCGCAAGAGTACGCACAAAAAATCAAATCAAGGTTTGGCCTGGCCAATGGGTTTGATGTCGCAGTCGAGGCGACCGGAGCAGACGTTTGTATACAGATGGCACTCTCAATGGTGAAATCCGGAGGAACTTGTATTCAAGCTGGACTGGGCAAGCCCTTGACTTCGGTCCCCCTCTTTCTCGTGACGGCTAAAGAGCTGAATATCAAAGGTAATATTTCCGTTCTTACCGTTTGAGACTCAGTAATCTGACGCCATTCTAGGGACTGTGAGATACACTCCCGGCTGCTTTGCAGATGCCATTAGCCTGTTGGACAGGAAATTGGTGAATCTGAAGCCACTGATCACATCGACGTTTCCCCTTAGCGAAGGTTCAGAGGCATTTGAGGCCCAGCATGCCAGGAAAGACATCAAAATTGTAATTTTCAACCAGTCTTGAGTAGATCAGATAGTCCTCACAATCGATTAATTCTGTCTTCCCATCTTGTCAAATGAGTGTATGCCGGTCATTCTTGATTCCTGAATTGTTCGCCATTCTTCGCCATATTGTCGTGGTGGATGTGATTGAATGTCGCATCACTCTCAGGGATGCTTATCATTATGTCATCTTCATGGTAGGTCTATGCAGTCGAATGTGTCGCCTGGGGTTGACCGGACAGGTCCCCGCCGTCCATTCGAGAGACGGCTCGAGAACATGAAAGAGACCGAGAGAATGGGGATTAGGCACTATTTCCTGAAAATACCCTGTTGCAGACCCGAGTATTCTGTGCCCGGATATCCGATGACTCAGCGGAGATCGGGTCACGTTAAAACAAGCTCAACGGTAAGATTGGGGCTCTGTGGATCTCCTCGACTTCACTTCGAGCTAAGATGAACGCTGGATCGTGCCGCGCGCTACTCAAACTTACAGCCATGCTGCCCAGAGCTTACAAGCTTGTCTCCTTGCGCAATCACTCATGCTGAACAACCCGCAGGTCAGCAGGGACCCAGATCTCAAGGTTCCTCTCATATATATATAGGCTTAACCTCATGACCATTGTCGTCTGTTTTGACCAGAACTAAGCCCTCGACTCTTTTCCTCATCACTTCGTACTCTTCTACTGAAATGCGTTCAGCATTTAACCTCGTTTCCCGCAGCTGGACTCGTTCCATCATATCCAAGAACGCATCAGCGGCTCGGAAGTACTCCTCGTCCTTTCCTGTTCCCCCGGCGATTCCGACAAAACACCATGTTCAAACTACATTGAACTATCTCAAAAAGCTCCCAAATGGGCAAGAACCTCCTCCAATTTATCCCTTCATACCCGAGAAGCATGACTACAGCGCCAATGTCGAGAGCGTCCCAGTGACGATTCACGATGTCGCTGGAGATGAGCTGCTGTATAATTTGGACGAGCACGGTTTCAAGTTTCACTACCACAAGACCAAGGTGTCGAACTTTGATGACCCAGAAGTGGTGAAGACGGAGTACTTCCCTGAGGTTGAGAGAATGCTCAAGGAAGTGTAAGTTACTCAAACTCGCGACCGCCTATCAATGCCGAAGGGGTGCAATATTGACTTGGAAATATAGCACTGGTGGAAAACATGTATTCTGCTTCAATCCAATCCACCGAAAGCCGCCGACGGACCCAACCAAAGTTGAGCAGGGCCCCGTCGGCGTCGTTCATGTCGACATTACACCGAAGGAAGCTGTGGAGGGCGCCTGTTTGGACATCGGACCTGAAGCTGAACAGTACCTGTTGCTCAAAGGAAGAATGCAAATCATTCACGTCTGGCGGCCTTTGAAACCGGTTTACAAAGATCCTTTTGCCGTGGCGGATTCTAGATCAATCCCGCAGGAAGATCTCATCAGCACAAAGCTGATCTATCCTTACCGAGAAGGGTCTACTTTCAACGTCGTTGCAAACCCGAGACATCGATTCTACTACCGCTACGGCCAAACGCCGGACATTGTCACTTTGTTCAAGAGCTTTGACTCTGATGCAAGTGTTGCGGGCCGGAATCCTCATTCAGCTTTCGTCGACCCTGATACTGTGGATCATCCCCATCGCGAGAGTTTCGAGCTTCGGGCTTATGTCTTCCATTGACGTTGCCTATTCTGGAGACTAGAACCCTGTAATATACTTGGATCTTGGTCCTTCATGCGAGGGTTTCATTTGTATGCTTTCGTAGTTCATTAAAATCATAAAGCACACTTGTCACATTCTTTGTTGGCACCAATTCATCATTCCAATTTTCTTTGCATTTGAGATACAAAAGGCCATTTAAGTGATGAAAAGAATATTTTGCAATAAATAAATAAAAGCAAGATTTCTGACAAGATCATGGGATTGACAAACAATCCGGAGGTCTACGATCTTTTCAGGTAAACCTTATAGCCATCCAGGCCCATCCTATGAGTCTGTTAAACAAGAAATGATTCTTTAGTAGCAGGAAAGAAGGATGGTAAAGCCCGCACCTCTAAGATCAATGCCTCATTCAAGAGCTAGCAGACAGAAAGTGCCCGCAACTTCATGTCATGCTTGTCTCTACAGGGCCGTTGTCTCTTTCCTTTATGCCGCTTCCGTGGGTGGCAGACGTAACCCCAGGCCTGTCAGTACATAAATATTGTCGAGGGAAGGTCATCTTGGCTCGCTTTTCTCTTACCTCGCTCGTCGGCCAGCACTGATCTATTGAGGGTGCTAACGCACGAACAGCCGCCCAACATGCCCGAAACCACACGGAAGACGAATGCGACCAAGGCGGTGCTTGACACTCCTCGAAACTCCCAGAAGAAAGCAGCGCTGCCGTTTGAGATCTTCCTTGATATTGCCGAGCTGGCGGTTGCCGAAATCGCCGACAAAACAGACACAGAGTACTGGGACCTAGAATGGGACGATGACACTGCGTCCAACGTTCTCTTGTGCTATGGTTTCAACGGCCCAGAGCCGGATCAGCACGACTTCCATCAACGATGGCGATACCGGAAAATATCCACTTTCATGCAAATCAACCACATGACACGCTCCACGGTCACCAAGGCGGCTCTCGTCATCTTTCCTCTCCAAAAGAGGCGCAAGAAGGACATTGGCAAAGCTTTCATCTTTCCGAAGAGAGACAAGTTCAATCTCATCGCCTATCATTGGTCAATTTTCGGAAGTTCCCCCAGGCCCACAATCTGGAATGCCATGGAATGCCCCAACAACGCCTTCAAACCACTTTGGAACCGACTCAGCTGCGTGGTCGTGGATTCGCCTTATTTTTTCCAGCAGACAAATGGAAAGAAAGCCAACATTCTCCTCGCTCTGCCGGGACTTGCAGCGGTCGAGGTGGATGCAGGCACAGTTCTTCATGAACTAGCGGGCGACAGGAAATGGCCAGAAGATGAAGACCATCTTCTCCAGCTTCTTCAAGTAACCTTCCCAGACCTGGCCAAGTCTGTTTTCGCAGGGAAACATGAACGGAACGGCGAATTCCATCGGATGTGGAAGCCCTTTGGAGAGAGAGGCATCGTTCTCGCTGTCTCGAGCATCTGGACTCGCCAGCCGCATGTCTGCGTACACACTCTGAACCATGGAATCAAGTACAGATGCTTGAATTCACCACGTTTTTACGTGAACCCTTGCTGGGATGACGGGCACCCTTTTTGGACTTCTTGATGGAGGCAATGTCTTTCTGCCGAAGCATTTGTTCTTAATGAAGACTGTGTAGCCGATATTTGGATGGGATGAGAGGACGATGCTAGGAAATGAGCATGAATGATGGGGAATTAGCTGATAGATTTACAAAGATAGATCACGAGGCAATATGCGTGAAACTTGACCCTGCCCTCGTTTCCTTCTAGTGCTCCATCAAACGATGACTGGGACGATGCATAGCAACATACGAGGGTATTACCACGGAAAAGGCGGTACAATAGAACATGAGTTGTCTTGAAGAATCAATAAATAGAGAACTTGTTGTAATTCCATCGCAGCCAGTGTAAAATGACAAGTCCCGGGACCACAAGGCAGGTCATGGTGTGTTTTTGATTTTAAATCTGTGAAATATTGGCCTCGCAAAAATGCCATGACACAAGCACCATTGGAATCAAAGTGAAATTGACGTCTGAACGATTCAACCGTCAAAAAAGCTGCTTCCCTCGCTCATTTCAGAACGCAGTTGTGGGGGTTGCCAGTGCCGTCTGCCTTCTCCTTGGCGCCAATACCGCAGAACTTGAGATCCTTCGTGTAGTAAACACGCATGGGGCCAGGGCTGTTTCCGCCCTTCTTGGAGTTGTAGTCGTAAGCCTTTCCGTTGGCAAGAACGGGAAGCTCCCAGACGTTGGAGCTACAGCCGGAAGCAAACGTCATGACGTTGCCCTTGTTGTCGAACGGCTTGGGGTAGCCGCTGGCACCCTTCGTGGTCTTCGCGGCGCGGAAGTAGCCTACGGCCTTGTCGTATCCGATGTCACCGTAGACAGTTCCGTCGTTCTTGGCGCCGGACTTGCAGACGTAGACCTATGATGAAGATGTTAGATTCTGGCATGGTTTCGAATGTCGAGTTGAGCATAAACTCTGTACGTACCTGGCCGGACTGGCGGATTCCAACCGTCGAGTCCTCGTTGAGTAGGGCAACGGGAGTGGCAACAGCCGCGGAAGCGGCAAGGAGAGTAAGAAGGTAAGTAAACGAAACCATTTTGATCCGAAAACGAATGTTGCTGGGGTTTGAAGTAAAGGAATTAAATTTGTAAGATGCGAAAGACTGTTGATTGCTTGCTGAGTTGAGGTTGATATCTCAATGTTTGTGGGATGGAACAGGAACTATTTATCATCTTTCGAATAACAGTGTCGCCCAGGCCTCCAGAGCGTGTCAAGTATGGCGATTCAGTCGAACGATGATCTCTGCGCTCGGGTCCTATTGAGCTATGCCTTGAAACAAATTAGAACTAAATTGCGTCTTCCAATTTTAGTTTCGCGAAGCTTAGAACACGGCATATCTCAACTCGTAAGTGAGGCATGCGACTTCATGTCCTGATAAGCCCGAGGCAGGTGTTCGGCCATGCTCACCACAGCTATCTCAGACGACTTCAAGTTATTCCAGCTAAGAATGCTCACTGCCAGGGGTAATCGGACACTCCGTTCTCCCCACGAACCCACTGCAGGCTTACTGCGGGCAAATTCTCGCCAGCTCCATCTCTCGGCCCGATCCATGGCCCACGCAGCAAGGCATGGGTGTCCATGAGCTGGTCGGCGTGGGTTTCGAGTATATCTAGTCTAGTCACCCACATAGATGAAAGGCTGGAAAACTTCACAGAATGTGGTGCGACTTTGTCTGCTTAAGGTTTGTTGCCAAGCCTGCCAAACATCTCGGCATCCGAACGGCGTCAGGGGTCTCGGGAGGCTGTGCCGTCATGCGGGGCCGGCAAGGCCGACGTTTAGAACAGGCCGGCCGGAACTTTAAAGTCAAGCGAACGGCCCCTGACTTGGGCATCCCTGGAATCATCACCTGTCTTAGATGCACCCAAAATTGGCGAAATGCTTCTTGCCTTTCTCAACGCCGTATACAAAACAGTAAACTCCAGAAAACACCTGGATATTGTTTACCTGTCACTCAAACGCAGCTTTGTAACCTACCTAGGCCTTGAAACTTTCAATTGGCCGACGACGGATATTCCCGACGCGAAGAATTAAGGCAGTGCAACAGATGATCATTCCAATGACGTAAACGGGTTAGCTTGCTGTATTAATAGCCCCAGTGACGACAGGTCCCAACCAATGCTTGAACAACCTCAAAGAACCTCAAATCATCCACCAACAACATCACAAATTTACACACAAGGGCCACATCGAAGCACCAATATGTCAAGCATACAGCTTCGGCTCGAAGACGACGCTTCACCAGCGTTCGCGGAAAAGGTCGTGGGCATTCTCAACCCTGCCATCGCCACCGATAGCCATGAGTCACATGCCGAGGCCGCTGCCGCCTTGAACTCACTCTTCATCGAAGACTACACGGCGCAGAAAACGGCGGGATCATTTTTGTGGTGGTTTTGGGATCTTATACACGACCTTGCACGTCAGATCCCATACAACCGACCCGAACAGGACCGGCTGGCGGCGATCATCAACAATCTCACCAAATTGCTGTCTAAAACTGTCGATCTCGGCGAGAACTGGGGTGCCAGCTCTGTTCAAGTATGGGCTAAGTTGCCCATGTTTGGTAACACCTTCCGCGAAAAGCTCGACGACGGTGAGTCGCAACTGCTCCCATCAACTCCACCAAAAGCTCGAGAAAGATGACCTCAAGCTGAACCTTTCTCATCACTAGACGATACGCGGGTTTCTGATGAGAGCTCCAAGAAGGAGCGACGGATAAACCTCCAAGCGTTTGCAGCCAGAGTCGCCTCCTTCGGCCACTTCCCCTTCGAGGTCTACGCGATTTGGGCCCTCGTCGACGCATTGGAGGGTACCATGACCCCCATCCGTGGCGCTCCAGACGAAGTCAACTCGGATCCTACTGCGGTAGAAGACATATCATACAAAGTCAAGTGCGCAGCAGTGTGGACGATCCATGCAGGGCACCTGCTGTATGGCCGCGATGAGGAGATTCCGGGCGCCACGGCCGGGCCTCTGTGGAAGCTTGACAAGAAGGAAGCTATGAAACTTCGGCGGAAGTTCAGAGGTACGGATGGATTGTGTTCCGAGCGATGGAAGCTGTGGAAGGAGAGATTTGGGGTCGTTCGTAATGATGATCGACTGGATGACGAGACGCGCGGCATAGCTGGCGAAGCATACCGGGTGATGGAGAAGACTGAGGATCAAAGCAACAACAAGTAATTTCGTTTTTATCGCATTTGTTTTAGCATGAAGATGAGTATTCTTGGCAAGCTGCCCTTTTCTCCATGCTTCAGGGCTCAGTCATAGCCGCTGTTGTTTTGCAACAGCGACACACGCATCATCAGCGGAGTACTAAGAGACTGCGCCATGAAGAAAATGTTTTCCTATTAGCATTCATGGGTTATTTGACATCCTACTTTACATGTGTAACCCATTGTAGAAAGCGCAAAGGTAGTGATACCACGATCTTGGTGAGATACGCCTGTGCAGGACCATGATCTCAATCATCAAGATCATCCAGAGCATGACGTCAAAGCCACCCAGCAAGGTCAAAATTCCTGCCACATGTGATCATAGGTATCTCTACCTTCGCGTCGGATCTCCTCCAGCTTGGCTGAAACAGCCTCTCCTAGGCGGCCGAACGATTCAAAGGCATTTTGCCTCCCATGTATGTATGAAGCAACCCGTTCGACTTTGGCCTCGGCCCACTCCAGCAATCGCTTGTCCTGCTGAATAGAGTGCTGTAGATTGTCTCTTGTGGCTCTGCTCAGATGGAACTCGATCGCCAATTCGTCGCTTTTTTCGCCAGGTATGGCATACGTTCTGTTGCACAGCGAATGCAAGAGGAACTCTGCATCCAAGAGCTCAGTCCTAAAAGCATCCCGCTCCTGTTGATTTCGCGGCGTAGGTCCCAGGTTCGGCTTCTCGGCGGGCTGCAACAAGAAAGCTAGCATCCTTCGCTACAGGGTGTAGTCTTTCATGTCACAGCGCCGGGAACCCTGGAGGACCACAGTCGGGCAAGTAGAGATAGCTCGCATGCCATTCACGATGACGGCGACGCCACAGTCATCAATGCTGATCTGTTGTGGGCAAGCTCCGCTGCGGACGGTCGGGACCAAATCGGTCATAACGAGGTATGTGGCAAGCAAGCGCACGTGGGCTTCGACTTCTGGAGATACGGTAGGTGATATCGACGACAAGTCGAATACGGTGATGATGTTTCTTAGACGGTCGAACTTGACAAGAACCCATTGCTGATGGCGATGATTTGGGTAGCTCGATTGGGGCGAGAATAGTCGAAGTTTGCGAATTGTTGAGATCTTCCTGAGTCTGCCGTGGAAGAGAGAACTCAAAGGGGGTTTCGAGAATGCTTGCGGACGCGACAGGATCGAGGATGATGTATCGGAGTGGGTTGAGCTTGACGGAAAGCTGAAGGGCATCGAAGATGACCTTGCCAGTGAGCCGGGTGCCTGACTCAAGGCAAGAGAGATCCTCTCTGCGAGCGGTGTAGTACTGGGACGTCTCTTCGGTGTCAGCCTCACCAGCGTCAGGAGCCGAGAGACTGGCGGCGGCAAGACCGATCCTGACTTGTTCCTCCGTGTCCATAGAGTCATCTTCTTGCCGCGAGGCGACACTGATCGTATCCTCCGCGGCCTTCTCACTAGTAGCCATATCGGTGTCGCACGTGGTCTCCGCGGGGGATGAAATCGGCGAGTATGTCAGTCCGCTCTCGGTTGTCTTTTGCTTGAGCCTCGCCACGACAGATTTGACGGCATTTCGGCTGTAGGCGATCTTGTGAAGAGGACCGCCTTCTTCCCAGAGAGATACGGGAGAAACATCGGGACAGAGCTCAAATATCTTCAGCAAGTTCGCACTGAGTTGCATCTCGATTCCCTCGATTCTGGTGCCGTCAGGTGTGGTGTCGCCACCGAGGAGGGCTCGCAGCTGCTCTTGCAGCTTCAGGGTTTCTTGCTGTCGCTGCTTCCGTTTTTCGTGCTTGCTCGTCTGCTTGCTCGTCATGTTGGCGGTGGGCTTTTCTCTTTTTAGATAGGCGTTGTTGATCGAGGGCTGTTGGGAGTAAAAGGATCCGGCAGTTTTGTGGTAAGGTGGAAAAAGTGTGTCGATGAGGGTGGGCGAAAAGATTGGAAAACAACCTTTCGCTAGCGATGCGAAGCCAGGTGAAGTTCAAAAATGAGCGGAACACGCTAGAATCTGCGAAAGAAAATGAAAAAGAGCAGGGTATTGTCTCGTTCTCGCCGTCGTCCTTTCACTTGTCTTGGACCTTTTGCTGAGTTGTTGTAGGTTACCTTAAAGCTCGCGATGGAGGGGCTCACCTGCTTTGGGTACCGGATACCTGAAGTAGGTTGACAAATGCGCAGGGAAAGAGGTAGTGGAGACTTTGGGTACGCTCCTTCCGCTTTTGTGCCAGCCCGGATTTGATGTGAAGGACCCACCGCTTTTGCTTACGTATCCCATTTGGGCCAGATTTCCGGGTCCTTTTCCGGTGTCAGTCGGGAATCCGGAGTGAAATGCGCTCTTGTCATTCCATTCAAGTGATCGAGTTTGAACTCTTCCGGCTTCTTGGAAACCACTTAAACCGTGGTTTTTCTACATTCAAATGCTTCTTATAGGTGATTCGATTCTCTCTTCTCTCCTTTTTGTCAGGTTCACCTCATCGATGATGCTGAATGTTCGCAGAGGCTAGACGCATCCTACATCACGAGAAATACCATGCTATGATGAGTACGTTGTAATTATTTTCTATTCATTTAACAGCCATTCTCGAAATCTCGAAAACCCAATTTTATAACGCCCGCTCCGACAACATACCCTCCTGATGATCACCAGATGCACCAAACCCTCAACTCACAACTTCGCCGGGTCGGTTCGTTCTCCGTACCAGCGACCTTGAATGCACTATGCGGACACATCAAGGCAACTTTGTTTTCCCCTTGCCCTCTCCGTACCAAAGCCTCACTGTCGAAGAACTTGATCAAGTACACCTCCTCCGGTGTCTGCTCACTCAAGTAGCACCACGCGTGCTCACGATCTCCGTCGCCATCATCGAACCCCGAGTCTCTTCTTCGCACGTTCGAAGGAAGAATCATTGCGTTCTGGCTGTAATAAAATGGCACGCATCCCGGACGATTCCGATACGTCCGCGTCAACGGTGCGTAGTCGATGTCTTCCGAGGCACGCTGGCTCATGTCCATGACAGCCAACGGATCTCGACGGACCGTCTCCCAAGCGCGCCAAATACTGAAGAATCCGTATCGAGGGCCGTCGTAATTGGAGCCGTCCCAAGCCCAATGACCCCCCGTCGGTCTTTTATCGTCCCCCAATCCTTCCGGGTCGATTCCAGCTTCCGCAATCGCGCGATCCTCGGCCTCGATGATTTCTCTCCGGAGTCGAAGGAACTCTTCTCGCTCCCCGGGCGTGGTGCAGCCGTCTGCCGTATCGTTCTCGGAGAACCAGTCAGACTCCTTCATCGCGCGGAAATGGCCGCGTGCTCCAGCAGGCGTGTAATCCGAGTGGGCGATGTTGAACGGGGCCAAGGATTCGATCTCGAAGCCGACTTCTGGGTTCATCCCTATGATCTCCCAATTTGGGATGTCTCGAAGGGAGTGTTTGCGAACGGTAACGCAGCGGGCGCCGAGTGTTTTCTTCAGCAAGTCGGTCATGACGGGGTAGTACTCGTTGGTCATGACTTTGTGGTCGTGAACTGAGCCTGGCGCTGGCGAGATTGGCAAAGGCTGGCGAACGATCTGGAAACCATGCTTGTCGTGTGTGTATGATGACAGAGGAGCTGGGAGGGAGCGCAAGTCGGTGACTGGCACATGGTAGGTTTTGTTGTCTGGCGATGTTCCCTCGATGATGGTAAGATCGTCGAGCGCAGGAGTACCAAGCCCGTTGTAATAATTGAAGGAGCCCAGAACTTGCTTCTTCTGCTCAGCTCGTTCCGTACTCGACTCCTCCGCTGTCTTCAAATTATCCAAGTTTGCCATTTTACTCGCAGACAATAGAATTGGTGCTGAGGGTGTTGAAGTTGCACATGCAGCTACTTGAAAAGTTTGGATGGTCTTCTCTTGCAGTTATAATCCATCTCAAGCATGTGCGCACCTTACTCCCCGAAGTTGATCCCAGGAAACCTTCTTTGAGTCCGAAGTCTCCGTGGTCTGACCATGGCTTTGACGATTCATTCAATACTATGTGATACCACCTTCATGGTATCAGAATCTGTGCACGTAGACTGTCGTGACTCGAGGCCACGTTGGATCATCTCAATTCAACTAGCATTCGCATGTCTTCCGTCGTGACTGGCCACCGTGTAGTCTGTGCAACTCCCCCAAAAAACTATCTTACATTAACTGACACACACCATCACCAGGCCCGAGACTACGCATCCCGCGCGGATTAAGCGGAACGTCGGTTGGCATCCCACCACATACTGCCCCTTTTCTGATGGCACCTTGACAAGCTTTCCGTGTGTGCCAGGAAGGGTTAGCGAGCTTCTCGGAGGATTTGAAATAGGAAATCAAATTGACTGAGTAACATGTGTTCATCCTAGAGGACGGCGCTTAGCCATGATTGATAGTTAAGCCAAAAGGGGTTGAATCAACAGCTGAAGCGACAACCATGGTAGACCCAGAGAGGTATTAGAGGTCTTAAGGAATGCTGCCGATATCACATCGCTCAGTCCAGATTATAGTCAATGACCGTTATCAAATAATTTGAATTCAATGAGCCGCCCGTGCTAACCCCAACCAACTCAAATATGCTTGGACATCACCAACTCCAAAAAGCCCACCAAACTCCGTGCATACGCAAATCCGCCCCTAAGACCCCGTACTCAAACTCAGCAATTCACATTGCCGCAAGATGCAAATTGCTGGGTAACACAACAGAACTGCTTTCCACCACTGCAGTCGCCGCACCAAAGGTATTTATCGCGGGCGCTGATGACCTGATCTCTGGCGACCTCGACGGAGGCATCTGTCACGCCGAAGGCGGGAGCAGCAGAAACCGCGACTGAAGCGGTGAAGACGGCGAGGAGAGTTGCGATTTTCATGGTGAATTGCGGCAGATTGGCTGGTAATTGTTAGTGAGAGGATGACAGAGGACCTAAGGGAGGTTCCATACGTTATGCGGACTTGATCGTAATTATGGGCGATAAATCAATACTGAGATTGTTTGCTCTCTATGTAGAGTTCTCTTGAAGCTTAGGAAATGTCTTGGCGCGTGCCGTTGAGTAGCAGAAGTCGAGAAAGAGCAGCAGTATACAGTGATTGACTAGTGAAGTGTTGATGAGATGATGATTACCTATGGAATAAGAGTTTTCTGTGTCAAGTGGGAAGCTGCTGGACTTATAGCCTTCGGAGTAGCTGTTGTCTAAGTCCAACTATTCAATATCACTGCCATACGATGAACGGACGTCGCCGATTCGATGCCTCCCTGGCGTCGCGGTCTCGAACGAGGTAGTGAAAGTCACTTACCCCCATTGCGGCCAGCTGAACGGTGCTCATGCTCGGATCCGGCTACCGATCTTTGCCTGGACCAGGCGTGGCTAACGTTATGCTGAGGTGTGCAAGTCTCTGTGAAGATGTCTTACTTTGATCAGCTAGATCCCTTTTCCGCATACGGGTAGTGGCCAGCCGACTGGGAAGAATTCCAGCTTCAGCGGCCAGACCCTAAATTGAACGAATAGAACAAGACAAAGAACAGCTAAAAATGACCTGTGAGATGCGTGGCGGTGATATTTAATGTATGGAAAATAAGCCATTTGCAGAGGGATGTTCGATTACCGAAGACAGGCAGGTCGAGTTCATGTATTTCATGAAGGCAGTAACAGATTCATCCGGACCTCTTCCGATGAGAGTTGAATTCTAGAAACGTTACAATGAAAATGAGAACTCATTAGATCTTTGGTAATATTACACAAATGCTAGAACTTAGAAGTACAGAACGCTTCGTGATTTCATGCTGTCATGACCGCGACCACGACCCTTCAGACCCCTCGGCAGCCTGCCCGTCAGCTGCGGTTCCAAGCATCCCCCAAAGGTCCTCTAACCTTACGCCTCCAAATATGTCGGTGTTACTGATCTCGGTGAACATGCCCGTGAGATCCGGTAATTCGAGGTCCATTACATCCATCTCAGCGCCTACATTACCCATGGTCGGGGTTTCTGTCGATGTCTTCTCATTACCTCGCCAAGACATGTTGTCAGACGCGATAGAGTCGCGATGTTGGTGATGATGGGAATAATTCCCGTGGCCTTGAGTGTGCTGCGACGAGACGATCTCAGCCATGTTTGACTGCAGGACGGAACAGGCTTGGATGAAGCGAGGGTTCTGCGTGACCTTCGTGTACTGCTCCTCAGCATACTGCGCCGCGATACCCAGAAGCTCCAGGTCAGATCGTGCAAGTCGTGAGCTAGGTTGTTTGAGAATGTGGAGTGCTAGCGCCACGGCGGATATCAGTGGATGTGTGATGGTGAATATGATCGACTCGGATCTGTTGGTATGCGGTTCACCCAGCATGCCGTTGCGTGCGCGGGGTGTAGGGGTTGAATCATCTGCTATCTCGCCGATGAGTCTAATGATTGCTCTGGCTGAACCGATGCATATTTCCGACCCTCGCCTGAGACGTGAAAGTTCAACTGATGAGAGGCCTGCGGAGTCTGCTTGTGTGTTGATATGCGTGCGATACATGGCTTCGGGGAAGACAAGGGCGGCTCGATGGAGAGAGATCAGAGCGTGATGGTAGTGAATTGCCAGGAAGATGGCGAGATGTTTGTGGCCAGTCTCACACAAGATCACGTTCCCACTGTTGGGGCCCGGTGGTCGGATCTCAGGAGGAAGAGACTGGGCCCATTCAGTGAGCGCCGAATCAAGGCGGACGGTATCGCCGAGAAGGAGGCGGGGTGTTTGAGCTTGGCCCGACCGACGGTAGATGTGAGCACTGATGCTGCTTATGATCCGTGTAAGTGAAGCCCATGGCTGGAAGTAGTCAATCGTTTGACGTTCGGCTTGGCCTTCTGGTGATGAGCCAATAGACATGGCGATTCCTGCAGCCGGGACGGGTACTGGTTCGGGCAATGTTTGGTCACAATCCGAATCGTGTATCGCACTAGGTCGACCGGTCTCGAGCTCCATCAGCTTCTCGAGCGTGTAGCATGTCCACCATAATTGGCTGTGAAGCTTCCGACTGCCTTGATATCCAGGCGATGGTGCCGAGTTCGCGACTGCTGGAGGATTGCGAGGATGCCTGGTTGAGGCATGTCGATGAAGTCCGACAGAATGCGCGATGCGAATCGCTTGCCCGAGTGTCTGCCATCCTTGTCCCTCCTTGCTGCGGCCTCTGAGTGCGATGGCGAGGAGTACCAAGGCTTGAACAGAGGCCAGGTAGGGAGTAGAGATGACATGGGCCAAAAGGCTGTATGCCACAGTCAGAAAGTGTGTACCAACTTCCGTCACTATGCCAGTCTCTTCATCCGCGCTTATGCAAATGATAGAGTAAATGGATACAAGAGTTGGTATTTGGGATGGTTCGATCGCGCTCTGGAGCCCACCGGACGCGTTGGCTTCCTGAAGCGACACCAGCCGATCCATATCAGATCGGATGGTGGGCTCATCAAAGACAGGGAATAGCGGAAATATGCGCTTCATGTACACATCCAGATACGCGTCTAGGCTTGATAGCGGAGGAAGGGAGGGCAGCTGCAGTGTCAAAGGCACCTGGAACTCCTCGACGTGATGCATGCCGAACCGGAAATATGGGGACAGGGTGCGAAGACCGCGTTTGCGAAAGAAGAGGTCGGCAAACATGGTCAACGATTGGACGCTGCTGCCGCCCATGAACTTGAACCGATGAGGAGTCTCGTCCGTGTTCAGCGCCATATCCGGGTTGAGATCGGAGTGGTCGTGGTGTGCGTGGCCGCTGTCGTTATCCCGGGCATTGGCCCGGTATGCCTGTGCGACCCATGACAGCCGGCGCGACGCCGCATCCTCGCCTTCGGAACCATCGTCGTAGGCCGGCGAGAGATACTGGCGTGGCCTCGGAGACGCGGTGCGGATGTGTCGATCGCGGGGCGGCTCTGAGCTCTCATGGATGCTGGCGTCGCTGCGGGTGGTGTTGCTCTTGGATGCCCAGCGCCGCACTGCGTTCTCTTTGGGATTCCGGGGGTTGGTGGTTTGACAGTCGTCTCCGCGAAGGATACAATTATGGCACTTCGGAGTCTGGGCGTCACACCTGACTTTGCGTTTCCGACACTGGTTGCAGGCCAGTGAGAGACGTATGCGCTTGGGGTGTGACTGGTCCGAGGAGATCGGCGGCTGCTCGCTTGAACTCGACATAGAGTCTGTCATTGCGGCAGAAGAAGGGCTGTTCATGGTCCAGGACGAACTCCGAGGCGGTAACGGAGGAAGATCCGGGAGGTTTGAGAAGCTCCTCGGTCGGGCTCGGATGTCTCAATGGCAGGGCAGATATAACGGAGGGTTTTGGAGAATGAGAAAGGGCATTCTGGGGTGCATTTGGAGAGCTGAGCCGAATATCTGTAGTTAATCTTGCATTTCCCCAGGTTATGTGACCCGACCTTGGGGAAAGGGGGGAACCCCCAACAGACCCTGGTATGCTGGACCCCCGCTCACAAGAATCCGGGGGCGGGGGTCTGCGGCAATGTGCCTCGGGTAGTGGCCACTCGAGAAGGCGCAATTGATAATCAATTAGTCTGTATTCAAGCCGGTTTCAATCCTGCAGTTGTGGATCTGTTTCGTCGCGTTCTCGGTGGGAACTGGGGACACGTTGAAGAGTCCTGACGCATGAACAGCGTGCGCGGATTCATCCCCGCAATCGCACAGTTACGCGGCTAATAGTGTGGGAATCATGTTACATCGTAGTGGTATCCTACTCAGAATCTCATCTGAGCCACTTCCAAGATGGCTTAAATCGTATTTGCGTCTTCTTTGATGTGAGATGATTAAGTGGATTTAACAAGATGCCATGACGACTAAAGCATGATGAAGAACTCAGCGCGTACATTGGTTTATGCTACTCCATAGTTTGATTAACGCCTGTAAAAGTCACCACACATCTTCACGATCTTAATAGCTAGCATAGCAGAGTGAACAATTCGAAGAACTTTGAACTTCAAGGGACTAAATCAAACGAAAGGTCTTTATATTTTATGATACAATTAAGTCTCAGTATGCCTTGACCGCAGCCAATTGCAACACCCTATCAGTGACGATCGGCTTCTCCAATGGCTCATCACGTTCTTGAGGATCGATCACACCATCTCTCTTCGCTTTACCCTGAGGGTGGATGTTGGTATGAGGCCAGTGGGTAGTGCCTCCCCAGGCCCGGAAGATGTCGGCCTTCTCCTTCAAGCTCTGAGGGTCGGCGAACTTTGCCGGGGTGAAGCAGACATATTGGGCATGACGAATCTGAGTTCCTTCGGGGTGTTTGGCGTAGTGCATCGAGCTTCAAAGTTTTGGTTAGCGAGAATACGTCAATATTTTGATGAGAAGACATACCGAGAGTCCCACAAGACGAGATCACCAGGCTCCAAATTCGGCTTGATAAGCTTGCAGCCACGGTCCTCAAACCACTTCACATCCTCCTCCTTGAAGATGAAAAGGTCACGGTAGTTCTCTTCTGGGGGCGGGGCGTCCTCGTGGGCGGCCATCACCCGAGTCTCTTGGAAGAACTGATCGTAGAGCTTGGCTGACCCGTCCATGAGAATCAGACCACCGTCCTTATCGCCATTAGGCGCGAAGTTGAGAAGTCCCTGAACGCATTGCAGACCCTTACGCTTGGGATCTTGGTCTGCAAGAAAATTAGATCAACTCGAGGTGGGAACTCAACAATTCATTGCCAACTCACCGCAGTGGGGCCAGGGCGACCACTTCAAATCCTTCTGTCGAGGAAGCGTGATGTTGAACATGTCGAAGCTGACCAGCAGCTCCTCCGTCTCCCAGATCTCAACGAATGGGTTCATGACTCCAGGCTCCCTGTGGCCATGTCAGCTATATTGATTGCTTGCCAGTACTAGGCCTCTTACAGTCTCGCCTCCCATGCAAATCGCTCATGCGGGGCGCAGTATGAGCCGTACATGCCCCCCTTGAAGGAGACAGGGAGGTGTTCTGAGGTCCAGGTGTCCTCGTTTTCGGGATCAAACCCACGGTTGAAGGACTTGAGCCATTCGACTTGCTTCTGCTTGTAGTACTCAGCTCGCTCAGGAGTAATAGCGTTCTTAAGGATGGCGTAGCCATGTTCAAAGAAGAAGTCTCGCCAGTCACCGTAATGGGCCTTGGGCTCGAGCAGAGACTTGGACATTGTGATTGCTAAACGATCGATCAAGATGGAGGTTTCGGCGAGTTATCTTTGTAGCTTCCTTTCTGGTACTGATTGCCTGATAAACTGATTTTCAAACATCCAAGATCACCGAATGTCATCTGTTGTTATATGCTGATCCAGTTGAAGCCAACAGATATCTCGTCGCGGCGTTACCTGTGTTCTGATGCCCTCCGCACCGCCCGTGATCCCTGCTTTAGCCTGCTGACCACTGGTCAAAGCCAGCATCCCTCTGCCAGACCCTGGACCGCCCGGTTCGGTCACTCAACCTCGCCTCGGTCCTCTCGCGTTATCCGTTGCTGGCTCAGTGCTTGTTTTCCTCGGTTCGGTTCGGTTCGGTGACACCGCAAAGACCCTTTTCGAGACGGAAGTGGAGCCGGCGGCCGCTACTAGTCCGAACGGATCGGTCCCGGATCTTACCCCGGCGGCCCAAACCCCACGAATTTCAGCTTGGCTGGACATGTTTCCGTCGCATCCCCGCAACGGGCAGCAATAGACCGAGGCTTTCGAGCAAAGCAGAGTGAAGCTACGCGTCGCGCTGAGCAATTGGAGTGTCTGATAGGTTGAAGCTGTATCTTGCTTCGCGTTCAATAAAAAGAGCTACATCGGCAAGCACCCTTGACATCAGATTTGCTTGTGCGCTTGTACATTCCCATTCAAACCCTAGCAATACCTACGTCCCCAACTCTCCAATCATGCCCCTCCCAATTCAAATCGCGTACAAGCCTATCGGCAAGCCGGAGATCGGAGTCAACAACTACCAAGGCTTCACACCAGGCCGCACGGAAGTGCTGCCCAAAGGCTGGAACGGATACAACGCAAAGCCCCTCGAGAGCAGTATTCGGATTGATCATGACGTCGAAATCAAGGTCCGCGATGGCTGCAGGCTCTACATTGATGTCTACCGTCCGGCGGACGCCACCGAGAAGATCCCCGCTATCGTCGGGTGGTCACCCTACGGCAAGAAATACAGCGCTCTTACAATGCTTCCAATGACGCCGTGGTCTTGCTGTGTGAAGAAGAGCGACCTCAGCGGACTTGAGAAGTTTGAAGGTCTTGATCCTCAGAGGTGGTGCCCCAAGGGCTACGCCATCATCAGTGTCGACAGCAGAGGCGCTGGCAACAGCGATGGTCAGGTCCCAATCATGGGTCTCCAGGACGCTGAGGATGCTTACGATGTTATTGAGACCATTGCCAAAATGAATTGGTGCAATGGAAGTGTCGGCATGGCAGGCAACTCTGCGCTGGCTATCGCTCAATGGCACGTCGCAGCCCTGAACCCGCCGTCGCTGAAGGCCATTGCCCCGTGGGAGGCGAGCGGTGACTTGTTCCGTGAGCAATTTGTCAGGGGTGGCATCTTCTCCATGAGCAACTTTGACCTCATCACAAGCCTGATCATCAAAGGTCCCTCAGGTGTTGAAGACTTCGCCGAGATGTACCGCCGAAGTCCCTTGTCCAACATCTGGTGGGAAGACAAGCGGGCCAACATGAAGGCCATCAACATCCCAGCCTACATTTCCGGTTCCGATTTCAGCTCCATTCACACCATGGGCAGCATCAGAGGCTTCATGGAGCTTGGGTGCGAGAAGAAGTGGATTCGCTGGAGCGCGTGGCAGGAGTGGTTCGACCTCTACAGTGTTCCCGAAACAAATGAGGATTTGGCGGTAAGCTCGTATTCATCACATCATTGTCACCAAGCTAACGTGCTGGAAGAAATTCTTCGACAGATATCTGAAAGGCATCGAAAACGACTGGGAGAAGACACCCAAAGTTCGGTGGACGTCCCTCAAATTCGGCGACCGAGAGCCCGAAAGCGATATCCTTTTCGAAGACTTCCCTCCCCCGAATACGGATTACAAGACATTCTACCTCGAGAACGGCGCCTTGTCAGAATCCGTTCCATCCAATGCCTCAAAAGCTTCCTACAACTCTGAAGATGGCAACTCATTGGCCAAGTTCACATACACATTCGACAAGCCTTCCCGTCTGATCGGCATTCCCAAAGCCATTCTCTACGTTTCCTGCCCTTCCCACGATGATATGAACGTCTTCGTCAACGTCAGGAAGCTCGATAAGGACGGGACACCAATGATGCATCTCTGTTTCCCCTTCTGGGCTGCCCCCGTCAAGTCTATCCATGACATCGCACCCAAGGAGCGAAGCAGCACGAACCTTCACCTGGGGTCCGTTGGTCAGTTGAGGGCATCTCACCGCAAGATTGATCCCTCCCGTTCTATGCACCCGCAATTCCCCTTCCACCCACACGACGAGGAACAAAAGATCACTCCCGGAGAGATTGTTGAACTTGAAATCGGCATCTGGGCTATGGGTGTGGACTACGAGGCCGGTGAGTCTGTGCAGGTCCAGATCGGAGGGCAATTCCCGTCGATCGCGGAGTATAAGGCGTTCTCGACAGAGAGGCCGGATCATGAGAGGAATAAGGGAGAGCATTTCATTCACTGTGGCCCAGAGCATCAGAGCCGGATAATCCTTCCGTTTATCCAGTAGATCGACTTCCAGATAGACTAATGCAACGGGGTTTTCATGCGCAAATGACAGATTATTCGTCAGTAGATGTGACCGCTAACGTCAATTATTAGCCTAACGAAGTCATGAGAAGAGATGGCACTTGCAGTTATGTGTCGAGAAGCATTGATGTCAAGTCCAAGCATCTTCAAGTTGTCATACTTTGTCTCTAAACATGCAAGCATTGTGGAGTTACGGCGTGATACAGCCTCTCTAAGTTCGTCACGCAAAATAACAACGAATAACAGTAGATTGATGTTCACAGCAGAGTCTGGTGAGGGTCGCTTCTGAGATTCAACGTTCAGATATTCATTGTTAATACTGGCTAGGGACAAAAACAATGATCCTCCCACGCTAAAGAAACACTCTCTGTAGATCTGCACACTTTCATCGAGACATCGCACCCGCTAGATAAAGTCCTGACTCCTTCAACTCGCGACGTTCTCATCTGTTTCTGTGCAAGGCACAGCTAGTGGTTGTAAGACGGCGTTGCGGTGCTATCAGCAACAGCCCACTTGGCAACCAAAGCTCTGATTTGGTTGCCCCAGATGAAGACCAAGATTCCAATGGCTCCAATACCAGCAGTCAGAGCGCCGTAAATTCCAAACGCTCCATCATATCCGATGGCGTTGATAAACGGGGTGACTCCGTAACTCGTCCCGAACGAAATGACGCCTCTCATGGCGCAGATAATGACCAGAACCGGTCCAGAGCGCGTAGGATACGCATCAAGAGCATACGTGATGCCGACTTGGTTCGCACCAACGAAGCCGAAGTAGTAGGCGTTTAAGGAGAAAACGATGGCGAACCAGTGGTATCTCTCCGGATGCTCCGCTGCCTGGCCGTAAAGCACAGAGGCAAGGGTGCCGACAATGACAGGAATGATGAGGGGAATGAGTCGATATTCAGGCTTGTGAATACCTCCGTTGCGTCGGGCAAAGAACTGAATCACCCAGTCGGAGCCGCGTCCCAGAAGCGGGAGCGCCAAGAAGGCGACGACGATCTGACCAGTTAATGCGAAGCTGACGACCGAAGAACTCCAGCTGTATGGAGCGGCTTGCAAGATCGCTCCATACGTGGTACCGAGTGCAATGTTTACTCCGCTGTAGAAGAATCATACGTTAGTGACAGCATACTGAAACTTTATTGGGGGGGATGGCAAATGCCCAGGTGGCGTCTTACATCGTCAAGCCGTTGAGCAGAAGAGCCCACATCATGTCAGGGAAGAAGGTAACAACGGCCATGCCGGTGCAGCATTGCCAGCCCTCCTTCCAGTCAGGCTTCTGGTTGAGAAGGCGGAGGTCAGAGGCCAAGGTGCGGGGCTTGAAGTTGAAGAAGTCGAGTTCTCTGGGCTCAGTCGTGGTCTTTCTGGTGAGCATCTCGGTGTAAACGCCAGTAGTATCGTCCACGCCAGGAGCTCGGGCAGTGACGAAGCGGGAAACGGCAGCCTCCTGGCCTTGGTAGGCAGCAAGGGGTCTGTCGTACTTGGTCTCGGGAACCATGAAGATCGCGAAGATGAAGGTGATGGCGGCGATGCCAGCGCCGAGGAAGTACCATCCAGAAGAGCCGATCCCCGCAGCAATGTAGGAGGTAAGAAGAGAGTAGACGGCGCTGAGGGTCGACTGCCAGAGCGTAAACCACATCAAGCACCGGGCACGCTCGTGAAGGAAGTGAACTTCTTGAACCATGAGCGGGCAAAGCGCCTCACTCTGTCCGGCAGCCAGACCCAGAACCATACGCGCTGCGAGATGGGTGTTGTAGGTCTTCGCAAAGCCACAGAGAATCGATCCCAGAACAGCCAGAGCACATGAGCCGAGGAAGACCGGGCGGCGACCAATGGCAAGCGCCAGAGGCATACCGATGAGGTTTCCGAGTCCCATGAAGAGAGAAGGGTAGGTCATGAGGTGAGAGATTTCTTCGTAGCTGCCATGCCCTTCGGCTGCGTATTGTGGGATGAACTCGCCGAGGAGTGCGCCGAGTCCGGAGACTTGAACGAGGCCGACGGCGGCGAAGGTTGCGCAGGTCATTGTGATGATCTGTTGCACGGTTCTATTAGCATTTTGCATGAGTTGAGCGATTTCTGTCCAGATTTATTCACCCATTTCCTGAGTTTGCTCAAGTTCAGAGGATCTAAGTCATCAACTAGTTAGACTAAACTCCGCCAAGACGGGTTCCGAATAAAAACACCTACCGCGAGGATCAGAACTCGGTGTTGGAATGAGATAAGTTACATCTCCGTCTGCCAACTGAACATTCGGCTTGTAAGTTCCATCGTCAATGGGAGGCTTCTGAGCAAAGTCGATGGCCGACTCCACTCTCTCTTCGGTGACCTTGTTGTCTGATTCGCCCATGGTGAAAGAGTTCAAAGATACGTCTAGACCAAGCAAAAAGTGAAGAAAAATATTAAATTCGCAGCTGTCCTACTGTCCTCAGAAGAAGGACGTTGAGGACGTGTTCGTGATGATGCTGTGAACCTTCATCCACAGACAATCCGGGGAAGATGGGTCTATTTCTGCTATCGAAGCAAACTGACAAATCTCGAGGGTGTCATTCGCCAAGTTTGATAGACGTCTCTCATGCCCAACTCCAGGTGTCTGGTTCTCTTTGGCCACGCCTCCTTTCCCCCCAGCCTTTCCAACATTCGGCGTGGGGTACAGTCTGGGGAACTGGGGTGCATGCCAGCGAAGGAGGGGCCCCGGCTTGGGTTCACCACTAGTGTCGTTCGGCGCTCCGTATCAATGAAGTTGGTTTGCGGGGAAGTCTAGCCCGACAGGGACGAGCCCGGTCGAAGCCCCTCACGGAGGACCCGAGTTGGAGTCCTCGGTTTGATTGCCGTGCTACGTTGGATATTGCCCTTCGGTTCGGAAGACGAGACCGCTGTTGTTTTGCTTTGTTTACTTTCCGAGTCACGATGATCTTGCCGAGCATCTTGCCGTTGGTAGCTACTGGACGTCGTTTTGGTCATTATCTTTGCCAAGTCAGCCAAGCTGGCTCTGGCCCAGGTCTAAACTTGGCGACATCATCTTGAACCTCGGAGTGCTCTTTCGGACGGCGATACGTTGAAAGAACTGCGAGATTGAGAATTCGCGAAATCGAATTGACAATATTCGGTTGTAAACAACAGAGTCGTCAACGGAGCACGAACCGAGGACAACTCCACGGAGAACGTGTCTCCCGTGTCCTCATGACGGTGCAACTACAGGCCTTACCCTGCTCGGGCGAGTTGCGTGAGTTCACAATTCGGACTTGTTACCAAGATATATGGAAAGAATTGGTTGATTGCACTTGATTGTTTTACAGCATGCTAACGAAAGACTATTGCTTGAGATACATGAACATGAGGCAAACGTCGCAGCTATGCTTTCGACTGGATGTATGGAATGCCCGTAAGCTTGAATGCTCTCTCGCTCAGCTTGGGGTCATTGAGTGGTCTTTCCCTCACGATGTGGTCAGGCTTTCCGTTACGCATCGCGGTGTTCGATCCGGTGTGTCTAGCATTAGGCCAGTGGGTGGTTCCGAGGCGAGCTGAATCCAAGGTGTAAGCAATGTCGAGATATTCTCAAATGGGGGCAAGCAATCAAAGCCAACTCACCATCGTACGCCGCCTTCTTTCGGAGGAGGTCCTCTTGAGTGGCATCTGTCACAGGCATAAAGCATGTGTACACCGCCATACGATCAATATCGCCCTTGACGGGGACATTGTAGTGCGCAGTTCGAGAGTCCCAGACGATCAAGTCACCAGGATCGGCGCAGACCTTGATCCACTCACCGCCGTGGTCCTTGAGCCACTGCATGCCGCGCTCAGTGAACCCGTACCACTCATTCGTCCACGCGGGAATGCGAGTCTCGTCTTTCATCTCCTCGTGGAACTGGGCACTGAGGTTGTGGGAGCCCTTGCACACAATCAGGCCGCCATCGTTGGGACCGCAGGGGTGCAGGTTGACAAGACCTTGGAGACAGCGGAAACCAGGTCTGTCGGGGTCCTATGAGGTCATTAGTGAGCGTTTCTACAAGAAGACGCTATCCTATCTCACCTGATCTTGGTGAGGCCACGGCTTGTTCTCGGGCAGGTTTGTGCGGTTGGCGAAGCCGTAGTTGATGACGTCGAAGGAGACGATCAAGTCTTCAGTGTTGAAGACCTTTTCGAAGGATCCTACGACTCCGGGCTCGCTACGGATGTTCCAGACAAAGTCCTCGTGGCAAGCGCCATAGGCCAAAAGCATGCCCTTTTCGTTGATGACTGGAAGCTTGTCAGGGTGGACAGTCGAAGGGTCGTTACGGTCGTAGCCAAGACCGCTATCAACTCGGTTAGTCTTCGATCATCTTCACGACTGCATTAGAGTGTTGTCAACTTACAAAGACTCAAGCAGAGCGTACATCTTGTCCGCGTAGCCATCCGCCCGCTCACGTGGGATAGCTCCCTTGATCAGAGCGTAGCCATCACGAAGCAAGTCATCTCTCCAGTCACCGTACACGGGGTCCGAGCCGTCCATCTTCATACGGCCATCGTCGACGGCGGTGATGGGGACGCTGGTCTGCTCAGTGACGGTGGTAGTATTGGTAGCCATGTTGATTTTTGCCAATGTCGTTCAATGCAAGTGTTTCTTGGGGCTGCTGCAGAACTGTAACAACGAAAGTCTGACTCGGGTTAGACAATCGCGGCTCTTTTTGATATATCAAATGGCATGCATGAAAATCGCCACAAAATATCCATTGGAGCAACCCGTGGTCCAGCGTCCCGAGGAATCAAATCTCGCGCACTCCGAGGTGATTGTTTCTCTGCCGGGCGACTTACACGTAGACCCTTGTCGGTTTCTCGGTTCGGAGCGTTCGGTTCGGATTCCTCCTCACCAAGCCATCCAAGGTTCTCCGCACTTCACGGACCCGCCTCCGGCATTCGGTGGGCGACCGGCAAGTGGAGCGTTGGCAACGGGAGAGGTGTCAGCAGGACTGAACAATGTTAGAGGTGAAGAGCGCCGGTCTCCCTCGGCATGGTCTACCCCTTGGCAGTCGACAGATGTGACTACACTTTGTGCTTGTTGTATTTGATATTATTCTTTGGGCAGAGCAGCTGAAATCCGAGAATCAGTCAGCCAGTCATATCTCTCAGAATTACCATGACCGACAGCAGCACATTCAACATTGTCATCGTAGGTGGTGGTATTGCCGGTCTCTCGGCGGTATGTATCTCTCGGCAGTTTTGGTGATGCATAACTAAGGGTAACAGGCCATCGCACTGCGAGGACCCAATCGACGCATCACCGTGTTGGAACAAAGCAAGTTGAACAAGGAGATAGGCGCAACGATATCGTGAGATAACCCTGCGGCCGTCCAAGAGCTTACATGACTGACAAGCCAACGTAGTCTACAGCCAAATGCCTCAAAGTGTGTCTTGACTCTTCCAAGATTGCAGCCGTTAATGACTGTCCTAACAATATCAAAGAATTTTTGAGAAGCAATGGGGTCTAGAGGAAGCTCTCGCTAAGAAGGGCGCCATGGCTGACAAGGCTGTCAGTCTTCTCCCTTGTTCAGCTGTCACTATGTTCACTCTGATCTCACAACTTGTAGTTTCGTATCTATGACACCGAAGGCAAACTTCATGCAGAGATCCCATTTCATCTGAAGAAGAGCTATGGAGCTGTAAGTCAAAGACGTTTCTCCAGATGTCCGTCTCTAATGCGCTTCTCTAGGAACGAATGGTATATCACAGGTAAGGCTCAGTGCCTGCAGTGGTCAAATCTCGTTGCTGACTGGACCGTCAAGGGTTGACTTACATGACGCCTTGAAAGACGCCGCAAGCAAGGAGAGTGAAGAAGACGGCCCGGTTACCGTCCGTACCGGATGTGTAGTCCAGACCTGCGACCCAGATGCCGGTATTGTGACGCTGGAATGTGGCGAGGAGATCGAAGGGGATCTCATCATCGGAGCAGATGGAATGTGAGTATTCTTCGAGCAACTGGGCCGATGCTATAAGCTTCATTGACTGATGCGCAACAGAAAGAGCGTTCTGCGGAGAGCTGTCATCGGGAAAGAGGCGCCGGCCATTCCCACTGGCCTGTCTGGTAGGTTCAATGAATTGAAGTCTTGATATTGTGAGGGGCAGCCGCTGATCATAATGCCAGCGTACCGACTCATCATCGACAGCGCGGAGCTAGAGCAGGACAAGGACTTCACATCGGTGATAGATCCAAGAGAGTCTTTCACGACAATGATCATGGGACACGACCGAAGAATCATCATGGGCCCTGCAAGAGACGGTTCCATCTATAGCATTGTTGCTCTTGTTCCCGATGGTAGGCTCCGTATCTCATTTCGCATCGATGAAGTCTCAGCTGACATCTCTCCAGATCAAATGCAGGAAAACGCCGAAGGGAAATCGTGGACCACCAAGGGCGACCCCGAAAAGCTCAGAGAAACATTCCAAGTCTTCCCAGCCTGGGCAAAAGCAGTTTTCAAGAACTGCACCGAAGTCGGACTTTGGCAATTGCGAGACCTGGTGAGTATGATACGATCGTGCATCTGGCGACTTCTCTGACAAGCGTTTTCAAGGATCCTCTGGAAACATGGTACCGCGGAAGAACCATCATCATTGGCGATGCAAGCCATCCTATGCTTCCGACTCAAGGCCAAGGAGCCAGCCAAAGTGTCGAGGACGCGGAGGCCCTTGGCGCCATCTTTGCTGATATCAATCAAAAGCCCTCTAAAGAAGACGTCACTGCCCTGCTCAAGGCAAGCACCACAGATCTGCTCGAATCCTCCGGCAGCAGCTGACAGATGATCCAGACCGTATTCGAATGCAGGTACGACCGAGCCACGCTGATCCAAGGCTACAGCAGACAATCTGGCAAACCCGCGACGGACAAGTCGAGTAATAAGATCACCATGTGAGTTGGATTGTTTGCGGTTCCGCGTATCGCGTATTGCGTATTCGACTGACGTCTGTAGGAACCCCGGAGAGTTTATGGATTACAACTGTAATTACAGTGGAGCGAAGGATTGGATTGAAAAACAGGCTGAGATGAAGAAGGATCTCGTTGATGGGCCTGCTGAGAAGGATCCGCTTCCTGCAATGGCGAAGCAGATGAAGGCTGTGTCTCTGGGGAGTGATTGATGGGCATGGCAAAGGCGTTTCAGTTCATCCAGACTCATGAGAATATGCAAGTTGAATTGTTGAACGAAAAGGTGTTGACCCTTCCGGTGCGGTCTGAAATGCGACCTGATGGGAAATGATTGCAAGTCGCTAACAGAACTGGCTAGTCTGGTCTATTCGTCCAGAGATTCAGTGATATGCACCGGTAAACATGCCTACGAGTACCTTTAACATAGCATAGTGTTGCATTCATACAGGTAGCCTATTGAGCTGACTTCACTAACGTGACTCGTGCGTGCGATTGGAGTCGATCGCGAACACCTGTACGCAAAAACATCGGATTTATTCAACAATAGGCCCAATCACACCTACCAAAACCTGCAGTGGTTGCCAAGCTTCTCTAAAGACTCATCAAAGACTCAGACGAAGAGTCATCATGTGTCGGTCACTGCATTTCCCTAGAAGAAACCCCCCATATCCCGAATCGGGATCGGACTCTCCGAAGATGAATTTCAATGACAGTCCTGCTACAGTGGATTGGTAGAGTTGGCCTCAGCGGGGTCAGTATTGGCAACAAATCAACGCAGAAAATGGAATCAATCCGTTCTTCTTTTGGTTTTCTCGGGACATTAAGGCCTCCGAAAACTCCAGTTAAACCAAGCTCTCATAACGAAGCACCAACTTGGGTCTTGGAATGAATTAGGAAGTTTGATCCAGCCGTGACAAGCCGGGAGGATGTTCGCTAGACAAAGCTTGACCGGTCGGAACCCGCGCGCTCCGCCTAGCCAGCTTGTGCTTAGACGCAGCCAGTCTGACCCAAAACCGGCGACGTGAGTCAGACGGCGCGTAGAAATCATAGCTAGAAAGAAAACTTACCCACTGTGGAACATCGTAAATGTACCGGTGGCAACAGTATCAGCGCTAGGGTAATTACCGTTGCCGGTAGGCGGGTTACAAGCCTCGTTTTCGTCAACTCACGATGCGCGTAGCTGCGGTTTGTACGTCACGGTCGTCCGCCAGCACAGCCTTCTGGAAATTCAGATATCTACGGGCGTTGCGCCCGGTGGGATGACAGATTTGTGAGTTCCAAACTATCAGTTCCAACTTCTTTACACGCATCCGATATGGTGTCCCGAGTCGAGGCTCTTGAAGCCCTCCACTACGCCAGTGCTCTGGGCGGTGTTCTCGCGGTCTCTGTTTCGACTCTTTCGCGACTCGGCCGAGTGACGGAGAAGAGAACCCATTCAGTACCACGACGCTCATCGATACTATCAACACCATCAACATTTCTCTTTGCTCTCATTTTCATCTCTTACTTTGGCGAGACAGTAATTGCTGCCACGCAACGCAATGCTTTCGAGAAGGAGAAAGCCCATTTCGTTCATCTCATTCTCTCCATTTTTATTTGGTCAATAGTTGCGATCCGTCGCAGCAACGCCCGCCGTCTCCTATGGGGTGTCTCTGGAATCACAGTTGCACTTGAATGCTCAATTCTGGTCTTGACCGCTCTCAGCAAGCCCATTTCTTCTTGGAATATTGTCAGCCTCTGCTGCCAAGCGGTCAGAATCCTCGCTGTGGTACTTATTCTGGTTGACGACACCAGGCGGTCCCTGGGCAAGAAGGCAGACTTCACCACTGAAGAAAGCCAACCTTTTCTTTCCGCGCAATCTAATGGCGACGTAACCTCCAACGGGTACGGCAGTGTACCCTTCACCGACGACACCGAGACCGAGGTGGCCAGCAAGGACTCGGATGACGACTCGGACGATTCCGACGACGACGGCGACGACACTGCCAGCATCAAACGCCGCCGAGCCAAGCGACTCAAGGAAGCAGGCGGCTGGCTGGGATATCTTCGCGATTTCAAAGTCTTCCTTCCCTACCTGGTTCCGAAGAAAGATCGAAAGGTCCAGCTGTCCATCTTTGTTTGTTTCCTTTGCATCGCAGGCAAGAGGGCGTTGAACATCTTGATCCCAGCTCAGTTGGGTAAAGTCACCGATGAGCTTCTCAACAAACAGGCCCCATACGGTACCCTGGCTGTCTGGCTGGTACTGTCCTTGATCGACGACGACGCCGGTTTGGGTCTCATCTTGTCGCTGGCCAAGATCCCTATCAAGCAGTTCTCGTACCGGCAAGTCACCAACGCAGCCTTCGGTCATGTCATGGGTCTTTCCATGGAATTCCATTCTGAGCGTGACTCTGCCGAGGTGATGAAGGCTATCGAACAGGGCGAGTCTCTTACCAATCTCCTGGAGACCGCCGTCATTGAGATTCTGCCCACCGTTGTCGACCTTTTCATCGCTTTCTGGCTGCTCTACTGGAAGTTCAACGTCTGCGTCGCACTCGTCATGGCGGTGGCATCCGTAGCTTTCATGTCGCTCGAGGTTTATACCTCGAACATGAACATCGGCAACCGCCGCGCTTCGAGCAAGGCGCAGAGAGAGGAGGCCAAGGTCATGCACCAGGCTGTGCAGGGATGGCAGACCGTCACCTACTTCAACATGTTCGGCTACGAGAAGCGTCGTTTTGGACAGGCTGTCGAGTCACAACTTACGGCCAGCCGCAAGTATGGTGTTGGAGATGCACTGGTTCAGGGCCTCCTCGAGATGACAGTCCCCGTCACCTTCTTCGTTCTCGCTAGCATGGTTCTCTACGAGATCTCTCAAGGCCGAGGCACCGCCGGCGACTTCGTCTTCCTTCTTCAGTACTGGGATTATCTCATCTGGCCGATGAAATTTCTTTCGCATGAATACCGATACCTCATGAACGACATGGTTGACGCGGAACGTCTGTTGAATCTTCTTCAGACCAAGTCAACCATCGTCGAGAAGGAGGATGCTGCAGACCTTCGCCTCATCAAGGGACACGTCGCTTTCGAGAACGTCAGCTTCGCCTACGACCCTAGAAGACCGACAATCCAGGATCTTAGCGTCTCGGCTGCACCAGGACACACCGTGGCCCTAGTCGGCGAGACCGGCGCCGGAAAGTCATCCATCATCAAGCTCCTGCTGCGATTCTACGACGTCACCTCCGGCCGCATCACCATCGACGGTCATGACATCCGAGACATCACTCTCAGCTCCCTCCGAGATGCTCTTGGTGTCGTCCCGCAAGACCCCTTGCTCTTCAACGCGTCGGTGATGGAGAACCTGCGCTACGCCCGCCCCATGGCTACCGACGAGGAGATCTTTGAGGCATGCCGGGCCGCTGCCATCCACGACAGGATTCTTTCCTTCGCAGATGGGTACCAAAGTCGCGTCGGCGAACAGGGTGTCAAGTTGTCTGGTGGAGAGATCCAGAGGTTAGCGATTGCGCGGGTCTTCTTGAAAGACCCGCCAATCCTGATCCTGGACGAGGCCACCAGCGCCGTCGACACGAAGACGGAGGCGAGCATTCAGAGTGCTTTGGACGTTCTGAAGAGTGGGAGGACAACATTTGTCATTGCGCACAGGTTATCGACCGTGGTCAATGCAGATAAAATCATAGTTGTCCATGAGGGACGGATAGTTGAGAGCGGGTCGCATAATGAGTTGCTCGCGCAGGACGGGAGATACAAGGACCTCTGGACGAGGCAGATTGGAGGTACATCCGAAAAGAAATAGATATTAGACGCGGTTGTTTCTATCATTACATAGCGCATGACGGTTGTTTTCTTTCCTTCATTATACCAATACAAGTCTTCTACGGTTTCGCCTAGACTGTGACACAAATCGTTTCTCCAAGACTCTCAAGCCTTGAGTCCCATGCTGCTCGTGTCATATCCGTTCGCTTCAAGATACTTCTTGAACCGCACGTCTTCGTCCTCAAGACGCTTAGGTGCCTTCAAGATGTCAGAAAAAGCCATCTTGTTGAGAGGTGAAGGGGACTTACATTGGGAATCAAGAACCACACGCAGAGCGTGCCAATTACGGAGATGCCACTTCCAATGAGGAAGATGGCTTGCTGACCCTTAAGCCGGTCGTCAAAGCTAGCAAGGGCCTCGCTCAATGCCGTCGTACCAACTGCAGCGCCAGCCTTGCCGACCGCAGCTGCGAATCCAAGGAAGTGGCCTCTTAGGGGTGTCGGGAAAGATTCGCTGGAGACGAGGAAGTTGCAGTCGCCGGGGCCGACCGACAGGAAAGTCTGGAAAAGACCGTACAGAGTAACGAAAAGAGGGAAAACGTTGTTGAGCTGGATCATTGAGCCGCCGATGGCGAAGCCAAAGACGCACACGATGGCCCAGCCGAGAGCGTAGGTCTGGCGACGGCCGATACGATCCATCAGCAGAGCTCCGATGAAAGCGCCGGGCAGAGCAAACGCGTTGATCAAGGCCGACCAGCCGATTGACTGAATCATGGTCTGTTGGGATGAGAACCCAGAGACAAGTGTGGGGGCAAGCAGGTTGAAAGGGTAGACGACGGCGTCGTAGAGGAACCAGGCACTGCAGCAGCCGAGGAGAGGCTTCCAGTAGAACTTGAGGGCGAGTTTGTAGGGGATGTTCTGCTGGATGGCGTGTTTCTGGTACTGCTGCGAGTCGGCGAGTCGCATGCGGAAGAAGAAGATAATCAACGGGAGCTGCGGTAGAGTCAGTTGACGTGCGGGGGCTTCGGGTTGCTAGGGATAAACTCACGAAGATACCAATACCGAAACAGATTCTCCAGATACCATCGCTGGCCTGGCCATTGTACGCGGCGATAACGATCAGAGAGACGATGCTGGAGCCGACGAAGCCGGAGATGATGGCTGCGTTGGTGGACACGGCCACGAGCATTCCGCGGCGCTTCCTCATTGCCTCGGTGCTGTCGGCGCATTCGAGAGCCTGTGATGTGCAGACGGTGTATTCGCCACCTGGTAAAGATGAGTTCATGGTTTGCGCAAAGAGGATTGTGAGGTTTCCAATCTTACCGGCTCCAACGCCTGCGACGCCTCTTCCAATGACCATCATCCAGAACATGCCCTCAACAGAGGTTCCGTGAGCGGCGGTGGCGATGACAATACCCTGAAACACTCAGCACAACATCAAGTTGTCCGGGTTGATATCACTTACCAAGACCAGGAAAAGGGTGGTCAAAATGATGCCAACTTTCCTGCCAAATTTGTCGATGCAAAGTCCGAAGATGAGCATGCCGAAGATATCACCAATCAAGATAGAGTTGGAGAGCCTCGTCTTGACCGCGTTGGTCATCTGCTTGGGATACCTGCAGAAACATGTCAACTTCAAGGACATACGATAAATCAAGGTGAAACCCTTGTTCCGCACCGTTACTTACAGTTTCGCGAGAACGGTGTTCATGTACCCGATGATCTGGATGTTGTATCCGTCTGAGAACAGGGCAACGCCCTGAACCAGGACATCGAGCTTGCCTGCGGTCCTCGTCGGAGTCTGCTCCTGAGATGAGGCATCATCGCGTGAAGATGCGACGACAACACCAACGTCCTTCTGGGGCATGTCGTTGGCCGTATCGGAGCCGGCCTCTGAGCGCGTTACTGTTTCCATGGTGTCGATGCGATGCTTGAAAGGCGTGACCACAATCAGCAGGATCGCAATTCAACGAAGTTCTAGACATGGCTAATGATGCGGTTTTAAGATATTTCATGCCACTCGACACGTGGAACCCCTGAATTTACCAAGATCTTGGTACGCATGGGTCGAGACCTGCTCGATGAGAGACTAGACTTGACGTTTACCTCGAAAAGATGAAGACCCGGCACATGGCAAGCGAACCCGATCTTGGCCATGTTCGGTCCCCACAGGTTTGCGAATCACTACCGCGTACTAAAACAAATCAGAGCCTCAATTGGATCCCCAATTCCCGTCTCATGACCATTCAAAGTAGTATGTAGGGCACGTGCTGCGGAAGTCTCGTCTTGATATTCCAACCGGCTGTAGGCCAAGGCCTACGGACGATGGCCGAAGTGTGAAAAACACCGGGAATAGGATCCAGCAGGAATCCGGTATTTGACGACTGTCACAGGCAAATCAGAGTGAGCTTTGGCCGCTGATGTGAACCGTAGAAACAAGCTTCTTCAAGCTTGGAAAACTCTCAATCGGACGGCTCAATCTCGTCGGAAGGTCTCCGCCTTCGGAGGAAAACCGTCGGGTCCCGGCCCCCAACGGCACCCACGTGGTGGAATGCGAACTTGTCAGACGTCAACCGGGGTGGGGTTCCGCTGCCGGTCCACTTGTTGGTTCAGACCCGGGCCCTGCCAGTTCGTCGAGAGAAATCCTCCGTGATGAAGCTTGGGAGTTTGTTTAGCCATTCGAAGCTGAAGCCGATCGGCTCGGGAAAGCGGCATGAGACGCGCACGTCAGGTCATCTGCCCCTCATTCGAGTTGAATGGCGAGATGCTGACAATCCATTCAACGGGTTCAGACACGTGGTGACCTTACTGGTGTAATGACAATCCGGATCACTCCTTCGAGATCTCTGGACTCCACTGCGAGAAATCTGAATTCCATGGCCGTGGAATTGGGTTCAGAGCTTAGTAACAACCGACAAACTCGGTGGCCCGGATCTCATTTTCCCAACTTGCTGACTGAAGTAAACATGAGAGAGCTGACTGGGTGAAGTAGTGCGCACCAACAAGCCGCCAACTGGGAATCAGTAAACTCCTGCAAGTGGTAAACGGCCGGACATCATGGCTGCGTCCGGCATTCTCGATGCCATCTCGGCAGTGACAACCGTCACTCTTAGATTCACCGCAGTCCTCTTTACGAGATTCGTGAGTACTCAAGCGAACCCCAATTCCAGCCCTCTTACTCACACCCAAACAGCACCCTCTTGGACGGGTATATCTCAACAGGGTCTACGGCAACGCGGGAGCATACTTTCTCTGCATCCTCGCCAAACTCTTCTTCGCCAAACTCTTCTTCGCCAAGTCCCAATCGACCTCAAAACGTCGTCATACAGGCTTGTTGCTGCTGTTCGGCTGGATTGACTCCAGACAGCCCTTCGCCAGTCTCATCACAGTTCTACTCAATGTGCTTTCTTTGGGAGCGGTTTGGGACTTCCTCTATCGCGCTCACTTTCTGCACCAGAGCCATGAGTTGTCATTCTCACGCGTGGGCTATGTTGACGAGACTTCGGCTCGGATTGTTGCTCGCGCTCCACTTGCACCCGTCACGTTTGTCGAAATAACGTTGACGACGCCGGAAGAAGACGTAAAGCAAATCAAGTCCCAGGTCATCTCTGTCGCCGAGTCGACTGACTTCACGGGCACTTTCGTGCTGGAAGACCTCAAACCGGACACAATTTACACCTTCACGACAAATGCCAGCCATGAAGGCTCCTTCAAAACAGCGGCTCGGCATCCGAAGCGCTGGAGTCTGGTGTCGACAAGTTGCATCAAGCCCTTCTACCCGTACAGCCCCATGGATCACGGGCTGAGGATCCGGGGACTGGAGTATCTAGACCAATATCTCTCGGCCAAGCCCGTGGACATGATGCTCTTCCTCGGCGACTTCATCTACATCGACTTGCCCATCGCACTGGGCTGGACCCCTGAGCACTACGTCAGCGCATATCGCCAGGTCTATGCTTCGCCAAGCTGGACACCGGCATTGCGCTCCTTGCCGTGGCTCCATCTCTACGATGATCATGAAATCATCAACGACTGGGCTGCCAACGAGACAGGGCTCTATCAGGCTGCAATGCAACCTTTCTGGGGGTATCAGGGGCACGCCAATCCCCCTTCCCAGTACGGCCGGGGCAAGACGCACTACGTCTTTCGCCGAGGGGACATCTCCTTTTTCGTCCTGGATACCCGGCGATACCGATCAGCGGAGAACATGAAAGACGGGCCCGGAAAGACGATGCTTGGGGCGGCTCAGCTCGCCGACCTCAGATCATGGCTGACTCACGAGAAGGCGTGGAAGGTCGTCGTGAGCAGCGTGCCCTTCACCCGAAATTGGAGGGGACCCGACTCGGCCGACAGCTGGTCTGGATATCTCTGGGAGAGGGAGCAAGTCTTAGACATAATGAGAGACACGGACGGAGTGGTTATCTTGAGTGGGGTGAGTTAAAATGCTTGAGTTGATTAACCCTCGGCCGAAACCTGGCAGTGGGGGGTTGTTGGCGATTTAATTATTGCGATTGTCGAGATTAACATTGCTTTTTAGGACCGCCACGAGCACGCGACGACCATTTTCCCACCTGGCGACAAGGGTGGGAAGGCGATCATAGAATTTTCTACCTCGCCTCTAAACCAGTTCTACGAACCGTTCTCTCGGTTCCATATGCAGATCGAGGACACGGACGTCTCTGTTCATTCGCATCCATGGGGCAGTTCCAAGTTCGGCGTGGTGTCTTTTGACACTTCGGAAGAAGATCGTCTACGGGTCGACTATGACCTCGTCGTTGAGGGGCAGAAGACGTGGAATTACACTTGGACGTATGAGCGGTAAATACCTCATCGGCGACGATCTTATCAGCCAACGCAGGGGTCACGATGGGAGCGGTGAGATTCACGACGGATTGGGTTGGTGATGCAGGTGCGCAAATGAAATCTTTTTCAAATCTTCTCTTCAGAGTTTGTCTGTCATGTCGACGTGGACCAGTCCGGCCGGGTCCCTTTCCCAAGTCCCCTCCTTGCCTCCCGTGTTCCTTTTTCCGGCCTCCCGTCATTTCAAATCCCATGAACGCCATCCCTAATGTCTCCAACTGGACCTAAACTCCCGCCGCTGTTCCCTATGTGGCATGTCGATGCATGCAAGAATTGAATGATGAAGTGTGCTGTGCCGTTCGGTTCGCCGTTTGCTTGGCTTGGCTCATTTCCGATGTATGGTAATGCTGATGCCTGGACAGCTCGGGCTGAACGTGCGCCATCTCCTCGCTACAGGAGATGAGGTGTCCTTGGTCGCGATGGTGGTTTTCTTAGACGACAGGTTGGAGGACGTCCGCCTCGGGAGCGTGCTCGACCTCATCCCGGCGGCCGAGGTTGCCGTGTACACCGGCTCTGGCGTTCAGGTTGTACTCGTGGCGAAGGATGTTGTTCAGCGGGGTGACGGCAGCCTGCGAGACTCCGAAGATGGCGGCGGCAATGACATAAGCGAGTGTTGCCTTCATGATGGGCGAGTATGCTTTGCGCGTGCGCTAATTCTCGATTTCGATTTCGATATCGCTTTGCGATGGACGGGTGAAAGAGAGGCTTTGGGTTGTCGAGGTCAACTCGAATGGCGGCGATAAGGACTGGAGTGCAACCGAGGTTTTGTCTTTCCGCACACTGAGACTTGAAGTCGCGAACACGAAACACCGCAGCCAAAAGATGGAGGGTAGAGAGGGGTTATTAAGTACAAGACGGCGGCGGATGGTAGAGATGGGATGGTAGTGTCTGTTCATCAATGATCAAACCTTGATCGTCTCTGGGGTGGAGCCAACGGCCGTGAGAGATTCGGATCTTCGTCCGCACCCCATGAGGGAAGGTGGTAAAGAGATCAGCTAAAATGACTCGTTGGAACTTGGGTATCCAAAGTGCTTGTTTGGCTGCGGCACAGCGGCACAGCGAAATTGAAGAGGACTTCAGAGCCAACAGCGCCGGGCAGAGAAACAGCCCTACAATGAGTGTTTCCCAGGGATGGCGTGACCTTTGCTTATTTAGCTCAAGATTGGGGCGCGGTTTCATGTATGTTGAGATACGCGCAGTGATATACGTTGCCGAGCATGGATCTCCCGTCTTCGCCCAGGCGATGTGACACAGTGTTGTAACCCATCCGTTCTCTGCAGAAGCGGCCATTGGCACAAGACCAGACGCTTTTCACGGCATCGGCTGAACCACTATTGGTAGGCACGGGTAGGTGTATGCAGGATAATCCGAATAGCGCATGGTATATGTGACAATCTACTTGGATCACCCGAAAGTTGCCCAGCCCCGAACCGATGCTTTTCTCGTCCGGGACCCCCTCCGGATGACCAGACGGGGGAGACGGCTGCGGACGGCGGAGGCGGGATGGCAATATGAATATGAAGGGGCGCCGGGGGGTTGCATGTCGTCAATGCGGTCGACTGACATGGCAAAACTCAATTGCAAACAAAACAGAAGTAAAAACAGCAAACTGACCTCGGTTACTCCGCACGTTTGTGACTGATTGATAGGATATTTGTAGTATATTGCGTGGCTCAAGCCATGTGCACATGTTTAAGGGGAAGGGAAACGAATGCGGGAGGGAAGTCGGGGAGCTCGGCCGGCCCCTCTCTCCCGCACCCGAGGAACCATCCCTCCCTCCATCACGTCACTCACCACACAACCCTTACCTATCCACCTCATGTATCAGCCGGAAGAGCTCTCTCTTGACAGCTCGTAGACTTCACCATACCTCGAGACGGACAGCTGGATCATCTGAAGATGAGTTGTTTTCGAGAAGAATTGATGATTACTTACAGCGCTTTGACGCCGTGTTTTCCACGGTCGGTATCGCTATCGTATCCGTTTTCCGAAGCTCGTCTACTCGGCCTGCACGTTTTCCATGGTGTTCGTCGAGCCACCGAAACTTCGGCACTACATCAAAGATGAGTCGAGTCAATGCCGGCCAGCTTTTTCATAGCTCAACGCCGCAAAGTATGCCCGAATCAGGAAGATTTATGTATACAGTTGGATGATTCCTGGTCGTAGACGTCTAGAACAGTCACTCTTTGACGGTCGTCTCACTGCTGAGGATACTTTTGCCGATTGCTTGATCATGAGCTTGTGATGAGTTCGAACTGAGTTAGGACGACGAAGGTGTATTTAACCACTCGTATCTCCTTCCACTACATGCACTAGGAGCCGGCAGCAGACTAGCATCTTTATTCTCATTGTAATTTCTTATCATAATTGGCAATCATGACTTCCGTTCTGCAGATGAACAGCGCCGATAGCGCTAAGCCCGCTAATGCTGCCAACGGCGGCGATAAGAACTCATACCTCGCGATGGTCGGCGATGCCAAAGCCGAGGTAGAACGTCTTCAAGTCCAGCACCGCTGGATTCAGATGTGTCTTAAGGACAGAATCGCCTTTGCCCCAGTTGACCTGAAGAAAGAAGGGCTAAAGGTCCTCGACATGGGCTGCGCCGATGGTACGCTATTCCCGTGGCCCGTTACACTCAACAAGAGAAGGCTTTTCCATTGACGCGCAATTCCAGGCACGCTCCTCAGGGACCTACAGAAACAAGTCCCACCCTCAGCCGAACTGGTTGGCGCCGATGTTTCAACTGTCTTCATGCCCACGTCAGCTCAGGGCAACATCAGCTACGTAACCCAGGACGCATGCGATCCACCCGCGGGCGACCTCAAGGGCAAGTTCGACATGACCCATGTCCGCAACGTCCTTCACAGCACCAGCCGGTCTGGCGTTGAGAAGGCCGTGGCGAACCTTGCCGGTGAGCTTCTTTCCGCCACTCACATCACATTCCGGTTTTGATGCTGACTGTGATAAGAAACCCTGGCGCCGGGCGGCTGGCTGCAGGCCATGGAGTTGGATGTCTCTACTGAGCACCCGGACCAGCCCCAGGCCCTCAAGGATGTCATCAAGATCATTGGCACCATGATGGAGAAGGCGGGCATGGATCGCGGCTACCAGCAGAAACTTCCCGGCGCCTTTAAGAAAGCCGGTCTGGAGAACGTGACCATGGAAAAGGTCAATTGTGGGGTTGGGAGAGTCCATGCCAATGATGAGGATATGAGGCGGTCCATTGAGCCCTTCATGCGGACGATACCGCTGGTCACTGGACAGGCCAAAGGTAAGTCACCCTACCTTCTGAAGGACATTATTTACTGAGATGCATCTTAGTTATGTGCCCTGAGATCCCTGCGTCGTTTTTTGAGGGCTTGCAGGAGAGATACATCAAGGATATGACGGAGAAGGGAGGATTCTTCCCGGGATTCATCGTCTACGGGCAGAAGCCAAGAGAGTAGCATTGTCTCCTGCTCACCTTCCTGTCGAGACGATCATTCGGAGTATGTCGGGCTGTGACTGTGATGCTCATTGAACTCATAGGGATTTGTGAAGATTATCCAGAGTAGATTACGTGCTGAGGTCATCCTCTAATTTGATGAGAGACGGGTCCGATTATTATACAAATCATCAAGTTTCATCAACAATGACGGTGAATTTCTTCCGAGGTCAACGTAAAGATTGCTGTTCTCGTGGAACATGTCATTGTAGTTGGGTTCTTGCAGTATTCTCGAATGGCTTGTGAACCTTTCCGCTCTTTATTGGAAAGAGGTCCTGTTGAATGCGAACAGTGATTTGTGTCTCATCTCATTCTCACAAACTCACTCAACTGCCGTTGGTATACTTGAAGAAAATGTAAACTGCTTGAGCTCCGTCAGAGCAAAGACGACAGTCCAAGCACGTACGTACTCAGGGCATCTCTGCGATCAAACGCTGTTGTGCATGACTGAGAAATCTCATTCATTTCTCCAGAGAATGACTGATAGAGACTTCCACTTACCTCAGTGCGAGAGCGCTCGCTCACCTTCGGAACAGAGTCCGACTGATGTCACACACGTGTGACTTAGGGCCATTGAGAATCACTATTGCAATGCTCTGAGTAACCATTAACCAGTGCCCTCGTTAAAGTCCGGCCTAAGTCTGAGTATGTTCGTGTTGCGGCCAGGTACGTTACACTAGACGTCACACAACATTGGTGTAGCGTCGGCAGCCGCCAAACACCCCTCACCCAGAACCGTTCTTAAAGAAACGCAATCCGCTCAAATCCAGACTCTGCAGGGAGAGAAAACATGAAATCCTGCAGCAGACCAGTGGAGATTTTCTGAGGCAGACGAATTTGTCTCGGGAATCTTTGCTGCACCTCTGCACCTTCCATGGCTTCCTCTCGCGGAGGGCTGTGCGGGTTCGAGGTGACATTTCCTCACTCACATTCTCTGGCTTCAAAAGCATTACGATGTGTTCAATCTACCGCACATGCCGTAGAGTATCGCCTATGGAAGACAGATTATCCTCCGGAAATGTTGAAACAACGTTCTTGAACATGCGGGCTCTTCTGTTCTCGTATTCATACCGCCGCTTGACCTTCGTCCGCCAAGAAGGAGTCTATCGACAAAGAACACAATCAGAGGTTCTGTACTCCTCACGCAAGGGACAGGATGAATCGTACAACACGATAACGATGGCAGCTACACGAGTCTTTTCAGGATATCTTCCTCTCGTATTTAGTATCACCCACTGCGACCCTTCCGTCTCCGAGCTCATCCCTCTTTTTCGACTTTCATGGCTACTCTACTGCGCTTTTGAACACCTCTCTGGTCAAGGAATTGAGGTTTTTCTCTTCAGCACTGAGACTAAAATGGACGGTGGATTGTCGTTGTTCCGATTGCTGGGCCGTGGACTGCTCTATTACATCGTCTTGGCACTTGTGGTCGACGTATGTGAAGCACGAGGCATAGGTGATCCCCCCAACTCCGTCAATCAACTGTCTTGATTATCTAACTCTCCTGAGCAGATAACCGACAAAACCGAGACGCCTCTGAGGATGCTGCTACTGCGATTGCAAACGAGCAGACGAGTCTTTCGCTCTCTGCCACTGAGGGTGGCAGAGTTATCACGAGTCTCATAACGACTCATGTTTTGATCACCCTTCCCTACACCACCGTCTCTGGTATTGTACCTCCAACAGAACCGAGCCCGGTACCCAGCAGCCAAAGCCTACTTTCGACGAGTACGTTGGAAAATGCTCAGTCTTCCAGCTTGATTGTCGCCTCATCCAGCGCTCTTACGGGAAGCCCTCAAGAAAGTCAATCGTCCAGCTTGATTGCCGCCCCTTCTAGTATCAACACCCAACAATCTGAGCCTCCGAAACCCGGTGCAAGCTCAAGTTCAACTGCAGTTGCAGATCAGACACCGTCGACTCCTGTAGGCGTCCAACCCACGACGATCCAGCCTTCTTCTTCTTCCACGAGCTTACAGCTCTCCGAGGTTTCCAGCCTGCCTCAGTCTTCTGCTCCTTCGTCTCGAGACGGCGATAGCACAGCTTCGAGTACTCAACCACAGGGAGGCAGCGAGTCGGCGAGTGATAGTACTGGGAACAATCAGAGTACCACTCCAAACGATGGTGCTGCTTCAACCGCCAATCCTGCTTCTTCCAACCCTACCTCTTCCAATGTTGCCTCCTCAAATTCCCCAGATGCCTCTGCGCCAGCATCATCGACCACAGCTCAGCCTGCAAGCAGCATAACAAGCAATGTTGTTTCTACGACCACGTCATCGAGCTCTTCTTCTACGTCAGACCCTGGCGACTTTACCGTCATGCTCATAACCGCAACCCAACCGCCACCGGATGGCAAAGATCCCACAACTTCCGTTACATGGGCTTCTTCCGAAGTCACCGAGACAACTACGTCGAATGGGATTATCCTGCCCATCATCCGCCCTGTTTGGGTTTGCAACGCCATTCAGATTTTATGTCATCCTCAATGCCTCATTCCTTTCTTTGGATGCGGAGGCATCAATCTTCCTGGGCCTTTAGGCTTTCCGTGGGCTACGGTATGCTCGGTCGCGTTCTCTTGATGCCTTCAATGTTTGAATACTAATTTGTTTATCAGCCACCGCCACTGCCGCCCCGGCAAAAGCCACGTAAGGGCCAGCCTACAGATCCTGAAGACCCCGATGATCCTGAACCATCTGAGACCCCTACAAGTACTACATCTTCATCATCCTGTACCGCTACGACGACCGTCTTTCCGAAATGTGACCAGCGATGCTACGCCAGTCCGGTCACTACAATCGGCGGGTCTACGAGTTTCACCACGACGTGTAGTACGGCGACTTGCCAGCCAACTGTGGTCTGCAGCACGACCGTCGAAACCACTACAACCACAACTGTCTCTACACAGACGCCCGAGCCAACTGACTGGTTCTGCGCAGCAGACTCGGGGCCTTGCTCAAGTTGTCAGACATCACCTGGGTTATCTAAACGGGATTCGAAGAGAAAGGCGGCTTGGAATCCACCCAATGACCCGGACTTGACCAATGCACCAGACGGACTCACCCATCCGGATACTTGGCCCCAAGAAAAGGGAGTTTGGGGGGCTCATGTCTGGGACCAAGTCCAACACTTCTGCACGGGTGACAAAGAACTACGAGCATGGACGGATCCCAATGGTATAGAACCACCCATAACCAAGATGACCGGCTTTTCAACAATGCGAGAGGCGGAATTCGGCGACAAGGGAATCATTGGTGGCACTGGTCCTCTTTGGGGCTGCAGCGCGCTCGTGATCATCACCAAGCGCGGAACCTACACCAGTCATAACTGGCAGATCCCCAATTTCTCGCCAGGTCACATGAACTTACCTGATGGATTCTACGATCAAAACACGGAATTCCACAACGGGGTGGAGAAGTTCCTTGAAGAGGGTACCGGCGATGAAGAGAACAGCTTTTTGGGTATCAGGCAACTGAAGGAGAGAACACACATTTTTGACAACATTCCCAAGGACACACTGAAAATCCTGATTTTCACCGGCTCAAGCACCGCTGGGATTCCTTTCAGGCGGAAACCCACAACAGAAAAGTTCGACATCCTAGCCTTAGACAAAGTCAACCGGTGGAAGGAATGGATTGTCAGGCTTGGGTTTCCAAGCGACAAGATCGAGATCTTTGCTTACAACAAAGGACCAAAGTACTGGCCAAAGTTTGACGAGCATCCTGATAACCACGAAACAAAGATGACTATGGCTTACAAGCATCCGGATAGCATGATGATGTGGTGGAGCTCGGAAACACTTGATGGCCTCGTGCATTGGCATTATCACCCAAACCATCTCACAAGCTCAGGAACCCGCCAGCCTACCATCAGAGTCTGGTATGAAAGGTTCCTCATGTTCGAGGAGTCCTGGTGTCTGCCTGGTACAGGGTCCGTTGCAGCTCGTCAGAACGGCGGCTCTGGCTCCTGTCCTATGCCGCCAAGGTCTTCCAAGCCTGCTCAATCCGCCTCCGCGTCCGCCTCGGCCAGCAACTCCGCAGCAACCTCCAAAGCCTCCGGTATATCAACCAAAGAATCCGCTGTGTCCCATACAAGTAATCCAACGGTCTCCACTTCATCGCAAGACAGCAAGACCACCTCCAGCGGACCGGGGACATCAGGCCCGAAGAGCTCGAGTTCCGTCGCCGTCCCATCCGCCATTCCAGGCCCTGGCGATGGCAAATCGTTCAACCGTGTGGTGAATATCGATCAAGAAGTCTACTATAAGGAGTACGAGAAGATCGCAAAACATACCGCCACTATCGAAATACTCGAAATCACACAGCACAAGAAAGAGCCACTAATCAGTGCCAAAGACATGAAGAACAACGGGCCGGTCGATTTACCTCACGAGCTCAACATCATTGATCAAACAGGATCCCAGCTGAAAATCAACTTCCTGCTAGAGATGGGCCACAACGTTGAGTTCCAGGCAAAGAGGAAGAACAAACTCACGTCTTGGAGCTTGACAAATGCCAGTGCGCCGGTTTGGCTGGATCGTGATAAGCCTTGGTGCGAGATGACCAGGTTGAAAGTCGACGCCAACAAGGTAAGAAAGCTTCTCTTTCCAGTGACGTGCAAAGTCGTGACTAACGTTTCCCGCCTTTTAGAAACAACTCTCTAGGAGCAACACTTGCTGGTATAGTACGTAGAAACACCGGCACGAGTGGACTGGATAGGCAAAGATGACAACTCTACAAGGTTTGCCGCGGACCAGGCATCTGTTCTTGCAATTTGTGGAGAGAATAATTGTAACAAAATCATTTCCCATCAAATGTTCCTTCGCTTGTATCTCTCTTCAACTTTGCTTAGCCTCAAAGAGACATGGATGCCGCTGAGACCATACGAAATGAGCCCTGATCATAGATTTCAAGAGTGTCGCTAAAATGTTGCAAGCCCAAAGCAATACTTGCTGCGTGTCCATTTCGTGTTGTCTCTAGCACGCCACTGGAGGGGCAAACTCGTAGCATGTAGAACCGGAACAGCACCAGGCCCAGCCATCTCGGCAGACCGTGTTCTCAGGCTGGCATCCCGCAGCTTGACGCCCTTGGATGACTTCGGGAGCAGCAAACGCAAAGCTGACCGTGGCCAGCAAAAGATAAAGACTCAGTCTCGCCATTTCGATCTTGGGTTGTTAGCTTCGGCAGTTCAGCTTTGAGTGGAAGTACCGATCTTACATCGTAGGGCCGTTTGAATGTGGAGAGATGACGGATTTGACTGACAGATGTGGAAAGCAGAGAGATATTTGCCAATGCTTGGTGATGTTCCGGGGACCCAAGTGTGAGCCAACTGAAGGGGGTTTGGTCAGATTTATACTCTCACAACAACTCGGACTTCGATCCAAGGACTGCACAAAACTTTCCCCTTATAGGAAGGTGTCTCTGAAGGATTAGAAGATTACTCTTGGCAACTGCACATCGCAAAGATACTCGGTATGAATATGCGACCTGCCTGGATCCTTCAATCCAAACATGTCTAAACCGCGCTAGTCTGGTCATCCACAAGGCATCCCAGGATGACGGAGCCGTCGACGATAGGACAGGAGTCACTTAATCGTTCAACTAGTAAGGATTACTTCAAGCTACCGGTAGCTCGTCACAAACATCCGGTGAGACGTTGTCAGCGCCACAAATCGTTTATTATATTGACGTGTCATAAGAATACCAAGGCTTCGTACTCAACCCATGCTAGACCATTATTTGCCTCCATCATAGCTGTCCAATCTCTCGTACCTATGCTCCGCTCTCTTCCCCTCGTCCCTCCGGTGAAGATCATCCAAGTATCCCTTGAAGTCCTTCGATAACTCAATGACTGCTTTTAGATGATAATCTTTCACCATAATCTTCCCTTCACTGTCCTTTTCCGCATCGTATTCAGCCAGCGCAACAGCTGTCTGGAACGCTAGATGAAGTGATCGTCAATGATTGCTCGTATCAGATGCCCGCCTATTGCACTTACCATTTCTGATCTCTCTTCCGTTCCATTTAATACCATGCTTCTGCGTAGCTTCAATGTACTCCTTAGCGTCGATAGTAAGGCGAATTGTCTCTCCTCTCTCCCGTGCCAACTTCGCGATGAAAGTCCTCCACACTTTTTGACGCTCATCGTCGGTGAAGTCCGGGTAGTACAGCTGAACATGGATGCGTGAGATGAAGGCATCGTCAAATGATCCCACTCGATTTGTCGTGAGAAAGAGAATGCCATCATAAAACTCGAGAGCCCTCAAAAAGCCTACACAACCCAGTCAGCATAACTTGAGGAAAGTAGGCGTGCGCAAGTATTCTCACCCGCAACCAGGCTATTGCGAGTTAAATCTGACGTCGTTCGGCGTTCCATGAAAATGTCCGCTTCGTCGATGAGTAGAACGGCGCCCCAAGTCATGGCTCTCTTAAAGCTGGCTGTGAGATTGTATTCCACCTCCTTAGGATCAGTTCCAATATCGCTGCTGGTCAGAATCATCAGGGGCCGTTTAGCAAACTCTGCGATGCATTCTGATTACGGGTCTCTGTCAGTAAACGGCCTCAGGTGCTGGTTAAGTATCCTGGGTTAATCTTTACCTGCAGTATATGTCTTTCCCACGCCTGGCTTGCCATGCAAAAGAAAAATTAGTCCGCTTCCTTTTCCTCGAATAAAGTCTGCACTCCAACGTTCGTTATGCAGTGGTTTTCCATCCCGGCTGACTCTGGCGAAGCTCTTGGAGAGAGCTTTCAAAGTTTTCAGGCGGTGTTCACTCATGACCAAGTGGCTGATCATATTCTCATCAAACTCTGCTTCTGAGAGATTCTTAATGTGAACGCGTTCTGAATGGTGTCAGCTTCGTGATCAACCTGCCAAGATAACAAGTGCAGATCTACATACCCCAACTCCGGGTTCTGAACATGTACGCCACTACCGACGTGGGAAAGAGGAGATACTGGTGATTGCTCAGAGTATTGCTTGTGACAATGAAGAGAAAGTCGCTGAAAGCGGTCTTCACATCTCTCTTCTGGTTCCCTTCGCTTCGGCTCTTCTGACACACGTTGCAGGTGCATCCGCTCACCCAGTTTCGTACGCCTTCGTCACCGATCGTCACGGGTGTCTGATCACGGAATTGAGAGTGATAGCTATCGACGTCTATCATCACCAGACCATTAATCTGCAGCTGTAAGGAAAACATAACTCATTGACTGGGATTGGGTTGAGACTCACCTCGTTGTGTGGGAAATCCGCTGCCCTTCCCTTGTGTTGGTAGCTTCTTAATTCCATCTTTCATGCACTCATCGCTGTTGGGATCGATGAACCTGACTTCTTCGGTTCTGGTGGCATCGGGTTTCTCTCCATCAAATGCTACCCAGGTCGTTGCGGGACCCCATACTCGCTCAATGTAATGATCTTCGTAGTTGAGCCGCCATTTCCTGGCTTCCCAGGCCACTGGAGGGTTTTCGAACACCCCTCCGGTAACGGAGTGAATGACGAATGCCTCCCAACCTTCGTAGAGCTGTTCATCTCTTTCCAAGAATGTGACGCCTGGTTTCAACGCAACCCATCGCCATTCAAAGGTGGAAAATCCACGTTTGTTGCGCTCCTGCTCTTCTCGGACACCGGCCATCACATGATCGTCGAGGAACTGAAGCAAGATGCGAAGATGCTCTGCGGCATCCTTCTCTCTGGCGCAAAGGTCGCTTTCTAGCTTCGACAAGCAGTCAAGCCGGAACTGCTGTAGCTCATCGTAATGATGAACGAGGATCGGGTAAGGTTTTCGAATGCTGATGTACTCGCCCGAGAGATCCTGGTCGGGGTAGTATTTCACCACTGATTGTAACGCGTTGATGAGAGCCAAGGAGTGAATCCGAAGGCTCTGAATTGGAAGCGACTGGGAGTTGACGGCCAGAGATGTGTTCGCATCAAGTGATTGAGACACCACTTTGTATGTTGTCACAACCTCGAAGATAGGCCCGTCATTTTGGTCGATAACAGGCTCGCTCTCTTTATCCGGCACCTTTTCGGCGATCAAATCGCTTGTCCATCGATTCCGATACTCAATACGATAACCAATCCAGGGCTTCTTCGGCTCTCCGTCGTCGCCGGCGGTGAGGTATTTCTGGAAGGTTTCTTCCTCTTCTTCTTGTGAGCTCTCTTTTACTCTCTCCGTCTTCGATGATAGCTCTTCTTCCACATCATTCGCGACCACGGTGCCCAAAGGCCCGATGCATGTGGGTGCCATTGTCGCCGACATCTCGTACGCGTGATATGATTTCACGAACCTGGTAAACTCGAAACAGAGATCTTTATGGAACAAGCCGTAGAATGTGTCCTTTTGATTCCTGTGCGATAATTGATCAGGCGGCCAATGGGCTGACAGCACGGGCGGGGGTAACGCGCAGATTGCAGCTCAGCTGCAACGTCAGCGTCATGTTGATTCAAGAGGGGCTTTGGACGAATGAATTCAATCAAAACACTGCTGGTGTCTTGCTAAGCCTCAGCCGCAGATGCGGATCCGGGGCGCGAAGCCTGGTCATCTCTGTCCCACTCGTTGATTCCGAAGCCATACCTCTGACCGAGATCGTACGGAACATCGGCAGCGGTCCAGATCATATGACCGCAGCTTGGTCTTGCAAACCCTAAGCCGAGTCTTTGTTCATCTCGTAACAACTAGTTGTTGCTATGTCAGATTCAAACGACGCCACAGATGCGCGCAATCTAGTCCGCGCGTACAGTTTCGAAGTTGAAGAACGCTTACCTCCCGACAGCAGCGCGCAATCTCTTGCTCACGTATTGGCAACACACCAAGAAAGTCAGCAAGATGCCTCCGATCCATGGCGACGCTTTTTCGAGCCTCTAGACACGGGTGAGCGGTCTAGGTAATCATCTTCGTGGGCCATGCGACGGGCTTCAGCAGCTGATATGAACATAGGGAAGACAATGCGATCACCAGGGTGATTGCCGTTGAAACGAAACAGCTTCGGGAGAAATGGACGGCTTTCGTCGATGCAACTCCCGCATCGGATCGGCCCAATTTCCTGACATCAGAGCCGACCATGAAAGGGGTGATTGATACCGTCCAAGAAATCCAACAAACGTGGGACTTGAAGCGGAAAAGTGGCCGGCTCACAAAAGCCAAGAGGTTCTTCCACAAGTTTTGCAGCACTTTACACTCTCATAAGCTGTTGTTAGAGGTTCTGCCGTCGGGAAATGAGTATGTTTCGATCTTCACGGGAACGCTAAATGTGGTGATTCAGGTAAATGACACTCGATGGTCTCAATAGCTCTTTCATTTATGTGACTGAACACTAACTCATCAACACATGTCAGGCGAGTGCGAACCACGAGAAGATTTCTGAGGGTCTATCAGAAGCACTCTGCACAATGAGTCAACATGTCAACAATTGTAAGGCGGACCTTGACATGTTCAACATGGAGGACATGCAAAGTCTCATCGCAGAGCTTTACGCCCACATCTTCATCCTGCTGACAAGCGTGATGGACTGGATGATGAAGAAGAGGGTCAAACGGCTACTCGACTCTTTCAACGACGATATACCCAGCGTTTTCGAAAGTGAGATGGAGAAGATCAAAGGGATATCAGACCAAGTGCGGAACCTGGCTGCGCAGAAGTCCCGAGCTGAGCTGAGATCGGCGAGACTGACTACTGAGAGCTCTGCAAGAGACATCCGTCTAGGCTTGGAGGGTGAGGAACGTCATCAAGCTGAGATGAAGCATTATGCACAGAGTATTTTGCGAGAACAGGGTCGAATTTCAGCTCTTTGGAGTGCCGAGAAAGAACAGCAGCTGGCTGACAGCATCGTCAATATGCTGGAAGAAAGAGCCATCCGCTGGCTAGAGAGTAGCCGCATGCTTTCAAATTCTCGACAATCGCTTGAATCAGTGACTCTTCACTCACTGGGTTCGTCCACTGCACATAGTGAGAGAGCGTCTTTGCCATTTGAAGAAGTTGACCTGGCTCACCTTTGCACTTAGTATCCGAGTATACCGCAGAAGATATTTCCATGAGCTCCCGCCATCTCGAAGACTATTTTCACCGAGACCGGTTGCGACTTTCCGGGAACATCTTTGACCCTGTCATAGTACAGCCGGAGTCTTTCAGAAAGATCACTGACTGGGTGAAAGCATCTCCTCCCCAGCTACTATGGTTCGAAGGTCCCTCGCTTGAAACCGACGAGCTCGACAATCCCTTGACAATGATTGCTGCGACTGTCATCGAATTGGCGGAACAGTCGAAATTACCCATCATTTCATACTTTTGCGAACTACGCCGAGGAGAAGAGCTGCGATCAGGTAACAACACCAAAGAAATACAGGCGATGATGTCTGTGACCTACGCTCTCATCAGACAGCTGGTTGAGCTTCTTCCACCATTGCTTCAAACTGGAGTAGACCTTACAGAGAAACGCTTCCAATTTCTTGATGGATCAATCGAGACCTGGAGATCTGCTCTTTCAGTTCTCGAAGATCTCGGCCGTCTCATTCCGGTTCCAATCCTTTGCGTCCTTGACGGCCTTCAGTGGCTCAACGACCGAAGCACCGACAGATACCTCTCCGAGTTTCTCAAAATACTGCATGGCTATAACTGGAAGGCTCTTTTATTGTCCACGGGAAGATCAGTGGTTTTGCGGAATGACTTGACCACATCGGAAACTTTCGCAATCGACATTAGGAAGGGATTCGGGGATGGGGTTGCTTTGGGTAGACAGGACTTAGATTGATACTGGAAATGATAATATCTCTCCTCCATGGTGGCTCACACACAACGTTCTCACTTCACGCCTGTGAGGTTTTAAAATGCTGGTCACTGATCAGAAGTGCACATTGATCGTCATGTTTACTATCACCCTCCTCGGCAACTTCCAATTTGGGAGTATGCCCCATAATTACTATCATCTGTTACACGTTTCTTCATATCCTGCGGGCTGTGGTTATTGTCCACACGGCCAATGATGTTATCACGTTGGTGCCAACAATACTCAGAGCGCAGGGGGGCAACCAGCGGTGGGATGACCCTGGAAAAGAGGGGTAGAACAGACACATCCACAGAAACCAGTGCTTCTTCTCTCCTTGCTTCTGAACTCTTCTCTCTTTCTCTCACGAGTCAGGAACTCTCGATACATCGAGTACTAGTTGATTCATCGACGTCTAGTGCCTTACGATGGCCGATCCTCAGCAACCCCAGCCCAGAACCGAACGGCCCGCGCCGTCTGCCATCCCAGTCGATGACCCGGCCGAAGCCCACCTCGAAGCAGAAGCCGACGAGAACGACACATCCTCGGTCGGCGGACTATCCATAGATGAGTCCCAGGCTTCCCTGCGATCCAGCATGCTCGAATACCGTCGCGAGAACGGACGCACTTACCACACCATGAGTGATGGCAAGTACGTGTTACCAAACGACGAATTGGAACAAGAGCGCCTGGATATTCTTAACCATATGTGGATGTTGGTGTGGGATGGAAAGTTCTGCTTATGCCCCAAAAACAAAGGCGCCAAAAGGGTTCTTGATATTGGTACTGGCACTGGAGTATGGGCCATGGACTACGCCGATGAACACCCCGAAGCACAAGTCATTGGCGCGGATTTGAGCCCTATTCAACCATCGTTTGTTCCAACCAACTGCTCATTTGAGGTCGACGACCTTGAGAAAGAGTGGACGTGGTCCGAGCCATTCGACTTCGTTTTCGCCCGCAACATGCTGGGCTCTTTTGCCGACTGGCCAGCTGTTATTGAACAGGCCTACAACAACCTTGAGCCTGGTGGTTATTTTGAAATCCATGATACCATACACCCAGTCCTTTCCGACGATGGTACCGTCAAGGACGATGATCCCATATCGCAATGGTCACGCTACATTGTGGAGGCATGCGACAAGATGGGTCGACCTGTTACCATTGGCCGCCAGCTTTCTCAATTACTCGAAGAAGCGGGATTTGAAGGGATAACAGAAACGAAATTCAAGGCTCCTATGTCAAGTTGGCCGAAAGATCCCAAGTGGAAGGAAGTTGGCTCCTGGGTTCAGGCTTCGTTGTTACCTGGACTCGAGGGACTCTCACTCGCCCTATTCACCCGTATCCTGGACTGGACCCGTGAGGAAACACTGGTCTTCTGTGCTCAGGTCAGGGACGATGTGAAGAACAAGAAGCTCCATGGATATTGGGATGGAGTTTCCGTATACGGCCGCAAGCCCTTTCCTAAGGATGCATGAGGGAGAATAGAAGTCGTTAAACAACTGTTCACATCACTTGTCAGTTTCTTATTTTGGTATTGTTGTATTACGAGAGGCGGCAAACTTCCAGTTTCATACACTTCAGTTCATAGGTTTCATTTCATATCGATTTAAGGTTTTATCCATAGAAACGAATTCCCCGGCCTTTCGTTTTTTACGGCCGTGGAGAGTATAAGGTAATGGAGAAAAACCTCATGAAAGTGAAAAATATACGACCCTAGGTGTCTTTCAGCTCACTTGACTGCGTATACCTCAAAACCTTGTGTATGAATATTCTCAGAGCTCCTTGACTGCATAACTGGTCTTCGATCTCACCTTTAAATAAGTTTCAAATCACTGGGTTCATTAAGAAAAGTCTCGTACGATTGAGACCATATGTTATCGTCATCGTGTCAATATTCGTGTAGCAAAAAGATGCATATTCATGCTCTTCATTGAGCGTGAATCTCCTCGGTGTTGAATGTAACACCAACCATCTTCGGTGTTGATCGTTACCTAATTGGTTCACAATCTGTGCAAAGCCCCCAAGCTCCGTACAGAATTTCCAACCCCTTGCCAAACACCCAGGTCACTGTGTCTGACAACGCAGCGAAGATCCCAAATTCGACCCCAATCGACATCATAAAACATTGTCTGACCTGCAGATGCAGTGGAACTCGCCAGGCAGAAGCGAAAGGAGTTGAGACCACAATGAAGGGCTCCCGTTGGCCGAATCGAACGGCCCCATACGAGCGGCTGACAGCACCGCAGCCACCCATGCCGCGCTCAGCGCGCAAGTCTTAAGAACATAAATCGTAGCGTTTGAGCTCAGGATACTAGAGCACACCTATTAAGTCTCAATCCTATTTGCAAAAATACTCTTCTACTCTTATTCAGGATGTGATTTACAGAGTACTGCTATCGCGCGATACGCTGGACTTAGCACTCAGTTGTTGTGCCGTAGCACTTGGTTCCAAAGACCGCGACTTTTTATCCTAGCAGATAAGGGGAAGATCCGACCCTTAATAGATGGGTCGCCTATCAAATGTGTCCTGTAGATACCTAGCATACTAGGATAAAAACCTCCACTGTGGCCTTTGGAACCAACAAGTGCTACGATATGTTGCATTGGGCTAATTAGAGCTTCTTGTTTAGGTTCAGATCCACCCACACAGGCAAACAGGCAAGACAGCCGATCTCACAGGTAGCCTTGAACAAGAACATAAGAGCAAGCTCGACTCACAAGTCACGGCCACTACAGCCTGATCTTTTGCTCGCAGCTCAGCGGCTGTGAAAATGCAGTGGAATATTCAAATTGCTTGAGAGTCCGTCATTTCTACTCCTATGGCCCTAGTGACTGGGACGAGTTGCAAAAAACACCACCATCAAAGCCATCGATTGACTCAATCAGAATGAGTACCGATCAGCGCGCCGTATCTCCTATGTCCAGCCTGGCCGTCGACCATCGAGAGTCGCTTCCAGACCGGCCACAGCCCTCACCGAGATCTAGCCTCAATCGACCTCGCGATGGTGAGGTCGGAGGGACTAGGTCTGAGAGAGTGCCATCTCCAGATATTTCGTCGCACGGAGCTGGCGAATACTCTTCCGTTCCGACTGACGAGAAACCGGCCGATGATGTTCAGCCGCGCAACAGTAATTTGGGATTCGCGACGATTCTCGCAGACGTCACTTCGATCATCTTTCCAGTGGGCGTCGTCGTTTTCACCGTACTGGTATTCCGCTTGAACGGCTCCGAGGTCGGCGATAACCTGCGAGATTGGCGGAGCGCCATCAACGTGGTACGAGAAGATTCTTCTTCATCGAATCTTTTTGCCACAGAAAGCTAACATTCCCCAGTTCGCCACTCTCTTCCCTATTCTCTACGCGTCTGTCGTGGGGCGCCTCATGTTCGAGTTTGCCCGATGGCGGCTCGAAAGCGGTGCCACGCTGGGTTTCCTCGAGCAGCTCATGGGAAGCAGAACCGTGGGCTCAACCGTGACCACCATCTTCGCGCTTCGGTCGCTGAACATCCTGGCGATTGGCCTGTTGCTCATCTGGTCCATCTCGCCCATCGGAGCGCAGGCTATCTTGCGCATGTTAGAGACCCAAACACAGCCCATCGTTGAGCCTACGAATATTACATACTTCAACAACCGAGCACTACCTGAGAGCATCTTTTTCAGATTGCCGCCGAGCACGTCTGATGACGGCAATAGTCATGCGCTGTTCGCCAGCTTGGCGACACTCTACACCATTCTCATTTCAACGCCGAAAGACATCAAGAGTGAAACGATGGACCTCTGGGGAAATGTCAAGATACCAGTTCTGGACTCGGATTCGGCCGAATGGAAGGACATCCCAGATAATTCCACGGATATTCAGTACTATTCTCTGACCGGAATCCCCATCAGATCTACAGGTGCCGGCAACACGACTCTCTCTCTTGAATCCAGCCACATCCACGTCGACTGTCCAACCGCCAACAGATTCATTTACTCACCCTCAGCAGCCCAAAAATGGAAAGACATCAAAGCAAACGTAACCGGTACGGGTGGCCTTCTTTCACCGACGGAGAATGGAACGTGGATCGGGCTTGATTCCAACAGCACCAGCAGCAGAGACATCCCTGCGCAGTGGTCGATTGCGATGAACAGGTGGGCCGACGACCTCTGGTATCCCTTGTGGACGGAACCCAACAGATCTCTGGATATTTTCGCCAACGAGACGAACATCGAAGCCGGCCCGACTGAACTCCTCCTTCGAATCAACCTGCCGGCAAACACGTTCCAGAGGACGCCCAACCAGATAGAGATCACCTGCAGCATCAAGCAGCAATACGTCGAATCCAACGTCAGCTGTTCGAGCACGGGCAGCCAACGCGACTGCAAAGTCATCGCCCAACGCCCGTCTCAAAAGGCGCACGCGCCGGAGGACATAACACAGCTCTCCTTCTTCCAGGAGTTCATCTGGGTTGCCAGGGAGCTGCCCATCGCCACGGGTAGACCCCTATCCGGCATGACCGACCCGTCTCTCTTCTACCTCAAAGATCCCACCTTTGAGAGCTTCTCAAACGGGTCGTCGGTAGGGATCCAAGATATCGACGAGCGTGACGTCGGACCGCGTTTCGGACAGCTGCTCAACACGTACGTGTCCCTTAGCCAGCTTTCCGGCTCGATAACGAACGCCGGCAAAAACGATGCCGTGGCGCTCGCGTCCAATATCACGACGCATGAAGCGCTTTCGACGACTTCGACTCAGATATACGTTGTTTCCCAGCTGTGGATCGGCCTTTGCTTCTTCTCGACGTGCGTACTCGTCATTGCCGGTATCCTCGGCGTCGTCATTACTCATCTGACGTATGGCCCCGAGACACTGGGCTACGTGTCGACGATGATTCGGCATTCCAAGTTTGTCGAGATCCCGCGGAAGACGGATTGGTTGGATGGATCGGACCTTACGAACAAGCTGAAGGGGGCTCGTCTTCGGTTCGGATACACGCGCCAGGACGACGCTGCAGATCCAGTTCTGGCTGTTGGACATGAGCAGAAAACGGATCGCATCAAAGACTTTGTCGTCAGAAAGTAGCTGTTTGCTCTCTTATCCGATCTTTTAAACCATGATGCTGTTAGACTTAATGATATCTTGTTACGAGGTCGAATCATAGTGAGCTAGCAAAGCAAACGATGGCTTTTTCGAACCAAGCAACCCGAGCGTCGCCGCCACAAGCTCTCCTCCTTGTCTGAGTTGACCAGTGTTTGGCTTCCACACTACCTTGAAAATATCTGCCTTGGCGATGAAGCTAATCTGCTTGTGCATGATCTCATCGAGAATAACGGTCACCTTAGGCTGATTTCGCTGCGGCTTGATTTCCAAGCAGAGCCTAGCGGCGCAGGGGGCTGGTGGTTTAGCTCGACAGGCTGCATATCACAACAGCAATCTACGATGCAGAGCGGAGAGGGTCCGGTAAGCACAACGCAACAATGTGACAATCCCACCACAAAGCGATTTCATACTCTACTCTCATCAATCCCTTCAATTTCACTCTTCCACTTCACAGAGACCGTCATGATGCGCCTCGCGGCCGTCGCATCAGCCTTTGCGGCCCTCATCAGTCTCATCCAGGCAACGCCAACGTGCCACCAGAATCCCCTGACGGTGAAAACGACGAATGGACTCATCACCGGCCATCCCGCATCAAATACCTCGACGGTACTCGAGTTCCTAGGCATCCCCTACGCAAAACCCCCAACCGGCGCCCTTCGCTTCGCGCCGCCTGAGAGGTTCACCGACAATGGCACCTACACCGCGTCCAACTTCGGCTTCGACTGTCCACTCTCGCCGTCACGCAGAGTGGACTACCCCGATATGACACCCCAAGCACAGCGAATCATCGCATACTTCGCCTCGGGGTCCGGAACACCTCAGCACGAAGATTGCCTTACTTTGAACATCTGGTCGCACCCTTCTCCAAAATCCGAATCGGCAAAGAAACCAGTGATCGTCTTCTTCTACGGCGGACGTGAGTAGCCTTCCAAACCCCGTCATCTGCCACCACTCACTCACGGAACCCGCAGGCTTCGCAATCGGCAACACAAACAGCCCCTTCTACAACGGCAAATACTTCGCCCAGGCCCAAGACGTCGTCGTCGTGACGGTAAACTACCGCGTCAACATCTTCGGCTTCCCCGGCGCCCCGGGACACCCGCAGAACCTCGGCCTGCGAGACCAGCGCGCCGCGGTGGAGTGGCTCCGCGACAACGTCGCCGGTTTCGGCGGGGATCCGGACGGTATCACCATCGCGGGCCAGTCCTCCGGGGGCGTGAGTGTCGATTACTGGGCGTACGCGTACGGGGATGATCCGATCGTGAAGGGCCTGATCGCGCCTTCGGGCAACGCGTTTAGTTTCCCGCTGAATAGTCCGGAGATGCCGGCGCGGAATTGGGATGCGGTTGTCGAGGCTGTGAACTGCACGGGAGGCGAGGATGTGATGGGTTGTATGCGTGAGAGGAGGTGGGAGGATATCAAAGCCGCCGCTGCTGCTGTAAGGCCGACGGCGAGTAGTAGCGTCCTCCGATCCATCCCGTCTTTCTATCCCGTGGTCGACAACGAGATTGTATTCCCTGACTACGTATCTCTCACCCAATCCGGGAACTTCTCCAAGCTCGTAAGTCAACCCATCATCACTCTCTCCCTGATGCTAACAAACATCCAGCCCATCTTATTCGGAAACAACGACAACGAGGACGGCTACTACAGAATCCCCGCCTACGCCAACGGCATCGTCCCGACCCCGGCGCAAGTGACCTCCTTCCTCCTCGAATCCTTCACTTGTCCCAACACGTACCAAGCCTCCGCCCGCCTCGCGCAGGGCGTGCCCGCCTGGGTCTACCGCTACTTCGGCGACTGGGACAACACGCGCCTCTTCCCGACCAGCGGCGCCTACCACGGCGTCGACCTGCACATGGTCTTCGGGGCGTCGGGGGACGTGAGCGGGATCCCGCCGTCGGGGCCGCAGAGGCGGATGACGGAGCTGATGCAGCGCGCGTGGGCGGCGTTCGCGGGTGATCCTGAGAAAGGGCTGAGTGATGTTCTCGGGTGGCCTAGGTTTGAGCCGGAAGAGGAGTCGTTGGTGTTGTTGGCGGAGGGGAATGAGCCCGGGGCGAGGTTTGTGAGGCCTGGGGAGTATGATGGGCCTTGCTCGACTGTTACTATGGGTGCTCTGGCGACGGCGACGCCTTCGTGAGGTAAATAGGTTCGATGACTCACGTATGAGGTTTTCCCGGTAGACTACACGGAATATGTGGGTATGAGTATCGGAGATGGGTTTAGACTCTCCGGATTCCACGGTCTGTCTACCAAGGTACGGCTACGCCGGGCTTGATGAGATTCTTTGCTGCCTACTCGACGCCCGGCCAACTAAAAAGAAACCAGCAGTCTACTTTTCAATTTCAGTCTCAAACACTGCCTAATTTCGCAATATGTGTTCCGATTGAACATGAATTCTAGGAGAGTTCTAAAGTTCATGTTCAAGCTTCGCTGAATCTGGAAAGTAAATATCATATATAACCTTCTGGAGACAGCATTTACCTAACCACCTGAGCTTGAATGTGAATTCCACAACTCTCATGCCCGGTGGTTGTATCCGATTCAAAATTTGCCAATCAATCAGGCTTTCATCGAATAGCCATCCATCTCCGAAACAAAGAAACTCACAACCTCAAGGTTCCAGTCCATTGTCAGTAACCTAGAACAATGCCGCAGTATAGCTCAAAGGGTCGTGACGCCGGGACAGCGAAAAAACCAGAGACTTACACCTCAATCACCAATCTCCGAAAGTCTGATCGAGTGATCTGTTCCTCGGAGAACGTCAAAAGAATATGTATATATACCCACTCCCGTTCCCCCCAAGAAGAGATATTTTCTATAGTTCCAGACACACATCAACCATCCTCAACCCAACCAAACAAAACCAAACAACCCAAGACATCATCCAAGATGTCCACCCTTACAAAGTTCTCAGACCTCTTCGACGAGTCCCAGCTCTACACCATGGCACTCCTCATCATCATCCTCACCTACCTCGCCCTCGGCGTCGTCATCTACCGCATCTTCTCCCCCCGCCGCGCACACCCCCTCGACATCGAGTCGACCGCTTCCAAGCTCGAGGAGGGCTGCTACCGGGACATCTACCAGGACTTCAACTCTCCTTCCGAGAAATCCTACACGTCCCCCACCAAAACCACCACCAACAACCTCTACCGGGATTGTCCCTGCAAAACCCTCATCGACGCAATCACCACGACCCCGTACAAGTCCCCCGAGTTCTCGTTCGAGAAGATCTATGGAGACCGCCAAGCCGCCGCTGAACGCAAGAAGAACGCCCCGGTCGGCGACGTCATCACTCGTCCCCTCAGTACCTTCAGCACGCAGAGGGTGTATGGGGGTGTCGACGGGTTTGGGAAGGATTGGCCTCCTCTGGCTCGCCTCTGAGCTCAACGTTGCGGAAGACGACGAACTCGTGATTACAGGTGGAAAGGCTGTCGACTACTGTACCGAAGTTGAGGAACAAGTTCAACGACAAGACAGCAACTGGTCTCTCAGAACTACTCAGCCGGGTGGTGAAAGAGTTTCAATGTCTGGATGGGTGCCTAAAGTATCCTCTTTCATGCTATCAGAATACTCAAACCTAAAACGAGTGGACGCAGGGAAGAGGGACCACAAAGAAGAAAAGATATGGTTGGGTTTGGTCACGGGCTCTTGAGGAAGATACCCCCAGGAGCTCTACTATACTTTGTCATTCAGGACTTAGTTGGAACATCAATGGAGACAAGACATTATACATATATAAGATCATTCATGTTGTCCCAAATTGAGACCAACGTTGCGTTCAATTGATGACGCAAGACTATGCAATATTATTAACAGAAAGCGGCGCTTAACCTGTACCCTGCGCTCGCCTTATCCATCGTGATATACAAGAATCCCGACGGTATGTATGCTGCCGAAGCTGCGTGAGTGTGCTTGCACTGCGCCGTCTGGCACGCGTGCGATAGTCTAAGTCAAATGGTAGAGGCCGTTTCCATGCGGTCAACACCCCTGATGCCAACCCTCGTCATCGAATCAAGTACCCTGACGCCAAGTGCCATGTATAATGTGAGGTTTCGTCCACGAACACCCCCCTTGTCTTTCTCCTCCAACACACAAACATATGGGTATCCAGACGTCCTGCTACCAGTTGCAGAACATAAAGTAGTGATTGACGAAGAAGTTGTAGACGTTGATGATGATAAGGGGAAGCGGGTGGTACCATGGAAAGCCGTTGATAATACGCCATGTGACCACACCGACCATAGCGCCAGTCACCAAAATGGTCCACGAGATGCAGAGAATACGCATGTTGCGGTACTTGTTGCTCTTGTGGGCTTTGGCGTCACCTGAGGCGGCCCAGAGGAGTTCGATGTTGAAAAGGCGGTCTTTGATGGCGGTGAGGTACGCGTAGCTCTGAATCGTGACGACGTGCTGGACGTTGAAGCCATACTTTGCCTTCGCCCATACACGCATTAGAATTACGCCGTACAGGATACTCGGGATGGCGAAGGCCAAGTTCCAGAACTTGAACCACTCAGGACGAATGGCAAGCAGGAGAGTACCGGCGATGGGAGCAAGGAAAATGTTGAGTGAGACAGCAGAGTAGTAAAGGAAGCCTGGAGCTCGTTAGCACGGGAATGACTGATCAGGTTTGTTTTCACGAACCGGAAAGATAGCAGATCTTCTGCATCAAGGTGAGATTGGAAACCCAGAAGTGACCGTTGGTGAGGAGAGTGGTAGAGCCACGAGCCCAGCGCATCTGTTGAGAGAAGAAGGCTCGGGGAGAGTTCGGGCATACACCGGTGGCAAGGCAGAGAGGGATGTACTTGACGTGCCATCCGCGATCAACGGCGCCAAAGCTGTGCATGTTAGCAATCGGTCTCGATTTCCTTTCAAAAGAGCACCACCTACCCAGTATGGACGTCCTCGGAGAACCCAATTTCAGCGGTACCGCCGACCTCGACGAGAGCTTCACGTCGGTAGAGAGCGTTGCTTCCGACGCAGATAGAAGCTCCCCACTTGTTTCGGTTGACCTGGACAACACGGTAGAACAATTCCTGCGTCGCGCCGGCACCCTGTTCAACCCAGGTCTGGTCGTCGGTGACACGGAAGTACTGCGGGCTCTGGACCAGGGCCGTCTTATCGTCGCCCAAGTGCTCCACAATCAATTCCTTCACGAAGTCGGGTCGGGGGCAGAAGTCTGCATCGAAGATGGCGAAGAAGTCTCCGTTGGTTCTGGCAAAGGTCCATCGCAGATTACCAGCCTTTCGGAGGCGAGGGCGGTCGTCGCGGACAGAGTAGTTGAAACCATACTTCTCGGCCAGCGCGCGGACAGTATCCGATGCGCTGTCGTCCATGACGTGAACCTGGAGCTTGGAAGCGGGCCAGTCGATGTTGACAATGTGCTTGTAAGTGTTTTCCAGAATCTCGAGGGGTTCGGAACAGCAGGGGAGGAAAATGTCAACGGTCGGGGCGTTCTCCTCGGTGATGGGGAAGCGCTCGACGAGCTCCAAGTGAGCCTTGTAGTCCCAATCTCTTCCAATAATACCAACGGCGTACGAGATCATCAAGTAGATGCACATGGCACCAGCAAAGACGCCGTACCAGTAGAAGGCGGGCGCGGAGAGCGCAAACAGCCACATTCCGGCGCCGAGCGAGAGGAACGAAAAGACGCCAAAGACGTACAGGAGAATGCGGTTGGTGTGGACGTAGGTGAGCTTCTCGGTGTCGTTTGGGCAAACCGGTAGCACCAGAGGCGGCTCCTCCTTCGGGCAGTAGGTTGCGCGAAAGCGGTTATACAAGCGCTTGGGGAAGGAGTCTCCTGAGGAGGGCCGAAGAGCAGTCGTGTGCTTCTCGTTGGCCTTTTCGGGATCAGACACGATGGGTGGGACATGGTTGGCCTCGATGTCCGTGTCGGACGACGAGTGGTGGTGACCCTTCTCGCTGTGCACCTCTTGTGCCAATGGTGACGGTTCCTGTGCTTGGTCAGTTTGACATTCGCGATTCCAGCGGAGGACGACGACTCACAATTTCGGGTCTGCTGATGCGGTGGTTGGAAGAGTCCGCCCAGCTGGATCTTTGCCCTGATCTGTAGGGTGTGTCTGTGGGAGAGGGGCCGTGGATGGCATTCTGGGGAAAGTCAGCCTCTGGTTCGTAGGTTTGAGGCCATAGCTGGTGATTTTGGAGTATCGTCAACGTACCACGGTGAATGTCGAATCGCTGGCAAGCGACGCGACAGCGCTGGAGTCGTTATCGGTATCGAAAGGGTTCGATCCGAACGGATTAGTCGGGGGCGGGAGACCCGAGTCGGGAGAATCTCCTCGTGGAGCGAAAGAAGACGACATTATGGTATTAGGTGGCTGCGATGGCCGGAGAAAGGAAATTGAGAAGTCCTTGAGCGATGGTATGAAGAAACTGGAAGAAGTTGGTCACCGTCGGCGACCAGAGTACGCCGTGGGAGAGAGGCCAAACGAGACGGCTCCGAAAATTTGACGACCTTCCGTGATGTCGTTGTCGACGGCGGCAAACGAGGTCGGACGGGTAGGAAAGACAAACGAGCGTCAGTGGTGAACGAGTGAAGCAAGCCCGAAGTCCCAAGCGAGAGGCAAGATGTGTTGAGGTGAAGGTGAGGTGGTGAATTTGCAGGCAGGATACGCCCCTCTCAGGTGGAAGGAGGCGGAGGTGGGACAAGGCAGAAAACGGGCAGGAAGGTACGGATACGCCCGCACAACAACGACTACATCACACAGAAACAGGAGATTCAGAGACAACAGAAGGCAAAGCTGAGTGACTGGCACCAATAGGCATCGGCAAGGATCAATACCTTACCTTACTTTACACCTACAATACGGGGCTGGTGAGGATAAGGTGTGGCTCACCTCAGTCACTCCCTATCTTATTCGTTGGGTATTCGTAATGCCTGGCTGTTTTTGATGGACTTTTGCTTCCCTTCTCGCCGTGGACATCAAGCCCACTCAGATCATGGGCAATTGAATTGAGTGAGCTGGTCCAGGGTCACTGAGATACGGCGATTGGAAAGTGACATAGGTGCTTAGACTCAGGTTGTACGCCGTGGCATGATCCGACGAACGAGTTCGTGACATCAGTGCCAAGATGAAGTCAGATTGCTCGGTGCCGTTGATGTCTGCACAGCGGAGGCCCGCAGTAGGAGGATGCGACGTTACCATGTCCATGAAGCCTGCCTCAAAAGCTGCAGATGATCCGGGCCAGCTTGACCAGGTTCGACTCACCGTTAGCGGCAGCAATCAGCACATGGATGAGTGAGATGAGTGAGATGGATGAGAGACAGGGGCCAGGAGAAGAACGGAGAGGCCGGCCGGGGTATGAGAGGAACTGGTGAAGACGGCAAGAATACCAAGAAGGCAGCAATCTTGACGGAGTGGAACAGTTGATGTACTGAGTACCTCACGGATACATGTGGAAACGTGAAGCCCGAGGAGTAGATATCCGAGCAAGCCACAGTCATCATCGGCTGCCAGGGACGAGACGGGCATGATTAATTCCCGAGCCGCCGTCTTATTCAAGTAAAGTAAATAAGGCAGGTAGGTGAGGTGCTTTCCCGGAGGTTTGTTTTGCCCACGTAAAGCAGGGAAGGAAGGAAACATCCTGAAATGTGTGTGTGTGGAAGGAAAGAGCCGCCAGGTGGGCTCATCTGAGCAAGGCAAGTGGGAAGTCACATTTCAGGCAGGGGCTGCGTTTGTTAGTCTCCTGCCCAGACTGGAAAGAAGACACACAACAGCCTGCTTCATGCTTCCAAGCTTGACGGCGCCTTCCCGAGCTGCAGTTGACCCCCCACTTGATCCTTCCTCTGACAGAGCTTTCAACTTGAGGTCCTCCCTTCCTTCTCTGTAAGAAAGGGTGCAAAGGTACGTACCTCTTACACTGACTGGCAGACCCCACATCATTCGCCAATCAGAGCAGGGGTCTTGATAACCCGTATCTGCGCCTTTCTTCCTTCCTCGCGGCCGCCTCAATTTTTATCGAATTTTATTTACCTTGCACACGGGTGAAATCTCTGATATCAGCTCTTCCATGTCCTTCTGCAGAACCGATGAGCCCTGGCGGCTTCTCCGAGACAGAGAAGGCAGCCGTTGATATCAGACGCACCCTTGAAATGCGGCTTCTTGAGACAGCGCTAAATCCGAACCTCCAACCACCAGCCACCAGCTTCACCCCGCGAAACAGGCGACGAATTCCATCAAGAGACAAAGAGAAAGAGGCTGGCTTCTTCAAGCTGTTGGCTTCCGTCATGATTAAAACGCATCCGCGGTCCTCTACAGCCGTGGCGGCAGCAAACAGAGCCCACCAAGAACCGAGACATGGAAATCAGGTCTTGAATCTCGCCAAAGTACAAGCACCACCACCACGGATGCGAAATAACGTCAATGATGCAGCCTGTCTCACCCGCTGCCGTCAGGATCAGATACGGATACACTTGACACCAAACCAAACAGTGGCCCGGTGGAGGTGGATCTCGACAAACGGCACCGAGTCTGGACCACGCGTTTCTCCATCGTTTTCTTCTTCCGCCGTTCCATTTCCATTTCCCGCTACCGGACGCTACCTAATATTGGCCCGTCGCCGGAGAGAAATAAGCGTAATCGCAACAGCCTCCACCATGTAGGCTATTTCGACATCCCCATTCGTTGGCGCGTGCCCTGCTCTTGCTTCCTTTTTCTTCACTTCGGTTTGCTGCCTTGCCGCCGTCCCGCCTCCGCTGGACATCGCTGACGACTCTGTTTCTCTAGAAGCTCGGCGCGCTTCGATGACGCCCTCTTGACGCCCTCTTGACGACCGTCTTGAACGATTATGAGCTCGAAAAAGACCTCCAGATGAGTCGACCGCCTCAACTTGCAACAAAGGAGCAGCGTAGCGGCCACCGGACAGTTTCTCCCAATGATCCCAGCTCGCCCACGATCCAAGGCAGCCAGACTCGAACCAACCATCTCACCACAACGAGATTTCTCTGCCTCGAATTTCCAATCCCTCCTGATCCCGCCGACATCACCCCTGCTCCTCCGCAAACCCCGGCCGAACCCAACCAAAAAGCCTCTGCTCCACTGCCCACGCGCGCAGACGTCGACGGCCTGCGTGGCAGATCCGGTTTTCCTGTGCCGAGACCATCGCAGCAAAAGACGACCGGGCCATTCCCTGCCTCGTGTCTGACCGCCCGCCACCCGCTCACTTACACGCCAAGATAACGACAATCGACGGACGGCGTATGCCCTTCTACGGCACAGTCTCGAATCAACCGCCTAATCAGCAGAACCACATATCGAAGGATCGCACTCATGGATTCTGAGGACTTGAAGCAAAGGAAACGAGATAAAAGTGGTGCCCCCGTGATAAACGAGCAAAAGATGACCACAGCGGAGAGAGCACCAATCCTGCCGGAACATTGAAAGCACGCAACATCCTAAATCACCTTCTCATCTCGGTTCTGTTCCTGGCATGCGCGGCGGCATGGCAGCGGCAAACGTCTTTCTTCCTTTTACCTCAGTCCAGTCCGTTCCGCCCCCTCGCCTTGGACCGTTTTCTTGGTTTTCTCGGCATGGCGGCACGCGCGCCAAGGCGCCAACTCCAAGACACTCGCCAGATAAGCACCTTCTTTTCCAACGACGCCTCCGCGTCCTTCAATCTATTGAATGCTGTGGATAATGGGGACACGCATGGGGGCCTTCGGAGCGGGACATCGACCCAAAGCCCAGTCTGCTTCGAGACCTCTGCCCGACGCGCGGATCTCGATGGTAACATGCTGCCATCGCAGGCCTCCCGGGATTCCTGAGGTAGGTAACTTTCCTCAATCCCGCTCCGCCCGCCTCGGATCCCAACCACTCCGCCAAGACTGGTGTGCATCCCGGGGACCTGTTCCTTTGAGATGTGTGGGAGCACTGCAGGAGCAGCACACCACCAGCAGAGATTGTCAGACACACAGCGGCCACACCAAGTGACAGGCAACACAGACAGATAGCAACACACGCAGAACAGGCAGACCAGTTGAGTCCCTCGGTCACAGCACGGGAATTAAGGCACAACCGTCGATTTGCCCAAGGTGCCTCCTCTCGATGGATGCAACATCGTATGCAGTCTGCGGGAATCCCGCTAGCTGTGCGTACCATGCCCGTCCAAGTCTCTAAAAGCAGTCTCATGTAGTCATCAATACGGTGGTGAGGCTATCGATGCCCGTATCGGACAGCCAGCCACCTCCACCAACGCCAATGATTGACAATGTCTTTGTCCGTCACATACGTTGATTCCGTGGCTGGGGCTTGGATTACGCGTGTTTCTAAGACAATGATCTGCCACGTAGATATACCATACAAGACCTGCTGTTCTCGGCACTGGAGAACAACGCCTCAGCCTCAGTCTGGGAGGCCGCCCCTTCACATGTAGCCCTTGGGGGCTCATACGGTGCTGAATGAGGGGTCCTAATCCACGATCTTGCATCCGAATCATTGCTGGCACCCAACTACCACAGGATCGTTATGATGCCCGGGATACTCGATCAAGACTAGTAGACATGCATCCCAAAGCAAGGTGTTCAAGCTGAAGATAAGGCTGGCATCAGATCCGACATCGGTGGAGGCGACCATTCTCGAACAGCAAGTCCCGTGTGATGATCTCTTTTGCAATAGAAATCCCGATGTGGGAGAAGAATTATTAAGACAAGGCAGGAAGCCGCCTCTTAGTAATAAGACATTAAAGCCACCCAGCGATCATCGTCGCCATCAATCTAGAAGAACCCAGCCACCACCAAGACCGCCGGCGCCACCAACAACCACGCAGACAGTCCCAGCGCGCCCGCCGCGTTCTTGTCGCCGGAGCCACTGTCGCCATTGTCGAGGTCCATGCTGAAGTGCGCGGCGCTGAACGTGATGTTGTCCGGGGAGTGCCAGGCCTCGGAGCCGAACTCGACGAGGCCGAGCCACGAGTCCTCGTCGATCTCGCCGGACTCGAGAACGTACTTGAACAGCGGCGCGACGTCCTCGTCGAACTGGTTCACGTCGGAGCCGTCGCGCGTGACCCATGTGAAGACCTTTTGGTCGCGCTGGTTGGTGTCGTACCACAAGGAGCTGCAGATATCATTAGCACGCGAGAGATACTAAACTAAGGAGCGAGATCGGAGGCGGTTCTCCCCAGTCTCGCGCGGCGTCAAAAACTCACAACTCCGTCGACCCCAGCGTGATGTTGGTCAGGATCGAATCACCCATCAGCGGGTACGGGTCCCCGACCTTGCCCAGCCAGATCATGATCTCGGCCTCGGCGTCGACGGGGTTATACGTGCGGCTCTTGTTCTTGTCGACGAAGAAGTCCCAGGCCGCGTTGGCCACCACGCCGTCGGCCTTGAGCTCCGCCTTGTTCTCCTCCCAGGACGACGCGGCGAAGTCGCGCGTCCCCGAGGATGACGAGGGGTTGCCCTTGGTCATGGTCCACTGCGTGGCGAGGCGGAACGTCTTGATGGCGTCGAGGCGCGTGGGGAGTTTGGTCGAGTTGAAGCGGACGTGGGGGAAGGAGTGGACGTTTTCCTTGTTCTCGTCCCAGGACCACGAGGCGTCGAAGGCCGGGACGGACTGGTCGATCGAGACGCACTGGAAGCCGTCGCCGACTGGGGCCCAGGCGTTTGACTGGACTGTTTTTGGTGGGTGTTAGCATTTCGGTGTGATGCTGATTTGGTGATCCTGAACATTGGAAGTAGCAGGGCGACTTACAGATGAATTGTGTGTCGTCGCTGGTGAACTTGTTCTCCTTGCCGCAGATCGTGGCGTCGTAGTCCGCGGCGACGGATCGCACCGCGGCGAGGCCCGCGGCGGCGAGGAGGGCGTTTCTCATTGCTGCGCGAGGTGGTCCAAAAAAGTACTGGCTGTGTGTAGAGAAGTCGTGAAAACCTTTCAATAAGCGATGAGGAGGACGGAAATGCGACGTCGATGATGTCGGTCGAGTGAATCTGGGGTTAGACGCGGTGGGGGAGAGAACGAGCAGTGGGAAAAAAGGGTAAGGTGAGAAAAGAAGGGTCTAGACCGTCGTCATAGGGGAAGGAAGAAAAAAAAAAGAATAATTGACAATTTCGGTATGTACGACGACAACGGGCTGGAAAAGGGAAGGGAAGGGAAGGGGAAGCAAGGCAGGCGGGAGAGAGACCCTGCCTGCTTATCTCACTCATTGGATGTCGAATGACAGCAGTGACGGCCCAGCTGAGCCGGCTGGAGCTGCAGGACGAGAGAGAAGCCAAGGCTGGGCTGAGCTGGGCGTTTGTGAGTCCAAGATGAGCGACATAGAAGTGAGATCCATTTTCAACTTCTCAGAGTGGAGGAGGCAAGGTGAGAGAGATGTCATTGTACGGATAGTGAAGGCACTTTCCTTGGTCCGGCTGGGCCCTGAGTTCAGTGAGGATTTCACTTTTCATGACCACCTCGTTTGTCTCACTCTAAAGCTGAACTCACTCACCAGAGTAGTGCGAGCTACAGGGATTGGTTTGAGCTGAAAATACAGCTGAGAGTATTAGGCATGCACAGATTGGATGAGCAGTGCTGCTTGCTGGTTCTCTGCTCAAGATAGTTCACATTCAATAGCAGTGAGTGAGAATGAGATGCTGGGTGAGAAATGAACCCTTCACTGAGTGGACGGCTGGCACCAGCTGGTGTGTTAGTCCGAACGATTGCCCTCAGTTGCTTCCAGTTGTCTTTTGAGCCCGCCAACTCTGCACTTAAAACCCATGAAAATTATTACGACTTCGATCTTGAGGATACCAAAACGCACCGCAGAAAGTACACACGAAGAACTCAAACGCGAACGCTCTCCGGAGGACCCAGAGAACTCTCCCTGAAACCGCCCAGATCAACCACTACTTTCTGCACAACGACCCCAGGTTCAAGCAGCCAGAGGTGCAAGCTGTGCTTACCAGACGGCAAATTGATCCTCGACGCAAAAGTCCATCCTCCGGTGATGACAGCCTGCGACCAACCCGACGGCTCCGATCCCATCGGCGTCGTAGGCACAGGCTGCACCGTGACCGGGTTACCTCCGTCGACCGAGAAGGCGTACCGCAGCGGTCGGCTGGGGTCGTGGTTCAGAGTAGCACCTAGGAACACCACGACCCTCGCCGACGCGCTCGACGTGAAAGTGTGAAAATCGTACGTGAGTTTCGGTGCCGCCGCTCCGGGAGACTGAGAGTCCGCTGTGACCGGCCACAACTTCACGCCGGAGAGCGTGCGCCCGTAGTCGGGGATCGTCATGTAGGATAGCCCATTCTTCTCCTCGGCGCTGCTGTAGTGCTCGGCCTCCATGGACACCACGGCCCCCGACTCGACGAATCCTTTGAACCCGGAAAGAACGGAGGTCTTGTGCACGGGGAGCGTCGCGGTGATGGGCCAGCTCCCCGCCGCGTCCGGGGCCTGGATCCGGAGCCCGACCCAGCTCAGACCTGCCGGAGCGGCGTCCCAGTCCACGGTGATCGGCACGCGCACGTCCGAGACCCCGTTCGGGGCGCTCAGCGTACCGGTGCGATTAGAGACGGTCACGTAAGACGCGTTGACGGTGATCTCGTACGTGAAGGACCCGTTGTTGCGGGTGTATATGTCGAGATAACGCTGATCGGACGCCGGCATGTACGGATCAACGGACAAGAGGACGGGCTCCGGGTCGCCTGGAGAAGTCAAATTACTCCCCTGCACAGAGACGCCCATGATCCCGGCCCTGGGCACGTTCGCCTGGTCGTGGTATCGGAGTTCGGGAATGGTGTTGGCCGCCGGCTCGTTCCAGCTGGTGTATCCGATATGCGTCTGCGACATCATAACATCCCACTTGCCCCCGTTGAGCTTGTGGTACCTGTCAGTGATTTGAGCGTCCTCGGCGAAGAGTCTATGCACGTCGTTGGCGAGCTGGTTGGCGCTCGTCCTGCGTTGCTTGTGCCGCCACAGGTTGAGCTCCGCCTTGATGTAGAGCTCGACGACCGTCTTCCCAGCCAGCACGGGATGCAGCACCATCTCGAAGAAGGTTGTGCGGGTGGCCTGCGGGAGAGAGTCGTAGGTGCTCTGCGCGAGGGCGAGGAGATCCGTCCACTCCTTCAGCACTCGTTCGGCTTCGTCGTAGCTTGCGACGCTGTACGCGAAGGGCTTCCGGCTTAGGAGCTCGTACTTTCGGCGGACTATGAGCTTGCCGTAGGTGCTTAGGATCTGGACGGTTCTGTCTGCGATGCGTTCTTCGAACTCGCGCGCCGCCCAGCTGCGGATCCAGGTGTTGGTGCTGGAGGGCGTGGCGTGCTTGGACATGTCGTAGGCCATGTCCAAGAAGTGCGCCGTCGGGATCTCCTATGAATGAATCATTAGTGGAATATTCGGGGCAACCGAATGGTCAAGTGTGAGAATGCGAGCCGCGGGTAAGAGTCTGTGTGAAGGACGTACGGGAGGCTTGATGTCGCCCACGTTGACGATCCATATCTCCCTGGCGCCCTTTTCATACGCTAGGTGCATCTGTTCCCAGGTCTTGACGAGCTGGATGGTGTTGATCCATTTATAGTTCCGGGGCGAACCGACGTAGTCGAAATGGTAGTAAACACCAGCGCCGGCCGACCTGTCCGTCTCATTCGCCAGCGGCGTTCGCAGGAGGTTTCCCACATTATCATCAGTCCATAGGAGCGTCACCGTGTCTGGGACCTTCATGCCCGTCTGGTAATATCGGCCAACTTCCTGTAGAGAGTGAAGACTTAGCATGTGCCTTTCGGGTGACGTTTCCGTCCTGGTTGATGTGTAGGTTCACCCACCTTATATAAAACCCAAGTCTGCGGCACGTCGCCGATATCGTCAGCGTTCAGTCCCTCCTTGAGGACGGACTGCTGCACTTGGATGATTTCTTCGAGGTCTTCGGCTGTGAGAGTCGGTGATGCGGCGTCACCTTCGCCTCTCATGCCCATCGTATACATCGTCTCCCAGTTCCGGGCTCGTTCAACTCCACCCCTGAAGAACTCGATAATCTCAGCTTTGTTCTCATCCCAGTTCCAACCCCCCTCAATCTCTTGCTGTTGCTCCCTCTCTGCGCGAGCCATAGGCTCATGATGACTCGTCCCAATGACGACACCGTACTCCTCAGCGAGGGGGCCATTCTTCACATCATCAACGTAGAAGGCACTGCCCCACATCGCCGGCCAGATATAGTTCGCTCTCAGTCGAAGACAGAGCTCGAAGACGAGCTTGTAGAACTCGCTGTTGAAGGGCCTGCCGGTGGCCGTGAGACCAAACTTCTTCGTGGCCCAGCCTGTCAACGCCGGAGCCTCGTCGTTGATGAAGAAACCGCGGTACTTGACGGACGGCGGCCCCTGAATTACCCGAGTATCGCGCACCCAGACGCCGGTCTTCGTCTTGGGGGGGACGTCTGCCCACCAATACCACGGAGAGACGCCGATCTTCTCGGATATTGCGTAGAGTCCGAAGATGGTTCCCCTCCGGTTGCTTCCCGCGATGACGAGAGCCCAAGGCACGTCTGTCGAGATGTCTTTGACGAGGGCCATGGTGTAAGACTCCCACTTGCCGGTAATGTCGGAGACGGCAAGTTTGCCTGCTTTAACCAGACCATCGATCAAGGTAGAGTTTCCGATAGTTCCGGCAATGATGACGGGGGCCTTTTTGGTCTTGCTTGCTTGTGAAAGGTTATCGACGACCTGTCTGGTTCCATTGACGCCGAGCACTCGGCCGAAGTCGACGGCTAGGTCTTGAGAAGCCCGGTGGACTGCCGGATAGTCGTTCTTAGCCACCCAGACCTGAGGGCCGGTCTGTTGACTAGCAAGACGGTAGTTAGATGAGCCATCCTGGAAGAGGAGTATGTCTTGTTGAGCTAACAAGACCTTCACGAGGAAGAGAAGTACAATGGTCGCAGACGACCATCCTGGGAGTCGCAACATATTGACGGAAGCTTGAACAAGAACTCAGGAATCTTAGAGTTTGAACGATATACGAGGGCGAAGGCTCTGATGGACTGATAACTCTAGTAATCACGGAGAGACTCTTCATCAATTTATATGCCAAGTCTCTCGGGCACTCTCACGAACATGCTGATAGCTGTGAAAGCGCAAGCGCAAGCGTTGTTAAAACTGTGTTATTCGATTGGCGAAATCACAGAAGAAGTGTTGATAGACGCCAGAGTGGGGGACATGCGATCTCATCGATCGCGGGGTATGCACGTTGTTTTAGCCGGACTCAGATCGCATACGTCGTGGCAGTTTAGCCATCGCCGGCTATTCTGAATCCGTGAGCTAGAGTCCCTCGAGTGATGGACGGATATAAATCCGAACTCGAACAGCAGTGTAACTATCGATGTTGAACCATCTCCTTCCTTTTTACGTATCCCACCGGTCGAGGAAGCTGCGGGGAGATCACGAAGATCTCGTATGCTATATCCTGTTGTTCCAACTAGGGAGTCTTCATGATGATCGCAACTTCATTTACGTAGGTGTCGAATGCCTACATACTATCCAGAAAGGGTCGATCGCTTCGTTTAGGTACAGATAAGCTAGGACTTATGCGTTGGCTATGATGGCTATGAGGCGAGGCCATCATGTGGCTTCTAAGTTCTCATTGGACTTGTACACAAATTTTGTTGTCTTGTGGTTGCCTCGTGAATTTCTAGACTAGATTTCAGAGGCAATACAATGGCCTTCGATTTCATTAGATGTACTGCTTGAATGCCTTCATTTGGTCCGGTGGAATGCCAAGATATCAGACCTAGGCTGTGTTACATACGTCGAATTTAGCCATCGTGGCTTCTCAGTTGAGCCGGTTGATGTGTGAGTGCCAAGGCGAAACCGATTTCCACCTATGAAACCCATTGAGCTTCCGAAAGAAACGTCACACGATCTCACATCGATTAGGCATAAAGCGGCTTGGTATTCTAGTCAAGATGATCTTGCGAAATATCGTTAGCGGCATCTACTCACACTCAGGCAAAAGTGAACAGGTGGTGCGCCTCGCCGGTGGGATGCGAATTTTCATTCTGTTCGACATCATGGCTAGTAGAATGAAGGAAATCGCGCAGACGAGATGCTAAGGACACTCATAGTAAAATCTGTTGATTGTATGAAATGATGAACCTCTTGCTCTCTTCGTTTCTCGTCACATCGCTATCAACCAGCTTCGCTCTCATGAGACCCGATCTCATTGTGTGAAGAAAGTGAACCAAAACGTAGGATACATGACCAAACGTTGAAACTTGTAATAGAAAACCCTTGTTACCATCCTTCTTCGATGAATTTCACTCGCAAAACCTATATTCATCAGAGCAGCTACTGAAATTATGAGGTGAGATGCTTCGCAGTGCCTCATCGCGCCTACAGCTACAAGCTTCACTTGACGAGATGAGAATGAGACGAAGCGCACCTCAAGTGACTCATCTCACTCTACCGTCCCCCTTTTCGCCTCTAATCCTCACGGAAGAGAGATCATTCAAATGTCAATTAATCACGTCACCTCCCGAGCCGCAACGTGAGCCGCAAAACTCAACTTATAACCATAAACCATACCCATGCGATGAGAAGGCCTAGATCTCATGACTAAGCTCACTCACCAGCGGAAAACACCACGCCCGAGTCATTCCTCGCTTGCAACGAGTGGACGGGCCTGCGCAACTCTCGGGCACCGCTGTAGCTGAGCTCTCGTAACCCGTAACAACCCCAAAACAGAAGGGTTAGTAGCAGAGAATCTCGTATTCCAGCGCGGGCGCGCCGCTGAGGTACATAATCGCAGTGATCGCCCCCATCTCTTCGTGTTTGGAGTTTTCTCTTCTTTCAACACGATCTCTGCGACGAGTGAGCGACATGAAAGACTTCGTCCAAGAAGGATCCGATCTCTCTGGGTGGGAGACCGCGACCGTCATCCGAACCAGCACAACCACCACCACCACCACAGCGACACCACAACCCTGGATTTGACAGTACCTAGCAGCTGAGGACCCCCTTTTCGCCTTGCTTCCGCCGTCCGAAGGCTACGCTGCTGCCGGCCACACCACCAAGACCAAGACCACCCAAGCAACCAAGGCTTGGAGGACTCCAGTATCCTACAGACAAAGGAGGGAGCCAACGTGAGCTCTTGGAGTCTCCAAGACTTCGACTGTTGGTCCTCATTTGCTGGCGATGAACACGTACACGGATGAGCGACACGAAGAAAAATAAAAAAGGGGGCAATTGCTGGGCAAAGTGCCGCCGGAGCCGACTTCCCGCTCACCGTTCACGCCTCAGAAAACGGCCGGCCAGCCAGCAGCACACTCGGGAAGGATCAAATTGCACGACCATCTCTGGACGAGATCGCCTGTCAGCTCTGCTCCGGAGCGGGATTGGGGGCTCAGGGGAAGAAGAGGCGGGTAAAATATCATCAGAAAAAAGACGAGGTGATTTGGACATCGGCGTTAAACATCACCGACCCGACATACGAACCGACATTACTGCTGCAAAGACGACGGAAGACCAGACCAAGCCTGAAGAGGTGAGTGACAGCGAGAAACGACATCATCAGCGACCACGACCCCCCTCGGCCGGCAGAAACCCATCAACAACTGACTGCCACGCCCATAATTCAACCGAGACGAACTGAAAAAAGACGACGGCTCCATCTTCGAACCCGAAATCCTTTCCTCCCGCGCACCACCCGATCCACCTTGCCGAGCCTGTAATCAACGAGGCGTCGTCAGCACCGGCAGGGGTTGATGCTCGTCCGAGTGGGAACCTGCGTCTCTCCGCCCTTGGTGTCCAGCTTGGCGGTTCCGCTGCCATACCTCGCACCAAGTCATTCAGGTCTCGACGAGGTATTCGTACTCCGTACCCGTGTCTTCTGGGGACGGACGGGTGTGAGAGCTGTTTGTCTGGTGTCTGGTGTCTCCCTCCCTTTCACCGCAGCGTTTGATGCACCCTTCACCAACAGCCCAGTCCTCCACGGAACGAGACGAACTGCTTGCTTCTTTTCTCTTGGCATGTCTTACCACAGAGCATCCCAAAGTCCATCACACATCTCCATGTTCCGTGTCCCACGCGGGACCTTCGGCTCGTGGCGAGCAGCAAGAAAACTGACAGCTCCAACAAACCTGTCCGGCAGAGAATAACGGTTGCTTCACCGTACCAGCGCCAAGGTTCGCTTGAAAAGCCATTACCTTATCGATCTGACCGGGATCTCCTCGTCACCGGACGACCGTCGCCTGGGTCTGGAAATCCACAGCACCGTGTTCTTTATTTTTTTCCCAGCAATCGAGTCGCCGATTGGGTGCGCTTCTGAGCACGTCAACATGGAGAACCGAGTTTCATCCTGCTGTGACGGACGGCAGTGCACCAGTTCCTCCGATTTATTGCTCTGAAAGCTTGCTTGGTGGCCACATCGTCCCTGTCCTTGCGCTCCTTGCCGTCCGACTCAGGCGAGCGACCGTCTTCTGTGACGCCGCATCGTCTATTCTCCCATCCGTCATTATTCATACCTCACATTTAGTACCGTCCGTTGTCCCTTCTGTGGGACAAGACCGAGCCAACGGCAAACTTCTGTGGCGTCCCCGCGCTGCGGCAATTGTCTTAAGGCCTGGCCAGTTCTGGTTTCCAGCATGTCTCGTGCCTGAAGATCGCGCGGGCTTCTTTGCTTCTGCGAAGCTAGCCCTGCAGTCTGCATGGCGTCGGCAGGGGAATCGAGGTGGCGGCTGTTTTGCCATTGCGCTTCCAATTCCCGCCTTTCCGCCCCAATATGAGCTGAGACGAGAGAGCCTCATCTCATATCTTTTGCCTCCCCGAATAATCGACGCATCTAGCTGGTCCGGGACCCCTGGCGGCTAACGTCTGCTGATTGCGCCGGCTTCGTGATAGTTGTCGTTGCGCACAGCCGATTGGAAGGCAGCATGCCCTACTGATGCGAGGCGATCGGCTGCGAGTTACGACGCAAAAAGTCGTCGCTCTCGGCGGTACTTTGAGTGACCTTTCGAGGGCCAAGGTGATTTGGTGAAATGTTGTGATTGCATCCGTAATGAGGTCCCCCCTCCAGACCCCCGTCCGTCATCTCCTGGATTCCGCCACTCCGATGGAGGAGGAAGGCGGAAAGCGAGGGGTGGAGGGAGGGAGGAGGCAAGGAGGGGGCCATATGTGATTCGAGAGTGGTTCGTGAGCCATGTCTCGCGCGAGTTGTGCACTCTCCTACGGTCCCAATCCCGCTCCTCGATGCGAGCGGCTGAACCAGTCCCTGAGAGTCTGGAATAGCCTCCAAACATCCAATATGGGACAGCATGAACGGCAGTCGTCCGCAGCACTATGGCTGAGGCTCCCGGCGGGCTTGGTGGTGGTGCGGTGGGAGGGGACGTGTCGGGGGTTGGGATGACCCCTCTGCGGGTTGTATGGGTAAAACATCAGAGCAAACGGATGATGGCGATCGTCGAGAGTTTGTCAAACCGATACCCAGCGCCAGTCCACTACCTTAATTCTGAGGCGCTGGAGAATTCCCATGTTGAGTGCCCTGGGCGTCCGAGGCGCGCACTGCGTGGGGTCAAGTCGTCCTCGAGGAGCAGGCCACGCGGGAGTCCTGCCTGTACCTGCGGTGGGTGTGCTGTCGATGACGATAATGAAGCCGAACGAGATGTGGATATCGAGCGGATGGGAGGGTCTGGCGAGAGGAGAAGGCCAGAGAACACGAGCGCGATTTCACATTTGGGCGTTGGCCAAGACATCATGAGAGATGAGGCCAGCAGTACTCCATACTCCGTATCACGAGGTGAAGTTCCTTGGCCAGGAACTGACCTCCAAGTTGTAGCAATTGAGTTGTGGGGTCTTGATCAAATGTCTCTCTACCCGCTCCCTCCGGTAGAGGTTCGAATCCTCAGAGGAGCAAGTTGAAGATGGACTGCCATCTCAGGAAGTACCACTGCCCATCACTCCACCTGCACAGCGACACTATCCGTAATGAATCGACCTTTTGTCCTGAGCATGGTTCACGGACACACAGACTGGTTGGCTGTCAGCCGCTGTGCCTGAACAGCGCAAGACAAGACATGGAGGCGCTTTAAGCTTGTAGGATCTGTCTCGCCTGCCTCTTTTGCTTCTCTCCCCTTGCCTCGTCGGTCTCGATTGATGCTTCTCGGGCACCAATGCACCGCTGGGACGTCCAGGCCCTTGCTGCGGCTTTAAGAGACTATCTCGACGCGGGAGAGACATTCTCTCTGCTGAGGACTGAGGAAAGTCGAGAACCGTCGACGGTCCGAGATGATGTCACACACCTTAATTGACAGGCCAGACACCAGGCTAAGACAGAAGAAGGTCCCTTGCTGCTTGCTGCCAGGCCTGCCATGCTGATGCCGGCCTGCTAGTGCGGGCTTTCACGACCCGGCGGCGGTAGCGAAGTCGTCTCCGTTAACATGCCGAAGACGGTACCGAAGGTATTGAAGTACCGTATCTGTATGTGTACTATGTGTGCAGAGCTCGAGGTGTGTTGAATGTATTACAGCCGGTGTACTCGTGTATCTCAAGCAGATAACGTCCCCCTTGAGGCCAGGCATGTATCCGTAACCGCCGCTAAATCTGACCTTCTCTCTGAGCTTGAGTTTAGTCGGGCAGACACTGTGTGGCGCCAGCAGTCCCAGCCGTGATATTGCATTTGCCCTCAGAGACCCCCATCGGATGACGAGGTACATGATTCCGTCCGCATCTGCCGGTGGCGGTGGAAGTACCTCGTCATCCGCCTGGAACATTGGGGCATTCTGACTTGGAGATTGGAGATTGGAGCCTCCAACTGTAACTTTGGGGAAACTGGAGCTGGCATCCATTGCATGTTGCGTTGCGTCCCGCCAGTCCGTTCCGGCGTTGATTTTTGTTGGTTTTTTTGCCTGCCGTCATTTTCTTTTTCATTTCACAAACATGGAACACGCGTAATGGAAGACTTGTCATTAGTCAAAGGGAAGCGTCTTCGGCAGCAGATTGACACCGCAACTTGACGTGTCGGCATTGGCATCAGCAGTTGCACGTTACAGATCTCTACAGCATCAGTCGGATGGCAGAGCATTAGCACACGGAAACTCTCCACGAAGCAGTGAGATAGATGATCATTGATGCCCCCTTTTCCTGGCCTTCGAGAAACACCTCCCCGTCAATGATCATCGCCAGAACCCCAAAGCCAAGCTCGACTTCAGGGACCGGGCCAAGGCGTTCCCGTCGTCGTCCTACACTACACCACGGTCTCAAGGGCCCGGCCCCTCGCTTTCAAAACGGAGGACACGCATCCCTTCCACGCCATCCCATCGTCCGTGATGCTGCAAGTGTCCGGGGCATCCCGCCATCGTCGCAGCAGCCGCAAGCCGCAGCCCATCCGGAGGACTCCGTCCCGTTCGTCTCCGCCGTGCTGTGAATGTACTCGTACAGATAGGTATTGCGCTACTGTACGTACAGCATACGATGGCGCTTGCTGCGAAGAATCGGTCAGCAGAAACAACGGACGATGACGGTACCGAATACTTTCGATATGCAGCTGCAGGACGCCATTCATCCCTGGCCTCGACGTTGTCTATGCTGCAAGGCGAAGGAGTCTTTGGGTTCGACACGGCTGCCGTACCGAGCGCCAAGCTTCGAGCGGTGGAAACGTTGCCGTCCGATAAGGCCAAGAAGTCTCGAAGGAATCACCAAGTATCCGTAAGAGCCTCGTGTCTTTCCTGTCCTCCCTCTTTCCAGCTTGTTTCTTTTTGCGGGATGTGATGGTCGTTGTTTCCACGTTCAAGTCTGATGATTGTGTGTCTGATCACTCTTGCTGTTTTTTGAGTCTCTTTCACAACAGAAACATGAAGCAAGAGGCAAGGTCAGCAATATACGGTGACTGCACCAGTTCCCAGTTCCAGTGGTTAACTTGTCACCTCAACTTGTACAGTACAGTAACGTATTCTGGAAAGCCATCAACCCGGTCCCAGTCGGTCGTAGCCCCGGCGGCGGCCTTCCCTGCTGCCCTGGCCTGGTTCCCTCTCTGCGGTCGTGGTCGTGGTCGTGGTCGTGGTCGTGGTCTGGTCTCTCGCTCGTCTGCTGGGATGGGATGGCTCTCAGAACAAGGATGTGATGCCCATGCAATGCCTATCTCCTTCTCTCTCCAGACCATGCTCCTCCAATCCACTTGCAATCCCCATCCCATCCTGTCCAGTCCTATCCCATGTTGCCCATTCCCGTCCCATTATCCATCCATCCCCTTTCCCACCGTCGCAGTCCAATTCGGTGGTCCACAGTCTGCAAAACCGGCTGACTGCACCGTCACTCTCGAGAAGGAGGGACGCAATAATAGAAAGGAAAAAAAAGAGCCAAGACCCTGGGGAATATATCAAGAAAGAGCCCCTGTGCCCTTGCCCGCCCTCTCGTCCTGCTTGCAGCTTGCAGAAACGTCCAGCCCGCTTCGTTGCTTGCTGCTGTTACTTTGCGCGTGTATCCCGTCCCGCCATCCATCTTGTCCCTCACCTTCGTTGGAGATTGATGATTCTCCAGGTTGAACGACCTGCCGCTCGCTCCACGCCCGCCTCCCTGACATCTTTCTTATTTCTTTCTTTTCGAAAGTCGCCTTCACATTAAACCCGACAACATCCGCCCGCCTCTCGCCCTCGATTCACTTCCAGGCGCGCAAGACATCGATCTTCACCACCACGACCGGCAACATCAACAGCCTCTTTTACAACGGGCGCCACCTCCATGTGAACCCGGTTTGAGCTTTAGTGTCACTATCGAATCCCACTTTCGCTCCCACGCCTGCCGCGTCTTACACCCACGCCAATACCCGCGCCCACTCTTCCGATCCCGCCTGAGAGAAGCGAATTGCTCCGGCTGTATTCGTACGAAGGAAGCCGCCTGTCTTGTCTCTCAATTCACCAGAGAGACTTCGTCTTGGAAGCCACGGTATAAAAAGGAAGCAAAGATCGATTGCCAAGCCAAGCAAGGGAAATCAGCTTCTCGACTTTTCAGAAACCCGTCTCGCATTTCAGTCTCTGCAGGCAAGACCACCGTCGGTTTCTCCTCCCCTCCGCAACAAAATACTCGATCCGCTGGTTGGTGTCGTCAATCCCCGGTGCGCCTCTCCACATTCAAAAAGGCCATTCTCGTCCGCTCTTCGCCTCAGATAGAGAGCTCAATTCACCAGCGACGACAATCATCATTCCGCTCGTTTCAGTTAGACTGGAATTCCCGCAAGCACGTCAACTTCTTGAATTGCACTCTTCGAGCTTCGCAGCAAGTTACTTGATTCGCAACTTTTCCACCTCAACACCCGGTTCGCCTCGCATCCAACGCCAGTCGTTATCCCCAAGCCATTCGGGAAGCCAACCCGTTTGACTATTCGCATACGTCGCCGACTCTGTTCGCCAGAGAACACAACCCCATGGCTGCCAGCTTTGCGCGCGCAGGTCTCGTCTCTACCGATACATCCTCTACCATTGGCAGCATGGCCTCCCAAGCAGATGGCACCCCGGGCCACTCTGATGCCGGCTCCGGCAGCGGAACCCCCAACTCTTCGCCTCCCGCCTCGAGACCTCGCAGCCCCGAGCTGAAGGGAGAGTCAGTCAGCGCTCCCGATCTGGAGCCTCTCGAGCCCATGAACGTCAAGAACGTCTGCTTTGTCGGTGCTGGATTCGTGGGTAAGTAACGCGCGGGTGGCAGCTCTCAACGCTGCCCGTTTTCTCTTTACCCTGACTCGTCTCGACCCTTCATCCTGGCTGCTTCGCCCCTTGCACAAGACAGCTCGAGCAGCTTGCTCTACCGCTGTGGCGCGTCATTAGGGGTACCAGTCATCATGAACTTTATGGTCGACGTGGTGCTGTGCGCTGTGACGACTTACACGCCGCACTTATACGTCGTCAGATTGCCTATTCCAGACCTCGCATTCATTGTCCGAGACTGAGCTAATCACAACTTGCAGGTGGCCCAACTGCCGCTCTGATCGCTCTTCACAACCCCGACCTCATCGTAAACGTCGTCGATCTCAACGCCGACCGCATTGCCGCTTGGAACTCTCCTCACCTGCCCATCCACGAGGCCGGCCTCCCCAAGATCGTTCGCATTGCCCGCGATGGCACCAACGACACGACCGCCTTCCTCCCGTCCATTGGCAAGTCGCTCAAGCTCGGCTCTCGCAAGCCCAACCTCACCTTCACGACCGACGTCCAGCGCTGCATCGCTGAGGCCGACATCGTTCTCATTTGCGTCAACACCCCTACCAAGACGTACGGTCTCGGTGCTGGCTACACTGCCGATCTTAGTGCCCTCGAGGGAGCCAGCGAGACCGTGGCCAAGTATGCAAAGAACGGCGCCGTCATCGTGGAGAAGAGTACCGTTCCCACCGGAACCGCCCGCATGATCAAGGAGATTGTAAGTTTTGCTCATTCCCAGGACCCGGAGGAGCTTCCCTGTCAATGGATGCACATCCCGATGTGGAGGATTCGGTAACCCCCACACGCGGGGATCGATGCAGAGCCGCACGGAAGAAGGACGCAGTGTTTGGGGCACAAGATGCTAACTATAGACCAGATGGCACAGTACCAGCCCGATTCGGAGTTCGAGATCGTGTCCAACCCGGAGTTCCTCGCCGAGGGAACCGCCGTCCGTGACCTGATGCACCCAGATCGTATCCTGATCGGCAGCTCTACGACGCCTGCCGGTATCCGCGCTGCCAATGGTCTCAAGAGCGTCTACGCTGCGTGGGTTCCCGAGAACAAGATCTTGACCGTCAACACCTGGTCAAGTGAGCTGACCAAGCTTGTTGCCAACGCCATGCTTGCCCAGCGTATCAGCAGCATCAACAGCATCAGTGCCCTCTGCGAAGAGCTCGGCGCTGACGTCCAGGAGATCAGCCAGGGAATTGGTGCTGATACTCGCTTGGGCAAGAAGTTCCTCCACGCCGGTGTTGGTTTTGGCGGTTCTTGCTTCGAGAAGGACATCCTCAACCTCACCTACATGGCCCGCACGCTTCACCTTGACACCGTTGCCGACTACTGGATGGGTGTTCTTGATATCAACAAGTACCAGCGTGAGCGCTTCGCCCAGAAGGTTCACCGCGCTCTGAACGGCAACCTCCGCGGCAAGAAGGTCGCCATTCTTGGTTTCGCCTTCAAGGAGAACACCAACGACACCCGCAACAGCATTGCTGTCCACATCATCGCCGAGCTCGCCCACGAGATGCCCAGCGAGATCGCCATCTTCGACCCTGGTTGCGACCCCAAGGAGGTTATGGATGAGGTGCGCCAATCCATTCACGACCAGCGTGTTCTCGACCGCGTCAAGGTCCGCTCGACGTGGCGCGAGACTGTCCACGGCTCCAGTGCCATGTGCATCCTCACCCCCTGGTACCACTTCCGCTACCCCAAGAAGGCCCAGGCTACCGCTCGCCGCTCTTCCATGTGGAGCAGCGGTGAGGCTTCCCGCGAGGAGGCAGCCGCGTTCTTCAAGGAGGCTCCCTTGTCCGAGATGGACGTCGTCGAGTTGGAGAAGTTCGTCTCTCGCGGCGCCTCTAACACGCCGGTCGACCCTCTCAAGCGCATGAAGCCCGAGAACGAATGCCCCGAGAATTGCAAGGGCTGCAGTCTCGATGCCGCAGGCGAGGATCTCGGCGACCCCATCGACTGGGAGTGGACTGCCTCTGTCATGAGACGCCCGCGTCTCGTGCTGGACGGACGTAACGTCGTCTCCGGACCCGAGCTCGAGAAGCTTGGCTTCACGGTACAGGGTATCGGAAAGGGTCTCGTCATTTGAGGCTCACGTTATGTTTTGACAATGCTTATGGGTTAAAAGCGGTTGGACAGCGATACATGGGGAATGCTTTGCATTATACTGGCATGGACCGCGGCCGAACGTACATTTAAATGAGTACTCGACTGCATGGTATGGCGTTCAGGAATGGTCAAAGGGCAATGGGCGGCGTATCATCACTTTTTTCTTTCATGCCTCTGGGTCCGACTTTTGGGTCCCTCGGCCATCATCATTTACTTTTACTTCCCAGCTGGAGGACATTTTGGGTTCTAACCAACTTTGTAATTCCGGCCTTTACGAGAAGCTGCCGAGAGGTAGACGGAGGAAGCTTTCTGCTGATACTGGGATGAATATACCCGACTTACAAGTAATGTCTGTTGATGCATTTGGTGAATCTTGAATGACGCGGTGAAGGCTTCCATTGAACTGCGTCAACGCGCTAATTCTTACCGCTTTTGAAAGAATCCCCGACAAAATCTTACGTCTAGGATATCTGACTTCACTTCTGAAGCTTTAGCAAGGTCTTTATTGCTATTATCAATTCTCCTATTTTCCACTATGCCTCTCGTAAACCGTACATTGCCATCCATACGAAGAAGCGCCGGTCAACTGACGCGAGAGACTGATGCTGCAGGCCTATTAAAACAGCATCTCTTATCCTCGCCACTTTAGTCGACGCTCTTCCACAAGTTCACCAGGAACTGCGACTCATATCTCCCACCCGTGTGCAGCCTATGTCGTCCGACGTTGTAATTCACAATGCGCTTATCCAAACCCTCAAACTCGGGCATGATGGGATGTCGACCCTTGATCTCGAGGCTCATAGATTCCCCGGGATCGAAGATCATGCCGCCAGGCCAGAGGCTGATCTCAAGCTCGACCACCTCGCCGCGGCGCAACACTTGCGGTGCCGTGTGGGGATGGTACACGTACGCGGGTCCCATGAGTGCCTTGTATGCGTCTTGATCGAGTCCCTCGAGCGACTCATTCGCAACGGCGCGATGGGATGCGCGAAGACGGCCATTGGGCCCGATGTAGCGCCTGCGCGTGGTTCGATACTGTCAGAGGCTCCGGACTGACTATGATCTTAGCATGAAAGTGACTCACCAGATGTTCTCATTCGGAATATCGTCCACGGTTGTGCCCTCCGGAAGGTCTTTCATGGGAATATTCTGGTGCCACAGTGCTTCGCCGTTCTTGTCGAGTTTGCGGAGGACAACGTAGACGTCCTGCCGAAGTTCGTTCAGCATCAGACATTCTAATACGTGTACTTAGCCTCTTTACGGGAGAGCTTACCATATCGTCATGATCCTGAGTTGACATGTAGACTTTGGCCTTTGAGATACCACACAGCTCAGTGTAGTTCTCAAAGGTGTGGCGGAAAGAGCATCCAACGTCAGCAGGCGAATCCGCTTGGTATTCAACCACGCCTTCGACTGAGGGTTTGCTCTGTTCCAAGGTTCCCTTCGTCGCGTCGAGGAACAAGGTTTCGTACTTGAATTTGGCTGGGGGATACTCCGCAGCTGGCCGGTTCGCCGCGCTGGGACGATTGTAGCCCAAAAGCGCGTACCGGATCTTCGGCGTGCTCTCCCAGCCGTTGTCCTTGTCGAGCATGTACTTGTCGAAGAAGCGCTGCAGGTCGTCGAGGTTCTCTGGCTGGTAGATATCGTGCCATTCCTGGGTCACGGTCCAGCGCAGCCTGTTGACTGGGTATTCAGCTACTGGGTAGATGATGCATGGGCTTGACTTTGACGAAGAAGAGGGTGAGGGTATCTACCATTTTTCAGATGATTGGGAGAGCTGGAAGCCTCTGACTGATCCTTCTGTATGTAAACCAGTTGAAAAGCTGGCAGTAGCATACATCGGAGTCGTGATGTTGCGGAGCTTGGGTTTCTTGTCTTCCCAGTAGTCGTTCCAAGTACCATACTTCTCTACCATGGCGCCGACGTCCTCGCGTTTCCCAGGTCCTGTGGAAGATGGCAATGTCAGAGAAGGCCGCAGGGATTGCATCCTATTCAGGAACACAACACTTACCGCATGCCCAGTCCATCAACACGTCCCAGAAAGCGTGGTCGGGAATACCGCCGCGACAAATAGACTCCCTGTAGTAATCACCCAGCCCTTCCCAGGGCGCCATGCAGGTAAGATGAGGAGGCCGTTCGGCAGCAATGAACCACTGCGTCGTGCCAAGCCACGAGTTCCCAGCCATAGCGACTCTCTCGTTGCACCAAGGCTGCCGCGCGATCCACTCGATGCAGTCGTACCCGTCACGGCCTTCCTGGGTCCCGTACACGTGGAGATCCCCGCCCGACCTGAACGACCCCCGCGCGTCGATGTTGACGACGGCGTAGCCGCGGCCGACCCACTCGGCCGGGTCCGGGGCCTCCCACTTCTCCAGGCCGCTCGTCGCGGAGCGCGGCACGCCGACGCGCCACGGGAACATGTCGAGCTGCTGGATGCCGGTTCCGGTCTTGCCGTAGGGGCTCCAGGGCATGATGGCCGGGACGGGGTTACTGTCGGATGTGAGTGGACGGAAGACGTCGGCCAGGAGCTCGACGCCGTCTCGGAGCGGGATGTGGACGTCTTTCTCCCAGACTGTGTCGACTAGGAAAGCCTTGCGGCCGTCCTCTTTGACCCATCCTTTGGCGATAGTTCGCTTCTCGGGAGGGCCGTACGGGATCCAGGTATTCTTTGGCTCGTGATCGAGCTCGGTGAATAAGACGGGGACGCTGAAGGGCTGTACGCTTTGTGGCATTGTGGAAGGTTCTTCAGACTACAACGTGTAATAAGGCACGGTCAGAAGCTCGGCATACGGCAGAAAAGGTGGGAGGTTCCATGTATGATAAAGTGCAATTCCCCAGACTCGTTCTGAGGGGTTACTCGAAGGATATTGTAGCTCCAAGAACGGGATCCCCACCCCCGCAATCGGCGACATGCCACATCGAGGTAAGAAACAGGGCTGAGCAGGGATGTGCTACAAAGTCTCTGGCTTTCAATGGTAGTAGCAGAATTTCTTAGGGGAATGAAGTAGAAGGATTTACGAAGAATCAGAGCTTTTGAGAAATGTATAGCTAACAATATACCTCCAGCTTTACATCATACTCTGTGTGTGCTCACGATGCGGAGTCGCTTGTCGCTCATCCCGAAAATCGGGAGCACACCCTTTGGCTTGAAACCCGAGTATGATGGACATCTCCCTAGCCATCCTCGAGACCGAAGCCCCGCTTGCCATGATCCGTGATGCTTCTTTGTACAAACGAGGGCCGCTGCGGCCACTATGCAAGAGACCGACCCCGGTAATGTGAGGTGTTCTATGATTCCTGACCTCCAACCAATTTTTCAGAAGTTCTCCGTCGACGATATGGTTGATTCGGATGATCTCCGTGCCAGACTTTCTCACACTGACCTCACTGCTGGTGGAATCAGGATCTTGCTGCTCGACAATGTCCACATACAGCACCATGTAAAGAGCACAGATCAAGACGCATAGAATGTCGAGGCATGTTGCGACTCTGGTGGTGCGGAAGTACTGGAAGACCTGCGCTGCATGGTACAGGCAGCGCCTTGCTCTGCCGAGATTCTCCGATACAATGTGTGACAGTTCGGATCGGGCGTTGATGTGGCCTTCATCTGTCGTCTGCCACTTGCTGTAGGGGTAGATCAGCCGCGAAGGTGTGAATGAAAAGATGGTGAGGACTCGAGCGAGTAAGGCGAAGTCGTTCGAGATAGTACCGGCGTCCGTTTCACGCAATGGCTGAGAGCATCCCGCTTGCGACAAGGCATCGAAAGCCTTCTCGGAGAGCGTTGCCACCATGCCACGAGCTAGATCTGGTTGCCCAGCAGCACTGCCCATAGACCCAAGGCTCATGGCTCGTAGAATATCACCTTCGGCGGCTTGCTGCACGAAGGCCGAGAGAAGAATTGTAGATTTGATCGACTGTTCAAGACTCGACGGTATTACCTCCCCAAGGCCGACGCGTGCAAGCAGAGCACAAAGAGGTAATGAAGATCGCGGTGGCGGTAGACGGTGCCACTGATCGTAATTCGACGACCAATGCGAATCGGCCGCGGGTGCCGAAGATTGCAGCTCAGCAACTGAGAGCAGAGGCGGAAGCATGAAGAACGTCGCCTGAAAACATTCAGACACTACTTGGGTAAGTCCGTGGCCCAGGGTCGGTTCAGTGAAGGTGACTTACTCCAAGTGAAGTAGACGATACGGCGTTTGGCTTCGGTTCGTATCCACTGGAACCACGCGTGGTTCACGTCTTCGGTATGTGTACGGGTGCGCATCAGAGTGCCGTCTCGTGCCAGCAACTGGCGACATAGTGTGACCAGTATGTTGCGGTAGAACTGGAGCTCGACGACAAGGTTCCGCTCGCCCGCGAGCCAAATGCTTTGCTGGAATAGTAGTAGGGATTGTGCACAAGTCAGCACGTCGATGGTGGATAACTCTCGAACCTATCACGCATTGCATGACGCATCAGTACCATATCATAAGAGACACATTCGAGAAGGGGCCTTACGTCTCTTTTAAGCATGTGCTGGGCAAGTCGCTGCAGCAATGAAACATGATCTTGCTTGCTGTGCGCTGACGAGAAGTGACTTCCCAGACACACCACAGCAACGACCAGCTGCCAATTCTCGGGCGACGCCTGAAATGTGGGAACATGCAAGATGGGCATCCGCGGATGGTAGTGCTCGAAATACAACTGCATGTATGTGTCAAGATGCCGCAGAGAGGGGAAATTGGTGTCGAGCCCTTGGCCTTCATGCTGTGGCAGTCGGTCTTTTAAAGCTTGGATGATGTATGCTCGCGTTTCTGCTGTTAAAGGGGGTACGTGAGGGACATGCTCAGCGATGAGTATGTCTTCTTCTTCCGGTGTCAAATTGTCTGATCCAGCCGAGGCCGAAATGGCCTCTACCCCTGAACCGTTCTGTACGCCGTGGTCATCTGCAGGTTGACTATCGATAGCCAAAGCGCTGTCTCCGAAGGAGAGGTCTGTCGGGGTCCCGGCACCGAACGAAGGCACCGGTGAGAACGGAAACAGGAATTGGGCAGGGGTTAAGAGAGTGTCCCATAAGAGGGCTTGGTCGAGGGAAAACGGGTCCGAGACGCAAGACTGCGAAGTCACAGGCTGTGAATACTGACGAGGCGGAGTAAGGGCGGCGGCGGGTAAGTCGCCATCGACTGTGGGCTGTGCAACCAGGATAGTATCGTCGTCGACGACGGGACTTGGTCGGTACGAACAGCGGCGACTTTTATTTGTGCAGTTGCTACAAGGTGCGGGCCTGATTCCATCACAGCGCAGCTTGCCTCTGGCGCAGGCTTCGCAAGCACGACGGTGATCTCGTGACGACTGATCGTCGTTGGATTGTGTCCATTCTTCAAGCGCGGCAGCACCATGTGTGCGAACATGCCGTTTCAAAGTGTCTCTTCCGATTCAAGGTCAGCCACAGAGTGTCATAAGGACAGCCTAGGGTACGGATGGTGCAGACCTTCGAGAGAAGGTCCTCTTGCAGATGCTACATGTGTGAGACCGTGAGCCGGAGTGGCGGTCCCGATGCCGACTTAGATGCTCGCGCCGACGGAAGGTCTGCCCGCATTCGGGACACGGTAGTGTCGCGGACGAGGAGGATGAAGGGCCGGTGCCGCCACTGTCACCGTCGGCAGCGCCATCTTCATCGGTGTTAGTGCCTAGATTGGCAGCCGCGGGGGCGCTTGATGACATGCTGAACGAGGTAAAGAGGTGGTAAAGTCCCGTACTGTTTGCGGAGCGATGTGGTGGATGTTGGAGTTGCGCAATCTTGCCGTGGCGGCGGCGGCGGCGGGGGAATTGGGAAGATCGGAGTTACCCCGCCCCCGCCGCATCGAACCCCACATAAAAAACGGGATGAGTGGCGGCGGGGGTGCCGGCATGCCGAGATGCCGAAGGTTGACTCCGGCAGTCCCGGTCCAGCGACCGCGATTCACCAATGTTAGATGATATGAGATAAACTTGCCCACTCGACCGCGCACGATCACGTTCACATTCAGATATCAGACTATCCATGTCGAAGGGCTGTTACAGATGCCACCCTTGTTGCCAGCATTGTGATGCGAACTGCTCCGGCGCGTTCTCTGGAAAGGTTTGTGTTACGGCAAATGCTATTCAGAAGAGCACATGTGATGTCCCCAGATGCAGTGCAGTCACCTTAGAACCGGTGTCCTTCTCGATCGCCTCCGTAGCTGGACTCACATTCACCGTCCACGGCTTGATCGGGGCATCGTCGTGCAGGCACCAGATCACCTTCTTCGGCTCTCCTAGCAGCTTCGACACTTGCACCGCGAACTGCGCCGCCGATCCATCAAACGGTCGCCCGTTCAAGTTCGCCCGCCCAGCAATTGCCTGAATGAGCACGTCGGGCTGTGGCTGCACCGTCTTCAGTATTCCATCGTAGCCGCCCAGATGGCCGTTCCATAACAACGTTTTGCCCTCCCCGAGCAGGAAGTTGTACATCAGCTGCCCTCCGTCAAAGTGGGACATGCATTCCCTCGCCGGGCCGTTGATATAGTCGACAAAAGAGCGCATACCTGGGTCCATCGCATCGCGAGGCATGTGGTCGCCGATCTTGAGGAGGCCATATTTCATACCAAATGTGATGTCCAAAGTGCACGCATACTGGCTTGCTCCCCCAATGTACTCCTTTCCTGTATCCATGACTGCGGGCACATCGGCATGCGAGCTGCCTGGCATTAGACAGTGCAACGAAGGCCAGATATGGACGGAGGCCACTGCCAACTTGGCATCTGGAGCCTTAGGAGCCCCCGGCGGCCCAGGAGCGACATCAACTTCGCCGCGAGCCGCGGCCTGACGACACGTAAGTGGGAACAGAGGAATACGCTCGCCGCCAGCTACCGGGATCAACTGGTCATCGGGTACTCCAGCTGACCGAAGGACGTTGATGGCTTCGCCGTTGGCGACAACGTGTGCTCCGGTTTTGATAGCGATCTTGTCAGCTCCGGGAAGACTGTAATCCTCCTGGTGAGTCTGGTGTGCGATAGAATCGACGTGATTGTCACGGTAGGGCGACACTCACTGGTCAAAATGTGCGTGAGAGATGAAGATGTAGTCGGCTTCAGTCACATCGTCGATAGCCAACACTTTCGGTAGAACATCTGGGCGGTCCAACCATGTGTCCAAGAAAATGACGAGACCGTTGGCTTTCACGCGAAACGTCGTCGCACCTGGATGATGAATGAGTCTCGCGACCCTTTGCTAAGCTCGAAAGAGACACTGAATCCGGTGCCAACTCACCGAACCACTCGATTGTTGAGGCCATGGTGAGGTCGCTGGCTGTCAGTATTGCTAAGTGACGGAAAAAGAAACCGAGCCGTTGGTCGGGTCGGAGTGATAAAGTTTTATCTGGATTGACTTCGGATCGTCTATCTAAAGAGAGCCGGCCTGAAGCGGGAGACTCCGGAGATAAGGTCTGCACCACAAGACGGACTTCACCCGCACTGCCCGCAGGCCTTGCGGAGCGAGCTCCGTCCGGCGCCGCATTTCCAGCTAGACAACTTTCAGAATCTTATCGACAAGTTGCGCCCAGCCTTGGTGTCTGGCTTGCGCCAATGATCCTCGCCAAGCGACTATGCCGTCGGGCCTTACTAGAACACCCCCAGACCCGTCTACACCGCGATGCTTCTTCCATTGCCCCGTCATATCTTGCCATCCGGCTTGCCCAACGACCACCACTTGTATTCTATCGTCGTCAAGCTCCTCCTCCATTTTACTCTCCACAAATAGGGTCAGTACGTCCATGCTCAGGAGATCACGCAATGCCACTATCCTATCGTCGCGCGTCACCCACGCGTGGGGGAGATGATGGCCCGGAATGGTGGTCATGTAATACGTATGATGTACCAGCGTACCGTCCGCAAGCTGTTGTCCTCCATGCGTCTCTCCGCCTTCGGAGTTGATGTCTGCGCTTGGGTAGAACCAGCCTACTTCGTACCCTGGTGCCTTGAACTCGGTATCCAGCGCCTGTGATGCTAGTTGGATACGTCGCTGCTTCTCCGCGTATTCAGGGTGTCCTTTGTCAAAGAATGCTGCGCCAGCTGCGATGTTCTCGGCTTTGCTCTGCGACGCGGAAACACCCATCACTCGGTCAATCTGACCTGAGTGAGAGCGCATATTCTGGAGGCTGGTCTGTCCGACTCGTTTCCCAACCTCTGAGCGCTCCTCGTGGTAAGTGTCCAGGAGACCGTCATACTGTTGGCCTGGTCTCTTGAGGGCCATGGCCAGTTTCCAGACGACATTATTCGCGTCTTGTATGCCAGAGTTCATTCCAAGGGCTGTCCCGTAATCAGTATTATTCGGCTGCCATGTCTACATCAGGGTGCCTGGTTTGCTTACCGCCCCATGGTGGAATGCGATGAGCGCTGTCGCCCACGAGGAAATGACGTCCGACACGCCATCGCGATGCGTAAAGGGCATTCACTGTCCATTCACTCAGGGAGATGAGTTCGATGTTGAGGTCCGGTATGCCGATGGTCTTTCTCGCTCGGGCAAGTGCCGTTTCGGCATCGAATTTGGTCGGGTCATCTGCTGCCTGGGCGCAAACGAACACCCATTCCTCTTTTTCTGGATCGGTCAACGCTTCTGGCCACGGTCCCAACTGGTAAAGATAGCCGGTCAGCGTGCTGCCACCCATTGCCGGGTTCGTGAACCACGTTATGAAGTTGCGGTTGTCGGGATGCAGATTCCTGATCGGAGAGCGGATGTGCGCGCTTATCATGTTCAAGAGGTTGCTTTCGCCGCTCCACTCGACTCCCAGCTGTTTCGTGAACATACGACCACCATCGGCGACGATCACGTAAGTCCCTCTGCGTCGGAAGACGTCACCCGTGCTGCGGTTCTTCACAGTAACTTCCGCGAAGTCCCCATGATCCTCAGTCGTCAACACCTCATGCCCGTAGAAGATCCGATGAGGGTTCAGGTCCATGGCGCGTCGCTTCAGGATCGGTTCCAGTCTGATCTGTGGCAGAACGCAGTATCTTGACGGACTGTGCCGGGCGTACTCGGCTTCGTACTGGCCGCCTCCCCACGCATCTCTCGAGAACACCTCTTTCCCCTCTTCTCCAAGCGACGTGTACCAGGCTGTTCGCCCGGCTATCTCGGCTGGCGCTGCCTTTTCGTAGACTTCCTTCTCCACCCCCATGACACGAAAGATTTCAGTCGTACGCTGGTTGATGCCGCATGCTTTTGGGTGGATTGACGTTGACGGATGGCGCTCGAAAACAGTGTTTGAGATGCCTCGCAGCGAGAGTAGTATGGAGCAGGTCAGGCCAATTGGGCCGCCACCGATGATAACCACAGAATTGACTGCATCGCTCCCTTCACTGGCCATGGTTTCGGTCCTTACTGCGCTATGGACTATGCCTGGTTGGTTGGTTGGTTGATTTATTCCTGCTCGGTCGGAGCTGCGTGCTTTATATTGGCCATGTCTAGTTGCGGGGTCCCCGGTTACCCCGGATTTCGGTTGTATATATTCTCGGGATTCCTGGGAAGGTTTCCCCTCAACGGCTCGGTAGTTGGTTGGACTTTGAGTACTTGGTATGCGCTTGGTCTGATATCTAGGCATGATGCTATTGAGAAGTGGTCTGAATCACATTTCATATTGTCGCCCATATCATTCTACATCATTTTAATGACTCTGTCTACCGCCTGGAGTACGGAATTATCATGAAAGCCCCTAGCATACGAAGTTTAAACTTATTTCTGTTCCGCGGTACACTCCGAGGCATATTCCGAGGGACATTCCGGGCCACACTTACATAGTGCGATCCTCACGAGAGAACCCCTTTGAATGTGCAATTGCGCGGCAACGTTTCTATCTAATCCCGTTCCTGTACTGTAACTACAACATCTTTCGCATTTACAGGCACACTGACTCAATTTTTGGGTACATATTCCCTACGTGCACTACTTCTCATGCGACACGTAGTCTGGCTTCATCTCGGCTTTCAAGCCAACGATCTCTAGAGCTGAAACAAACCATCCCATCACGACCATAGCCATTCCGACGAAAGTTGCCATCGATTTGCCCGAAAGCGTCGTCAAGTCTAGCGAAGTCATGGCCTCACTGGCCTTCACCATCTTGAAGGCTCGCGTGTACATCTCTGCGTCGAATGTACGTACTAGAGCGGCCAGCTCCCCATCAGAGGGCACAGCCTGCTCAAAATTTGTGTGGTGAAAAAGATCGACAAGATTGGCAGCATCAGTCAGGGCCTGATTTGCACCCATGCCCCGACCCGGCGTCATGGGGTGTACTGCATCGCCGAGGAGGATCACTCGCGAGTTTCTGTCGATGCCGTTTCGCCAATCCGTCTTCGGCTTGACGGAGCTGGTCACAAGGCCCGTTCGTACGTAGTCAGTCGCCGATTGCATGATGAGTGCCAAAGGTTCGCCGTAGCCCAGGTCGTTTCGCAAGTAGTCGACAAGGTGAGGTACAATCTTCTGGGGATTCGAGCCGGCTTTCGCTACCATCTCGTCACCACGCTTTCTGGGCACAAGGATCGACCAGAACAATGTGTACGATTCTGCGCCGCCGGTACCTGGATCTTTCTTGGGGTCGTAGACGGATGCAAATCCAGTCGCATCTGTGCCACCCAAGAACATCACCGAGCCTGATTTGACGAGCGACTCGGGTAGCTCATCGCGTACGGATCGTGAAATAGTGCCGCGAGACTGGATCAAGGTCTGAGACTGTAGCTTTATCTTGTTTTGAAGGCCGACCTGCTGGTTTATTTGGCTGCCGCTGCCGTCTGCTGCAATAAGAATGTCGGCAGTCTGCGAGTCGTGACCCTGGAAATGCAGCTGCACGCCGCCTCGCTCGCCCGGCATGAGTTCAAAGCGGGTGAAGGTGTGATCGAAGTGAACCCGCCCTTGAGCGAGCAACGGCTGCAGCAGAGCGCCACGCAGTCCGTGTCTGGGTATGGCCTGACTCTTGGGATACAGCTTGAGATCGCCTAGGCGCAGGCGGACCGCAAAAGTGTCGGGATCAACGACCGTAGGTGCTGCTGCGTCGTCTCCGGCCCATACTTCGCGGATCGAGGACCAAAGTTCGAGGTCTGATATCGTTTTCAGAGCATTCAGGCCGTTGATGCTGATACGGAGCTGGTAGCCGCCACGCTCCGAGTTGAATGCAATGGTGTCGCGTTCGAAGACCTGAACATCGAACCTGTCGGCTGGGTCTTTCAGCAAGCCGTTGGCAACGGCTAGTCCAGAGATGCCGGCGCCAACAATGGCCACCCTGACCTTCCGTTGATTCCCCTCGGGAGGAACAAATTTGGACACAGCCATAGTAATTCGCTACCACTTTGGTCAAAGTGATTGGATGTATTTTGTGCACAAAGCCTAACCGCCTGTCTGCAAGAATAAGAGACGATTTCTCAACAATCAGATGGCTGAGAAGTTCGCCTTAGATAATGCCTTTGACCAGAAGCCATATCGTGGCCATGCGTCGTCGGTTTGGAAGAACCGGAATACTTACACCACATCGGAATACCCCGCAATGCGGAGGCGTCCGTATGAAGGAATCTTCAATCCTTGACTGTAAAGCATCCACCGAGGAAGAGGGTATATGCTTGAACGCAACGGGGTGAAGGAAATATGGGTAATATTAGATTCAGACATAGCACCCACCGAGGCTGATGTGTGTTCAGGATAATGCACGACCACGGCTGCTGCTAATTGAACTTCAAACGCATTTATGATATTGAGAAACACTAGAGCGATGGCAACGATCAACATCTCAGGAATAGCCATACCTCGTCTATCCTTCGGCGTTGGATCGCTCATGAAATGGGCACCCGGCCACGCGAGCCCGCTCCCAACGGACAGCAGCATTGAAGTTCAGCAAGCGATTGACGCTGGCTTCCGGCATTTCAACACTGGCGATTTGTACACCAACAATGAGAGCTTTGCGAAAGTCCTGCGCCGCAGCAATCTCGAACGCTCCGAGGTCTTCTTATCCTTCAAACTCAACACCTACGCATCTCTAGGATGTCGAGGCCGCGATCACATGATTCAGAACGTAAAGGATGAGATCGAGCGGTTTGGTCTAGAAGGCTACATCGACATCTTACAGTTGCACTTCCCGCCTCGTGGCTACGCTGGGAACATGACCAACCGCGAAGCATGGCGCGTGTTGGAAGACCTCAAGGATCAGGGACTTGCTCGCATTATTGGGGTCTCGAACTGGTATGTTGTTCAAAGCACAACGATGTGGTCCAGCCAGATCAAGGCTCACGAGCACGACTTGTAGGACCCTGCCCGATTATCACGACATCTTCAACGCCAGCGACCTCAAACACCCTCCACAGCTCAACGAGTATGAGTTCAACCCTTTCCTACTATTTGATCCCAAGATCCGACAACTCCACGACTTCGAAGTCAAGCACAACATTGTCCCAATGAGTATGAACACCATCCAGCCAAGCCTTCTGGTGATAGATCTATGAAGTTGACAACCGTGTAGACTATGGGGTTTTGACCGTCATCAGCGGCCGCTTGCCTACCGAAAACAGCACAGCATTATTGCAGAAATTGGAAGAGCAGTCAAAGCAGACGAAGCTGCCCGCGGCTGATCTGCTGCTCAGCTGGGCATACTACCGGCCGGACGCGGGCATTGTCGTGACATCTACATCAAAAGCAGACCGGGCTAGAAAGACCTTCGAACTCCTGTCGGCTGAGGAATCGCCTGTGAACAGCCAGATCTATGAGGAGATTGAGAAGGCGGCAGAGCTGGATGGCCCTGACGGTAAGGTGTTCTATAGCCATCCTCACATGGAGAAGGCTCGCCAGGAAGCTGCCAATGCACAGAAATAGGATAGTAAGCATTGATGCCAGTTTCTTCACATGTAGCCATATCACACATGGGTCTCGTAAACCTCATGCCAACCAAAGTTCATAGCTTCTTCATGTAGTTGCGTCTTGTGCTGTTTTCTCATCATATCTGGAAATCCGAAGACATAACCTGCACGCTTTCGGCCCCAACGGACTCCGCATTCTTCTCAAGGAGCTCAACTACCCCGCCGCTATTCACCACCGGGTCTCCATACCCCGCCGCATTCTGCAACATCACCAGTGTTTCCCCACACCAACTCATGCTTCAAGAAAATGTCTTAACTTGTTCCGCCTCTATCGGATTCCCACTCTATGTGGTGGCAGTCAGCATGTCCAAGAAGAATTGATGATGTCTCTGTTTGTTCTTTACAGTTTCCTTGCGCTCCTCGCCAGCGGGTGGTTGTTCCGTCATATTCGTTCATGCCTTCCTGCCCCTGAAGCGTACGGGCCCGCATTCGCCAGATGGACTGGCGTATGGTACATTTGGAAGATCTGGCAGGGAAACTATGAGGTGTATGATATCGAAGCACATAAGAATGGCTGTAGGTGACTCTCCTTGGCTATACCTAGTTTCAGGCCATGACTGACAGCCCCAAAGCTAGAAAGGTCGTTCGCATTGCGCCTCTCATGTACAGCATCGACGATCCAGCCATGGTTCGCGTCATCTATGGCATATCATCTCCATTCCCAAAAAGTAAATGGTATGATGCCTTTGGCGATCCTCGCATCCCAAACCACAACCTCTTCAGTGCGCGCGATCGTGCTATGCACGGTCTCATGCGTCGCAAAGTTGCAAGCATGTACTCCATGTCGACCATTAAGTCCTACGAGTCCCATGTGGACAGCTGTGTTGCGCTTCTGCTGAGCTGTTTCGATGGGTTTGCTGCGAGTGGAGAGACGTTCGACCTGCAGCTGTGGATGCAGTGCTATGCGTTTGATGTGATTGGAAAGATTACGGTGAGTCTGGTTTGGCCTGACCATTGGCACCAAGTTTCTGACATCCGTATCAGTTCGGCAGGCATGTAGGGTTCTTGGAATCCGGCGGACAGGATCTCGACGGCATTATGCGAGCCCTCGAAGATGGCAATGCTTTCTCAACAATTTCGGGCGTTAGCGTTGCTTTGCTTCCGATACTTCTTATTCTTTACGGGAACCCTGTTCGTGGTATCACAGGTTTTGCGCGAAGACTTCAACTTGAGAGCATTGAAGACGACTTGACGGAGAAGACTGGCGGAGAGACCTTCTTGGCCAAAGTCAAACGTCTGCAGAAGGAGGCCCCCGAAGAATGCGAAAGACTTCGTGTCGAAACGGTGGCTCTGACAGGAAATGTTGCAGCCGGGAGTGACACCACAAGCATATCTCTGACCAGTGCATTGTACCATGCCATCACGACGGATGGCGTTGTGGAGCGCTTGTACGAAGAGGTCGAGTCCCAAGGCTTGTGCTCGAATCCCGACCAACGCATCACATTTGACCAAGCCCAGCAACTCCCATACCTCCAGATGGTCATCAAAGAGGCCCTGAGAGTCCACCCAGCCGTTGGTCTGCCGATGTGGCGCGAAGTTGTTGGGTCCGGTCTCGAGATCGATGGAAACCACTTTCCGCCCGGGGTACGTCTCTCCGTCTGGAGAATAATTCTGTATCGAATTATACTCACACTATTCACAGGCGATCATCGGTATCAACCCATGGGTAGCACACCGGAACGTAGACGTCTTTGGCGCGGACGCTGCGGGATTCAGACCCGAACGATGGGATCCCCAATACACCTCCACGAAGACTCTAGAGGCCATGGACCAGTACTATCTGCCGTTCGGGGCGGGCTCGAGAACCTGCATAGGCAGACACATATCGCACTTGGAGATGGTGAAGTTGATCCCAGAGCTAATCAGGCGATATGAGTTCGAGAGTGTCGGTGGAGAACTGAAAACCGTTAATAGGTGGTTCGTGAAGCCACAAAAGGTTCTCTTCCGCGTCAAGCGCAGAGGGACTGGGGCTTAATTGTCGGTTACTTGCGATTCAGACAGCCTCCCGTGATGGAACCGCGGAGAACCGGGTGCGGACCGTGTCAGGAAACGAGATGTACGCGACGGACGGATGTGGTACCGGCAGTATCGGGCTGCCACGGTAGACCTAAGGGATGCCAATGGGTGGTGGCCGGGAGGACCATCGACGAGCAATGGGCTGGATGCGGCAGCCCGATACTGCCGGTACCACATCCGTCCGTCGGGATGCGGGTTCGGGAGGGGTCGCCGAGTCGGTCCCGGGCAGGATGATCGGGCTAAAGGTGAGAATGAATCGTACAATCAAGACGGGAGTTGTTGGTTGGCAGCGAGGAAGGACCTCGGTGATGCCCCGGCTAAGACGGCTCGGGGAGGACGTGGTGATGACGAGGCCTTTACCCTCCAGGTATATGATCACGGGAGTGGTTGCCGGTGCTGCTTTGAACAAGGGGAAAAACGCGTACGCTCGCAGAGGGGCTTGGTGTTAGGTTTATGGATAGCGTTTAAGGAATCTAACGAAGGATTTCCGGTGAGACCATCACCAATCAACCTTGTGCGTGGAGTCAGACCCAACAGCGATGGAGAAAGCATACCATTCTCGACACTCAATACAACGGCCGTCTAACGGAAAGTCGTTTTAAACGGATACATTCGCTAATACCGTAACCGTTTAAACTATTGTCGCGATATTCCTTCATCGGAAAGTAGTAATCTCCCCAAAAGTATCCGCCATCCCCCAGATCCCGGCCCTAAGCCCACTCAACTGCACAATCTGCGAATGATCCACGAACAGATTCACATCGACCCCGAACTCCCGCACGTACCAATTGAACACAGCCGGATCCGCCGCCTCGAACATGACCTTCTCCATCGGCAGATCCCTCAGGATCTTCTGGATGACATCCGTGCGCCACGACTTCACGTTCTCCGTGATGCCCTCGCTCTCAATCATGATCCGCTCGACACCCATGTCGATGAACTTCTTGCCCAGGTCGACCACCTTGGACGGGTCCGACTGCGAGCCCATGCTCTCCAGGTCCGAGGCCGCTGTGTCGCCGCCGGCGCCGAACTGGATCCCGATCTCGGGTTTCGGGGTTAGTCCGGCCTTCTGCACACGCTCGACGAGGCGGAACCAGTCGGACGGCGGGAGGGAGAGGAAGCCGGTTGAGAGCTCGATCACGTCGAAGCCGAGGCGTTTGCAGGTTTCGAGGTAGCGGTCGACGGCAACTTGGGGGTTTGATTGGGTTAGGATGTGTTCGATCCAGCCGCCCTGGTTTGCTCGTCAGGTTCTAGTTGAGTATGGCGAGATGAGTGAACTTACGGTCGAAACGTAGACGTCGTGTTGGTGGGCGAGGTCGATCAGTTCTTTGAGCTTGTCTTCGGGGAAGAGAGAGAAGGAGCCGCCAGCGAACTTGAGTCCGTCGACGTAGTGGCCCATACTGCGACACAGGTCAGTCATCTTTCTCTCATCAAAGTCGTCTGCAGCTGTTCTGCGTACGTTTCGAGAATATCTTCAAGATACCGCTTGCCCATGACGGAGTAATAGGGACCCCGGATCTCGGTGACGGACTTAGTCCGCGGCTTGGGGTCTCGGGGGTTGTGCCGGATGAAACCGTAGCCATTTTCGTCCTCCAGCATGACCTTTGGCCTATTAGCTGCCATCGGGGGGATCGCGGAGGCCGTAAAGCTTCGGGATAGCGGGGCAAGCGCCGCCGCCGTCGGCCGGACGGTGGGTGGGGCCGATCGGAGGAGCGCTGATCGGCACGCCATTCGGGATACCACGCCGGTCGACATTTTGAATGGTTCTTATTGAATTTGATATATTGAAGATGACAAATCTGTCTCAGCTTGTGCAGAGGTCATCGAGAATGACCTTTCCAGTCCCTTCTTTGAACGAAACGCGGTGCTAAATACCTAGAGCATAGTACATCTCCTCGGCGACACGTCCATGTGAGGTTGGTATGACATCACGCTCACAACATCACCGATCAGCGTCTCAGATTTCCACTCATTCTTGATAATGAATTCGGTCACCGAGGCGTGGCATACACGTTCTCGGTCTTTCGACATGGTGAGAGGTCAGGCGGAGTTCTCAACGCTGGGTTCAATCGGTTTCCGTTGTCCCGACTTTGTCGCGGTTGAGCTATTGCTATCACGTAAACAGCACGGCTTCACACGCATTTTGAGGTTTCCATGTACGAAATTGAAAAGGTAAAGCCCCTCTGATTGTCTGAATGAGTCACACCTGCTTGCGCTTCCTCTAATACCATTGCTCGAGGCGCCTGGTCAGCCTATCTCATGACCGAGATTCGCCGACCTTCACCTCGGTGATGGAGGCGGCCGACGAAATTGCGTAGTAAGCCGTTGAATGCTCTGCGGCCAATCAGTCCGGCTTGTGAATCCATCAAATCATGCAGGCCGAAGGAGGGGAAGCAATCAATTGTCCAATCAAAATCATTTCACCTCCGCCAAACGTAGTCGTCGCGTCTGTCACGCCTCGTAGAATTCCAGTGCAGTCGAAGAAAAGCCGCCACCAACCCCTATTGTGCATGATGGCCTCAGATACGGAGGAAAAGAGTCGGTGTTCATTTTGCAAAAACCTCGACCCAGAGACACCGCCGCGCGCAAGCTCACATGTCCGACTCAACATTTCGGTTGTTGACTTGCGGACAGAGCAAAGTCGCTCGAAGGACGGTTGCCAGACCTGCTCCGTTGTCGAGCAAGCTTTGTCACATCTAGATCCGCATTGGCGGGAAATCGAGCCCAGTAACGGATGTGCAAAGTGCACTTCAAGCGTGTTCAGGCGCTGCAGGGAAGCCGAGTGTGCGCGATCGGCTTTCGCCCTCCTTCAATTGGAGGACACGATCGAGATATGCTATCCCTTTCGAATATTGGATGATCTTGCCAGCGGGCCTACGAAAACGCTAGAACTATTCGTAAACAAATGTGTGAATGGCCAGAACCTCATGCCGCAACTCCTTGTACTGACGCTGGAGCAGGTCGACCGTGGCCCTTACCGCAAGTGAACGCTTTCATTGCAGGGGAGTTCCTACTTCAAGACTGGGCTGCGAGGCTTCAGAAAGCAAAGGCTTGGATAGAACGTTGTCACATCAATGAATCCTGTGATGGGGGTTTGATTTCGAAGGCGTTGGATATCATGAGACGCGATCCAATTCGAGAGGATGTGTTGGAAGAAAACGACTATGAAGGACCGCCGTCATGCTACGACAAGCGGTCCAGCAACGCTGAAGGTCTTCCGCCACTCGCAAAACGATCTTCGGCCAAGTTACCAAGCAGAGTCCTGGACCTCCGTCAGTTCAAAGACAATGGAACCCTTCGATTATTGGAGACTCATCATATGATCGGAACATACGTTTGTCTCAGCTACACCTGGGGCCCAAGCAACAGCTACGTGACGACCCCCTCGACGTACCGAGCCAATTTGGATGGTATTAACTACAATTCCCTCCCTCGGACCTACAAAGACACCATCACAGTGACAACCATTCTGGGGATCCCATTTTTATGGATAGACGGCCTCTGCATCATACAAGGAGACGAAGGCTCAGCTGACTGGAAGGAGCAGTCATCTCAGATGGCCGATATCTACGCCAACGCCATCCTGGTCATCGCAGCTGCGAATAGTACCAGTGTGGAAGACGGCTTTCTCAATGCATCACAAGACACTCGAAACATCATTTCGTTCGAGAGTGAGACTCATGCCGATGGTAACAGTCAGTCCGGCATGACCGTACACGCTCGCCCGATGCTGGATCACAGCTGGCTCGGCTGGTCCACCCTCGCCGAACCCAAAAGCGAGGGGACCCTAAGCCGCAGCTGGTGCTTCCAAGAAGAAGTCCTCGCGGCCCGCCTCCTCACTTTCTACGGCGGCGAGATGAACTTCCAGTGTCTTGGAGACGTGTACAGCTGCGAGTGCGGTTTCCCTGCTGAAGCCCTCGGACTGGTCACCATCAAAGAGCTATACGAGCCGCGCCTGAGCCTGGGCGACTATGAGACTCCGAACTGGATGTGGCAGAGCACCGTGGAACACTACACGCGACGGAAGCTCACGGTGGGGACCGATAGGCTGACAGCGCTGTCGGGCGTGGTCCGGATCATGCAATCGGCTTTGAAGACGCGGTATATCGCCGGCCACTGGTGGGATCGAGACTTTCTCTGCAGCTTGTGCTGGATGCCCGTGAGGAACGAGGAGACTGAGGGACGGCTGACGGATGATTATGTGGCGCCATCGTGGTCTTGGGCCGCGCATAATGGGCCTGTCACCATGTGGATTCCGTACGGCGATTCGAAAGACCAGCAGTCTCCTCGATTTCTTGGGGACACCATTGTCAAGGACGTGAGGATGTACCACTCGACGTCAGATGCCACCGGCGCGGTGGCGGGTGGGTTTATCACCGTCCGAGGTGTTTTCCTCCCGGTGCGGATCAAGATCACTTCAGTTGAGCGGTCCACGGCAGTGATGAGCAGAAATAATGTAGACATCCCGTTCTACTTCGACCGCCCCGTTGGTTCGGCAAATCTTTCGGGTATGTTCTTCTGCTGGGTCGTGTGCTGCCTCCCCACGGTTTCTCTGGGTCGAGGGCAGCAGTCCGAGGCTTACTGTTTGATGTTTCTACGAAGCAAGCCGGAAGGTGTTTGTGAGCGGATCGGGTTCACTGATCATGAAGCGGCCGCCACGGACAAGTCCATGGTATTCTTCCAAGGGTACAGGAAAGCAATACGAGTCGCAACGATAGTCTAGTAGCTCCTGGTATGCAAACCTACTTGAACGAATCAACGATAGGATCTCATCGCGACAGCCTACGTGTGCATGTCAAATATGTGAACCGTCTCAGTAATATCTCATGCTCGAACAGACAACAAGTGCTATGATCACACTTTCAAGAGGCGAATACTAATCTCCACAGCTTCCGGCCCCGGAACCTCTTCCCTCCAAGCCAAAGGGACAACCCATTCGACCGTCCAGACTCGGCCCTGGTCGGTCTCTTCGGGGAGCGCGTACCATTTACCATCGGCGACATTCTCATCTTCCAATTTCAACAGGTCCTTGCCGACTTTCTCATCCTCAAAAAGGACCCAGGGCTGGTAATGCAGCGTGCAACCGAGGCCGAAAGGTCTGAGTCTGGAGAGCCCCTGGAGCTCCCAGGGGCCGATGCCGCTGGGACCCATCACGCCGAGATGGTGTTGAAGAGTTGCATCACCGGTTTCCACGCGCAAGGCAGCGCCATCGCCCTCGGTTGGTCGTAGTAGCAGGCGATTTTCCTCGCTTTGAGATGTTTGAATCTTCAGTGAGCCGCCACGAGCAGCTTCGAAAGTGAGGTACGCGTTGTTCAGTTCGGTGTTTTCGCTGTGTTTGGGGTCAGTGGATGAGCTGCGCGGTCCCTTGAGTGACTTACCTGATGATTCGTGGACAATATGTGTGATTAGAGTCCATCTTGATTTGTAGATACTTATGAGTGACTAAGAGAAAGACGAAAACAATGAGATGACTTGGGCTGTGAGATTGCTTATGAGTTGATCTTGTACCTACTTTTCGACGAGGACACGAGTAATGAATGCGGGCCTCGTGAGTGTTTACCGAAATGCCAAAAATAACAACTTTAGTTGGGCCTGAACCGGTGATTTAGCGACATGTGAAACTTGCGTGCACCTCTACGGCGCCCGGTTGCTGTGAGAACACAGCCAAAAGCCCCTGGAAGAAGCTGGTGTCTGCTGTGTGGTGTGTGCCGATGTTTTCACTCTTCATTTGTGCACGATGTTCTCGGTCGAAATGCTCTACTCCTCATATTGCTGCCATTTCTATTTCATAAAAAGAATCATGGTTATGAATATTCTCAGCCAAAAATGAAGTTAAATGCGGCTATTTCGCACGCTCATTCTGTCAAGTACATCAGCTGCTCTCATGAGGGTGCTCACCATGAGCCATTCCGATTAATGCGACATATTACTGAGCTCTAATCTATCATTACCCTCTAGAAAACCCCTGAATTAGGAAAATAACCACTAAAATGACACATTGAATCCATCCATCTATGCCTCAATCTTGACGCCGGTGAGTTCAAGACTGAGCTCCCACAGCTTGTTCTCACTCTCCTCATCAAAAGCATGGGGACCGTATCCTTGGTCAGCTAAGGACGCCATGCCGTCACTCGTCGCAGGGCCTCCGACGCCCACGTCAAATAGATACTTCCCTCCCTTACCCTCCCAGACGTCGGCAGCAGCGGCCCAGGTGGGCGTCGCGGCGCCTTGGGCCGGACTCTTAATCCGAGCTCCGATGACTGGATCGGACTGCCATGCGGACGACATCGCGGGATCGACGTGCACATGCAACGGGGTGGCGGTCACACCCGGCTGGATGCTGACGGCGTGGACCCCTCGCGGGCCGTAGACGCGGTCGATGTAGTTCGCCAGCCAGATGTTGGCCGTCTTGGACTGGCCGTAGGCGAGCCACGGGTTGTAGTCGGTCTTGGCGAAGTTGTAGTCGTCGAAATTGACGGCCATGAATCTGTGACCGGACGAGGCCAAAGAAATGATGCGCGAATTGAACTCCGGCGTGCTGCTGCGGATGAGGGTGGGGAGGAGCAGTGCGGTAAGGGTGAAGTGCGCGAGGTGGTTTACGCCGAATTGCTGGTCGAAGCCGTCGGCGGTCTTCGCCGGCTCCGGGACTGCCATGATTCCTGCAGAAAATCAGCACGAGTGTCGATTAGGGGATGATTTCAGGGTGGAATATCTGCTTACCAGCGTTGTTGATGAGGACGTTCAATTTAGACGACTTTTCCAAAAAGACTTTCGCTGCGTTCTTGACGGATTCAAGTGAGTTCATATCCATGTCGATAACCTCGAGCTTGCCGCGGCCTTCCGAAGACTTGGTGATGTCTTCGACGGCGGTCTTGGCCTTTGTGGAGTCCCGGGCCGTGATGTAGACATCGGCGCCGGTAGTGAACAGAGCACGCGCGGTCTCAAGACCGATGCCGGATGTGCCTCCGGTGATGAGGATCACCTTGTCTGTCCACTTGTTGGCCAGGTTGCTGTCGCTGATGATTTGGAGGGCTGTGGGACGAGCATCACCGGGACCCTTGGGGTTGGCGTGGAGGTCGGCGTAAGGGTGGAAAGCGTCCATTGCGAAGAATTGTGTCTTGGAAATGACAACAGTGGTGTTGTATGTGGAAGTGGTCGGGTGAGTGTTATTGAGTGCTGAGCTTGTGAGGAGTGTATTGATGATCTATTCTTCCTTCAAACCTGAGAAATCAACTCCCTTTTTATGATTCCATCACCTCGCTGGCATCCATGAATACAATCTCTCGGACTCCTGCACACAAGTCTTCTGCGGGCTGACATTGCCGCCCTCTTCATGTCGACTGTCCGCTCTCGAGAAGAGTTGCTACCGCTCTGCCACGATGCCGCTCACAAACGTCCGCCCTCGATGCGGGGAAAGCGGCCATTTTGAACCTGGAGCGCTCTGAATTGTCCGCTCCAGCGCTTCTCCAAATGTCCGCTCACGCATTTTCCGCGCCCCTGTTCTGCACGGAGGGCTCAGGGTAACTTTCATGGAATTGCCAGGGACTTTTGGCTTATGTCCGTCAAACGGCGATAGGCAAGGCGTTCTCTGGCACCAATGAGACCGGAAATACTGCCAAAATCCAGCGGCTTTAACTGGCGGCGTTGAGACCGGGTGGTTCAACGCCATTTCTGCATGTCAGACGGCAGGTCTCGCTCTTGTTTCCCCGAGATGTACGTACACAAGATTTCAGTCCGCTTGCCAGGCAGCAGGTTGACGAGTTTGGTCGCTTTCTTTTGTCAATCTTTCTGACGAGGATACACGAGCGGGGACGGCGTCATTCCCTTCGTCTTGGTCCGAACAGTGCAATCGCCGCGAACCAACGTCATTGCCGCCCACGAATAGCAAGCATGGCTTCCTCGACCTCAAGCCTGCCCAATAATGCGCTGCGGAACTCGGCAGGGCGGGCACCACAATCGTGCAGCCAGTGCAGGTGAGTCCCTCTCCATCCCGCTGTTGACATACGTTGCGGCTGACTTTGAAAGACGTTTGAAGCGGAAATGCCCGCGGGACGTCCCGTCCTGCTCCTTGGTTTGTTTTCCACCCGACCTGGCTGGCACGACTTGTCACTGAATTGACCGGTGTTAAGTGTGTTCGACTGGGAAAGAAGTGCCAGTATCCAGCCGGCCGCAAGGCCTACGGCTCGCTGCAGGATGACTCTGAAGGCTCAAATTCCATCTCAACATCGACTCCAAATGCGGAATCAGAGCCTTCGAGGAGAGTGTGCGCCGCTCCGAGACATGTGCAGCATCTTACACCCATCGACTCTTTCTTCCTCGACTCGGACGTTTTCCAACCCGTTTCCCATGACGCCGTGAACTGTGAATTCTCCGTACCGAAATATGTGCTGGACTTCCTTGGCCAAGATGCGGAAGCTATACGCAACTCATACTTCAAATCCGTGGACACATGGTTCCCCTTCATCAGTAAGAAGAGAGTCAAACAGGGCTTAGAGGAGAGTTTATCTGCCGAAGTATCATTACTATTGCTCTGTATGAAGCTTGTTACAGAGCCCGTGGCAATCGAGAAGACCTCCGACATGGACTCGTCGCTCTACGAGGCGACCCGCAGATACTTGAGTGTCTTGGAGGTGACGGTTCCAATGTCCCTTCGCGTATTCCAGTCTCTCGTGCTGGTGTCTTTGTACGAAGTTGGCCACGGTATCTTCCCAACAGCATATTTAACCATTGGTCGAGCCGCCAGACTTGGTGTGTTCCGTGGAATACATGATCGAAACAATGCGACACAGGTCTTCCAGACTCCTCCTACTTGGACGAATTGGGAAGAAGAGCGTCGCGCATGGTGGGCTACGATGATACTAGACCGGCATGTCCTCGTCCTGGAGCTCAACATCATTCTCAACTGCGTGCTAACATCGTCGTAGATACATCAACCTTGGTCCCACCGGCTTTCCTCTAGGAACACCGGAACCGATTCAAGGCGAGTTACTGCCGACGTCAGACTCGGATTGGTCTGACGGAGTGTTTGGAACCAATCAACCTCTTTACACCACCGGCTTCTCAGCCACCTCAGAGATCGGTCCCTTTGCCCGTGTCTGCCAGGCATCACACATCCTCGGGCGCGTCCTCCGACACAGGAACTCACGGAAAGACTCCCTCTTGCAGAAAGAGACACTGAACGAGGCGCTCCAGCTCGAAGCGACGCTCTCCGCTCTGGACAATCATCTCTTCTCCTCAATGAGCGACGACGCCGCCTGTTTAGACGTGGCCCTTTGCACACTCGCAAGATTAACGCTCTACCATAGGTACGCGTGCATTCAACCTTGGGCAAGAGGAGAACGACTCCCGGAAGAGAGCGAGATGCAGAGTGCTTCCATAAGAGGCATGAAAGAGATCATTTCCGTCCGAGGACCGATGATTGCGGAATCAGCAACCCGCCGTTACAATGCTCTTGGCATCGAGTCACTGAGTCCCCTTCTTGTCCAGGTTCTTTACGACATCTCGACGGAGTGCCAGTGGTTCATCCGTGAGGGTGACGTCGTCGAAGGGGCCGAGAGGACGCTGCAGCTTTCGCTCCAGTTGTTGAGTGTCTTGGCGCCGCGATGGCGCGTTGCAGGTAATCATTCCGATCCTCAACCATCGCACGAGGGTATCAGTTGACACGTCAAAGCCAAATCTCTTCAGCTTTTGTATCCACCCAAACAGCCACTAGCTTTGCCGAAAATGAACTGAATGAGGATTGGTAGACTGAGACCAATTCAACATCCCGGTCTAGACAGCAGCCGGTTCAAGCACATAAGAAACAATACTCCCTCGGAAGGCGAACTGTTGACGGACTTGAACGAATACCGAGACAATGACTGAACGCTGCATATTGATTTCCCCCACGTTTCCATTACGCTCAGGACGTCTGCGAATCGTTCGGTAGCGCGATCCGTTCATCATTTGCCCTCATTTGAGAGAGGGATGGCTCGATACGGAGAAAGGTTTTCCGGCTCTCACTCAAGATGCGGAAGACACTCTGAAGGAACCTCCATGTCCTACACGACGTCGTCGTGACTGGGGATTGCGAGACAGACCGTCAGATTCGCGATGAAATCATGACCACAACACCTCAAACCAGAGCATAGCTGCTGTCCAAGACATCTCGAAAGAACTCCCAGGAGCGCTTCCATTTATTCCAAGATCTCCCGATCCAGCTTCGTCTCAAAATCTGGACTATGGCTCTGCCATCCCGCACCCTCCACTTTGGCAGCTGGCCGTCGAAAGGAGAACATGGGCACAGGAACCTTCACCTTTCATATCCCGCATTAGCCCTGAAATCTCGCGAGGCGATGTCTGCGGTGAGGAATTCGAGTCTTCAATATTTCCAGTCCCAACAATGCGCCCTTATCGTCACAAAACCGCAAGCGATGGATGGCCACTGCAGATACTCTCAGTATTCCCCACGATATTAAGAACCCGAGGGTCTGGCAGACGTTGCTGCTACATCGCCCCGTTTTGCCGCACTTCGCCAACATTACGATACCCCTCGACGCTCTCCAGCGGGCGGAGAATACCCTCCCTATGCGGTTCGCGGGGTATCGTATCTGCGCCGATGATGTACGTTCCGTGCGACGTATCCAAGTCGAGGTGCAGACAGTCATCCTTTTCGTGCCTAATGGCTGGAGTCGCCTCCGGGAAAAGTTCACCCAAGACGAAGAAACCCTGGCAAGATCGCAAGAGACGGGCTTTGAAGATTCTGTCACTGTCAACGACCCTGAAGAGATGGGGGACTGGTCAGGTTTCCGAGGCGACCAGTGCAAGGCGTTCAGGCCGGGGGCTTCGGGGTCCGGATAAGACAGACTGGATGCGATTCTGAACAATCCGAGGAGGACCTTTTGTGTCGATTGCTTGATTCAGTGTTGGGAGAAGCGCGGTAGCTGGATTGCAGAGGATGCGGTGGTGGGTATCAAGCCTCAAAGTGAGGAGGACATATAGAATGGCCTCGCGACGTTTCTGCTGCACCAGGGGCGGCCATACCGACTATTGTTCCATTCACAAACATGGACGACGAATGGGCGAGCTGACTGGAAGGTCTTGATCTCGGGTGGGCTTCTTGATGAGATATAGAACTAGTAATGTTATGGCAATGAAGTCGCTCGGAAAACGGAATGTGGAAAGTTCGCGTGGTCGCAGAAGCTCTGCGAGATTGACAAAGATCCGTTTAGGGTGCAAGTTCTTTCAACATATACCACGGCATCGGCCCCACTCGCCCGGTGCCGGGCCCGATATGCGGCTTGGTTTGCGCCGGTCAAGAAAGGTACTGCACATTTGGAAAGAGGAATGAAGGCAATCCCATCTGCGGTGGGGTTAAGCCACCAGCCAAAATGTGAAAAGAGATCGCAGCAGCCAGATTCCAGAAAACAGCGGAGAAACCCTCGCCCTGAATTAGCGAAATTTCTGTTGATCATCCACGGAATGTGGGCAGCGGGCTTTCGTGGTCCGCGCTCCGGTAATTTCGGCCGGAGGGGACGGGACCATCGCGAGCTCGCGGAGGCGGGCCGGAGAGATCCATCCGGATGAGCAGCCGATTGCCTGCATTTCGAATGAGTCGTGAAATCGACGATCTAGCTTCATGCGCACAATCTCCCGTCGTTGAGCGGGCTTCCGTCAAAACTCTGTTGTGGCTTTTCCACGCGAGCGGGAAGTTGGCACTGCTCCAAAAGGGGCCAATGCTGGGCGAAGCAAATTTCGACTGAGTCAGCTTCGCGATGATCACTTCGTCACTCCACTTCGAGGTTGAGCTATCTTCAACGTCGTCAGTCTTGCGACCTGGAATCGTGTGTGAGTTTGACCAAAGTTTGGTTCTTTATATGAAAGGCCGAGATGGTAAATGGGTACGCTGACGAGGAGTTCGTGGCGGTCTGAGTTGGAAATTGTCGTTACCAAGTTTTGGGAGGATTATGGCGGAGTCAGGATGGTCCCACAGGACCCTTGAGATATTGACCCCGTAGGGCGTGAAGCTCAGGGTCGCAACATCGGTGACACATAAGGTCGTAATCGATTGAACGGGATATCCTGCGGGCTTCACATGCTCCCGAGGTCAGCGTGAGTCCCAAAACAACCAAACTATCCTGAGCGGAGCAAAAGCCTTGCGAGACAGATGCGAGGCGGGGGGCATCAGGGGAAAGTCAGGTGTCGGGCTGTCACTTTCCCGCGCGTCTGACTCGGTAGGCGAGCTTCCCCGGATGCGGCGCCTCTCGGACTTGCCCCTTGAATTGCCAATTGTAGAAGCTGACAGCCTCAATCTGGCTGAAAGGGCTCTCGCTTTCGTGAACGACGGGGTCCGCGGGGTCATGTTGCGGTATGTGTCCACCTCCTCCACGATATATAGTGTTTCTCGGTCACAGCTACCGGTTGGTACAGGAAGGCCGAGATCCTACAGGGAAACGAACCAACAGATAGCTAGGGGACTCAGGTGAGGAAAGAACTTCAGGTGAGGCATCGATATTTCAAATTGTTGGATCATACAAGGCCGCCTCGAGTCGTGTCAACTCGTCAAGTAGAGTGTGAACGGCTTGCTCCGTCGGATGACAACCGAAAATGACGGGTTGCGACGTTACATCGGCATCATCGTGAGTGAAGCTGATGTTGCCTCACATGGAGGGTGGGCCAGGCACATGAAAGAGTCATGACTGCTTCATTGACTCAGGAAGGTGCAATTAGAAGTAACGGGCCGGCGGGAGAGGCCGAGCTACGATATGCTCACTGATTCATGAAGAGCTCAGTGAGGAATCAGTCACATGAGACAGAACCAGAGTTGGACAGGAGGCTTTCTTCCATTTCAGACTTGTCACTGAAGTGAATTATGGCAGTTGAATGTTGAAGGTTTTGAAAAAAGCATGTTGCTAGTCTATCCCAATTCTATCGCCAGAGTCTAAATAAACAAAACACTAAACAGCATAATTCGCGTGACATGAGGTGCAGATGGTGGTATAAAAGGACAATGTATTGACATTAACTCGTGTGGCAGTGTCCCGGGTGGTTCTAAGAGAAGACCTCCAAAACTCCTATCCGTTCCAGACGTCCCTGAGGGGTGATGGCTTTCTCGAAAAGTTGGCAAATCGTTCTCGCCAGGTCTCGTCTACGAGAGGCTATCAATGGCGGCGTGTCGTTCGGTCGCGGGCGACGCTTAGTTGTGGGCACCGTCACCGTTGCAGAAGGGAACGGGGTAGGTGGTGCTGTTGCAAAGACGGATGACACCCTTGACCCAGTTGAGGTTGCCGTAGGCCTGGCTGGAGTAGCTGTCGGAGGTGAACTCGCCGTAGGTGGGGGAGTCGGTGCAGCCGGAGATGATGTTGCCCTTGACGCGGCGGACGTTGGGCTGGGAGACGACGAGACCGTACTGGCCCTCGGGGACGGTGAATCCGATGGTCTGGGTCTCGGTGGTGGTCCAGGTCTCGGCGTAGGAGACGGACAGGGAGACACCGAGGCCAATCTCGGCGATGGTGCTGGAGATGGAGGAAGACACGGTGTAGGTGTTGGCGATGGAGTAACCGTTGGCGACGGAGACGGTGGCAGAGCCACCCATGGAGCTGAGGACGGGAGACATGGCGACGTCCCAGTTGAGGAAAGACTCGTCGGAGAGGACCTGGACCTCGGTGGACTCGGCGCAGCCACGGGCCTCAATACCCTCGGAGCGAGAGGTGATGGCGGGGGCGACCATGCGCTTCTCGCGGGCCTGGAGAGCGTCGTACTCGGCGGACTTCATGACGGTGTGGGAGCCATCCTCACCGACGACGATGACGTCGTCGTAGTTGAGGGCGACGGGGGCCGGGCGGGGAGCGGCAATGGCAACGCCAGCGAGGGCGGAAGCGGCGAGAACGGAGAAGCGCATCTTGAATGTTGTTGTAGGGTTTGTGAAAGGAGTGTAAATGGGTCTCTTGCAAAGGAGTGGCTTTGAGAATGTAAAGACTGGAAGAGTTGGTTTGAGAAAAGAGTGTGGGGACGAATGGTAATGGAGAATGGACTGGCCTTCAAAGGTGAGGAATCCGAGTCTCTGGGAGGGAGGCAGACTGTCTTTATACAACAGGGAGGTGTTGCGTTTGAGCGCGGCTGTGGCAGACGATCCCCAGTCTGATCAGACTTTAGACTATCGGGTGTCTGTTCGGTCTCGCAAGCCGCAGACTGGCCGTTGCGCCAGAATGTTTCCACCGACATTCTTCCTTGTCCCTGGGATAGACGGTGAAGCGCCCACGCGCGCGCGAGATAGTCGACAGACGGACATACGGACATGTGCCAAGAACACCACCGGGGTTCCCGGTATTGCGAAGGCACCTTGTGATCCGGCCATCCGCCCAGGGGATGACGGTATCAACTCGCCATTCCAGGAAGAAGTGATAATATCAAGTTGATAATATGACTGAGGCAGGTCCAATTGCACTACAACGACAGACTGACTCGAGGGTCGCAAGCCGTAGATCGGTGTGGTTCCCGACGTGGGGGACGGTACGGATGGATATCAGATGGGAGTCAATGGGACGAACACGAACAAGGCAACACTGGGGTCTCCCAGTTTCACATTGAGGGCATTCCAACCAAGTTCGGGCGCACGAGGTGAGCAGACCGTGGAGTTGTTGCGGCTCTTGAGTTGGTTGGCTGCCCAATTGACTTTCGGGAAGGCTACCGAGTCATGACAGCTTCAAAGTGGCCCCGGTTCACCGTTTCATGCGACATCATCCATGCCCCTTGACAACCCCAATGCGGCAAGAGATTATTAGCTCATGCGTGTCCAGGGGCCTGGTCAACCCCATCTTTCCCCTTGGCCAAGAAGTCCACTGTCAGACGCAAATAGCCACCCATCAGCCCAGCTAGCACGGGATCGAGTTCACCGAAGCCCCAAAGGGCTGAAAGAAGCCTGCCTCTCGCTTCTCGCCTCTCCTTAGCCTCTCCTTAGCTTCCCTTTAAGGTGCACATAGAGTTTGATAACGGGTTGGGGGAGATTTGGTCTCCGCTGGACCTCTGCACCGCCCAGAGGGGCGCCCAGAGGTGACATCCATCCACCGGCGATTCCGCAGTCAATGACGATCAAACTCCTATTACGGGCCACGGGGTCTACGGACTCGGTCAAAGGTCGCCGGGCATACCATCGGCTCATGTGGGTACCAGGCGCACAGAGAGAGGAGGGATGATGGGATGATGACCTTTACCGCTGGTTGCCATGACCCGGTCAACCCGCCGTGGTCCAGCATCCGAATGCGATAGATTGGGTTATCAGAAGTTTGGCCGTGACTCGTAATACACGTGGAAGTGAGCCGTGGATATAAACCTTCAGAGGTTCCGCCCCAGATTCGTGATATTCACTTCCAGCTCCATCCACGCCCACCACATTCTTTTCTTCGGTCCAGATCTAGTAATCAGAACCAACTCCGTTCATTCCTTTCACAACCAACTCCGTTTCAGTCACTACCTTCACCAGAAACATCCAACCAAACATCTCTACCAACACCGCCAAAATGCAGTTCTCCATCGCCAAGGTCGCTTCCCTCTTCGCCCTCGTCTCCGTCGCGTAAGTCCTTCAATCTTCACCACGATCAAACATTAGACTAACAACATCAGGACGGCCAACCTCCACGACAACTGCGCCTGTGACAACGGCGACAGCTACAACTGGCGCATCACCACCAAGGCTTGCGAGCTCTACAGCTCCAAGAACTACCAGTGGGGTGTCGGTGTCTACGACGCTCCTTCCGGACGCGTGAGTAGCCTCATAGTCTTCGGCAACTGAACATCTTTGCTAACACGTTTTTTAGTGCGTCAAGAAGACCGACAACGACCAGCTCGCCGGTAAGGAGTGGGAGGCTGCCTGCCGTGAGGTCGCCAGCACCGGCTTCGACTGTGCCGATGGCAAGGGCCTGTACTGCAAGGCCAACCCCGACGACGTTCGCGGCCGCTGCTAAGCGTCTCGTGGAGATGCTGGGGTCCAGATCATAAGGCTTTTTTCCAGGCCTCTTCTTTTTGCAAACGAAACGAACCAGCATAGGCCCGTCCGTAAGGCTGGCTGGGACGGCATTATCATGGCTCCACCCACATCCTTAGCCGGTCCTCTGGATCGTGGTGCCTAGGAGTATTGAAAGAGAGGCATCATCTCGACCAGGAAGTGGCTTTTGACAAATCGTTAGCGGAATTGGTCCGTCTAGTTACGAATTCAGGCGTTGTTGGTGTTTCTATCGAATACCTGTTGTGCGTGGTCTTGTGTATCGTCAATCTGCTCGCGCCATTATGACTTAAACTATAGAGGATTAGACTTCCATTTTGTTCAGTAACCTTTTGTCCATCTCTTTGTGTGACTTGATGATGAAATGTGTTGAGACTGAATTGTGTCTGTTGGAACAGTCTATACTCTGGTAGGAAGTTGGCCGCATGTATAACAGCTACCGCGCTTGTCCTTTATGACTGCTTCTCCAAGCCTCTTGACTCCGAAATTCGACTTCACATCTTTAGTTTTTGCATGTTTTTGAATCTCGATCACCTGAACAACGACTCTGCATACACAGCTTCATCTTCTCGGGGACTTAGGAGATACTTTGGCGATGCTCGAGATGCGAACTACTGACGTCTCTCCCAACAGACCTTCAGCCTAAATTGCTAACATAAACGTGACTGGTGGGTGGGCTTGACAGAATCAGGTGGGAAATCGAACGATCACGACACCAATACGAACATTCCAAATGAAGTCAATATGTTGGTGCATCACACATATGGCACCATCAAAAAACCATTCACGTGTTGAGACGATGGAGTTAGTCGTCTGACGAATCACTCTTTCTTAGCCGTCCCACTAGAAACCTTCGAACCGCTCAAGTCCGAATGCAAGATGACGCATCCCAGCTGAAGATAGCCTTAGATAGGCGATGGGTCGGCGATAACTCTTCACCTCCGCCGATGCATTTCCCACGCGAAGGCAACGTGAGAGATCTTCTAGAACACATGAGTGCGATGGAAACCTGCAGTCCAAACCGGGAGCTCCTTGTCTTCTTTTGGCGAAACTCTAATTAAGGGGGATGTTCGGTTGCATCCGCGCCAGAGCCACGATGGAGACCATGCAGCCTGCCCAGCCATGACAAGGATTGCCTTGGCACGACTCAACTAGCTGCATACGGCAGCGTTGCAGATTTATTTTTGTACAGATGCCGCAACCCTTCGAGAATCTGCGATAAGCGACGGCTGCCCGCGGGGGTCTGGCGTTGTCATCGCGCGGTGATCTGTTGTCGTCGGCAAGCGCGGCAAGAATGATAATGGCACTCATTACGTTCGGTCATCATGCGCACGTGTGATGGATGGGAGGCAGTGGTAGTCTAAAGAGTGGCACCCATCGATTACGAGCATTAGCAGTTCATGCTATGATTAAAGAATTATTTCCCGATACCGGCATGCCTTGATCTTCAATTCATTGACATGAAACACGTTCATATCAGTATACTTTCTTAGCCAGATTAGAGATGGAAGGTGCGTTGAAATTGGACGAAAAGCGTTTATAGTACTCGTGATAATGGTTGATAATGCGTTTGCCATGTTTAATATGAGCAAATTGGCCCGGCCTGACCTCCGTGCGCGGGGTGGGGCGGGTCCGAATATGTGGATCTTGCGGGTTTTCGGCCCGCTCGGCGACTTGAAAGCCCCGAGGCCGGCGACCCGGAGGGCGGCCTAGGAGAGTCTGGACACGGCGTCTCCGATGGGAAAGATGTAGAAGACGCTAAACACGTGGAACTCCATGTTTATATCCTGATGCTGCCTCAAAACTCATTGCTGTCACCCTCACACGATTTTCTCGACGCTTAAATATCAAGTTTTGAATTCTGATATGAAAGGTGGCAGGGCCAGTCTTCCTGACAAGTCAGCGTACGAAGATTTCCATCCACAATGTTGGTACAGGTTCAAATATGTGGTTATGATGTCGAAAGAAAGATGTGACAATCGCGTCTTGTGAATAAAAGAAGCCAGAAGTAAAGCTCATACCACGCAACACTTGAAGGAATGGCTGTCGTCGAGGTAATACATGCTTCAAGACAATCATTTTGCATTGCGATCAATATCTTGTCTGAAATTTGCCTCTTGATTTCCGCTCCTGAACTCTTGTGATGATCACTTCAGATCTGTTTCGTTGATGTTATTCACATATCCCATAAGTACGCGTATTTGTCGAGGTCGCGCCTTGCTGAGCCAGCGCGTGCATGACGGGTCCTGTGGCTAGACACTGTCCCCAGAAAGTTTGCTGATCCTGCGGGGTTCTTGAATGGCTGAAAAGTGCTTGGTGAGGCGGTGCTGGTATGTATATGTGGCTGTGTTAACCTCAACTTGCGATGGCTTGTGATGGTTGGAGCACGTCTCACCTCACCCGCCCGCCCATTTCGTAGTAAGCATTTAGAACTGTCTCAATTCCATTCGCATCATTGGTTCCTGTTGGAAACATGTATCCCAGAAACGCCCAAGCGTTGGACGCGATCCCCGCACGCCGGCTCATTCTCCGGGCTGAAAGCCACACGGTTTCACCTGTTGACGTCACGCTCGAGCTTAATGAGGCCTCATCTCACCCAGGGATCTCACTCCCTCACGCTCGTACTTCCTCTTCAAGTGATCGATTGACGAGTTACAGACAAGTTGACACTGGTGGCGCTGACACCGCCTGCTTGTTTCTTTGCTCAGCCGCGGAAGCGTGTCGTCGGGATTCAAGCCAAACCGAAAGGTGCGTTCTTGGCACCGCCCGGTGAGTTATCAATCACATGCTCTTCTTATATAATATCTGACCTCCTCACTCACGTTCAACGTCTTTCATCTTACGGACACGGCATCTTCACCATCAACGTATCGTAAACCAAACCTTCAACCTACTGCGCATCCAACCGACCCCAACAATCGGAGAAAAAGCAACTCTGCGACGCAAAATCGTCGGATCCTCAATCATGGCGACACCACAGCTTGCTACAGCGACGAATGCTGTTGGGATCTTCCCCCAGCTAGTAGCGCGACAAACAGAGACCCTAGTTCTCAAAGAGAAAATGCTCTCCCTCACCGGCGACAGCTTCGACATCAAGCTCGCCAACGGAACACCAATCTTCCGCGTTACGGGAAAGGTCATGTCCATCTCCGGCCGCAAGTCCGTGTACGACATGAGCGGCAACCATCTGTTCGACATCGTCAAGGAGCACATGCACCTTCACACCACCTTCGCCGCCGTCGATCCCAAAGACAGGAAGATCATGGAGGTGAAGAGCAGCTTTGCGCGTAAGCAGCCCCATCGAGATTAATGTACGCTCAGAAATGCGCTCAGGAACTAATGATATATCCAGTGATCGGCTCCAAGGCAACTGCCACATTCACTTCGCCGAGTACGGGCAAGAGTGAATCGCTTGAGATGAAGGGAAACTGGTTGTCAACGTCAGCGGAAATCGTCGACACCAGCAACGGCCAGGTTGTCGCACGAATTGACCGTAACGCATTGAAGGCCAGAGATTTCTTCGGTGGCAAGCAGACTTACGCGCTCACAGTGGCGCCGGGCGTGGACATGGCGTTGATGGCGGCCATGTGCATCTGCTTGGACGAGAAGAAGAATGACAACAACGGCTAATGGTTACGGGGATCACGATATTATTAAGTTGAACTTTGCGTTCGCGGATTGTTGAGAGCGGAATATTAGGTAGCGAAGAATATTTTCCCCGGAATAATGATCATCTTTCTTTCCTCACACATGTTCGCTTCGCACGCGAGACATGCTGGCACCGGTTCGTTGGCTTCAGGCGCTGGCTGTTCCAGTTTCTACTTGATCTTACCGTCCTAGTCAGCGGAAACGAACACATCGCAAACAAATTGATATGGCTAGGTGCGGATTTTCGGAAGTTTTCAGTCGTTTCTATTTCGGCTCGGCTCGGCTCCACATCCGGGCCAGATGGCGGCGACAACCTCACCGACTTCAAGTACCGGCCGAGCGATTCATGTCGTCCGGGATGCGACCCAAGGACGTCCCCCACAGTTTCCCCCGCAAAGTGCTACCCTCGGCATCATCGTCCTCGATGAACCTGTCCAAGTTCGGGATAGTAGCTTGCGTGGTCCAATCGGGTTGTGGGCGGTTAACGAGATCTGGCAGTCGATCGAAATATGCTCATGTCACAACAATGAATGAGACGAACGCGGTCGCTGGTGCTCGGTGCTCAATTTCCCGAGGTTTCATGCTTAAAGACGGCGAACTCTTCGATATGTTTGTTCGTCACCGAGAAGTTTAACCTTCACAACTCAAGATCGTACCGCTGGTTACTTCGCGAGACTCATCTCGGCCCCAAGACGGATCGGTCCCGATCTCGTCCCCCCTTTCACTTGGTCACTTCCCGTTTCTATCGAAGATTGGAAACAATACAGATAATGACAGGCCGGTTTCTGCTGTTATTGGCTGCGGGTGCAGCTCAAGCCGCAGCCGCAACTAATTCATCCAATACTCGGTAAGCGCCTCACCGAATCATTCACCACCGGTGAGAAATACCACTCTAACTCCTTTCTCCTCACAATCAGCTTCTTCTCACCCGTTGGAATCGCTCTCGGCGTCGAAGCCAAGCTGCAAACTCAGTCGTTCGCCCCTTTCTCACTCTCCCCGGAAAACCCGATAGCGACCCTCGACTACGGGGCCGAGAGAGCGGGATATCCGGTCTTCGAAATTTCCTCGGTGAACGGACCCACCCAGATCGAGGTGAAGTACACCGAGCACTTTGACGGTCTGAATCACCCCTTCGGAGATGGTCCGTACAGCTTTTCGAACCAGCTTGGGAACAGTTTCCGTGTCGAGACTTTCAACATCAAAGGGACGGGCAGACTTGAGTCCCCTCTCATCCAAGGCGGTCAGAAGTGGCAGTCTGTCAGGCTCCTGACTAACGGAACCGTGTCGTTCTCGAACGTGGGCTTTGAGCCGACCATTGCTGCCGTCGAGCCCGAGAACTTGCCGGGACAGTTTCACAGCGATGATGGGAAGCTGAATGAGATCTGGAAGTTGGGCGCGAGGGCCACAGTGGCGGCCTGCGTTGACAAGGGCACGCAACAAGCTATCTGGGAAGTGGATGAGGAGAACGGTGTCCTTGCACGTAGTGTACGGCCGTCTATTACCTGGAAGGCAACCACTTGGACGAACTACACGATCGAGTTCGACACCAAGATCAAGAAGGGAGGCAGCTGGTGGGTTACGGTAAGTGAAAGCACGAAGATCCTTCATACCTGGCAATGGACTAATTACGGCCCCAGGGAGGAGCAATCGCGGGCAACGGCTACAGCCTTCTCCTCACCGGCGAGCTCCCTGAGAGCAATCGATTCGTGAATGTCAACAAGACGCTCACGCCTCCCAACACTATCTCTCTCGCCTACGGGCCGGACTTTGTGAACCAGACCACGCTGACTTCCTACCTGTTGGACGTTTTCGAGATCCCCTTCACGGTGAAGGAGGACACCTGGTACCATATCTCAACTTCGATGTCTCCTAACGGCCATCTGGCAGTCTTGATCGATGACACGCAAGTGCTGAATGTTTCACGCTCTGCCTACCCCTGGGCTCTCGCATCCTCAGCCAATTCCTACTCTGGAACCCCGGACTTCACCGGTTCTTTCGGCTTCGGTGCATACCAGGACCACGCCGCCTACTTCAAGAACGCACATGCATACGACACCGTCAACGGCTCCACGCTCTACTCGAACAATCTCACCAGCCAAGATGTCCTGGTCGAATACGGCACCCGGGCCAACTACGAAAGCGTGTGCATGGACGGACCAAAACGCGACAGACTCGTCTGGCTGGGAGACTTCTACCACACCGCCCGTATCTCCGCCGTCAGCACGTCGCGGACAGATCAGTCCCGGGGAACCCTCCAAGTCCTTCTCGACACGCAGCTTCCGAACGGCCAGATGAGCATCTCGCCGAACCTCGGCTACGATCTCAAGTCCATCGCCACTGCCCTGGCACCTTCGGGCAGCTACGGACTGCAAGACTACCAGCTCCTCGGCCTCATGGCCTTCAACGACCACGTCCGCCTCACCAACGATCTCGACTTCGCCCGGGCGACTTGGCCTCAGTGGCAGAAGGTGATCGACTGGCTCCTCCCGCAAATCAACTCGACGACCGGCCTCCTCACCTTTGACGGCGGCTTCGCGTTCACCGGACCCGCGGACGGCGGCTCGGCTATCTCCTGCGAGGCGGTGCAGAGCTTGAATGGCGCCGCGGACGTGGCCACCGCGATCAACGACACGGCCTCGGCCACTAAATACCGGGAAGCGGCGAGTTCGCTGGCGAATGCGATCAATGAGAAGCTGTGGAATAACGACATCGGCGCGTATGGCTACTCACTGGCCTCGCTCGGAGATACCTCCGTTACGGGCACCGCGTTCTGCATCACCTCCGGCGTGGCAGATGCGAACCGCACGGCGCGATCAATCGCGGCTTTGTCGCAGCTGAAGCTGGGTCCCGGATACAAGGACTCCTCGCAGGTGTCCTCGAACGACAGCAGCATCAACATCTCGCCCAACACCAATGGCTTCCTCCTCTCGGCCCTCTTCATGGGAAACGCCACCGCCACCGGCAAAGAGCTCATCGAGAGCCTATGGGGCGCGATGCTCCCCGGCACCGAGGCGCAGAACAAGAGCGCGGTCGGCACGAGCTGGGAGTACGTCAACGCCGCGACCGGCCAGCCGGGCCTGGGCCTGTTCACGAGCCTGAGCCATCCGTGGGGAGGCGCGGCGACGTACGTCTTGACGGAGTGGGCTGCTGGTGTTCAGCCCGCGGCCGGCGTCGATGGGTTTGGGTACAAGAATTGGGTCGTCGCGCCGGCTGCTGGTGTCGGGATGGGGTTGCAGACGGCCAGCGCCAAGGTTGTCACTGCTTTCGACGGCGAGTTGAGCGCGGAGTGGAAGATTGAGGGGAGCGACTTGTATGTTACCATTCGGGCGCCGATTGGGACCAAGGGCGAGTTCGTCTACGGTCAGAAGAGCATTGAGTTGCATGGGCGGTCGGTGTACGAGTTTCATGTCGATTCTTCGCTTGAAGCTGGCATCGTTTAGCAGCTGTGATACTCCATTTCGTAGTACATATTATCATCATAACCTTTTGGCGGAATCGAATCTTATCAGTCAGATACCTGCTGTGTTACAAACAGAGTCGTGTCTGAGTCTCCCTTCAATGACGCGTCGATTGCTTCGCGTTCTCGCTTACGGACAAGCGCGTTGGGGCCGTCGTACATGATGTGGACTCCTGGGTCAGCAGCGCATCGCAAGCCTCCACTTCGTGTGGTGTACACGGTTGCGTAGTGTAGTGGTTATCACTCCAGATTTTGATTCTACCTGTTTTCGGCTGATCCGTCAGCCGGCGATCTTGAGTCGTCAATCTTCTGGTAACCCCGGTTCGAACCCGGGCGCGACCTGTTCTTTTGTTTTTTTGGTTTTGTTACCAAGTGACTGATGATTATGAATGACAATAGTGCGGTTTTTGTTGTAATTATTTCAAGAAACTCAAGATGTGCATGTGGCGTCAATTTGCAGCCCAGAATGCGAGAAGCAAACACGAACCCGGAGCTCCCGGGCTCACCGCACCGACTCAACCCCGGCTACTCTCGGCTCCCCGCGCCGGTCTCGGAGCATCACGATGCCTCTCCCCCTCCGCACATCACATGACGCAGTCAACACTCAGAACCGTCCGGCATCATCTCCGCAAGCCCCTCGTCCAAACCCGCAATGTCTATCTCCACACGCATCTTCCGGAAGTCTGTCATCCCCGCATCGCGATACGTAGCACGTAGCCATTTCGTACCTCGATCCTCACCGTTCAACTTCTGTTACCGCACAATGGCCACCGCCGGCAAGAAGGAGTTCCTCTGCATCCTCCCGGATAAGCCCGACGCGCTTGCCAAGCGCTTGGAGGTTCGGCCGTGAGTCTGATACCATCCGGTTGAGATGATGATGTGATGCTTCATCTTGCGTTGAGGGCTTGGGCTGACTTGTGGTAGGACGCATTTGGCTGAGGCCAAGTCTGCTGCTTCGGATGGCAGAGTGGTAGTTGGTGGTACGAATACTCGAGATGGTTTCGACTGAAGGAATATGGATCTAACAGGGATGAAACAGGAGCCATGTTTGAGTCGGAACACCCCTCAGAGGGAAAGCCGCCCGCGTTCAAGGGAAGCATGATCATCTACACCGTGAGCAGCGCCGACGAGGCGTGGGAGTTGATCAAGAACGACGTCTACGCCAAGAACGGCGTCTGGGACCTCGAGAAGGCCCAGGTGATTCCTGTAAGTCATTCAATCATGATCCTGCCCATGCGACGGCTAACGACTACAGTTCATGTCTGCTGTGCGCGAAGGACTGCAGAAGCTGTAGTTGGATAATGAGCTTATTGATAGAGGAAGCCGAAGCATCCATGAATTGACGAATACACATCACGTACATAAGCATAGCAGCGGGGAAAACGCCCATTACATTATCCGTTGATGCTCTTACATGACTATCATTAACCTCATGATACTTGATCATCTACAGACTGCATCAAATCCTCCACGTCTAACCTTTCGGCTAGATCCAGCAACGCCTGGGGCGAGAGACCGCCCATCCCACTCGTATCGAATATGTCCCACCCCGGCTCCTCGTGCTCCATCTGATCCAGGAACGAACCGTGGTCTTGGGGTTGGGGATGTGCCGTGCTCGGCGACGGAGTCGGGGGCTGCTCGGGGGCGGGAGTGAAGGCGGTCATGATGTTTTCGAGCTGGCTCAGCTCCAGCTTTCGCAACGGAGCGACCAGACTCCCCTTTTGAATCATCTTGTCCAGGACGCACTTGATGTTTTCGCACCACGTGTCGTCGTGAAGAAGAGAGGGGTCGATGACGCGGATGAGGAAGAGGAGGAATGCGGACGAGAAGGCGTCTTCAAGCTGGAAGGGCAGGAACGCCTCTGGCTGGACGTCAGTATTGGACTTGATGTTTGGAGATAATGACCGGCTTACCTAGTAAGTCCTCATCTCCGAGTACCCGAAGAGTCCTGAGGACTGTCTGAGCCGAGTCGACGCAAGACTGCAGCAGCGATGCTACGGGCGGTGTCAAGGAGACGGTTTGCGTATTTCGCAAGTCTGAATGCTCGATGTGGATGTGTAATGCGCACATGACGAGGGGCCGGGTGGTGAGTACGACGCACTATGCAAGTTAGTCGACCGCAATCAATCAGGAGAATTCTGGGTTGACGCACATGGTGATACGAGAGGATAAGGCGTAGTGCCATCCTCGATGCCCTACTCACCGACCCCTGGAAATGGGTATCGAGGAGAGCCGTCAAGTCTCGGGAAAGGCGGGCCAAGTCTCTGAGAATGGATTTGCTGTTTGATACGAGTGAGCCATCGAACGATTTGCCGACGCCGTACACCGCTGGTAATTTGGTCAGCGCGCTTCATGTGAGAGGGTTCGACAGATGACTTACTCGTCAAGATTCGCGCCATGAGACGCGAGAGACGGACGTGGAGAGTCATGTTGAGCGCATCCAGGGAATCGTCAACCTGCGAAGGAAGTTTGACCGTGATATCCTCATCTCGGATGGAGCTCGGCGCTCCCATGAGGGCGGCGAACTCTCTATCAAGGGTGTATACCACCCAGAAGACGATATTACAGCGCCGTGAGTGTTCGACGCCCACGACTTCTTCCGGCATGTGTCTGTAGATACCCTCAACAATACTGATGCGTAGTGCCTGGCCGATCTGACATGGGTTGATTAGCGATGCGTCTTAGATTTCAACGGTCTCGGTCTGCGGCCTTACGTGTTGGAAAGCCGCGAGTCTCATATCCAAGCACTGGAAGTAGACAGCGGCAAGCGCTAGAGCTTGAATAGAAGAGATGGTGTCCGGGTTGAGGCCCGAAAGATCGGGAAGTAAGGCCATGGCCCGCGTAGCATACTGGACGCCCGGTGGCCCGGTGTGAGGGCTACTGTGAGATACCACGAAGGCTTTGCCGAAGGCCAGTATCAGGAGGTACTGAGCGTACCATAGTCTCGAAGAACTGGCTTTAGCGGCGGGGTCTTCGTAAAACTCGTGGAGATTCTTCATGAACGACGACTCGTCGATGAGATAGAACACGGCGCCGAGATAATACTTGGCCGTGTTGAAGAGGAACATGGCGTAGTCTAGTGGAGGAAGGTTCGATACGTCGGGCTCTTCGTTGATGCCGAGGGGCTTCCATTGCATTCGGAATGCGCCTTCGTGAGGCAGATGCCATGGATCTGGAGCTGCTTCTGGGATTCTTTTCCCTAGTAGGGCTAGGACTCGGCGACAGAAGGACCATGATGATGTTGGTCCCATGTACCCTAGTACATTGGTTAGTGCACCGAAATCTGCTTGAGTCGAAGATGGCCGACTTACAATACTTCCCACCTGCTTTTGCAAACGTATAGTCATTGTCAACCAACGGGTTCTGTCGAAATCCAGGCCCAAAGTCTCCGTGATGTGGAGGGACTTCATCATGATCTTCTAGCTCAGACTCAGGCTCGGACTGCGGGTCTCCGCCAAGTTGTGGGCTGTCTATTGAGACCAAGTCAGTTGCAACTCATCACAAAGTGGATTGCAGAATAAGAAAGGTCTGAAAGTGTAAGAGCAACTCACCATGACTTGGAGTCTCCAACTGACCCGGAGCCTCCTCATGCCGGGGCAACGGGTTGCGATGCGGTGTCCCGAACGGCTCACTATACCGCGACGGAGCATCATCAACATCACCACCCCGACTCGCCCCCCTCACAGACCGGTCCGAGGCCTGTTCACTGTTCCGGTTCTGAAGCTCACGGAGATAACTTGGGTGGGTCAGCATGTCCGGACCTGCAACGGGTGTCTCTCACCGACGAAAACTCACCTCTCCGGGACCGATATCCTCTTATCCTCGACCGCGAATATGCATCGATGCTTCTTCCGATCGCATCGCGTACAGGGCTGCGACCCGGAACACTTGACCTTCATCACCCGACATCTCTCGCAACTTTGAGACACACAAAAAGTTAGTCATGTGACTCCCTTCATTTCCGTCCGTTCTCGGGACTATCGGGCTACCCCGCACGCACGCTTTTTGACATTTTTTCGTCACTTTGTATTGTCCGTGGCTCAATTGCGGCATCTTGAACGGGTTTCGCGGCTCGTGTTAGACTTGTCCATGTCGTTCGATGAGAGGCGGTTGTGAGAGCGTTGAGTCCGTCGCGTTGAAGATGTCGGACCCGGCTTCCGACAACGCTCATGGCCGCGGCAGCGCGTTGTCTTTATTTAGGCCCCGTCAAGGTGAATTTGGGGGAAGGCCAAGCCGGTTTAGCGCATGTCTTATCAGCTTTGGCTGGGGTAGCTGACGCCGCACCGCAGATAGCCGAGCGGTGTTTTGGCTTGGGTTCCGGGGTCTTATCAATGAGATGCTTGTTCATTACCCCACACTCTCTGTTGCTTTTCTCCTTGCATCGGAGGGCGTCTGGAGATGGTTACATTCGAATGACACAGAGAGAGTCAGGTGGGATGGGCGGCTGTGTCATGTCAACGCAAGAGGCGTCTTTGGCATGTATTGGGTACTTGAGATCTGGGGTTCGATGGGGTTGATCATTGGTCATGAGATGAATGATCGTCGCCTCACGCCAGAATGTTCGCGGGGAAGATGGAGACTCTTGAGAAGTATTGACTTATTGACATGGAAAGAGCTATGTCGGGAGTCGTAACTCAAAGCCCGACTTGTAAGTTCATGTCAATATGATTTCGTCGACTTGGGATGAGCAAGCAGAACAAAACTCACCCAGATTTCGCTGAGACCACTCTCACTGATGACGAGCTAACTCGCGAAAATTCATCAAAGATATCGTGATCTTGACAGAAAGGCAAGGAGTCGCCGAGAAATTGATGATATCTACGACCTTGAACGGGATACGAACCGATCCTTCGGACCCTCGGAAGGCGAAGCTCGATCACTCAGCGCCTGCTCGATATGGGCTAGTCGTTTGGTTGGCGTAATGTCGGATCCATCTTCCGACATTCCAATCCTCCGACCGAGCTCATGGTCATGTGGACGTCGGAACGCCATCCCGACATAATTCAACCAATCAGGAGCATCTTCTTATCAACCTCAACGGCGACGCCATTGACATGGAGCATGTCCGAGCAGGCAGACCAGAACATACGTTTGTATCTTACGCCGTGAGGCCTTATCACTGTGAACAGCGGGAGCCAACTGGACACAGGCAACACTGGTTGATGAGCAAGATCCCCATGTTCTGCAGATCCTGTCATCAGTGAATTTTGTCAAGATACTACCCGTATTTCAGTTAGAAGCACGGACGCTGGTGCGTGTGTTAGTTACCTTAGTAGGAGGTCGGAGCATGATGAGATCTAATAACATTCCGGGTCTGTCATCTCAATCTCCGGGCAACCACAAGCCACTTGTTGACTGCGTTCATCCGATTGAAGTCATACCGAGTAACTAATCTGAAATACGGGCCAAACACACTGAACCTACCAGGTAGTTCGGGCAACTTGGACAATCCGTGACCCAGCAGCCTGTCCAAGAGGCGTCACAGGGTAGAAAGTCGCGAAGTAAGACATCTTACATTGCTTGCCATGCATCTGAAGGGATAGAATTGAAAAAGGTATCAATCGCTTGTCATTATCTAAGGATATAATCTAGTCATGATGCATCGCTGGAAGCACGTCTTGTCTTCAACCGAACACTCTCCGGCGCAGCTCGTTCTTCAGAATAACGGCCTCGTGCCGTGTCCTCTCAACGGCTCCCTTGTTCTCAATAGCCCGGCGGTGCAGGTAACCCATGCATTCCGCGACAGATCCCCATGGGATGTACTTGAAAGGCTTGGGGATATCATCCCTCTTCAATCCCGAGTCCGTCACACAGTTGTCGTAGTTATCCAACAGCTCACAGCTCAGCTCATCCGCCAATCCCATCAGCTGACCACACTCCAAAGTCGTAGTCGCCTGGCCCTCGAGAAGCCTGCGGCGATGGGCAGAGATGGCCTTGTTCGAGCTGTTGGCGTTGTGGGTGGCGAGGAAGAGAGCGCTGGCGGGGAACTGAAGACCCTCGGCCTCCTTGGGGAGTCTCTGGCTGATGAACATATCGGCGATGTCGTCAAAGCAGTTGTGGGTGTCTTCGATGGTGTCGTGGATCAGGGAGCGGACTTCGTGCTCGATGTAGGCGCCGCGGACGAGCTTGATACCGAGACTCCAGCCCTCCTTGGCGGCCAAGGCGATGTGGCGCTCCGTGTTCGCGGTAGAACCCTTGAGATAGGCTTGGATGGTGTTGAAAACCAGAGGGCGTGCGTCGCGGTTGTGGCGTCTCATGAGGTCGATGGTCCATTCATCCAGGGTCGGTTGTAGAGCTTGCTGCTCCGCGTCAATCCAAACACGAGCTCCCTTCTGTTTGCCGGCGTCGCAAATCTCATCGAGAGCCTCGCGGAGAACTTCAGGCATAGCTCCGGATGCTCTCATGGCGTCCACAGCAATAGGGCCAGCACCAGTAACCCTGAGAAACAAGTCAGCATGAGATCGATCTTTGAATGTCTTTGAGAGGTGTGCTTACTTAACGGCAATGAAGTCTCCGGGCTCCATCATCTGGAGCGTGTCGAGGTTGCCTTTCTTCCATTCCTGAACCATCTGGTAAAATGCCGGTGCGTAGTCTCCATCTTTCGATCCAGCCTGGGCCTTCTTCGTATCCAGAACGATTTCCCTAGCATAGTTGAGGATGACTCCCTGATATCCCATCCTCTTAACATTCGCCACAGCCTTTCTTACTTCTGGAACGTTTGTCCCTGCGCAAAAGTGGTCGTATATCGTCCATCGTAGGAGTTTGTTGAGAAGCAGGTTCTTATCGGGGTTGAATAGTGGTGATTTTGTCTTTGTGATGAAGCCGAGGATGGGTAGTGATAGTCTCATCAACAGTGGCGAAGATGTGAATTGTGTGAGGAAGAGTGATCGAAGTAATGTTGGTGTCGGTAGTCTTGATAAAGCCGACGGCTTCGTCGTGGTCTGGGGTAAAAGAGTCTGGGGTTTTGGCACCGCGGTGCTTACACGGTTGGCCGCCGTGGTGTGTACATGCCTCGCCGCTCCCTGCAGTCGGATCGACCTGCAGAGAGGCACGGGCACCTGTTTGCATGTGCCGAGCTTGACAGGCATCGTGAAGTTGAAGATTCTGGATGAACAGGACTGACGATGTGTGGAAGGGACAGAGATAGGGACAGGTTAGATATAGTTGCGGACGGCTACGGCCGGCCTAAACCTTGGATGTGTCAAGGTGGCGGCATGACTTGGTATCGTCGAGCACCTTCGCCGAGCCCACCCCACCACCGACCGGAATCCCGATCTGTCTCAGACCCAAGAAGCCAAAGTCAAGTGTCAGTGACCTTGAGGCTCTGCTCCGTGGCGGGTTCCGGCGGCGTTCATCCAAATCTCAAGCTCCACAAGTGGATGCTGGTGACTTTGGGATGGCAAAAGGGACGCCATTGACGGCGATTGGATCCCACGCGACCCAAAATCTGGAGAAAAAGCGCTATCTCTGTCTATGGAACTAGGTTTCGTGAGATAAGAATGACTATTTTCTGCAGGTCGGAGGCGCAGGAACGGGGGGTACACCTAGCTGGCGCGAGTCGGTGCGCGCTTCCGACATGTCGGGTCGGAGGTGTCTTATCATGTCGGGTGACCATTCCGACAAGACTAACACCAAAGTGAAACTCAAAACGGTGACTTTCCAGTGTGCCACCGACATCGGCATGTTGCAAAGGGTTGCAATGACACAGAAATAGCTCTGAGTCGGCTTCTTGGTTTCCGTGCAGCTTCTAGAACCACATGATCTCTTCTTCATGCAAATATCATACATAATGTTGATTCAGAATCTATTGATTATGGCACAAGGTATCATGACAAGATTCTCTCAGAGTTCAGTCGGTGAAAGTTTTCTGACTAAAGATTCTCACTTGTCACATGTACAAGTTAAGATACCTTGCGAGACGAACAAACATTAATGGCCTGGCAGATCTGATTGTGATCCAAAATCAACTCCGCCTCAGCGCTTGTAACCCCTTGAGTTCAACAGTCCCAGCTAGAAGCGTTATTGACGTCTCCGCCTTTGAACTTAGGAAGCAGTGGCCATCGGCACGAAGGTCTAGAGAAACTGACTGTCAAGTCCACGGGGGTATCCCCGATTACTGTCTCGTTCGCATACTTGACACCGACCATAACCTCCGGCGCCCGTTGGCTTTCTCTCCACTCGACGAGAGCAAGCAACGCAGAATGAGCCGTATCGTTTTGAAGTGGAGGGAGAGGCTCGCCCGCCCCTCCCACGACCCATGCTCCGTCACCCCCTACGCAGTGCCCTTGGCCGGGGACCATGAAGAGCCTGTAAAAGTCGGAGACCGACTGGACCTCGGACTCTCCGAGTCCGGCGTAATGGGCGAGGACTTTGCGGTAGTACAGGGTAGATATCTCTGCATTGACGACCGAGTCTTGCCATCCGTGATAGTGTAGGAGCTTTCCCCCGTTTGCTTGGAATGCGGTCAAGTCGGGAGAGAAAGCATCCGTGATTGCTCCATATGCATCAACTTGCTCCGCAATTTGGACATGGGAGTAAGAAATGTCCTCGGCTTTGAAGTTAGTGTCGTTCAGTATGGCGTTCTGATAGAAGGTCAGGCCGAAACCACCAGCTGCCTCTGCGTTCGTGTAGTACTGTATGCCTGTATGCTCTGAACCCGGGGCAATACCTGGGAAGACCAGAGTATTGTTTACTTCCGTCCAGGAACTATACTTGGACTTCAGATTAGCCAGTTGCTTGGGCGAGAAGCAAGTGGTGCTGTTCAGTTCCGAGAGCCCACAGAGGATACGTTCTGGGACGAAGAAGCAGCGTTCTGGGTCTGATACTATCCCATCTGTCACGCCATCGAGGCTATCGCACTGCCGAATTACTTCCTCATGTACGGCAGACCACTGCCCAGCACTAATGTACGTATCGAGGGACGTAGGGTACTGCCGTTTGCCAGCGTAGATCTCCCAAGCTGTTGAGATCAGGTTACCCAACATATTCAAAGTGATCAAGAGATTTTCAATGACTCACCTTCAAGATGTGTTTGCCAGATGACTGGACAGCCAATCAGGACGCCGTCGAAGTCTTCGGGATATAGCTGCACTTCAGCCAAGCCCTGTCGGCCTCCTGTCGATCCACCTGCATAGTAGGACCATGAAGCTGGTTTGAGATAGTATGCCTCGATGATTTGCTTTGAGAAGACACTTGACATGTGTATTGCGCGATGACCACTGTTTCTGATTTAGCTATCTCGATTGCAGAGCATATAAGAGAAGTTACTTACAAGTCAATACTTGCTTCCTCATTCCGTAGCCAAGTTCCGTCTTCGGACGAAGAGTTGTGGCCTGTGTTGGTACTCATCGATGCGAAACCTGCAGGTACACGTCAGTCTCATAACAAAGCTTAAGAAGGAAATAATTGAAAGAACTCAGGATAGTGAAAATAATGGAAGAAGGCTACTTGCCTCGTTTCAGGCCTCTTGCCATATCAGGGTAGTTCACACCACCATTCCAGCCGCCGTTACCCATAGTTAAGAAGCGATCGTTCCAGTTACTGGGTTCCGGCAGCCATAGTTCAAAGTGAACCGTACTCTTCGATGATGAATTGAATTGAGCAGAGACACGGCAGTGAGCTGGCAAATTGCTCAAAGGTATGTTGTAAGATGATACTGCATTTCAACGTCAAGCTTGTGCTTAAATGTATGTGAAGAGGGATCACGACGGCGTCGCACCGACTCACCGAGAGTTTCACCCTCAAAGATAGTACCAGCCTCCACACTTGATAAAACGTTGAACGTTAAGCTAGACGTCAACTCTGATGAGATGAAGTCTCTTAGCCGCTCGGAACTCGTCTCCGCATGGGCAAGCAGGGCGAAGGTGAGAGTAATCAATAGACTGGAAAGAATTGACATCGTGGATAGAACTTTGGGTTGCGAAACTTAGCAAAAGCTAACACCAAAAAGTTCTCGTCTCGCCTTTTATTTGTGATAGCATTGATAATGACGATGGGTTGTTCCACTCTTGATGCAGGAACTATCACAGAAACATGTCAACCCCATCCTCGTAAGTGGGGCGGGTTGTTTGCGAGCTTGAGTAACACATGTGTTTACTTACTGCACACGACATACTATCAAGCTTCAATTCGGCCGGAAAACAATGCTCAAGAGTGCTCTTATAGTTTGCTCGAAGAGCTTCGAAGTAACCAACGCCAGCTACTCCTGGGAGTCGCTACGCTACGACGAGATCCACGACATCACCACATAAGAAACACATTTGTTGGAACGACGTCGTGTCAACCATTGAAACAATGAAACCGATCTTCCAATAGATCTGATAAATTATAATAAATCACTCGAAGGGTATAGTAGCGTTTCCGTACAGTCGTAATGTTTTCCCCCAAAGTAAAAGCAAGCGCAGGACAATCTCGGACAATTTCGTCAACTTCCCCGACCCTCGGGGACTCCAAACCAATGATTCTTGGTCTTCGGCTCTCTGATTCGACAAGTACAATTTGTTAAATCTTGCCAAGCACCCTTTTGATCAACGACTTCTTCTTCGGTCGTGGTGCAGGCTGGTTGATATGTCGAACCTGCTGAAGAAGACCCAGAAGCGTGGCAACGGCCAAGGTCTCGGCTTCACCATTCAGATCCTCCGACAAGAGAAGAACGCCTTCGCTGTAGTCGTAGGGAAGACCGAAGGCAATCCCAGCATGGTGGTAGATGCCGTGGACCACCGGCTCTGCTGTTGCAGGATCGGCCCCGGAGTCTACAAGAGTGTACCGGAGTGAACCGTGTTCGATCGGGCGAGTCTGCCATTCGAGGCCTGATGGCTCTGCCTCGGTTGAGTCATCGGTTTGGTGAGAGACTGTGAACCAAGGATGCTTCACAGGCCGATCAACTAACTTCGTGTCGGCGATGGGGAATGAGGTTGAAAGGGACAGTCGCGATGTCGAGCCTGTATTCAAGGGCGTGACTTGGAAGCTCCCATCTCCTTCGCGAGGAAGAGTCCTGTGGTTCGTTGTTAGAACGAGATGGTACACGCGTATCCTTGCATGATCCGACTTACAAGCTGACCATTTCTCCATTGCGACCAGGTAGCCTCCTCTGAACCAAGACATCCGTTGATCCAGAACCTCTCTGAAAGTCGACAAGATAGCGAACCTCGAAATCCGTCCCGTCCCCACTAGGTCTTTTCATCGTGGCCAAGTTCAGCTTGTACTTGCTGCCGCCGATTGGCTCTTTCTTGACCGCATCGAAGTACGTCTGGGAAACGTCGTAAAGAGGCAGATGGACGGTATTATCACGGTGCCTCGGAATGTACACCACGCGCGTCAAGTTCGCTGGCGTTCTGCAGAGTTCGCGCCCTAGTTTGGCGTCGAGCGAGGAGTCGAGTATTTCACTCAACTGGACAGTGGGCGCGGATGTGCTGAAGACCGGGAGGGCGGCCATACTCGTGATGGAGGACCTGGATAGTAGGGTTGATGTGGACATGACGAAGCGGCAAAGACGTGAAGTTGCTCAATGAGCTGGATCGATGCTGTTATCACGGGCTATGAGCTGAAGATCAGAAAATGAAGATGCTTGTTTGGTGTGGGATGAAGATATTTCAGGTGAGATGAACACGTTAGAATGAGATGTCTCAACTGCGGAGTTCAAAAAGAGAAGCAAATAAGACGACTGGACGTGGGATTAAATGCTTCTCCAGGCTGTGTGTCGATGCTCAAGTCACCTTTGCTCTGGCTCGGGGAACCAACAGCTGGTGACACATCATGTAGCGAACATAAACCGGTGACAAGAAAGGAAGAAATCTCAGCAAACAAGCAGCAGTTCTTCCCCCGCAGGGAAAGATTTCTTAGCCCTGGGAAAAGGAATGCCAAGGCATGTGATCTAGGGATGCATCCGGCGTCAGATTTTGAATCTCATTCGAGCGGAAGGTAAAATTGTTAGTGGGAATAGTCCTGGCAGGTTTATCTGCGACCCGCGCCAAATGTTTGGGCTGCGGTGTAACCAGCCAACAGGAAGACGATGCTGATTCGTTCAACGATCGCCAGTGGAATTTGTATTCCGTCAAAACACTGACGTCGTGGATGATGGCTCGACAGTATCGTCTTTGCCGATGATTACCCACGCCATGCTTCGCCCATTTCCACGTACCTGGCAACTCCGAATGTCTTTCGCATTTCCTAATGGGATATCTCCGGACGAACTCCGTCAAACTCCGCATGTAAGTTCAAGGATCATTGCACGAGTTTGCCGGTACACATTCCGATTGAGTCACGATAGCTACATCTTGCCCTTGACCCCGTAGCTTGTATGTACGGCCTGAGAAGGTGCCAGTCTTACGGGTTTCAATTTTTTCATCTTTCAATCAGGCGATGTCATCGCGTCAATACTGGCTTTCGCCTGTTATGAGCAACGCAAACTTTCGTGGAATCCGTTCTCCTTCAAGGAATCCCGAGCTCGGGATAACGGCTAGGAAACCCGCCATGTCCTAACTAGGAAATAGTCCCAACCGGTGCGGGACATCAAGCTGCAAGGTTGGGCCCATGTGCATTTGCTTGCGATTCGTGCTCAGTCATCGATATGAAGTGCTCCAGGGCTGAATATGAATTCCGCTTCACACCGAAGTCATCAGAGAATGGATTGCCACGAGACAAGTGCTCCAGCATTTCTCACCGACTGTAATGGCACATCTGGTGTATTGGCAGCTGATCAAATCAATGATGCTAGTTTCTTTTCACATATTACTACCTTTTCTCGTCACAACGATGGACAACGGCTTATTGACTTGAGGTCACTATCAGTGATTAGAGCCGAAAACATTTGATCAATGCTCTCATTTCTGTCACGACTAACAGGCGGAGACGGCAAAGCTTGTCTCAAGATCCAGTGAGTGCATCTCTTAATTAGGCAAAGGTTGATCTTGCTCATTATCGGCATATTAGGCTACAGAATGACTTCGTCTTTCTGAGGGGACCACCAGGCGAATCGGCAGAACAGCCACTGAAAGGTGTCGTAAGTCTACGTTTGCCTATTGGTGGACAGGCAAATGGCGTGCGTTTACGCATGGCGGGATTTCTTCGATGCAGGTAAACATTTCCAGACCCCTTCTCTTCCATCTGCCTGCACACTGCGGCAATCATATTAACGAAAGCTATATTATCAGACTCCACGATGTGTGCTCAACTTCGCCCGACTTCCGCACGGTCCGGGTGTTCGAACACGAGTGGCCGCCCTTTGTCATCGACTATGCCTTGAGAGTCGACTCTGTTGATCATCCCGACCTCGAGATTTACGAATGGCCGTTTGAATTGATGATACCGGGGGACACTCAAGAAACATTCAAAGGATGTAGTTCTTGCAGCATCAACTACCAGCTCACTGGGACAACAATACGGGGGAAGACTTCGACAGGGACTCCTCAGGCGTACCACCCCGTTCGAATCAGCCGTACGTTGCAAAATTCTGCGTTCGAGTGGATGGACCCAGCGACGATGGAAGGAGCTTGGGAAGACAAGATGGCCTATCGTATTGCTATCCAACACCGCGCCGTTGCACTCGGAACAGCTATCCCAATCGAAATGCACCTTACGCCACTGAAGAAGAAATCAAAAGTTTCGCGCATACATGTCGAGCTATTGGAGATTCATACCTTCGAGTACAATGGGTCGCGACCTCTGCCGTCTTTTACCGGCGAGAGACAGGTTGCCGAATGGTTTGCCTCTGTGGAAATGCGTGAGGATTCTTTGCAGCCGCACTACAGAGTTGTACAGAAGCTCCCACTGCCGTCGGAGCCGAAGCAATGCTCCTCCGATATCGAGATGGAAGGAATTAGCACCAAGCATGTGCTTCATATCGTTGTGGACGTTGCTGAATCCGGCGACGAATTGTTTAGGGTGAGTCCAGGATCTCTGTTGCCGAACCAAACGTCATGCTTACATCTTTACAGACTAGATATCATGCCAAAATTCCTGTGGTTTTGTTTATATCCCCAAAATTACCCGTCGACGCATCTGAGAACTTTGTAAGACCGGAGAATACCGCTGGGAACGATGATCTCTCAGCTCCATTTGCTGCCTTGGAAGTGCCGCCTATGTATGGCAAGCATGAGACTGATGAGATGTTTGATCTTGTGAGCGGACGAAACCCATTTGAGTAGAATACTAGTAAAGCTTCGCCGGAGTACAAGCAAATGACATTCATACTGGCTTGGTGCTCGAATCTAGGGACGTGGACATTCATTTGCATGCGGGGAGATTCCCCAAGTGACCCGATGACCTATGAAAAGCCTCAAGATCTTGAAGTCATTCCTATGTCTTCATCACTAAGATATCCAGTGTCCTGGCAGCAGTGAAATGTCTTTGTAAAATTCTGAATGGAGTTATCAACTACATAAAATAATAGCTTCGAGGCCTCCTTCATTCTCGTTTACGATCGAACGGTGGCAACAATGACCAGGTCAACAACAAGAAGACCAATGCCCCAAGAACGATCGGGGATAAAACCTGCACACCATGACGTTGGGCCTGAGCTCCGATGACGAAAGGAAGAATTGCCGCTCCACTACCTCCGAGCCCAATTGCGAACCCAATGGCACTGACGTGTAGATGCCTTGGCAAGAGCTTTGTGACGGCTACCATGATTGCGGGGAAGAGGGGACCAAGGAAGAATCCCTGGAGCGAGACAGTGATGGCTGAAATGAAGAACTGAGGTATCAACCAGAACAGAAGTTGGAGACAGACAGCAGCCCCGAGGTAGGCCTAGAAAGACACAGTCAGCATTCTGCTTCTCGTAATCTTCGGTGGTATCTGGACATACCATAACAGCAAATCGCTCCCCGACTCGTGGAGTTACGAAGCCCAAGGCGATGCGACCTGCGGCCAACCCAGCCCAGAACCCCGTGGCTGTCATGCCACTGGCGAACTCTTCGCCATGTCTAACCTGTAACATGAAAGTGACAATCCAGCCACCCAAAGAAACCTCAAGACCAACATAGCCAAGCGCAAAAATAGCACAGAGCCATGTTACTCTTGCTGAAGGCAGCTTGAAGAGGGTTTCGTGAACGATGGACTCTCTTGGTTCTGGGCCTTTTGGGTTGGCCTCTCGGTAGGCTCTGCCCGCCGCGGACCAGAACGTGGTGGTAGTCGCGATGAGTTCAACACCGGCTAGGCCGGCCTGTCGTGCACTTATGTCAGTAACCTGATTGATCGAATGTGGGATGTTTGAGACAAGCGCACCATGAAGAAATAGAAAAAGAACCAGGGAAATTCCGATTTTGTAACCATCACAGTCGCTGTTACGGGGCCTAGGATAGCACCGAGGCCGTAGCAGGCGTGCATAATGTTGATGATGACGTTAGAGTCGGCCAAGTTACTGGCTACCCAAGAATTCCACGCTGCATCGCCTATTCCGTTACCCAAACCAGCCAACATGTATATGAAAACGAGCGCTGGGTAAGGAGGATGAAAAGATATGGCAACGAATGCAGCAAGATGGCAGCCGGATCCAATGATGGCGATGCCTCTCTGTCCAACACTTTCATGGAGACTGGTGTTCAGAGCTGCTGAGAGTGTATGGCCGATAAAAGGCGCAAGGAATATTAATGAGGTAAAAGAGTAAGGCAGATCATAATGCTTCCCCAACTGAACGCCGTCTCGTTAGTCCGTAGAGATCACGTCCTAAGGCTGAGGTTGACCTACGTGAGGGATGATGGCCTGTGAAGACTTGGTAAGTGAGAGGTTCCACTTTACCTACGAGACGAGACTTACACCATACGAAGCATCATTGGCACCCATTACCATGAGACTCCAGAAGATAGCCGAAATTCGAGCTGTGTTAGAGTGCGGAAAATTCCACTTCTGCAATATCTCGATGGCATCTTCCGGGGGCCGACAATTTGTACCGTTGCTCTGAGGTCGTAGTAACTGGCTGAACCCATCGTGCGCTTCCCCGGATGGAGGAATTGCTGCTTCTTCTCTGGCAAACTTCGAAGAAAGACGAGCATCGGATGGCGGCATGGGCAGCTCCTGTAGCTCAACCTTTTGAGCACTGTTACCAGGGCCCATTTTCAGCGACAGGGCCTTACGCGAGAGTTATGTGAATAAGCTGATGAACAGGACTTGGAACAAGATCGAACTCCTCAGCTACCACGGAGGGCTTTCTTGTTGGGACATGGACAGATAGGGCGGTAGAAATGGCTGAACATCGGGTAATATGACGGAGACTTGCCTAGAACGAGACCAACACGATCGTCTTAGTGCGGTCCCCGGAGCGCGATCCGACTTGGTTTTTAGGTAATGACTAGCGTCGGACTTCCCGAAACAGTAATAGCGACAACTCGTGCTCTCACAGGGGTGCCACGTTCAACTGATACGGAGTCCACGCCAAGTCAGCCAACTCGCTAGCATATCGACTAAAGACTGCTTAATGCTGATATCCCCGGGACTCGGCTGCTTATGGTATACAGATATTCTACCGGCCTTCAACCGTTGAAGGGCGGCGAGGGATGTACTGACTCGCCTGAAAGCCAAGACATGTCGTGCCCATCATCCGGACAATGGCCAAAATGCTTATGAAGCACACTTGAGGTGCCAATCGGTGAGTGACTCACACCTTGGCGAGAGGTTATAAGGATATAGCGTTGGTACCAACTCAATAACATGGCGCGGACCCCTTCGCGGGCATGAGGCCCACTTTACTCGGGCGCCGGAGCCGGAGAAGTGGAACCGACTCGGGACCAGCCGGCTTGTCGGCAAGGAAGGTAGCTCACGTTAGGCAGTGGAACACCTGGCAGGTTTATTCGATTTGACAGAGAAGCGAAAAGAACAGATCGACTGTAATCAAATGGGTATAGGGGCTGCTACCGCACTGGCCTGGCACAAAGTATCACTTAATTGCGGAATTCATATTCCCCGACCACCGCCTGGCTCTTCATCACGTTCATCCGCTCATATTTACGGTCAAACAAAATATTTCACGTAATCTACAAGCTGATTCGCTAGCCGCTTACGTTACTTGAAAACTAGGATGTATTCTAGCAAGCCACACTTTCTCTGCGTTGCCGCATACAAACAATCTCACGCCAATGGATGCGCTCATCGCCGTGTGGACCATCGGCCACTCCACAAACCCCACGCCAACAACTACACTACCGCAGGAATACTCCATTCCCTTGCCAACTTCCACGGCAGATCAGGTATCTTGCATGATGTTGCGGCAACTCTGAGCCGCTTTGGCATAGCCACGTATCATCTATTCAGCTGCTACTAGCGAAGCCGTCACAATCTTGTCACCCAGGTCAGCTGCATCAACATCATATTTATCTCAAGTACAGACTCTGATTACTAGCCTCAGAGAACAAAATTCCTTCGGCCACATGAGCTCATTTGACTGTGGCTACTCCAGGGTTGGTCCACTTGATCAAGAAAAAGAAGTCACTCAGACGACGATTGCAGCGTCTTCAACCATCCGGCAATCATCCTTGCACCATGGCGCTCGAGCAGGAAAAGTTCCCCCTCCGTATCATCACATTGAATGTTAGATACGCCATCAAGAAAACTCTTCTACCCAATGAGCAACCCTGGGAACTCCGCTGTCCCAGGATAGCAACTCAACTCAGAGTTCACACCGCCGGCCAGACAAACACTTTTGTCTGCATCCAAGAAGCTCAACATCAACAACTTCTCGACTTGCAATCCGAGCTTGGCCCTCGATGGGCTCATATCGGCCGCGGACGAGCCGATGGTGAACTCGACGGAGAGTTTTCGCCCATCTTCTACCAGACCGACCACTGGACCCTCGAGCGAGATCAAACGTACTGGCTCAGTCTTACACCAGACATCCCATCCAATGCATGGGGAGCAACCATCAACCGGATCGTCACCATCGGTCTCTTTCGCCATAAGGTTTCAAACGCCAGAGTTGTCGTCATGAGCACGCACCTCGATCATCGCAGTTCCGGAGCACGCTCCGAAAGCGCGAAGCTGATTCTGAGGTTAGCTCAGCAGTGGCAATCCGAAGCATCCCATGGAAGCACACATACCGTGCCCGTGTTTCTGGGGGGGGATTTCAACAGCGGCCCCAGCGAAGAGCCACACAGGATCCTGACTTCTCAGCCCGATGGCATGACCGACATCAAGAATCTGGTACCAAAGTCGCGGCACTACGGCAACCAAATCACTTACACTACTTTTGGAGAGGCGGAACCCACGATTATCGATCACTTATTTGTGCTCAACCCGACAGGAATCGAGTTCCTGAACTTTGCTGTTTTGGAAAACCGGTTCGACGACGGATTCTATTATTCAGATCACCGGCCTGTTCTTGTAGATATGGAAGTTCATGTGGCTTAGCGACGGAGAAACGGTGGCATTGAAACTTCAAAAGTCTGATTGGAAGTTTCTGGATTGTATTCCAAGCCCGTACTACAAAATTCCAACTCGCAGCTGTACACTTAACAAATTACCAACTGCATCCTCTTACTTCAACATTGATTTGAGCCAGCTTCGGGATCCTTGATCATGACCAAAGGCTTCAGCAACTTTGGGGGAGCCCTCAATCACCTCCGTATCTAGGGTCATCACGCCCATCCTTCTTGCCTCGTCATCCGTAAAAGTTCCGTAGTAGTCCACATCATCAATGACGCCTGCTTCCGGAGGAGGCCACACTGTGTTGATCGCGAAATGGAGCAAGAAGGAAATTGTGAATCCGAGAGGGAAGGCAAGGTAATACAAATTGATCCAAGCTGTGGCCACATGCACACTGTTGGGAGTGACACTTGCAGCGAAACCTGGCAACTGTGTCGCGAATCCACACACCCAAGCGATGAAGGTTCGCGGGTTGATGCCTTTCCAGTAGTAAAAGGAGCCATCGGACCGAGGATGATAAAGATCGGACAGCTTGATCTTACGTCGGCGGATAAGGAAGTAGTCGCAGATCTGAATGCCTATGATGGGGCCGAGGAAGACGCTGTAGGCTGACAGAACACTAATGAACACCGCAGCCGAAGAGAGAAGTTCCCATGGGCAGAGAGCGATGCTCAGGACGAGACCGATGTAAGCTCCGCGGCGGATGTTGATGTACTGGCAGAACAAGCCAGCAAGATCCATGCCGGCAGAGAAGGCGTTGTCGACGGAGTTAATACTGAGCTGGATGCAGAGAAGTCCAAGACCCGCGAAGAAAGCTCCAGCCCGGCTCTTGGCGTTGTAGTTGTTATCAAGCCAAGCCTGAACGATAAGGGGGGGATTCCATATAGGCGTCCCATAGATGACGCCGGTTGCTGAAGCGGCCAAGCAACCAAACGTCGGGAAGATGGCCCCGAAGAAGATGATGCTGAACCATTGTCCAAATATCTGGTCGCCAGGCTTGCGTGCGAAGCGGCAGTAGTCAGGCTGATTCGTTAGACCGACGGCAATGCTTCCGATGACAGTCGTGATTCCGTGAACGATCTGCCAGCCAAGCTCACTGGATGTCATCGACTTTGAGCCTTGTCTGACGAGAGACCCTGCCTCGCCCGCTGTTGCCAGAGCCCATATCATTATCGAAACCAGCGTGACCGACGAGATCACGTTGAAAGCAAGGAGTACCTTCTGGATGCGTTCGGGTCTGATGTAAAGAATTGGGATGAGCAGGATGTTGAAGATAATCCAGCCGATGAAGTTTTTCGTTGTAAGGTGCGAGGACTCGGGGAACACGTTGCCGAGAGACTCGAAAGACGGGAAGATTGCCGACAAGCTGTTTGCCATAGTTAGTCCTGAAGTAATCAACCTGTATCTCCGTTTCTTACCAGTTAACAACTGTCAGTCCGCCGGTCCATGATTGAACGGCAAACCAGACCAGACTTAAGACGACTCTTTGGAGTAGAATGGCGTATTGTCCGTAGACTCCCCAGATGTAACGCGATACGACCGGGAATCCAATATGCCATTCAGCGCCTACGCAGCCATTGGCAATGGCGACGATAGCGATAATGATCTTGCCGATGATAATCGCAATGACGCTTTGCCAGACAGACAGTCCTGCAGCGACAAGTGAGGCTCCTAGCTGCCAATTTGAAACTAGCTGCTTGTTAGCCGACAACACATTGAAAGATGACGGCACCATGAGTCGAGGAGTACTAACTGGCTACCTGGTTAGTCAACCAAAAGGAAATGAACGTAGCTGTCGACCATCGTCGACGACCAGGAGGCATTGGACGAATGTCTTCATTGATCCAGATGTTGGACTCGGCCACATCAGTGTCAGGAAGGCGAAGCCATCTCAAGATACCGTTGAGACCCATATTGATGTTTCTGTTGACCCGACAGTCTGGATCACACAGGAGGACTGCTCAGGGCCTGCTTCCAGTTTAATGGAAACGGTCTCTCACGAGCAGATCAGAAGCACCCACACCCACTTCGGACGATCCTCTCCCACCACGCCGTTGCTTCAGGGACGTTGCATTCGCACCCACTCGGCGTCAAACTATCGCCATTGCACCACCTCCACAGATAAAGCACGAGGACGTGCTTGATAACAGACGAATGTGCTGTTATCATTGGAGACAAGACTCCAACACTCGCACTTAGACCAGATGGTGCGCGTGGTTGAGCGTAACTGTTATCATAGTTTCCCATCGTTTGTGGAGTCACTCGCGATAAGAGCACCTTCGGGCAATGTTAAGCTCCAAACAATCCAGGGTAACCCAGTTTACCCCGCACATATCCTGCTCGGCATCTGATGGCCGACATGTTTACACGCATGGTCTTGCAGGCTTGTACCTGCTTCAAGATCCCGCCGTATCTCTTCTCTCCTCCTCTTGTTGTGCCACCTTCCTGTCAAATGTGGTTAGGAAGGAGCATTTTCCGCGGACATCCTAGCGCGAGAGAACCTATTTAACCGCTCACCCGCGTTGACGGACAGTCGCTTTGATACCACCTCCAACGACGCGGCCCTCTGTCAACAATTCACGTACCTAATTACAGATTCGGGGTAGTTCGCGGCGAAACGTATGCATTTAAAGCACAGGGGCACATATGATAACAGAATTTCGGTAATTGTCTACTCTGTTAGGTTGATGAAAGGACAAGCAATTCTCAGTCTTTCTTCAAGCCTCACTTAGCCATCAGTATGGGAGAAATGCCGCCACCAACAAAGACTACATGTATACGCATCGGCGTCGATGTGGGAGGTAAGGAGGATCTTCACGAGAATGGTATTCTGTTTACTAACGCGTGAATCCAAGGGACCAACACCGACGCGGTTGCCATTGACCTCAGTCTTCAACACACCGCCAACCGTGGAGTATTGGCTCACTTCAAGACTCCAACGACCCCTGACGCGACCTCGGGCATTGAGACTGCCGTGCGTGCCGTTATCGCCGCAGCAGGCTTGACAGACTCTCCTGAACGCATCGCCAGCGTCACCATTGGGACCACGCACTTCATCAACGCCGTAATCGAGCGTGACGTCCGGCGTTTGCAGCGTGTTGGTGTTCTTCGGCTGAGCAAGTCGTTCTTGCGAGAAGTTCCCGCGTTCGCCGAGTTTCCGGCAGACTTGACGGCTGTCCTCAAGTCGTACATCGGCATCGTCGATGGCGGTCTGCACATCGACGGCTCTCAGGAGGCACCGGTGATGGAAGCTCAGGTCGTGGCTGAATGTGCCAAAATCCGTGAAAGCGGCGTCGGCGCCGTTATCGTCTCTGGTGTCTACTCGCCTATCGATGAGGTATTCGGCCAAGAGGAGAAGGTTCGAGACATCATTTTGCGTGAGGTGCCCGGCATCGACGTCGTGTGTAGCAAAGAGGCTAGCGCCAGTATCGGGTTCATCGAGCGAGAGAACGCAGCAATCCTGAACGGTGCGATTCTACGTTACGCCAGAAAGACGGTCAGCCGGTTCCGTCTGGCGATGAAGAGACTCAACCTCGCATGCCCCCTGTTTCTCACACAGAATGACGGCACTATTCTCGACGCAGCATCGGCAGCCAAGATCCCCATCCGAACGTTCTCGAGCGGCCCTACCAACTCCATGCGAGGTGCTGCTTACCTTGCTGGTCTCGATTCTGGCGGCGACAGCTCTGCGATTGTGGTTGATATTGGCGGAACCACATCCGACGTCGGCGTCTTGCTTCCTTCGGGAATGCCTAGACAGGCATCCGCGTATGTTACAGTTGCCGGCGTCCGCGTCAACTACTCGATGCCACATCTCCACTCGATTGGCCTAGGCGGAGGCTCGATTGTCAGAACAGTGGATGGCAAAGTCAAGGTTGGGCCGGAGTCAGTAGGACTGGAGCTAGTCACTCGTGGTCTTGTCTTCGGAGGAGACGTTTGCACAACAACAGATATCGCCGTGGCAGCTGGAAAGGCCGTCGTGGGTGCAACAGAGAAAGCGAAAAGTTTGGAAAGCGGCTTCGTCGAAGAGGCCATCGCTCGAATCAAGATTCTTCTAGAAGGAGCTGTTGACGTTATCAAAACTTCCCCCGACCCGGTTCCCGTTTTACTAGTTGGCGGAGGCGCGATTCTCTCCCCTGAAAGCCTCAAGGGCGCCTCCAAGCTACTTCGCCCACCCTTCCACGATGTTGCAAATGCCGTTGGCGCCGCTATCGCGAGAGTATGTGGTGCAGTGGACATTGTGCAAGGAACTACGCACCAGACTGAAGGTCAAGCTATCGAGAACGCCAAGAGATTGGCGGTGGAACGCGCGATTGCTGCTGGTGCAATCCCTGAAAGTGTCAAGATCGCCGAGGTCGAGACGATGCCTTTGCAATATGTTGCAAACCAGGTTCGAACGCTGGTAAAGGCGGTTGGCGATATTGATCTCCATGCAAAGCTTGATGATACTGGCGAAATCGATGACGTGGAAGACAGTGATCCACAAGTTGAAGGGGTCAAAGACTTCACCCGAGCCACAAAGGAAGAAGAGAGAATCGACCCAGCTCTATACAAGCCCCAGATCAGGGTCAACGAGGACGGCATCAAAGAGTGGAACATCAACGAAACTGACTTGGACTATCTCGCTGACGGCTGCTACGTTCTCGGATGCGCGGGTGGTGGAAGTCCGGCTGCCTCCAAGATTCAATTGCGAAACATGCTGAGATCGGGGCACACGATGCGTGTGATCGAGCCTTCATCGCTCAAAGAAAAGGATGTCATCTACTGGGGTGGTAAGTCAGAGAGAAGCCAGCTTGGTAAAAGCTCCGACTGATGAGTGTTTGACAATAGGTCACATGGGCTCTCCTGCTGTTTCGATCGAGAGGTTGCAATCCATCGAGACTGTGGATGCTTTCCATGCTCTGATGGAGTACTTGCGTCACGACAGGTTTGATGCCGTCATGGGACTCGAGATTGGTGGTGCCAACGGCCTGGAGCCCTTCTTGGTCGGCTCGTCACGGTTCTTCAACAGTCCCATCATTGATGGGGATTGGATGGGAAGAGCTTACCCGACGTACTGGCAAACTACTCTCGCCGTTCACGTTCCCTTAGACTTGGTACCGTGTGCAATCGATAGCGGCGACGGGAAAACCATAGTTATGACAAGAGCTCCCAACGATGAAATTGTCGACCGAGCTTTGCGAGCCTCGTGCTCAGAGATGGGCTCGAGAGTAGGCATGGCGGCAAAGCCTACGACAGCTGATAAAGTCCAGAAGTTCGGCGTCCTCAACACTGTTTCTCTCGCATGGAGAATCGGGCGTTGCATTGCATTATGCCAGGCGACAAATACCATGAGCACAGTCGCAGAGTCCATAATCAAGGAAGCCGGAGGTTCAGAAGCCGCCAAGGTTCTTTTCAGGGGCAAGATCATGCGAGTTGAGAGGCGTCTCTTCAAGGGCCATTCCTACGGCGAAGTTCACATCGCCGCGTTCGAGAGCGGTGACGAAGATGAAGCATCTACTGTCAAGGACAGGGCAACCGCTGTGGCCCAGGGCGGAACCTTGAAGATTCCCTTCAAGAATGAAAACATCTTAGCAGAGCATACGGCCGAGGATGGCAAGACCAGCATACTGGCGGCTGTACCGGACTTGATTTCCATCTTGGACAATGAATCAGGCAGGGCTCTTGGAGTTCCCGAATTCAAGTACGGCTACCGAGTCACTGTGATTGGTATCACATGCTCACCCAGATGGACGGAGACTCAGGCCGGCTTGGATATTGGAGGACCGAGGGCATTTGGCTATGACCTAGATTACAAGCCTTTGGGTAAGTACGTCGAGCCTCGCAGCGTCATACAAGAGTATTCTACATAGACAGCATACTATTCTGTGAAGTTCGAATAACTTCCGAATCTTAAGCTCGTTGTTATCCACTAAAACTATGACGTGGTAGTTCTGGCGCCAATCGTCCCGACGATGGTTGCGAAAGCTCCGTCAGCTGACGGGCTGACCTCTAAAACCCCATCTTTGCTGCTCCAGAACGCCACATGGGATGCATGTTCAGCGTCGTCGTCTTCAAAGAGTTTGACTGGAACGCCAAACACTGTGAAATATCCGTCCGACCCTTGACATAGCTTCAGTCGCTTCTCAATTTCTGGGAGAAGTCGTCGCCTGAACTGAATCTGAAATCCAAGGTTGTTCAATACGATCAAGCCCTGGGGCCGAACAAGTGTTGTTGCTGATTTCGAGATATCTGGCTTGGATCTTGGATACAGCGATGCCGGATTCTCAATGTCCCTACTCTTAGGGTAAGCATACTGTTGATCTGGTGGGATTCGAGCATGCGCTTACCATGCCCCTGAGGATACGGCGAGAATCTTGATCTTTTCGAATCTCAGTGTGATATCGATGTCACCGTCTCGTACTTCTGTTTTGATGACCTCATCTCTTCCATTCATGTGGAAAGATATCCACGGGGGGTAGTCATAGTCCAACTCTCCTTCCCTGGCCTCCTGCCCAAAACCACCTTCGTCGGCTATTTCTCCCTCAGCATAACGGACGTAGAACTCGTCGCAAAGTTCTTCGTTTGGCCCTGCTTTGATCCAGTCTTTCACGACATCTTCGTATTCCGGAGAGTAATAGGCTGGGACTGAGAGCGCATTTTTGGCTGCAGGAGCCTTTTTGCGAGATAATACTGCATTCAACAATTCCTGGTCTTTGCTTGCGGAGGGGTGTTCAGCCATCATGGAGATCCTAATCAAGTCAACTCTCGCAATTCAAACACCGTAGTTAGTAGGCTTTTTCGAGACATATAACATACCCTGGCACTGACTGATCGGATGTGAGAGCGTCTATGATCTTTCTCAAATCTTGATTCCACCTTTGAGCCGCAGGTCCGATCAAGACACTGCCGGCAGACAAGAGGGCTGCTGATGCAGCCTCTACGTTGGAAATCGCGTTGCAAAAGGCCGGTGCGTTGGTTTGATGCCACTGTGAGAACGTCAAGTCGCCAGTCATGCGAGTTTCTGAGTGCTTCCTGAACGTTTTGAAGGCCTTTTCCCTTGATCGATCCAGGGCCCCCAGAGCCGCCTCGAAATCTTGGAAGCGCTGCTTGATTTCGTGAGCTACTTCACCCCTCGCACCCTGGATATGTGCATTCAGTGAGCAATGGTTCTTTTGGATAAATGCGGTATCCTCTACTCACAACATCCACTGATGCCAGATAACTGCGGAAAGCCGGAGATGTCAAAGGCTTGCTACTGAATTCGATAACCAGGCAATACTTACGTCATTAAATGTCTTGTGTATGAGTCGCGAGACGTAGGATCGTAGAAAAGGTTGTCCGGCGACAGCCTGTTATCGCAAGCCTCATAAATTCGTGCATTAATGTATTCCGTCGGAATCTTGGATGATATAAAAGGCCCTTTCCGAGCATTTCTGGCGAGATACATGGCGACATTATGGTCCGGCTCGAAACCTGAAGCCTCTTTGACGGCATTTGCGTAGGCCAGCCAAAGGTTCCTGTCGGCGTTGGAACATGGCATCGTTGTATGCATCGACTATTGGGAGTCCAGCAAGGGGCGTACGGGATGGAATGACGAATGGCACAAAGTGGTGCTGCCGGAACTATTTATCTGTTCAGAAAAACTCGATGTTGCTCTATTTGTGGCAAAATTTGCCGGGTGTCTCACGGCAATCTCTCTCGACACGTGCTCCCAGGCAGACACTGAGACATCTTTCCATTCACGGAAAAGCGTGCCGTCGGAGGGAGCAGGTCCAGTTCGTTCTATGAAATCATCGACATACGTAGGGTTCAAGTGTTTCAGTATGACGCCTGAATCAGAGGCCAACTTGAGTCTTTTACTTGAAGTCCGGGCTCTGCAAGCCGTGTCGGCAGTGAACGACGTCATTGGAACCTGAGGTGCAACTGCAGAAACACAAAAATGAGAGACCATAGATTTCAACATCATTACTTGCCCGGACGTCTCGGGACTCCATCAAATGCTAGATGAGATCTGGATTTGGGTTTAAAAGGCATATTGCGGCTTTATGTGGTTCCACTGCAAGTCGTGTAAGTTCATGGCGAAAGATCGAATCAATCGAAAAGCAGTTTTATGAGCAGAGGCTCATAATGATTTGAAGTCAATTCGAGTTCTCAAGGAGCAACCTCGAGTTATGCTGAGGCCTATCAAGAAAAGTACCACACGAGGTATGGTTTTCATTATCCACACATCCTTCACTTCGTAGCCTCCTGCTTGGCATCGGAAGCGTCTGTGGAAGGGTCCTCGATGTGGTGATTCGTGCTTTTGAAGGTGTTGTCCGCGGTAACGATGCCAACATTGGCATCTTCCCCGTCGAAAAGCCAAGCTATGCTTTCAAGAGTACGACCACGGGTCTCGGGGTAGGTGAACCAGACGCTGATGAGCATGGCTACCAAGATCGCGACAAACACGAAGTAGTATTTCCACTGGATGGCGTCAAGCGCGATGGGGTTGATGAACGTGTTGAAGAAGATTGCGCCGAGAGAGACCATCTGGCAGATGGCAAGTCCACGAGCTCTCATCTGGTATGTCCAAATCTCGACTGGATATGAAATGACCAAAGGTGTTAGGGCCAGATCGTAGCCGAGGAAGTATCTGAAAGGTCAATAATTAGCCTTCTTGCAAGATCTGTGAGACGTGTGTATGGCGCACTTACATGAACAAAAATGGAACAACTGCAAGGCCAGTAGGAGTGTTGCTCGTTGTAGCAAAGCTTCCCGAGAGACCAGTAACGATGATGTAGGACACTAGCATGATGATGCCGCTGGTCATGAAAAGGGCCTTGCGACCGACTTTGTCGACACAAGCCGCCGCAGCCACAGACCAAATCAGATTCCAGATTTGTAGACAACCAGAGATCAATGTCTGGTCAGTCACAGAGCGAATACCAACTGACTCCAAGATCAAAGCCAAGTAGTAACTGACCACGCCGTTGCCTAGCACAGACTCTTGTCAGCCAGAAAACATGTACCACGGTGGTTCTTCAAACTTACCTGACCACTGGGCGAAGATACCCAGGGAAACAGAGATCCATAGGCGGTGGCGGTTTCCAGGGGTTGACCATAAGTCCGCCCATGATGTGTTGTCGTTCGCCTCTTTCTCGGCTTGAAGAGCTTCTTCAATTTCGGCCATCTCGAATGCAACGAGGGGATCGTGCATGTTGCCGCCGCAGTGAGACTTTGCGAGATTCTGGCGAGCCTCATCCGCTCGGTCCATCGAGACGAGCCAACGAGGAGACTCGTCCATCATAAAGAGTGCAGGAACTGTCATGAGAGGCAAGAGAGCCATCAAACCGGACGGAATGCGCCACGAAACGTCCCCTTCCATGTTTCTGGTTCCGAAAGTCTAGGAAATCATGTTAGCATACAGGAACGGCGGTGCAATTTGGAAGGCTAAGTCTTACCGCCCAAGCTGCAACAATAGCACCAACATACCAACCTGTGTTATACTGTTTTCCATTCGTCAGTTTCATGAATGTTATGACAAGATTGTGCTCTACTAACGATGCTAGAGGCAATGCCGCGATGAGTCGGAAACGCATTCTCGGCGATCAACAAAGGAGCTCCAACCGACAATCCTTGAGAAAGACCCATCAGAAGTCGAGCAATGATGAAAGACACCTGGTTCGGGGCGGCAGTTTGAAGAGCAGTGCCCGCAAGAGACACGAGAACGCTGAGCCAAAGGCCAATCTTGCGACCCCATCGGTTGCACAGCATGGCGGTAAGAGGGTAGCCAATGACAGCGCCCAAGGAGTAAACCGCGTTGATGAAGCCGAGCCATGCTCCCGTAGGGTTATCCATGAAGTTCTTCCATTGTGGCAGGGCTAAGAAGCCGTTCATGACCGAGCCGTCGAAACCATTGGAGCTGGTAAAGAGCATAAAAGACACAATGCAGAAGTTGAGTTTGATGAGATGGCTCTTCTTCCACCATGGCAGTCCATCGTTTGGGAGCACGCTGGCCAGCTCATGACCGACGGCCTTGGCCTCCGAAGCCGTCGGCTGTTTCTCTTCGGTCGTCATGGCTGCTGAGCGTGGCCCAAAATATGTAGATTATGTCCGTGAAAGTAGTAGAAAAGGTACCGACTAGCCGGGAACAAGTGCGAGACGACAAGGGAATCTTGAGCTTCAAATACGGAATTTATTTCCAACAACAGAACAACAAAAGACGCGAGTCAAGAAAACCGTGCCACTGGTGGTCTACATGTCGTCAGAGTTGAACCAGCGAGCGGGTTCCCCAAGAGAGCCCGACCCAGCCCCGGAGGATCCAACAAACCCCAGACATTCCACTTTCATCCCCGGACGATCCAATTGCTGAGAGGAGAGCTGAACGAAAGCCATGTTGCTCACCTTAGGTGTGGATGTTTATGGTGTGGAGTCCCCACGCAGTCGGGGGCCGCGGCTGGCACCGTCTGCCTTGGCGGAGCATGAATGGCAGTTAGAAGCGCTACTATCGTCTGGGAGTCTCTTGGAGATACATTAATACGATGGTCTCAAGATATTTTGCAGGATCCGAAGTGTATGCCTTCAAGTTCTTGCGGCCTTGCCAAAGCCGACAGACGGCCAGTCGACTCTTTCTCGGCGTGACACTGTCTGTACTTGATGTGAGAGAGAAGAGACTGAGCCTTGGACTAACCCGATTTCGCTTCAAAACGTGATGTTTGATGAAATAAAAGGACAGAGTCTTACCCAGTCGGTATGATCAGAGCATTCTGTGTTGAGGCTGAAAACCGCGCGACAGAGCGTTGGACTGTTGGTGATGAAGCCCCTGGGTAACCCCTGCACAATCCCTGGGGGTTGAGATGGAAATCGGGCAGGCTTTAAGCCGGGTCAAGAACATCAAGCCACTCGGCGCCAAGTAAGTGATTCCGAACTCCAATCATGTTTGAGCTCCAGACAGTTGCCGAGGTGCTGATTGTCTTGGCTGTGACGTTGTCAAATAACCAGAGCCGACATCAATTGAAGAGACGGAGTGAGTGCCGACCTACGAGGAAAACTATGTCAACTGTCGAGCCCCCCCATCGAAGATCAAGCTGTCACAGCTATTTTGTAGCTTCCATAACATGTGATATCTATGTACGTGTAGGACCACTGCCACGTTCGCAGTATGAATCCACAGAATGCCCCATGGTCTAGACTCACGGGTGAAGTCCGGGCATTATTCCCGTTAGGAGCCCCTCGGAAAGAAGCTCGGAAAGAACCCCGGGTTCTTCTTGATCCACCCAGAGCGGAAAACAGGGCCGGCAAACCAGACATTGTGGTCTTGTTGAGGCATGATCAGTGATCACGAGAGTGTTCGGCGGGATGTCGGCGCTTCTCAATGACTCTGGGAAACTTCAAGCGAAATACTCGGCCGAGCCTTGGATCAGTCTCTTGGCCTTGCGAGTTGACTCGGCGAGCTGAGCGAAGCCGAGAAACATCTGAGTTCTTGGCCTACAAAAACGATCGAGCCCCTGGAAAACGTGGGTTAGCCACGAGTTGGTGAGGTTGAAGGACGGACCAGGGATTCGCCAGGAGCCTCAAAGATGAGTATGTCAATCTTTCCACGCCTCACAAGTGAAAAGGACGAACTCGAAAATTCAGAACTCATTCATTTGGCCAATCAACTTTCTGTCTAGATATCCGGCACTTCTGGCACCTTTCGCACAACCTTTGCAGGCGAACCTAGTGCAACAGAAAACTCCGGTATGTCTTTGCTGACAATACTTCCGGCAGCGATGGTGCAGCCCTTTCCAATAGTAACTCCTGGAAGAATCGTCACATTCGCTCCAATCCAGCAGTCGTTACCAATGGTCACAGGCTTCGCGAATTCTCTCATCTGCCGACGCAAATCCACTTCCACGTCATGAGTCGCGGTGAGAATCGTGACCGACGGGCCCATCAAGACGCGATGTCCAATTTTGACAATGGCGCTATCAAGGATGACAAGACTGTAGACCGCAGCTGCTTAGTTTCGTTTGCCCAAACGACATTAGAAATTTGTCGCGCAGTAAAGTACAGCGCAACAACTTTCTTCGCCTTTACAGCTGACGGAAGACTCACTTGAAGTTGGCATAGAAGCCGTCCCCAACATCAACGTTGCAGCCGTAGTCCACCGTGAAGGGTGGTTCAATCCAAGGTTTCTTCCCAACGCGTCCTAGCGTTTCCCTTAGTAGGCTTTCTCTCCAGGCAGATTCGGGTGTCGAGGAAGATTCTTCGGGAAGATAATTGTTGAACTTCTGGATGTTTCGACGCGCGAGACCTCTTTGCTCTATGAGCTTTGGTGCCAGGCAATCGTAGCTAAAAGGTCAGTATCATGCATCCCAGGACGAATATCAAGTACTTACACTTCACCAGTAACCATCTTCTCATACTCCTGGCACCACGGAACGCCAGCAAGCTGTTTAGCATCTCCAACAGCGTCCGGGTACAAGACTGCTGCACACATTCTGGCTATTGTCTTCGAGATCTTGGGCCCAAACTTACTGCTGAAAACGAAGAACTTGAAGAGAAATCGCGGGATCTTATAGAGGTTATTGCAAGGCACGTTCTCGGAGGCACCGGGCTCGCGATCTCATGAAAGACAGCGAAGCTGGGAAATCTTCGGGTGCGCTGGCAGAATTTCGGGTGATCTGTGGACTGGTTCTCCGTTTCTGAACGACGATTTGACGGCTAAGCCCTCTTCAGTTGCGGACTTGAGCCGGGAACAGGGGTTCTGAGTGGTGCTTTTCGCTGGCGATGTACTAAGTCATGATGCAATTTGAAGCCGGCGGGATAATCACGATCATCAGGTTGTAACAAGTCGGCAACTTCGGGAACCCCGGCCGAAACCAATTCTCACCAGTACCATCATATATGTCTCGAATGCAGCAATGAAAATTGGTTCAGCGTTCAATGTTGCAATTGTCGAGCATGTTCTCGGCTTAACCGAAACCAACCTACCGTCATGATTTCGAACACACAGTAAGTGCATATCGCTCTTGTGGAATACGCTTACCAGCTGTATTGAAGTGGCATTATGATGTGTGTTGTAAATCAGGAGACTTTGTTTCGATGACTTGTCTTTACGGGGGCAACTGGCTCCTTGACTGCTCAATGTCCCATTTACCAATTCCTTCTCACCTACAGACGCGAAGCTGATAATAAGTAAAGTTCTTCGGGTGCCTTTGAAACCTTCATGCTAGAGAGACTGCTCTTCCTTTTACTAGTAGTCAAACCGCCGGCTATAGGCTCGAAGAACATTCAGCATCTTGGCGTGTGAACGAGAATTCGAGATCGCTTGCGAAGCATCTCTAGAGCATTCAGTCCTCGGGAAGCTGCGTCCTTGTCCTGGACTTGGAATAAGATAAGCCAAGGCGCGTAGATATTAACGTTACACATAGCTGTCAGGTAATACAGGAGATTTGTTTGCAAGTTGAGAACACAGTTTGAGACTTGCGGTGAATGTAAAAACGAAAAGAATGTTGTGGTCCATGGAAAAGCTTATAAATCTAAGGGGCTATTTTCTTGTCATCGAAATTTGGAATTATAGCTAGCTTTCGATCCGAAGGACAGGCATATTGTGACTTATAAAAATACGTTCGTTATAGAGGAAGCTTCTGATACTCTTGGGAATAGATATTGCGCAAGTCAACTTGACTTCACACATTTGGCGCCGTAGTAAGACGGACTAGGCCAAGCAGCAACTTGAAGGGAAAATGTGTCAGATTATAGGAATTTGAAATCCATGGATTATGACAAACTCAGTCGAAACAAAGCCCATACTGCGGTATGCTTGGCTTTCCATTCGCCTGGATGTTATTTGTGCTATATTGACGTGGACCATGTTTTCCTACAATATGGGAGATGAAACAACAGGCTGACGGCCAGTGGAACCCGATCACAATCACAGTCGCTCTTTTCAATCAATTTTGCGACGCTAAGTATGATCGTTCAGTCCTGGAAATTAGATGTACACCATGCCGTAACGATAAAAGATGAGAGAGTACCGCATCGGCAACGTGATACTACGGGAAGCAAAAGGCTATTCAACTTTTCGACTTGCCTTCCTTTTTTTCCCCTCTCTCGGAAGAGCGATACTTGAATGTTACGTTCTGTCGGCGAGAGGCCCAGACGTGCTTTATGATCCCGGAGAAAAGGCAGGTTAGTGCCCCCGCAGGTTTCGAAATCCAGATTTACATGTGATGAGTTTGCTCAATAATGAGTTAAGAGCTCTTCAATCTGGGTCTTTTTTACGACGGAGAGATATCTTGACGGCCTGAGGTAAGCTAGTTCATCCGGTTGATTGCTTTAATGAGCGCCGCGTATCAATCAAGTATGTAGCTTTCAAGTGTTTCTGAACACGCGATCGTCACACTTTTGTCTATAAATCCATGCCGGAATAGCTTAAGAAGATCACACTTTGCCCAGCCAATGAGACTAATGAGCTTGTCGAGGTAAACACCCACTCACAAGCGATAACACAGGCTTTCGTCATGAGATTGTAGTGTTAGCCTCAACAGCAGAAGAAAGTTCATGAGACCCTGAAGTCGAGACATACACACGCATAGCTTCTAGCCTAAAAGAGATCTAGCTCTTAGTTGTATGACTCGGAGCGAACGACTTCAATATGAGGACATGGAGTGAGCCAACAGAATTTGGGACCCAAGAACATAAACCTCAAGTCAATACTGTCTCTTGGACTTTTCAAAGGGGAATGACCCGTTCTAGGAATACCTGCATTCAGAATGTCCAATACATATATCTACCACATCTGGGTGTTTCTTGGTTATGGCAGTAAGGATCAAACACGGTGGGACGAGAAGGTCTGAACGCGACGGATTCTGTTGCCCGTTTCTTCGGCGTTCCCGCAAAGGAAACAGACGGAAAAACTGTCCTCGGTACGGCGCCGAATCCCTCTTCGGAGCGGACCGGAAATAACCAGGGGTTGATGCCAAGACGGTCGGTCTGACGCCTTCGATATATCATACGCACCCGGCTCGGGCGTCAGCACAGATATGGGTCCTCGTCCAGGATATTGCTGACGATGGAGACGCTATAAGCATGGAATAATGGCACGACTGGACAGGATGAGAAGATTTGGCGGGTCAAGGGATTATTGCCACACCAGTGTTCCTCATGCTTCAATATTCCCATTGAAAAAAATTGATTCGCCTGATATTCTCTACTGCGCCGCAAAAGTGATGATCACCGCGGGCGATTGGAACGTCACTCATGTTCGCTTCAGCAATCTTTTCTCGTTTGTAGAATTGTTATTTTTTTCGTCGTTAATTAAGAAAAGGTATTGATAGTAATGGCATGATCTCGTCCAACATTCTTCCCACCGGCTGTACTCTCATCAAGCCTTGTCCGCTCGCTCGAACGTGACCTCTTGCGTCACAGTCGTCGTCGTGATGATATGCCCAATGCCCTGCTCCTCATCAGATCTCCTCTGACTCGTCAGACGCTGAATCTTGGTCTCCGGGCTCTTCGACCTCCTCGCAGCACTGCAGGTCACAGTGTAGTCCTTTGGCGCGTCATTACGACGCCCCCCAGACATTTCGATATCGTCGAAATGCTTCATCCCTTCCGAGCTGCTCGTGGGCAGTGACGGTGATGGCAGTGGGCTCTTGTACAAGGGCCCGGTCGTCCTGTCGTTGTGGCTCGCTTGGATGTAAGGGTTTGCGTATCTCGACGGGTATCTAGAGGCACATGCACGTTTGCCGCTGCTCCTCATGTTGAGGGAAGAGCCGTTGAAGAGACGGGGAAGTAGCGTGACGAAGATCGGTCGAAGGGTTGGAAGGCACGCTGCTAGAATGCCGATGGTGACTTCTAGGAAAGACCATGTAGCAGCGTCCACGTTGTCCCAGTATGGGTCTTTCGTTTGGGCCGCGACGCGAAGAGTTCGGATTCGAAGTGCGGAGATGATGCAGGTACTAGGTTTTTAACGTCAGCGTCATATCATGTCGACATTCGAGGCTCACTCACAAGAATCCAAGCCCAAATACAAGGAGCAGCATGCGCTTTTGGCGGCGTGGTAGTTGAAGGGAGTTGATGACGGGGATCGGCATGCTGAAGATGATGAAGTCGGACACGAGGTTGACACCGCTCATACCGTACCATATATTGAGGTAATTTAAGCAGCGGCCGTCTATCGAGTCGTCCCAAAATTTGGCGACTGGGTAGCACACAAGTGGGAGAAGAATAGAGAGGGTGAAGGTCCACGTCAACATGAACGCCAGACCGTACATCGTCAACTTCTGCATGATCTCGTTTGCGAAGATGCGGCGGTATTGAAAGAGGATCGAGACTTTGACGAGGCAGATTGCGATGTTGTAAACGACAATCGAGGAGTAAAAGGACTACACATTGCATCAACATCAATCGTATCATAGGACCAAAAGATGAGACCTACCTTCATGTATGGAACATAGTCCTCAGGTGGTGGTACCCAGGAATGAGAGCCGAGTCCCCATTTTCCTTCTATCAACAACAATAAGAAGCTGAATTAACGTCATGAAGATGATGAGAACATACCTAGTCCGATCGCGACTGCTGATCCTAGTGCTAGCATCTAGTTCGGAACACTCATCAGCGCACGTTCAAAGACATTACACGGTAGGAGTAGACTCACTTGCGCCAGTAGCATTGTCGCGTCGTCGACGCCGAAAGTTCGAAGCATCTTGAGCCTCGTGAAGGCCCTTAGTCCAACCGCCACACTCGATAGTACGGACCCAACCACCAGAATCGCAATAATCTCCCCCTGTCGTGACTCTCCATCCAAGGAGTGGTCGATATTGTCCATCGCGGCCGCCTTTTGGGCGTCATGTGTTGGCATGGTCGCCGCCATGGTGATGTACGTTGTTGGTTGAAGGAGCGAATTCGAAATGGCCAAGAAAGACGACAGAAGAGTATCCAGAAGAAAGACGAACGTCCCCCTTCTTTATGACTTGCACCTGGAGTCATCTTCCCCCATTCTTTTCTGTGGCCCTCTGCAGCCCTGTTCGATCGAAACAACCCAGACGCATGAGATGCTGCATGTCGTTGGTGGGATACTCAACGCCGGGGAAATTCTGCAACATGGATTCGCCTACCTCGGCCGCACGTCGTAATAGAGGCTCGGTGCCGCTAGTTGAGGCAACTCGATCTCTTCGTGGGTGGCATTGGTGCCCTGGCGAAGTCGCCATGCAGGGGTCTCAGCGATAATTGCCAATCCGGGGAAAGGAGATGAGGATCCCGCCCAGCAGGCCAGCGAGTGGGATTCGGCCACTCCTCGACGCGGTAGGGTGGCAGCCCGAGTGAGACAGGGGCCCTCCTTGTTTGAACATTCGAGTGTTCTGCCCGAAGAAATGAATCCCCGATGCAAGAAAACTTCCTCACGAGCCAATTGCACCGGCATGCCTGACGGGGTTTACAAATCGAAATACCTCCGTGGGAAGGTTGGTTCTTCGCAGATGCAAAATTCCTGACCGAACAGCCCCTGAATCAGAATGAAGCTTCAGTAGTTTGCGTCCCTTGATGCATTCGCCAATCGGTATGGACGGGGGCACGAATCCGCAACTCGGGACTTTTGTCGACGCAACGCCTGCTGGAAGGAATTCAAGTCAAAGTTTTGTGGTTCAAACGGAGTTTCTGGGATGCCGGTTGGTTGGGGACTGGAATCCTCGGAAATCCCCCTCGGCTTGTGGGAGCTGCTGCGATTGACGTGATAGAGGGTCGCAGATCGATGAACATCGTCGGCACTGCGACCTCGGCGACCACGGTGGAGGGAGCAGAAGGTGCCATCAATCTGCGTCGCAGAATCTGCGCGGATTCTAATCCCTACCCGCCGGGCGTTGTGTTCTCGGTGATGTCTCCTCCTCCTGGAAATCGTTTCGCGTTCTGGTGTGTCATCGCTGCGACGAGCTTTCTTTTTCCTGCGGCGCAGTCGTGTGCTGAAGATTGCATCCCGCGGCTCAGCAAGTGTGACCGTCTACCCCTTCATTAGTCCCGACAGTCAACGTAAAACACGTGCCGAGAGAAGACAGACATTCTGGAACTGGGAACGAGTTTCTCCGGAACCCCAATTCCGTGCAAAAACCGTTTGTGGCGTCGTCAGTGCGAGCGAAGTGGTGATCGCGGCCGACCACCGTCGACTGACGGTGACGATCAACCCACACACGCTGGAGCCCGTTCTGACGTTCACCCCATAATAAGCGCCAAAGAAGACAAGACCACGGGATGAACGCAGCTGGAATGGAAGGCCAAAGCTAGTTCCTTGAACATTCAATAGTTCTGAAAACCCACGGAGTGATCGGCATTGCCTGATGAATCTTCTGCCCGCCAAGTGGAGGGCGCAATCGTCCGGCAGATACCGATGGGGTTAAGTGAACTCACACGTGAACACCATGTAAACTGGACAAGAGGATATCCACTGAGGTTAAAAAAGCCCCCAAGCCGCCATTCCCGGGGGCCAAAAAGGCCAGGTCGGAGTCTTGGAGAAACCTTGAGGGTGGCAGTCAAGCGTGACCAAACCACGAGGGCCACCGTGGCCGGCGATCGGAATGAGTGGGAGAGAAAGTGCCGGGTTACATCGGCCAGCGATAGATCAACGGATAGGCATAAGGCTGTGAGTTAAGCTTTGGTTTCTTTGGGCGAGAAAGGGTTTTTGTGAGAGTTGTGCAATTTCGTTTTCTCTTCGCTTTGCCGAAACAGTCGTCCGGCGCTGATCAGTTTCCTCAGTTGAAGCAAAACTCCACCGACATGCCCACCAAATGAGGAGAAGTTGAAATCACGAAATCCACTGTAGCGTGGCACTCACGGCTCGTTGACATCAGCTTCTCGCAGAGAGCGGGCGCTCGGCTGAGTTGATCTTCAATTGACAGCGGCCGCTTTTCCGGACTCCAAGCATTCTGAATTCGAAGTGGGCTATTCTCAGTCGGTCAACTGAGACAATGATGTTATGGTTCTTGGCAAATTGCAATTGAAGCTTGTGATATTGGATATTTACATCTTCCGAGCCCAATTCTCGCGCCTAAGTCACTAGATCATGTCCCAACTCCATCCAGCCACTTGACCTAAAGCCTTGGCGAGGGGCTCGACTGCTCGGACTGGTCAATCCCCTCTTCCACGGCCTTGATCTGCATCGCCAGGATCTTGGAGAAGTATCTGCAGATGGCGAGGTTACCCCCCATAAACCAGAATCCGGGGAGGTGCTCGTTGCGCCGCCACATCGTCCTGAACTCGCCCTCCTCGTCGAAGCCCCAGACGTCCCCGACCCTGTCGGCGACCTCGTCGCCAAAGATGTTGCGCGCCTCCGTCCTCATGTTCTGGTATCCCGTCGCGAAGATGATCTCGTCCGCCTCCAGCTCCGTGCCGTCGGCGAAGCGGAGCCCGCGCGGGAGCACCTCGGTGATCTCCTGTCCCTGCTTGATCTTGATCTCGCCGTCGATGATGAGCTGGCTGCAGCCGACGTCGATGTAGTACCCGCCGCCCCGCTGGAAGTATTTCACGAAGAAGCCGCCGCCGTTCGGGCCCATGTCGAGCTGGAAGCCGGCTTTCTGCAGGCCCTGGAGCAGCTTGGCGTCGTTGGCGTTTTGCAGCTCCGTGACGCCGGTCTGGAGAGACTTGAACAGCTCGGCAGGTAGGCTCCACAGCCAGAGGTCTGCGTCGTCGACTGGCGGCGAGTCTTCGTCGTACAGTCCCTTCAACCCGATGTCCGTGATGGAGGACGACGAGACGACGCAGGTAGAGCTGCGCTGGACCATGGTCACGTCATACCCGTTCTCGTAGAAGTCTTGCGCGATGTCGTGGCCCGAGTTACACGAGCCGACAACAATCGCCTTCTTGCCCTTGGAGTTGGGCTTTGCCCCCGAGAACTCAGAGCTGTGGCACAACCTGTCGCCCTTGAAGCCGCTCATGCCCTTGATGTCGGGGAAGAACATCTTGCCGGAGTGGCCGGTCGCCTGGATGACGTGACGAGGGTGCAATACTCGCGTCTCCCGAGTGCCGTCGGACTTTTGGCGGTCTAGTGTGAGTGTCCATTGCCTCTTTGAGTCGTCCCAAGACGACTTTGTCATCGTCGTCGATGTCCAAACGTTCAGCTCGAGGAGTTTTGCGTACGACTCGAAGAACTCGGCGATCTTGTCTTTCGGCGTGAATATGGGCCAGTTTGCGGGAAATTCCAAATAAGGAAGATGGTCGTACCAGACGGGGTCGTGTAACACGAGCTGGTGATATCTGCGATTGTGATGGTTAGCAACCTGTTGGACGTCTCTGTTGGGAGAAGTGAGGGCATCGCGAGCTACGGAAAAAAAAAAGGGAAAAAAAAAAAAACCCGTATCAAGCAACACCTTGGGGAGTAGCTTCCCATGACGCGATATAAGTGAAATACCCAGCACTCAACACAATGAGGGTTTATAAGCCCCATGGACGTCACTGTTAACATACCTTTTACGCCAGCTATCGCCGACTCGGCCGTGTTTGTCAACCACCAAGGCGTTCACGTTGAGCATCTTCAGACGCGCGGCCACGGTAAGACCAGCTTGGCCGCCACCTAGATGCGTGTGAGTTCATTCCCTCATGCAGCCTGACGATGGATGGTCTTACCAATAATCACAACCGTAGGCTCAGTGTCCGTATAGTTGATTGCGTCTTCCCTCTTCTCCTTCCAGTTCTTTCCGTCTCGAATACCAACATGCTCAACACCCTTCTCGCGGCGGTGCTTCAATGGTTCTTCGTGTCCCTTCAACTCTCTCAGGACGGTGAAGAATGTGAGAATCTCCCATTTGCCACCAGACTCCACCATCCGCACCACGCCTTGGCCGGGACCGACTTTGGTGTTTGAAGAAATGAAGAACTGGACGCAGAGGACGTTGCCGTGGGCGTCGAGGGGAGCGAGGTGAGGAGCTCGGTACTCGGTCGAGGTGTCGACGAGGACCTCGGTCAACCTGCACCGGTCGGCGAGGAACTTTGCAATCTTTTCCCTGCCCTTGAGGGTTCGCAGGTCCCATGACAGACACAGGTGGTCGCGCCAGTAGCCGTCCGCGACGAAGAGGTCGGCGAGCGCGTCGTAGTTCTTGGACCGCAGCGCGGCGTTGAAGGCGTCGATGGCCTCTGCCGCCACCTTCCCCGCATCGACTGATGTCGAGCGAACTGTTGGGGGATACGGGCGGGCGGGAAGGTTCACCGAGCCGGGCTCGATCCGGTCGTTGTGTGGAAATGTTCCTGCCATGGTGCGTGGTATCAGACAGCGTCAGCAGTGATGGAAAAAACGGACTTGGCGTGGCTGGAAGGATCGTGAGCTTCAGGTCGACTTGGAGGCTTTATGGACGAAGCTACCCCTCTCAAGCAGGACCCTTTCCGTTACTCCGCGCCGACGGCTGAGTCGTGACATCACCTGACGGGTTTGACGCGACACGGAGGATGAGGGGGTTCTCCGGGGATAGATCGGGTTGAGTGTTGCTGTACGTCCGTAGACGGCGCAGTTCTGTTGCGAACTCGCACCAAACCACCGCCCTTCATGCCGGGCTCAACAAGTTTCGCCTATCTGTGGAGATCGTTGGCTCAGAAAGCCGCCAAGGTTGGAACCAAAGCTCCAGGTCTCCGCAGGGTCCGTCTCAGTCGTGTCGTGTCGTGTCTCTCAGCTGCAGACGATAGTGTGTATGCGCGAGGAGCTGCCTCCGTACGGGCGGCGCGGGGGTCAATGGAAGAGGCCACAACCCGGTTCCCCCGGGCAAATCAGAGAGCTCCGCGTTGGAGACGCCGAGGAAGAAGGGATGCGTCTGGCTCAGATGGTTCGAAGTTTGCCTTGATACGGGCGGTTTGGAGGGACCCGCTGGCGGCTCGAATTACCCCAGACTGAGGGGCGGCGGCAGCATTTACGCAGGGCGGCACGGGTGGCACTCTGACGGATCTTTCTCCGCACTTGAATTCGCGGGGTTGGGCAAGGTAGCTTAGGGGCGACGTTACTCGGAGCATTTCGAAAGTTCAGATGCATGCTCAGGTCTTTGCCAATGAGCTGTTCATAGATCTTGGATCTCGAGATCTCGCTGTCAAGTTACATCTGACAGGCTCTAGTCCTACAGTCGAGGCTGTGAGACTTCAAAGGCTACCAAGATGCTGACCGGCCGGAGCAGAGGATGCCGTCATGTCAGCATCGGTGGGGGTGAGTGCGGGGGAATTGCGGCGCCGTGCATGATAAAATCCGGGGAAAAGGAAAAGCCCGACACAGTCTGTTTCCGATGGTGCCGTTTCCGCCCCGCGCTGTTCACTGGTGCGGTGATGAGTTATTTGGGACTTTGGTGTGTGTTGTCTGGCTGATCAGTTGGAGAAACTCTCCAGAAGACGGTGGCGCGTCACTGCCGTCCGACGATGACAACCCAGCTATGATGTGTCCTGTGGAGGAACGATGAATGCATACCAGAGCTGTCGGCACATGGAATTGGTGGTTGGAGTACTAAGCAATATTCGAGTGCATATAAGGGTCCCAAGGCCTTGATATGTTGCTAATTGACAGATGCCGTGTGCGTCGCTACGAGTCATGCCCGTAGGTATCCAAGACCCCTGATGGCCGCCCCCAGCATATGATAGTTTGTTACGTTGTATCGAGCGGTGAGTATTGAGCTTGTATTCAGGTTGTAAGTATTCGGAACTCTGGGCAGTCAACCTCCTGACTCTCTCTGGTTTTGATGTTAGTGAGCTTCTTGAATGCGTGAAGCACAGTCGTTCAGCATCTTGATTTGCAACTGGCGGGCTTGAGGGGTCAACTTATACATGCTCTTCCATTGGAAAAGGCTGGCGGCTGTTGTGACGTCACTTACGTGTTTCACGAACGACAGTATATAATATCAATCTTCGGAAAGATGAGTGCAAGATTAATGCTGTGACATGGTAACCAAAACAACAGCAATGAATATCAACAACGTCAGTCACTGCATAAGGAACGGAGCAATGGTTTGAAATGATCCCATATATCAAACATGAGGACGCCTCGGCACAAAGGATCGTCCGATATCTAATCGCATTTACATCCAGTGTCTTAAGTCATACGTATGTACAAGAAAAATTGGTGAGCGAGGAATACCCAAAGAGGCATCACAAGCTCTAGTGTTACAACTCCATCAACTTTTGTCTATCCCCAGTCTACTCACGTCTCAGAGAGAGAGACGCTTAGTAGGCGGCGCGAGCAAGGCGGCGGCGCATGGAGCGAGCACGGCGGCGAGCAGCGGAGTTCTCGCAGTCGTCACCGGCGGCAGCCTGGGAGGGCTGGGCGGCCTCGGTCGGGGTGGTGGTGCTGTTGCCGCCGTTGTAGTCGGGGATGCCGGCGGAGGCGGTCGGGGTGGACGGGGTGGTGGGAGTGGCGCCGGTTCCGTCGGATCCAGTGCAGTCTCCGTCAGAGGTCTGTCCCAGGAGGTTGGCAGTGTGATCGATGCAAGCGGCATCAGGCCAGACGGAGGGTCCAGGAGCGGTGTAGTTCTTGGGGGCAGGGTAGTACTGGTTATTGTTAGAATATCATCGCGAGATCTGACGGGCAGACAGCCGGAGCAAAACGTCCGACCGGAAGTGGGGTGGAGACATGGCCCATGCGTCGCACGTGACTTTACGTAATTCGCTTGGCCAGCCACAATGCACAGCCACCGCGACTTCGTTTTTATAAAGGGAGGTGAACTTACGATGTTGATCAGCAGACCGGGCTCCTCTCCGGTGTAGGCTCCGGGGAACTTGACGGTGGGCTCGGGAGTGCCGGAAGAAGCACCAGTGACGGAAAGCTGAGCGCAAGCAATGTAGAACTGGGCACCGCCCTTGGAGCCGGCGCCGTGGAGACCGACGTGCTCGGCACGGAGCAGGTACTCGCCGGTAGGGACCTCCTTGGGGATGCTGAAGGTGAAGTTGTGGATACCGGCGTTGTTCACGTAGGTGGCCCACTGGAGGCCGGCGTCGGTGATGTCGGAGGTGGTGAGCTCGTAGATCTTGAACCAGTCGCCGTCGCCCTTGTACGAGGAGACGGAGTCGGGCGCCTTGGACATGTAGACGGCCAGGGGGCCGGGGTGGCCCATGTCGTTCTCGACGATGAAGCCGACCTCGTCGCCGGCGTTGACGGCCTTGGTCTTGGTCTTGGCCAGGACGTCGTCGTCGTTACCGCCCTTGTTGCAGACAATGCCCTCGGAGGTGACGTCCTCGACGGGGGAGTTGGAGTTCTTGGCCTCGCGGACGAACTCGTAGCGCTCGGTCTGCTCGCCGTTGACGATCAGGGTGGGGAAGACGTAGTGGGCGGTGGCCTGGGACACGAGGGCCGCGGCGGCGAGGAAGCTGAAGGTACGCATTTTGGTGGATGTGTGTCGGGAGTTTGGTAGAGAGAGTGTTGGTCAAGAAAGATTGGACGGAAGAAAATGAAGGTTGATTTTCCACCAGGGAATGAATGAATGAATGGTTTCAAAAAGAAAGAAAGTGGTTTGTACAATGACAAAAGACACAGCGATGGTTGAGAACGAGGAGTAAAAAAGAGTCGAAGAAGTCGAGAAGAGACCGTTCTCTTATATCTCGAGGCATCTCGTGCACCCCTGGCAGCCGTTGGCCGTCAACCGCCCACGAGTATCCATCCCATGTCCCCGTACCTGATGAGAATTCTCCAATCCCCACTCCCTGTCATTTGCCTTCGTTCTTCTGGGCATCGTGGGCCAACGGGCGGCGCGAAAGGGGGCGGTTCGCCCACGTTGGCTGAGCCAGGGGCCCGAAAGAAGTTCTTCGACGAAAGGACGATTCTGGGCGAGGCTCGTTTGAAACATTGGAGCGACCCCATAAGCAGGAACCAATTCCCACCAAACACGGCCCTCGCCGCCGGGGATGGGTCCCTGATCGGGTCGCAACTAAAGTACGGTTGACGAAATCGACCCCTGTAGGACCTTTCGAAGATGAGGGGGCATCGCGGTCGAGATATGGTCGCCAAGCTTGGCTCATGCGCCGATTCCCATATGATCCTGTTCATCTAAAGTCGCCCTCACGAGAGGTTCGCGTATTGCCCCTGTCGACCACAGCTCCTCGGCTGCGTTGGGCCTGGTCTTGGTGCCCCGAATCGGTCGCTTGTAGATTGACCGATACCCACCTCTTCACCAGAACTTGACATTGCCGCCGGTGGTGGTTGCGTCTACCTGCATGCCAGTTGCCCGTAATAACTTGTCGTGTTTGAGCGTTGACAGTCGTCAATCTCGGGCGCCATGCCGGGTTTGCTTGTCAATCCCCGGCGCCGGTTATCGGTCGCTAGTGCTCGAAAGCCGATCGAGTCTGAGTGCCTGTCAACATTAACTCGGCTCATTCGGAATCGACCTTCGGTCAGAATAAGGACTGCTGAGACATATCAACCGACGTCTCTGTTTCCCCAGACTCAATATGAGAAACTTTCGTCTGAAGACGATCGAACCGAGAAGATCATGCTGCGCTGAACTCTGTGATGGTACCTGATCGACGCGCCCGTGGTGGGATTCACCTGAAACATGGGCCAGGGGCACGGCGGGGAAAAACGCGCTGGCTGATGTTCCCTGCCGCAGATCACTTTACACGGGACGAAAATCCCAGCACGAAAGGAAAAGGAGTCCACTCCTGTGCCGTGCTGCGGTGGCTCACAGCCATCACGGCGCTTGGAACTTGGAAGAACACGAAAAGTCGGGATCCCATCTTCGGAGTCATCCAGGACGTGACGGTCTGTTGCTGGGCGTAATATCTCGGCTGATGCAGCCGAGACTTTTCGAACGTGGATGACTGGACTTTTCCACGCCCTGCTGTGAGTTGATGCAGTGTGATAGCCATGACTTAGCCGACAGTGGTATCGTCATCGCAGGCCGTCCCAAGCAGACCCGGCGCTTCACTTTTAGAGTGAAAATAGAGTGCGGTTGATAAGTGCCGCCTTGCCGAGTTATCATATCGACCCTCAGTAAGAGCTGGGTCAGCCAACTGGGCGGTGTCCTTATCCCACGTTGAGCAGCCATATGCCTGTCGCATTGATCGGACTGAGTCTCCGCTAGGGGGTCTTAGTCAGTCCTGGGTCAAGCTGCGCTTTCTCCTTTTTACCCCGTCAAAGGGGAATGCAGTCTGAGAAAAACAACGTCGGCTCCATCCGCAATTATCGCTAATATCGGCCTCCATGGAAGCCGGTGGGATGGTTGAGCCGAACGGGAGCGGCTTCCTTCGATTGTTCCCGCCAGCGGCTGGACCGCCGTGATTCATAGGCTCGTGGCATCCGACGACGACCCAGTCTTTAAAAGATTTGCCGGAGTCAACCGTTCCTCGCTATTTGTCTGTTCCTGATCCATCATATTTTCAATCCAGAGTTGGCAATGATATGCTTATCGCGGGCATGCGACTCATTTCACCTCTGCACGGAGGCCAGGCGGTTTCAGGACTGCCTTCAACTTGATGAAGCTACCTGAGAGACCCGACGGTTGAATCGAAGCTTGCGATGCCTCGGTTGAAGCTGTCTTTTCGCCGACAGACTTCTGGGCCTTTCTCAAAAGGTCGGCAGGGCCTGAGACTTATTGTCGAGCGAAATCAGCAACCGGGGCCCATGAAGAATTATTGCCAATATTGTTCTATTCTCGGATGACTATCGCCCAACACGAACGTAGACCTGGTGCTCTGGAATGCGCCCTGTTAATTGATTTAATGGGAATGAACATCTTCTGTTCACTGCTTGAGCACACTTTGGCTCAAGCTGGATGTCTTCCCAGCCAGCGTGTGTGCAACCGCCTCTGGAACCCGTACGCCGAACTGGTATCTTCGAGAAGGTAGTATGTCCCGGTCAAACCGGATCCGCATCGGAGCCGACCATGCTCCGGCACGGACGGGAGCAACGAAATCGCCACTTCGGTTTCACAAGAGACATCTCCGCATCAGGCAGCACACGGGATGAACTGCAATGTAGTGAACGAGAAAATGTTGAACAGCAGACGCTAAACACGTCTGTGTAACGTATAGAACAGGAAATGATGTGCCCAATGTTGTCTTATGTTCCATCCTGCCAGCCTCTTGCGATGTCCGTGTATGTATGCAGTGCCAAACCACCCGCGATAAGAACCAAATAGAAGCCGTCTGGTGTCATAAGTCGTGTCGATAGCCATATATGCAACCTCATCCGAATCCAAGCCGAAAAGGAACGAAATCTCCTTCTCAAACGACCCTCAGTCAGTCTTGGTCCCCTCAACGGCAGTCTTCTGCCCTTGGTCTGAACCCTCCTCCTTCTTCCCCATATCTATCTTGTACCAAGGCCCGTGTATCGCACCGGCACCAGCACCGATCAGGCCCCCGAGCAACGTGGTTGGGATAGCCGCAACCCCGCCGACGACACCGGTCACGACGGTGCCCACGCCGGCCCCCAGTCCGGCTCCGACACCAGCCCCGATGCCTGCGCCACCTATCCCACCCTGCCAGATTCCACTCTGGAGGCGGTGGGAATCCCGGGCCAGGGACTTGGCCTTGTGCTCATGCTCGGACGCTTCCGCCAGTATCTTTTGCTTTTCTTCGGGGTCCTCGACACCCTCGCCTCGTTCTCGGGCGCGCTGGGCGGCTTCGGCTTCTTGCTGTGCCTGTTCGAGCTTCTCGGTGGCTTGTGCAAGGATCTTGTCCTTGCGGTTCTGCTTTTCTTCGGGCGGTGGCGAAGGCATTGGATGGAAATGTGGCGGATGGGGTCTTCGATATGGCAATTTGGACTGTTCGGTCGGATGAAAGCAACGCCGTTAGATTCTCTAAGCCCGGAAAACGTGTGGAATGAAGATTAAGTGTGTAAAAGTTCGCGTTCGATAATAAAGAGCTGCTAGCGCTTTCGATGCCTGACTATTGACATCACTCGCTTAGACTCTGAGTTGCCCACCTATGATGTGTTCGTGATCCGCCACCAAGTGACGTCTACTCCGGTATGTACATATTTGTGCTAGAGTAATGTGAAACAAAGCCGCATCAGGTCTCATGCTGCTACATCTTTAAATCAGGGATCAAGCGGTCTTTTCATTTCGCTCTCTCATTCCCAGTTCCGCACCAAAGCCTGACCATATGTAATAACGAGATCATAACTCAGCAATCAAGATACATATTCAGATAGTAGTAGCTCTATCTAAACAAGGCTTGGAGTGATCATTCAATCACACGATTCTTGGACATGATGTATCTGGATAAATTATGAGTACAATTTCTATGATGTGCGTTATTTTCATAGTCTGCCGAGCCACCCTTCAATTCGCCAGCAAACGTCTTCCACTCAATGTTGGCTTGGCAGATGCGGCAATGCGCTTTATTCCACGACGCTTGAAGCTTCATGTCGTGTAAAACGGTTGCCTTCAACGAATTTTGCAGCGCAAATTGGACACTATTGCCAGGCATCTTCACCTGCATCTCACCATGTCAGCATCAAGCCAAATGATTCGTCCAGTTGATCTGGGCGGAGTGAGGGGCTAGCCGGCCTGTTGCTTATCAATGGGGTCGACGATGCACACGCAGCCTGATCAATTCCTAAAACTCGCGCAAATAAACACTCCTGCTCTGAAGTCACATCCATTTCGTGAGACTGTCGTCGCAAGTACGAATCATTTGAGCCCCCAAGATGGCATCTGCTCCAAGCATCTCGGCTGCCGCTGCTGGTCTGTGGGACAAGGCTCTAGAATCACTACCTCCCGATGTGAGAAAGGGCCTGGAAACAGTGAAGACGCCGAAGCGTCAAATTCTGGTGAGAGGGGTATTCGAGCTATGCACTCAGGAATCGGCTGACAATCTCGCGTCAACACAGGAAGTTGTCCTGCAAGAAGTCGAGACACAAAAAACACTGGTTTTCAACAAAAGACTGAAGTTCAAGAAACCGAACGGGAGCGAGGTGATTGTGAGAGATTTGCTGGAGAAGATCGTCGGCTGGGTTCATCGCTTCAAGGAAGTTGGCGACACGATCGTGCAATATGATCCCGCCCACGCCGCGCTGCCGTGGGCGGCTGTTCGATTTCTACTTCAGACATCTATCTCCGAGATTGAAACATTCAAAGCTCTCGTTGACGATTGTAAACAAGCCAGAAAACGTGTTTCCGAAATGAAGCTAACGACGTGTTTAGTGGAAGACATTACCCGAATGATGGCTCGTTACCGCATCTTTGAGAACTTGTACCTGCGAGGGACGTCGTTGGAGACCGAACAAGGTTTGGAAGCAGCTTTGGTTCGTCTCTATGCAGAGATTCTCACTCGGCTCAGCTATGCTATCAAGCTCTTGCAAGAGAGAACACGTGGTTGGTGTTGGGCATGAGTACTGGGCTCGTCAACGTCTAACCTTTCACAGTTCGAGTGGTGCTCAGCCCCTTCCGCTCAGCTGACCCGGACCGCGCGAAGATGATGGCCAATCTGGAAGCCGAAATCAATAACTACGCCCGATTATCAGACACGGAAACCTTGCGAGATATGGAAAAGGCCTTCGTGAGGCTCTCAACGCAGACGCTCCAATCGATATCAAAAGAGAAGTTCACCGACATCTACGAATGGCTATCGGTAGCGCCTTACAGCAACCACCACAGATTCGTCGTGGATCTGCGGTTACCTGGAGCTGGTCAGTGGCTGCTCGAACACAAATCATACGTTGAATGGCAAATATCAAGTTCCTCGGCCCTGTTCTTACTCCATGGCATCCCGGGGTCGGGAAAATCGACGCTTTGCTCTGTTGTAGTGGAGTCATTTCTCGCAATGACAGAGACCAATTCTCGCGCAGCACCACTTGGCTACTTCTACTGCTCGACGTTGGAATCGGAAATGCAACGCCAGTCCTCTGACGACGTCATGAGAACTATTCTCTACCAACTTGCGGTCAACACGACACTTCCCACGAAAATGAGAGAGTTCCTTTGCTCAGAGTATGAACGGCAAGCCCATAGATCAACGACCGGAAAGGCTGGAATGTTCAAGCTCAGAACTGCAGACTGCGTGCGACTCATCTTGGAGCTGGCTACCCAGGATCCCATCACGATCATTGTCGACAGTTTAGACAGCATCGTGGAGAGGGAACGTCCTGGTTTTATCCTTGCGCTTAGGGAGATCGTCGCGAAAGCGGATAACGTCGTGAAGATATTCGTCACGAGCCGGTCTTCACGTGCAGCGATGATGCCCCAAGCTGAGCATGAAGTCCAGATTTCAAGTCAGGAAACCCGAACAGACATGGAGGCATATGTCAACCACTTGATCGATACCGCTGTTGCGAAGAAATTGTTACTGAATGGAAACCTTCCGCCACAAACAGGCAGCGAACTGAGGCGAGCGGTTATGGAAGGAGCCGGTGAGATGTAAGGCGTTTACTTTAAATCCCCCCTTCAAATGAGTCTGTGCTAATCATCACTTTCGTAGGTTTCTATGGGCCAAGCTGCAAGTTGATCGCATTTGCCGAGAACACGTTGAAGCCGATGTTCTCGCAGCCCTTAAAAACAAGGTTCCTCAAGACATCGACCAGTTATACAAGGAATCTCTGAACCACATTGACTTAATGGGAGATACAGGCCAAGGTATCGCGGTCAAAGTCATATCTTGGCTCCTCTACATGAGAGAGCCCCTGACACCAGCAGCGCTCTTGGCAACCCTCGCTGAAGCAAACCATCCGACACCCGAGTTGACTCAGGTAATTGCCATATGTGCAAACCTGGTTGTTCTCGACACCACCTGCAATATCATGCGATTCATACATCAATCGGTTCAAGAGTTCTTGAGTAGTCAGCCACGCTACGCTGCTGGGACAGCTCACACTCTTCTGGCGTCCGCTTGCCTCGATGCATGCTCTCGTGGACCAACAGCAGTGTTTGACGACACGTTGAGAATCCCAAATGACGATTTCTATATCTACGCCGCGATATACTGGCCGGTGCACTTGCAGATGGCGCGAAGCTTGTGCCAGGATAATGTGGCTCTCGAGAAGTTGATGAGCGGCGTGAGATCGTTCATCTTCGAAGACGATTGGGAAGTCAATTTCTCGTTCGAGTCTTGGCATAGCGATGTGCAGGACCTGGTTCCGCATCTCACGCGGGACCATGCCATGATGCCACTTCTGGACGCGATTCCAAGCACCGACGGCTTCTTGTTCTTGTTCGCCATGTTTGGTTTTGAGGAGATGCTTGAGTCTGTTTTGGCCTCTATCGACGGCATTGACGTCAATCAAAGTAACAAGCACAGCCACACTCCTGTTTATCTTGCGGCGAGATATGGGCACTTAACAACGATGTTAAAGCTTGTCGGTCATGGCGCCAATGTCAATGTTAATGGTGGAAAATTCGGAAGTCCACTCCACGCCGCTTGTTTCGAGGGGCACATGAGTATCGTTGAGGATCTTCTGCGTCATAATGCAGATGTCTCATGTGGCACTGTGTACAAGAACGCACTGGAGGCTGCTTTCTTAGGAGGGAAAGAAGACGTAGTGCTCCGTCTTTTAGACACTGAGTCCATGATCCAGAGCGAAGCTGATCATGAAGAAGCAATGGGACACGCTGCCCGCTCGGGGTTTGCCAGGGTCATCCAGCAGCTCCAGCAGCCTCGTTTCGCACCCTTTTCCCATCCCACTGAGGACAAGATGAGGAAAAGGGTACGCAGCCTCATCAAAAGTGGTAACCTCACGGCAGTTCGTCGCTTCCTTGACCAAAACCTCTCTCAACGAGGCCTTCCTCCAGATTGTATTGCAGTTGCAGTAGAAGGAGGCCACGAAGACCTAATCACGTTCCTGCTCACGAAAGGAGCTGACATTGAAGGGGAGGGGGTTTATGGAAGTCCCCTGAGGACAGCTTCCTTGCTCAACTACAACCGGCTGGCTCAGTTACTCTTGGGTCGCGGGGCCAACGTCAACGCCCTTGGCCGTCATGGTGATGCGCTTCAGACTGCATCCTGGAAAGGGCATATCGCCATAATGGAACTTCTCATTGGCAATGGAGCGAATGTCAACCAAAAGAGTGGCTTCTGGGGCACGTCGCTGCAAGCAGCGGCTTATCATGGTCAGTTGAGGGCTGTGCAACTGCTAATCGCATCAAACGCGGACGTCCATGAAAAGGGATACTCTCGCGACGCGTTTCATGCCGCTGCCGAAGGGGGCCATGAAGATGTCGTCATCTTGATGCTACAGAAAGGCTACGCGCCTTACAGGCATATGGGCCTCGTCCAGTGCAGCGTTCCCAAAGCATTAGCAAGCGAAAAGCTCCTCAGAGATGCATTTCCAGAGCGGTACGCATCTCCAGACGGACAGTCACTCGCCGATGACTTTGGGAGGGTAAATGCCGAACAAACAAGCTCAGTCACAGAACGTACCACGGTGAACGATGTGGTTCCTGAAGATCAGCGCAGCTTTGATGTCAGCGGCACAACATGTCTCCCAGTTCTGGGATACCGGTCTCGAGGGTATACGGGCGAGCAGAGCTTTCCCGTCGAGGCTGCTGCCTCTGCTGGTCGTCAGGAGGTCGTAAAAACCCTCGTAAAACATCACAAGGCTTTGGGAATTTCCCCTACCAGCATGGTCGAAGCTATCAAGGAAGCTGCGAAGATTGGCCACGTGCCAATTATTGGTGTTCTTTTCGATCATTTGCAGAGCCGACAACCCGCGAAACCGTTGATAGAGGCTATGCTCGTGGCAGCGAAAAAGAACCAACAACGCGAAGTCATGGAGTACGCCGTTCAGCTTGCTGAGAAACATTGCGCGGCCGAAGAATGTGTCCGGATGAAAGCATTTGCAACAGCTACAGCCGCAAGATACCGGAACTCAAAGCGTGGCAGACGAAGGCTCTTCTCAGACTTTATGACCAGTTGCAGAACGGGCAACTCCCAGCTTACGACCCAGATACTGGCAACGGAACATCATGTGATGCTCTCTGAAGCTCGCATTAAGCGTGGGCTTCGTCTCTGCGCTGTGCATGGTCACCACGAGCTTATGCAGCTGCTCCTTCATTCACCCTCCCTTCGAAATCGAAGACCCTCAACTGGCGAGGAGATGTTTGTTGCAGCTGCAGCGAGCGGTCACTTGGAAATTATGAAGTTGCTCATGACTTTCTGGCCGGCACTGGCAGATTCAACCGACTCCATTCCGCTCAAACGCGCCTTGGTATTGGCCAGCGAACAAGGCCGTATCAGCGCTGTGCGGTATCTCGTGGTAGACCTCCAGGCCGACGTCAATCTTTGCTCCTCTGACGAAGGCCAAAATATGGTGTCTAGCTCAAGGTCATGTGACAGCGACTCTTCCGAATTGAATGTCGAGCTGGACGACTCGGGAAACGAGCTGTCTGATTCTGAATCAGATGTTCCCCCCGTTCGCCGGATTCCCCGGCATTACATGCATTATGGCCGAAGAGCACAACGTAGACCGGCTGCGCTATTCATATCCCCCCTTCAGGCTTCATTACGTGGCTTTGCCAGACTCAACCCTTCGACACGATACCTATACACATCGAGAGATCAGTCGGGGCAAGCCGACCAGGAGCAGCAAGTCGAGGTCACCGAACTCCTCCTCGAACATGGTTCTGATCCCAATGACCTAGGCGGTCAAAGCTTGTTTCCGATACAGTATGCTGCAAAACACTGCCCAAACTCTCTTATCGGCAGTCTCATTAGATCCGGAGCAGACCTGAACAAGGTCAGCAATGCCGACGACCATTCGAAAGCCCTCTCTTCAGACAAACATACTTATGTTGTGACTACCAAGTTCGATAGCTCATCAGGATCTCCGGTGCAGACGGTATCGCTGGTAGTCAAAGGTATCTTGGAGTGGACGAAGCCTGCGGTTTTCATTACAGCTGAACGGCCTTCATCTTCCTTGTCGACGGTGCGGCAGCTACTAGAAGCCGGTGCCACTGTTCCTCAGGATGTTGAACTCCAGCATCGTCTGGTTGACAACGTCCTCATGAAATTCGAGGAAACGGTGCCCAGATTGGAAAACGTTAGGTATTATATGACGGAAGATCGTGGCGAAATCTCCCAACACGTCAGATCTTGGATAGACGACGCCTTTTCAGAGGGCTCTATCGCAGCGTTACTCCACCTGATGTCTCAAATGCCGCATGTTACAGCGAAAAGCGCGAGGTGGAACTTGGTGCTTCAGATTGCGGCGTTTGTGAACAAGACTGACTTCATTGATCGGCTGTTATCACTCGGCACCAACATTAATGCAACCGGATACCAGTTTAATACTGCGTTACAAGCGGCGGCATCCCAAGGCCACGAAAAGTTGGTGTCGAAATTACTGGACGCTGGTGCTGAGGTCAACTCGATTGGGGGGGAATACCACACAGCATTGCGTGCAGCTGTCAGTGGAGGACACGAGAGCACAGTTCGGGTTCTTCTCGACCGTGGAGCAAGCTTGGAGCCAGAAAAGCCGCAACACAAATCTAAGCTCAACAAAAAGACACTTTTGGGATTGGGTGTACAAGTCGGGAGCTTGGCTATTGTCAGAATGCTCTTAGCCCGAGGAGCCAGTCCCATGCTCGAAAAGTCCGACAGGTTCGAGCATCCACATCCACTGATCGTTGCAGCAGATATGGGATTCATTGGCATTGCAAATGAGTTGATCCTTGCTGGTGCACCAGTCAATGTCAAGTTCTTGTCATACGAGAGCCATAGAAGCCTTCGTTCCACAGACAAGGATTTTTACTATGGAGGTTCCTTCATGGACGAGTACAGCTTTACGGATGCGAGCCCCCTTCATGCAGCTAGCGCACGCGGTAACTTGGAAATGGTCACGTTGTTGCTTTCTAATGGTGCCGCGGTGGAGGGACCTGATGACAGCTGGAAATCCCCTCTCACGATTGCAGCATCAAAAGGGAACGCTGACGTAGTCGGTCATTTGATCGAGGCCGGCGCAAGATGTGAAAGCAACTCAGGTTTGATGAGAGCTGTCAGAAAAGGATACGCTGGAACTGTCAAAAAGTTGTTGTCCGCCGAGGCACACGTTGAGGGCGTGCTGGCAGCGGCATGCCAGCATGAGAACCTAGAGGTGGTTGAGCTTCTTCTGTGTGAGATCATGGCAAGAGACGATCCCGATCCCATCATCGACGAAGCCTTTGTTGTTAACAACCTGGATGGATCAGTACTTCAGCTTCTGTTGAGCTACGCTCCCATGACGGCATTCCGCTTCGTTCGAGTGTGCGCTTCTGGCCCAGTACACCTGGTAGAGCACATTCTGGACCAGGGACTTGTCGACGCGAACCAGATAGCGGGTGAAACCGGCAGCCAGGCTCTTCACGCTGCAGCGGTGCAGTTGCAGTCTGAAGTAGTCCAGCTACTTGTCTCACGGGGAGCCAATATCGACGGCACAGCCGGTCACGGCGACTCGCCGTTGGTATCTGCACTTGAAGCCTGTGCCGGCTTGACATTAACGATGAGAGGCATGACAGGCGACCCGAAGCTTTGGAAACTAGCGGAGAAAGTACGGAAGGTGGCACTTGACACATCGGAGCTGAGGGACCAGTCGCACCTTGGCCGAAGGAAGCCTGCTTCTGCCACCAGCTTCTTGAGACTTTCGAACTGCGAAAGGATTGTTCGAAGTCTGCTGAGCAAAGGCGCGAATGTTGACTTGGAAGGCGATTGTCTTGGATCACCTCTACACATTGCCTGTCTGATTGGCAGTCGGTCCCTGGTCGAGTTACTCTGGGATCATGGAGCTGATTTCGACGCGACAGGGGGATTCTTTGACAAGCCAATCTTTGCTGCCATCCACAGCAGGAACATGGACTTGTTATCTTTCTGCTTGAACCACACTCAGCCATCAACGATTCAACATTCACATCCTGAACTAGGGACGCCTTTGCACTATGCTTGCAAGATACACGAGGGATCAATGGTCCGGCTACTTCTCAGACACGGCGCATATCCAAGTGCGAGGGATTCCCAAGGCCAAACGCCACTGGCAACTGCACTTTACAACACACGCCATCCAAGCTTTACGCCTAGGAACGGCAAAGAAGATCCTTTGAGCGTTTTCATGGAGATGATTGACTCTCTCCACATCTCCGACGATGACCTTGTGGCAGCAGCTACGGCTAAGGTTGATACGACGCGGCTTCAGCCATTGCTCTCGCGCAAGTGGAGCAATAGCATACCTGAAAAGATCATTTGCGATGTCCTGAGTCACGAAAATGCGAATCCGGATGTAATCAAGTTCCTCATGGAGAATAATGGCGGCATAGGCGCCACCGCCAACATCCTTCAGGCCGTAACAGACGAACGCCAACTCGAGATATTGCTTGAGTTCAGGCCTGTCGGCAGGATAAGCTCAACTACTCTTGCATCGCAAAAGAGTTTCAAGTGTATAAGTCGGCTGTTGGAAGCCGATCCAGAGGTTTCAATTCCCCGCGACGTCATTTTCCGGGCGCTACGTCCAAACCAGTATGATTCGAAGGAAAGAGGTTTACTCAAAGTCCTCTTTGAACGGAGCCCACAAATACAAGTCACCCAGGATATGCTGGAGGCAGTACGTCATGTCGAGCACATGAAGATTCTCCTAGATCGGATGGATAAGGGTACGGAAATCTCAAGTGGAGTAGTAGATGCCATTTCTCGTCTGGATTCTGAGGAGTCCTACGGCATCATACAACGCTTGCTGAAATTTGACCCCAGCATTCATGTGAGTCAGAAGATGGCGTCTCGGATGGTCACGGAATCGAGAGAAGTGTCTGTCTTGGAGCTGCTGTTGGAACACAATCCTGCCGTGGAGATCACACCCAAGATGTTTCTTGCCGTGTTGGATGACGATTGCTCCGGTGCCGACTCAGCGCTGGTCGATCTCATGACAAAGTACGATAAACGAGTGGTATCCACACGGAAGGTTCGTCAAGCAGTTGCCGACTCAACAGATGAGCGCCTCGCCGGGTTGACGGTTGCTGATGAGCAGGAGGACATGGAAGATTCGGAGGATTCGGAGGATTCTTGTGACGATTGAAATGGCAAAACCATAAACGCCTGCTTAGAAGCCCTTTTCAGGCTTCTATTCGTCTGGCTAAGGGTCTTCCGTGAAATATCTGGGGCATACCACAAGAATAAGCCATAGCTTCAACAGCTTTAGCTCTCTTGTTCCTGTTTCTTATCTGAAAGAAAAGTTCTAAATCTGCTGCATTGTGCCAAGGTGCTTGCTGACCGGTTGTGGTTCTGCAGTAGCCACGGATTGGGATTGGTGAGGAAATTATGTGGCATCTTTTGGTAGTTTTCCCTTGGAGATTGTTGATCTACAGTTAGAATGTGCTTTTCCTTACGGTCCTCGATATTGATAATCCACTTTCACTTCCACTTCTCGTTCTCATGGCCACTGGTTGAAATGCCTAAGCTTTCTGTTGCCATCTCTCTAAGTCTCTGTAAATGGTACCGTCCTCTACGTATGACTCGTAGAACCACTCAATCGATTCCGTAAAAGGCCGCAACCTTTGACCCAGATCCGCGCCGGCGAGGCGTACAACATAGAGGTCAGACCCATCTGGATCCTCGGCCCTGGCCTCGGGCGTCAGATCGAAGAAGACTGCGAGGAAGGCGCCGCCCGTCTCGTCCCACGAGGCCTCGGGGTTGTCGATGATCAAGATCTGGCGCTCCCAGGTGTCGTCGAAGGTCGGCGGGATGAAGAAATCCGTCGTGCCGGTGGCGTTCCGCGCGGCGATCTCGGCCCTGTGGTGCGCCGTACATCGCGCCACCCGCTCAGCTTCGGGCGCGTCGGCGGGAAGCGGGAGGCCGTGGACCTCGACGCGGTCGCGCGCGCTTCGCATAGCGCGGCCTTCGCGGGTCGACTCTTCCAGCTTCAGCGCCGTGGCTTTGACGTGCTTCCGGTCCCCGGCGTGGGGCGTTGTATCGTAGACTTGGATCGACCATTTTGGCCGGTTGGACGCATCTGGCGGCGTCCTGGCACGCGCATCCGTTTCAACCAGCTTCCAGGCGGCGTAGCATATTTTTCCATCGTGGCTTGGCGTCTCTTCAACGACGGTTCGGGGAAACACTTCCCTGGCCATGGTGCTTCAGAAGAGTCGATGCTGTATGGAAAGAACTGCAGACGTCGAATGTGTAGTCGAGAGACGTGTGGTTGTGTCGGTCTGAGGAAAGAAGTACTTGTAAGTAAGCTGACTAAAAGTTGGGGTTTCATCACCACCAACAAGGACAAGGAGAGGGGCGTTATCATGCAAGTCGAGTTGCTGCCTGTTATGACGTACAACTCTAGAAGGAATGTTTGAGCTAGGTTGGACACCGAGACAAATGCCCATCCTGCGTTTAGTGATTCTTCGGCTGTGATGCCCTGTCTCGTGAGTACCGTAACCTTGATATCATATCATATTTGATGGGAAAGAACTGTTTGAAGTTACCTGCGTTGTGTCGAAGTGCTTGGCTCAGCGTTCATTTTACTTCTTGTGTTTTGTCTAAGTCTATTCTTTTACGCGTGATCATGTCCCTCATGGTCCTCTTCATCATCCGCCCAGTCCGGGAACCCATCGTCGAACATGTCCTGCAGCTTATCCAGCTTCTTCTCCAAGTCCCACTTCTTATTCCTCATGACCTTCTGCCACTTCTTCCACTCCTCGTCATTGAGCAAGCACTCGTCCAGCGCCGCCTCGAGACCCTTGATGTCGAGATTCTCTCCGATGAAGACCAGCTCCTGGCGACGATCGCCCCATTCACCACCCTTGCTGATGTCGTGCTTGACGAGTGCGTCAACCTCTGCGTCGCCCGTCATGTAGTCTGACGGGTCGAGCATGCAGAACCACGGACGACCGCCGGTCATAGTCAACATCGCACCAGCCTGTGACCAGTCGCCTGCCCTGTGCGGCCTCGTCGCGAGGAAGAACTCGCCCTTCGAGCGGAATAAACGGTTGAAGAGCGGGTTGGCGGTCTTGTTGGCGAGGATTACTTCGTTTGATGGCGGCTCCAGGGGGTCTTCCATGTCGGCGTCTTCATCATCTCCTTCCTCCTCTTCCTCGTCGTCTTCCCATTCTTCATCTTCCTTCTGGGCGTCGTCCATGTCTGCATCCTCTTCATCCTCGTCCATCTCATCATCATCCCCCTCAGGAGCTTCCATCTGGAGAATGAACTTGTCGTAGATGAGAGACCAGAGACGTCGAGGATTGAAGGGCCGTGTTCTTGTGTAGATGAAGTTGCGGACGTTGTATTCTTCGGTCTCGGGCTTGGGGGTGATCTTCTTGCGGCCGTTCACCTCGCGTACTGTCATGGCGTGCAAGTCCTGCAGCCAGCCGACACCGGACTGGGCGACCTTGAGGTCGAAAGTGTTTGTGTTGACGATCTCCTTGACGTCGATCTTGCCATAGTTGGCTTCGAGGATCTTGGCTCTGGGGTTGAGCTTCTTGATCAGGTCGAGGACGCGGGCGCGGTCGTTCTTCGTTACCTGAGAGGAGTATGTTAGCGTGATGATTGGCCATGTTACGTGCGTGATGAAAACTTACCATGTCCACCTTGTTCAGGATGATGACATCGGCGAACTCGATCTGGTCGACCATGAGGTCCGAAACGGTACGCTCGTCTTCGGGAACGACGTCGTCTCGTCTCGAGGAGAGCAGGTCGCTTGTGTGGAAGTCGTTGAAGATTGTGAAGGCGTCAATGACGGTGACGGTGGTATCGAGACGGGCGAACTTGTCGACACCCCCGGCATCGGCACTGGAAAGGTCTTTTGTCAGCTTAACACTGAGGATCATGGAGAAGGTACTTACAGTCTCTTGAGAAGCTTGAGTGTGTCGGCATCCAGACCCTCCGGTCCTTCACCCATGGCTTGCATTTGCTCCGCCAGACGGGCATCGAAGGTCTCGGCAACTTGCTCGGGCTCGCTGATGCCACTGCTCTCAATGACCACATAGTCAAACTCGTGGAGCTCGGAGAGGTTCACCAGCTCTTCTAGCAGATCGCCGCGAAGGGTGCAGCAGATGCAGCCATTCTGGAGAGCGATGACCTTCTCTTCGGTCTTTGTGATTTTGTGGCTCTTCTTAATCAAGGACGCATCGACGTTCACACTGTGGGATTTAAAGGCTAGACTTGTACAGACATCAAAGGGATTCTGGTTTGATTTGACTCACGCTCCAATATCGTTGACAATTACTGCGATGCGAAGGCCGTGGTCGCTCTTGAGAATGTGCTGGAGGAGGGTCGTCTTTCCGCTTCCCTGTACTTGGTGTAAGTGGTGTCTTCTCAGAGAGGACGTAGAATCATCCTACCAAGAAACCAGAAAGCAGTGTGACCGGCAGTGGCTTGTCCTGGCCAGACTTCGAAACGTCAACGCCAGAATCGGCACGTGTAAGTTTCGGAGCGCCGCCGTTGGCTTTCGGGTTCGTCGTCGCCGGTACTACGACACCGCCCGACTGCGGCTTTGTTGACGATGCAGAGAGTTTTTTGCCCATTGTGACGGTGGTGTTCTGTTTCTTCCCTTCCAAGATGACAATTTGAGGATGAAACGAAACCAACTCGATTCTCTCGAGCACATGATATTTATATCGCCTCTTTTAACAATTTCTCAACTGATATCTGACCATCGTTTCCAAGCATGCCATGCCATCAAGGTGCTTTCAACATGCATCGTACAAGACGGTCAAGGCTGTCCATCCGGGTGTTGATGATGACCCTCCGGGGTTGTGATCCGGGATTGGCTAGCTTGACTCCGGGGCGGTCATCAGGAATCGGCCGAGTCGTGATTGGATGAGGGCACCTCCACCGGGGCCGTTCTCCCAGGAACACCCTCCCGAATCGGGAAAGCCTGTCAGGGAGGCAGGGAGTAATTTCGTTCGGACCCCTAGACACCTTGAGGGTTATCTGGATGTTGGAGGTTGGATTCTTGATTGCGAAGATGCCGATGATGCGAATGGCGAGGGTTCTGAGCCCTTCGGCTGGCTGCATCGGCACATGGTGAGAATGTGAGGTTCACAAAACTCCCAGATTGTCAGAAACGTGCCAATTGGTGGAGGTCTCACGAAAGGAAAGTGAGAGCAGGTGTGCTCATCCTTCCTCGCTCTCCTTGATCACAACTGAGACCCAAAAAAGAGACACAACCAACTGCTGAGAAAGCTCATGTGAGCCTACTCATGAAGTAATTGCGGCAGGATTTGAGACATGAGACCCGATGACCTGTCTAGGATCACAGACTTCTTAGCTATCGTAGCAATAGAGAGTGCTCTTGCGTCTGCTGTAGGTGTTGCTACATGAATTGCCAGACCACAAGTGTGATGATGGAAGATGAACAACAAGCTCGGAGAGATGAGAGCAAGATAAATCAAATGAGATAACCACCACTGTTAGTCTTTTCTACGAGGTACCCATGCCATGTCAGTGACGTGGAAGCGAAAAAAGGTTGAGCTTTCATGAATTCGTCGAAGACTGGAGTCGTGAGACTTCTTCAGAAGTCGAGTGCAATTTGTAACAGGTGACCACAGTGAAGAGGTCTACATGAAAATGAAATAAGAATGATAAAGTAAGGTTGAAGTTAGAACGCGAATACATCGTACATTCTGAGGCTAACAATCATTTGCCTCACCCTACCCGACATCTCACATCAACAACAACATTTCTCACTCTTATCTAGTGTCCGTTTGAGCTTCAAGTTCATTCAATACTTCATATTCCCACCTGAAAACTCATGTTCAATTGCCTAGTTCAAGTGAAAAAAGTCATTCACACAGACAAGCACGGCCTCAACTTTCATGGCTTAGAAATCATTGAGTTCTCATGAACTGGGGCCGTCAAAAATGCCAAGGAACTTCCTCGTTTATCAAGTAAGGCCCGACCGGCGGGACGAACGGCTTCGGCCGAATTAACCCGGTCTCTCGAGTCTTCCGAATCGACAGAGCCTCACGTCGAGAGAAAAGCGACTGGTTCGACGAGTGGACGGGTCGTGGCCCCGGCGCGACGAGACGAACACGAGACGGCGCGGCGATCTTGGCTTTCAGGCTGGACTGTACCGAGTAGCGTTTTCAGTGTTGAATGTGATTGATTCTTGAGTGAGCGTTCATCCAATCGCCGAGAGCGCTTATCATCTTCCGTGAGCTTGAAAATTCGGTCAAACTGTTATTGACTGGCAAAAACCATATAACCACGTTGGCGAGATTTGTATTGATCGGTTCAGTTGTGCAATTCAATGAGCGAGATGACGTTCATGCGCCCGGCATTCGCTGTGTCGCCGACGGTGGATCAATCATCAGTGGGCATGAGCGTGGCTCACGGAGGACATGGCAGCCGAAAGGTTAGTCGTGACGAGTCAACTCATGAAGATCAAGCGCGCGGTTTCCAAGCGGAAGGTAAGAAAAGACCCGTCACCATATTAATAGAAATACCAAGACTCACGGTTTTGCGCCGGGCAATGTGGAAGACAGAAAAAACTGAACGTCATTGTCAGGAGAGAGGAGTCGCAAAAGATGCGCGCAGGGCGCCCATGCATTTTCGGTTTCATCGACGGCTCCGTGGTGGGCTTCAGTGAACCACGAAGTGACAGAGATCCAGGGCGTTCGTTACCCCAGATACCACACCACCAAACGCTTGTCATTGCGGACGGCGACGGACATTCGTATTGGTCGAGTTGCCGTGGCCTTCAAACCCGACGCGTCCGGCCTTGCGCAGTCTGGTGCCGCCCCGAGTCGGCACGAGTTGACCTGGTTGATGAAAGCTGGATTTGTTGGCTGAACGGCGACTCTATCCTGGTGTTGATCGCAGCTCGTCTCCGGCCGGACCGTGTTGTGGTGACGAAGCTGAGGGTGTCAATTCTCGGCACGACTTGCCAACTCGTGGTTCATGCTGTGGCCTCAATCCAACATGACACCCGAGGAACGATGAATTCTGGTCGTTGTGGACTTTGTGACCCGATCGGGAGACAATGTGATGATGATCGTAAGAATCGAGAGACCCGGTACGGGGGCCAACAATCAAGAAAAGACGGAAAATGTTTCTAATCCCCGAGCCGGGGCCCCCAACAGACATCATCTTCCCACGCGAGCTCACCTGCCCTGTTGACCCCATCATCCTCCGTTCTCGCGGTGCCCAAGTGGAGATGTCATTCTCAGATATTTCCGACTCTGAACACCCAAAGATAGCTGAGAGAAGTGTGAGCAAACGGCGAGTGCGGTCGTATTTTGCAGGTTTCAGGCGCCGTCAGGCCAAGCGCCAAGAAGCGCGTCAAACACGGAGGAGGGGCCTCTGGTGCGGCAATTGGGAGGTTGATCTCGTCTGCCCATCGGCGCGGGTGACAGCGGCCGGGGGGTCATTTGAAACCCTCCGAACGAGAGTGCCCCTGGGTGCTACTCTTCCTCGACCGCAGGCTCCGGTCACTGCATTTTTGGAGAATTTGGAGAACTTGACTGTGCTGATGGACGACGTGGTGGTGTGTTATGATTGGGTTGTCCCCCTGTCATCCAAGACCCTGGGAGGTTTGCTCGCGTGCAGTTGTCGCACCAAGGGGGAGGACTCCATCTCGACAACGCAGGAGAAGTCCATCGTCGACCCCCTTGTTCCGTTTTCTTGGAAGATGTTTGATGTGAGGGCGCGATAAGACATGGGAGGCGTGTGGTAATTGTCCGTGTGGCGGGAGAAGAAGCGGGAGAAGGGATGTCTACGCGGGATATGGGATTGATAATATGAAGCATCCCAGGCCGTCATTCCCACGAGGCCCTTCTTGACTTCTCCTGGTTCTTGATCCGTTTCTTGTCAAGAACTCGGCGGGTTCAACATTCTGTTCTCCATGAAGCGCTTGCGCTGTTTCTTTTCTGCTGTTGTTCCGTTTTAGACTTTCGCAGCTGTGCTGTTGCTTTTATTATTCCATTCTTGATTACCGCTGGCCGATTTCGTCTTATTTTGTCCATTTCATCAAAGTCGTTTATTTTGAGGAAGACGTTGAGGAGGTTTCATGATGGAGGGCACCACAACTTGGTTGGCTTTCAGGTAGCTTCCTAACAACGCCATCAACGAAAGGTGATTGGAGTAGCTGACGAGACTACTAGACAACGAAGGAGGAGAGCGGAGCCTAGGTTTGCCGGTAGACCACGCCATAACTTGGTCCGCCTTCGGGTACCTGCGATATCGATTCGCCAGGACGACGGCGAAGAGGCAGACGAAGAGAAGGAGCCCGAGGGTGAAAAAGAGGAGGAAGAAGAGGAGGAGCAGGAGGAGGAGGAAGAAAAGAAAGAGAACCCAGCAGGGAACAACAGAAAAGCGGAAGAGAAAGAGGAAGAGTCCGGGGCGGAAGAGAACAATGGTGGTAAGGAAGAAGCCGAATCAGCAAGCGGTTCGGGGAGCGATTCTGATGCGCCGAAAGCACCGGGAGCCCAGGAATCCGAATCCAGCGCCAGCAGCGACTCGGAACAAGAACAACCAGCTCCCTCCGTGACACCGCCTCCGGGCGCCGCTCCGCCCGCATCCAACCCGACGATCCTGCCGACAGCACCGCCCGCCGCTCTGAACCCGGCCGTACCGGCCGCAAGTTTTCCGCCGGCCCGGGGATTCATCACCTTGGTCCCCGGCGCGCCGCCTCCGTCAACGCCTCCGCAACCTCCTCCTCCTCAAATGGCACCCCAACAGCCATCAAATCCTCCCGCCGCGACGCCTTCCGTCGCTCCGTCAAGCCGATCTTCAGCCCCGCCTACATCCTCGCCGTCACCACCACCTCCTTCGCCCCCTCCGCCAGCTGTACAACCGTCTGCTCCCCCTGCCTCAGAAACCCCGTCAACGCCAGTACCGCCAGCGAACGTCGGAAATGCCGCCTCGGGAACATCTGTACCGGAGCTTCTGCCGTCCAACGCTCAGATGCAAGAATCTAACGGCGCCGTCTCCGCATCGCCCTCCACCTCGTCAGATTCTCAGCGCTCTCTCGCGATCGGAATCGCTTTTGGTGTTGCAGGTACGTGATTTCATGCTTGCATATTTAACTTCATCGATATGACTTCTAACAACTGTCCAGCGGCCATCGGTCTTCTAATCGGCGCCTTCATCTTCTTCAAGAAGCGATACCGCAAGAAGAAGGTAGACGCCGTGGCTACAAACATGCAGAACGCACCACCGAACCCCGGCCCCGGCCCCGGCCCCGTAGCTGCACCCGTCAAGCCCTTCTTCCCCAACGAGTCAGCCATCCTCCGCCAACCGAAGCGCGACACCAAGGAGATGGAGCAAACCATGGTCACCACGTACCGCCAGACAAAGATCGCGAACCGCACGACTCGCGAGATGGAGGAGCAGATGGTCGCGCAGTTCATGGCCGCCAACGCCGCGATCCCGAACCCTCAACCCCTGGGACCCGCGCCACCTGCGAAAACGAATCAAACAAGGAACCTGTCCACGACGAGCTTTTACTACGAAAAGTCAATCAACGAGCCCAACAACGAACCCCCGATCAATAACGAACCGCCTTTCGTCCCCGAGCCGCTGAGGATAAGCACCGTCAAACAACCGCCATCACGTATCCCGTATCCGGATTCCACGTACGACTTGTATCAGGGAATCGGCCAAGGACCGTACCGCGAGTCGATAAATATTGGGTTCCAGCCGTATAACCCAGACAGCTACTACCAAGCACAACCGCAAGCACCAAATCCATCCCAACCGCAACCCGTACCCCAATTCCAGCCGCAATCACAACCTATGCCCCAATTCCAACCACAAACCCAGCAGCCGTATCCCGGACAGGCCGTGTCTCGGTACTCGCCACAGTACATCCCGCAACCGGGAGGTTTACCGCGAGCCGAAAGAGGTCCGGACGGAAGATACATGGGATGATGAGAAAAATATTCCCTTATTACTTTACAATAATACCACGGTCATTACTGCAGACACCCGACGGCGACATTTGATCGGAGCCGGGGTTCCCCCCGTCCGAAGTTTTCGGACGATGGCCCGCCCGAACAATGCGTCAAGCATAAAAACTAGAGATGACGTCCCGCCATCTGTCAAACCCAACCACATCTGTTTTTTCCTAGCTGTCGATTTATCACATCATGGGGGTCAAAGGTCGCCAGATACCACTGTACAATAACTCAATTTACCACGGCTAATGATGAACGCTCGAAATTGCAAGACAATCTGCTTTTCGTTTATGACAAGACTCACCCGCTTATTCCAGCGTTATTGGCAGCAAACAAATCTCCGCAAAGTGAGGCCTCGTGTTTCGTCCGACTCTGACAGGCGAGAGGGTTCCGGTCGGAGGTGACCCATTGTGTGGATTGAGGATTTGCGCGTGCTGAAACGGAGGGCGTGTCTGACCCCTGACCCGGTACAAAAATAGCCCTCGTGAAAAGTTTCCACGAGATTTGGTCATCGGGTGTGAAGATGATGTCCCGACGGAAGGAGAAGGCGAGTTTGATGCAGAGAGTATCTTTTCCCGAACGCACTTGCAATTTTTACTTGCTGATCGTATGCCAAGTTCTTGGACAGAATAGCTGTCATGACATACTGAGCCTGACCTATCACTCGGCAGATGATTTCACGCCCCGAGGAATTGACTCTTGGAAATAAAGAGCTTGGTTTCAATGGCCCTGGAGATCTGAAGGCCAAACTTCTGGAATTTGTGCATCTCGTTCCGAGGAGTCGTGGAGTTTACAGGTTCAATTTGTGATATGGTCCAATTGAGAATTGAAGTATGTTTGCTGTGATTGAGTTCCAACTATTACATTTACATGCGGCCGACTCTGACAGTTGCCTCGTACCTGTCAGAATGAATTAACTTCATGTCATCGATTCTTGCTCGGCCTTACTAGATAACGTTCCATATAAGTTCTATTCATTGCCTCAAAGGGATTCCATCTCTTTAATCAACTTTCCCGTGGCATCTGAAGTCATTGATGTCCGAGTCCCTTACTGTTGAAGTTGGAGGATATGTATCACCAAATGATTAATACCGACCGCTGCAGTCTGCGACGGGCTTTGGTTTTCTTGATATGCCCTGAGTAGCGCTTATTTCGGGTTGTTTGGTACATATATGCATCCATATTGATGATGTGAAGCGAATGGCAGCATCATGACCCGAAGCAGAAATTTGGCTTCTTGGGAGCTCTAAGAAACAGAACATCTTAAGATGTAAGAGTAAACTTGCTTATCAAAAGAAGAAATTTGATCTTTACAGACTGGTGCCGGACGCTTTATTAGGCGATGTCAAAGCAGGTTGGCCTAATCAACCAGTACAGGACCTTCAACGTCTAGGCTTCTCCCCCAAAGCTGGCTTGAATAAGCGTGAAGGACATGGCGTGTTGTCAAAATCCAGCTTTGCCGTGAATGGACGAGGACTACATGGACCAAAAGCCGGGCTCCTTGCCGCTGTGATCTGCCGTTGCGAGAGGCTCGGCCGCCTTCGGCCGTCGTCTCCGGCTGGGCTTTTCTTAGCGAGACTTCACCTCTCCAACCAGTGGGACAAAGAACCGAAGTACGGGGTCTCCAGAAACACCACATTCAACGGGACGGAGACCCCAGATTTGAATGTGTTTTGACCTCGTTGTATCCCGTATTACTTAGTATGGTTTCAACCTGTTGGGACCACGTTAAATCTAAGTCGACGAAGTCGCTGATGCTCTTTCCAATTCTCTCTTCAACTTTGCCTATTTTTCAGCTACCCTTAGACCTCCTTCACAATGCCCACTGGAGCTCGCCCGAGTTCACCAAAGCCCTCTATGAAAACTGTGGAGGACACGGTAGAAGCGGAAAACGGCAACGCCTTTTCTGGACCTATCAATTTCGAAGAATCCACCGAGGAAGAGAAGAAACTTGTTAGGAAGATTGATCTCTTCCTCATGCCAACCATATGGGCTGTGTATTTACTCAGCTACATGGTCAGTACTTGAACTCTATCTTTCACCTACATATCCTATTCTTCAGGTGACTTGATGTTCCGCATCATTTGGGAATGTAATAAAACTGATGGGCATACTGCGATATAGGACCGATCAAACATAGGCAATGCCCGCGTAGCCGGAATGGGCGATGCTCTCGGGATCACCGACAACACATACTATCTGGCCGTGGTCATCTTTCAAATCGGATATGTTCTAGCCGAGGTGCCCTGCAACATGATTCTGTCAAGGTCACGGCCGTCCAGGTTCATCCCAATCATAATGGTTATTTGGGGCGTCATCTGTGCCGCAACAGGCGCTGTGAAGAGCTGGGAACAACTCGTTGGGATTCGCCTCGTTCTCGGGATCTCAGAAGCGGGCTTCAGCGTAAGTCACAAGCATCATATCTTTTCCAAGCTACTGCTGTGTAAAATGGAAACTAACAGTTCTGTCGTCAGCCCGCGGTCATGTTCATCATATCGAGCTGGTATCGAAAGTCAGAGCAGTCGAAACGTTTCGTCGTTTTCCACAGCGCTGGGATTGCGTCTGGCGCGTTCGGTAGCATTCTTGCCGGTGCGATCACGGCAGGCATGGATGGAGCTCTGGGAATGGAGGGATGGCGATGGTTGTTTATAATTGAGGGCGTTGCTACGGTGGCATTTGCATTTGTCGTCCCGTTCGTTCTCCTCGACTACCCTCTCACGTCGAAACGCCTTACCCAAGACGAGCGTCTACTTGCCTACTCTCGCCTTCAAGCAGACGGCATCACAAGTCGAAATGATGATAATGAACAGCTTGGCCACTGGAAGGCGCTTTGCGTCGCGGTCACAAACTGGAGGATCGTCCCTCTGACACTGGGTTCTATGACAATCATCGGGTCCATGTCCCTTGCCTACTTCTACCCAACATTCACGGAGCTACTTGGATATAGTCGCCGAGACGCTCAGTAAGTCTTACAGCTCGGTATTTCCGATTCTTCCCAAAGCTAATCGGCACAATAGATATATGACGGCACCGATATACGGCGTAGCACTTGTAATCGCCATTGCCCTCTGCATCGTCGCGGACAAGCTGCCGGATTATCGCGCCATATTCAGCTCCGTTGTTCTATTCGTCTTCGGTACTTTATTCTGCGCACTTGCGGCGGGTATATTCACACCGGTTGCGAAGTACATGTTTCTCTGCTTCATCAATACCGCCGTCTGGGCTGGAAACTCGCTTTCACTCTCTTACACCAGCACTGTTCTCGGTGTTGTGGAGCCAGAAGTCAGGGCGATTTCTTTGGCTGTCGTCAACGGTTTCGCCAACTTGGCTCAAGTTTACGGAACGTACATCTTCACTGTCTCGAAACCTCCTCAGTATGTCTTTGGCTTTGCGATCTATTCAGCCATCTTCGCTGTCGGTGGAATCATCTACCTGGGGTCCTTCTTTGCTCTACGGAGATGGCCATACCAAGCTCGATGAAGTACTCATTTGCCAGGGACTCACAGTTCGTATTTCATCTGTGGCGTGTACATAGTTTAACAGATCTCTTGCTTTGTCAGATAGCTGCGATGACAATTTGGAGAAGTCGGTACATTGCCACATGATCGAAGGTCTATCGCCTGAGGCGACATGAAGTAGCGGAAATTGGATACCACACGTCTGTAATGCCAGATTCAAAATCCTCCCATAAATCTTTACAGCCCAAATTGACTTTCCCAATCAAAACCATTCCCCATTCCCGACTCCGCTTGACCATCCGCTGGGTATTGTATCAGATCGAAAGGATTGGCCATGAACATGGAGTCTATACTAGCCATTGAACTAGACACATCGAACTCCGGGCTTGTCGTAGGGCCCGCAGTAGTTCCCTCGGTCATCCTAGGAGTCGCCATCGCGCTGCCTTCTGCGGAGGTTGGCATCGAGTGTGCCATCATCTGCTCTAGACCGTTGCAAAGATGATATACCAAATGCTGCGGAGCGGCACTCTGGGCGCGCAACTCGCGCATGCATGTCTGGACCAGAGAAAGGGACTTGGACACGTCTACTGTGGCCAGCCCATGGAAGCTAGTCTTCGCCGCTTTGATGAGGAACACCGCAGCGAAGGTGATCATGCCATGAAAGTAGATCGGCATCCCGGCTAGAGCAGTACGCATGTCGTCGCGCTCCACCACTAGCTCAAGAACCGAAGTGGCCGAGGAGACTGCGAGCGAAGCGTATTCCCTCACATTCGAGGACGCAGCCGATACAGAATTCTCGGACATGCCCCGGAAGACGTATGAGCATAGATGGAGCCGTGCAAAGTGGTAATGAAGAATGGCGCCGTCTCGGGGGAACCATCCGATGAAAGGATTTCGTTCTACTCAAAGAGGTTAGTACAGATTTCCACGCTTAGTTGTGATGGATGTCTTCATGTTGGGAACGCACGCATCCGGTTTCCCCAGGCCATGTACCATCTGTCCAGCTCGGAAAAGTAACCGCGAAGCTGCTGGAGGAAATGCTCGGGCACTCCTTGGGTGGAATAGCTGCCGAAGATTTCTTTCACTTTGGATGTGATGTGATGCAGCGCCACCTGGCTTGTAATTCTTTTGTCTTTCTCGTTATCACCGTTGGCATGGATGAACGTTTCCCATTGCTGGTGAGGCTCTTCGGTGGCTGATATCAAAGCTGGTCGGCCGTATAGGATACTGGAATGGTGGTCCAAAACGTACAGAACATACCAGAGTCGCGCTTTCTCGATGTCGTCTGCTCGCTCTTTGCCAATACTTGTGTTGTTCACCACTGAGAAGTAGGCGATGTGGTAGTTCAGCCTAGCAGCAACCCGCACCGCATGTCCTATGAGAGTGTAAGAGACATTAGCGAGCCAGTATGCCCCAACAATCAGGCCACGAATATCGTCCGGGGAGTAGGATATAGAAAACATTCCGGCCGAGGCTAGCCTGAGGAATTCGGCATGGCAGACTTTGAACATGCCTGAGCCCTCTGGGTCGTGAAGAGCAGATACGGCGCATATTGCAGCTGTCAAGAGCGCCGAGCTCGAACGCAGCGCATCCAAGTCCTCATGCGGACACATGATGCCGTAGCAGAAATAGTCCAGTCGTGGCTTGAAGCGATGAAAGAGCTGCTGGGCAGCGGCATTGGAAATGGACCCTCGTGCGATAAAGTCGGTCGCAAATGGCTCTCTGCGGTCAACTGGCGTGTCTCCGTTGCGCAGGGATGGCAGCCTGGTGACTTCGTACAGAGAATCAATCGGGAGATTGTAGATGTTCGTGTTGGTGGCCTGAGGAGCCCCCGGTGAGGTGATTGGAGCAGGGAGAGAAGAGTCTTCGACGACATCTGTTGCTAAAACCTCGGCTTCATTGCCCGATTCATGTGTAGCAACAGCAGGACTTCTATACGAGGACAGCGGCGGTAACTCTGACGTGCGAAGAAGAACATTCACAGCCGTCTGCAGCTGTGCCACTTGTTTCATCATCTCAACACGCCATCTGTTCCCAGTCAGCGAGATGGTTACCCAACCATGGGAAGTGAATCCTTTACTTGTTACTATCCTCGGGTGACGAGTGAGGACTCTTTTCGACGTAGCACTTTGACCCCCTTGCGCGACATCTCTCGCATGGCGGCCCATCGTCTGATATCCGGCATTTGATCTATAGCTGCGTCAGCTCACTTGCATGAACTTTGCTCATCACAAACAAGCGCTTTTCTCACCTTGAGTGCTCTGCATACGTTACAGGCTCTCACCTGCCTGCCCACAGTAGAGACACGAGCTTGGTTGAGTGCCGTAGTCGGGGCCGTTGGTGACATGATTGGTAACTTCGACGAATGGTTTTGAGATGTCAGGAAAGGGTATGCTGCTCAAGACAGACTGATTGAGAGAGTAAAATCCCTTGACTTTAGCTCTTACTCCGCAAGTTGAAGCTCACAAGGATGCGTTTATGTAGAGGGATGAGTTTCACTGCGGGCGATCTTCCCCTCATCAGCCCTTTAGTTTATTTAACGCCCCCACACTGCTCCGCATCCCCCGCATCAAGGATGTCAGAGAGAAACGTGGAGGAGAGCCTGCCATGTCAGATGTTCGTGGAAGAACTGTGACGGGAGCGGCAAGAAAACAGCACATACGAAAGGACATCAGTCGCATTGATAACTACTGAAGAGCTGAGTCCAGCTACATCTTATTGTACGATAATAATGCCTGCGCTGAATACGGGTTCTCTACTGATCAAAGCTTATCTACTCGTGTAAGTCTTTCTCCAAAGCCGTCTCTGGCTTCTCTATGCGGTAGAGTACCTTTGCGGTATTGAGATACGCCTCATACTCGATGTCCTCGCTGCCACCAACATCACCGTGATAATGGCCCCCAGCAGCTCTTCCACGAGGATCAAATCCGTGGGAATGCTCCATGCGGAGGTCCATTGCCCTTCCAGGATCCGCCGAGTGCATGACGGTCATGCAGACGAGTGGTCCGTCAAACTCGTGATAAGTTAACCAGTCATTAAGCTGCTTGAAATCTTCAAAAGGTCGTCCTTGATCTGGGAAATCGGGCATGATATGATAGTAGGTCCTGCCCGTTTTGATAAGGAAGACGCCTCCTAGACTGATGGTTTGCGAATCGCCATAGGCCGCGTAGAGTGCCTTGCGGATGCACTCGGTGAAGCTCTTCTCTTGTCCCCTTCTTCCCCTCGCTGTCACCTTCAAGACGGGGCCTGGATCACCTCGAGAGCCAAAGAGATTGATCATCAGCGCGCAGTCTAGGCACGGACTCTCCTTGACCGTAACCTCACCGCTAGCTCGGTCGATTCCTGCATACCGGGTACCGTTGTTGATATCGGAATCAAAACCGTCTTCCCAGCTGATGTTCGGCGACAGCTCGCAGTTAACGCCAACATCTCTGAAAGGTCCGGCCCCTGCGCCGATGAGGCTGCCCTTTACAGCATCCATGTCCATGGCCTTTGCAATATCAATTAAGGACCAGACTGTATCCAGTTGAGGGATGGGAAAGAGGTTGGGCTGCCCTCCGACATCCCCGGCCCTTTCGTCACCGGACAGACCCTGGGTGGCGAGTTGGAATGGCGGCTGGCGGAGGTCTGGGCAGGGAACGACACAAACGGAGCTGTATTTGTAGTTGGCGAGTAGTGGGTCTCGAAGCTTCTCAGCCAATTCGTAGAGGCTTGGTGGTGATTGCGGAAATTTCAAAGTCTTCATGGTGCTGAATTGTTGTGGTTGTGAAGTTGCCGCGTGTTCCAGTTCTCCGGCAGCTCTTCGTCCTTCATCAAGTAATTTATCGATTGAATTTGGAGGTACTGACGGACTCGGAAGTTCTTCAGACTGAATGGAGGGCATCCTCTCCAAGTCTGGTATGGACCCATCACGGCATCTTCGGCCGAACTCGGCCGTGCCCTCCGTCCGGGACCCACACCTCTGACATTGACCCACAAAACACGGAGCTTCGCCGGTCATTTTCCGGACGCCACTTGCTGTAGCTCGAGGACGGCATTGCTTTCGCGGCATGAGACGGCTACCTTTTTGCGAGCATTTGATGTTCCAAGTAGATAAGATTTTGTTGAACCAAACAAATATAAGTCTCCCCACTGAGGAAGTCTACACCAATATTTCCGCGTAGAAACATTGATGACTACCACGCACGCCACTTCTACTCTGCTCGAGCATCAATCAAGTCTTACAACATGAGATCCATACCCGTAACTTCATCTCCTCCTGTTCCGGAAGTCTTTCCAATCTACCCTGACTTGGAAGGCAAAGTAGCCCTCATTACCGGCATTGGCCAGGTCGGCCCGCTGGACAGTCCCTCCTGGGGCAACGGAGCCTCTACCGCCCGCTTGCTTGCCCGTAATGGCGTTTTCATTTACGGCTGCGATCTTGACCTGACTGTGGCCGAGAGAACGAAGCAACGCCTACTGGAAGAGACTCCCAAAGCCGTGGTTGATGTCGTCGCAGCCAACGTCACTAATCTGGCTGATGTTGAGGCGTTGGTTACTGGCATCATGCAGAAGCATGGTCGCATCGACATCTTAGTCAACAATGTCGGCTGCACGACCCCTGGCAACCCAGCGACAATGACGGAGGAGACGTGGAACCAGCAAATGGACATCAACCTGACTTCGGTCTACCGCCTCTGTCACTACGTATTGCCAATCATGCAGAAGCAAAAGTCTGGCAGCATCATCAACAACGGTTCCATTGCCGCACTCCGATACTTGGGGAAGCACCAGATTGCCTACGCCGCTGCCAAAGCTGCCGTCATTCGCTTCACCAAGGCAATCGGCGTCATGTACGGCAAAGAGAACATCCGCTCGAACTGCGTGGTGCCGGGCATGATGTATACGCCTCTTGTGGACCATTTCGCCCACAGCGACAAGCCTGAGGACCAGGAAGCTGCTAAGAGGATGGTCGATCACAACTGCCCGATGGGATGGATGGGAACTGGTCATGATGTGGGGAACGCGGTTGTTTGGCTGGCAAGTGGTGCAAGCAGATACGTGAACTCTCATGAGCTCATCGTTGACGGAGGTATTACGGAACATACCGGCATGGGTTATAATCTCTCAGCATGAGCATCGCAGTAAACTTCATCACACTGTACTATCCGCGGGGATACATGTATGGTTTACTGATGGTTGGCCAACAGGTGCTGAGAGCGATGATTTGCATAAGCTCATGTTGGAGGACGTCGTCGGCTTGGGAGCCTCAACTGTCACATACGTCCAAAGAGTGATGAAGGTGTAGGGTACCAATTTACAAAAATTTGAAAATATAGCCCAAGGACTCGCAAACTTAGTCGCAGCCACCGAACGCAACAGCCTGCCCGGATTCTACAGTGACCCGGACTTCTTCAGCGAGATAATGGCAAGCGGTGATGTAAGCACCTTACAGAGACATTTGCCTTTGTTTTTACCGGAGCCTGATGGTTTGCTCGGCGGCATTTTTCGGATTAAAATGGCTATTCTTGATTCTCGTCCTCACCGAACAATGCTCAAGAAACCTTACTACGAGAGAGATCGCAAACGGGCTGGAAATTGGGAGTGAAGGCCAAATATATCGGGACTGTTTGGTACATGTAGTATCCAGATTTTCTAAATCTTAAAGCTGGAATGAATCGACATATCAAAACGGCTAGTGAAATAGAGTCACTCTTGCTCCGAGGGCTGAAGGGACCGGTCCATCAAGGTGACGGGCCCAGGGATGGTGGGTTTTAGATGAGACAGCGTCTTTATAAAACTAAACTCCGCCCTAGTAGTTACTGTCCCAGGATACAAACAGAGAGTACCTGTAGATGTAGAAATGAAGAACCTCGTCCTTCCTCCAGCGATCTATTGAGGTCAAATCGGTAGCCATAGAACACACTCCTGTAAAACTTTGGCTTATCAAAGATATGACTCATTGGATAGCCACGGGAGCAGATTCTGAAGAAATAAGGCTTCAGAGTCCATGGCCAACATGAAACTCTGTTCGACAGACAGATTGCGTTACGAGAAAACCTTTAAAAAGTCGCGTTACATGGAAAAGCTTGAAAGATCGCGTAACGGAGAAAGGTTTGAAGAAACGCCACCCGATATTCTTATAAATACATTCCTTCTGCCCACCGGGACTTGTGATTTCCTCTGGCTTTCATCACTCAAAATCAGAATCTCTCCAAAATCACAAGTTTACAATCTACCACACCGCTTTTCACCATTGAAAGCACTATCACGAACAATGGCGAACCAGCAAGCCAACACCACTCAGTTCACCACTGCATCTTCTGTGGACCAACTTCAGAAAATCGGCGCAGGCCATTGCGGTTCCGTTTGGGCCGTTGCTCCGACCACCCAACCATGCAATTCCTCGACAACTCCAGCCCTGGTCATCAAAAGGGAAGACTGTGGCGAAGGTCGATCAATCACTCACGAGTATGACATGCATCTACACATCATCAAGAGTCTTCAAACGCCTCGCGTACCAGAGGTTTTCCGGAAGCTTCGAGTCAACATTCCACGATGCGAAGGGTTCCTCAGTAACGATGCATCCGTCTGGCCTCAAGTCCTGCCGAGGCTTCCCAAGAATCACACCTCATGCAACGCACTCATCAGCGAGAAGATTCCACCGATGCCTCGCCACATCCGCAAACTTTTGGCCACAACTCTAGGCTTTGGGACCGACCCAGACGCCGTTGCTGATGACGCAAGCAACTCACATTGTCTCGTCCGGCCTTATATGGGCCGCCGAAAGAACAACCACGACACCTACCAGAACCGGCCAACGAGTTTCAGATTCTACAGTCTCAGGAACTTACCACTTTCTGTTGACATCATGGAGGGTCTCGGTTTGGATCTTGACAGTTACGCTTTGGCAATGGCAGACGCTCTCGCCTTTCTGTACTGGACTGCCAAGGTCGATGCAAACGACGTCGAGTTTGCGCTGGCGCAACATCGGGAATCCGCCTTCGAAACCAATCAACCCGTTGCACCGAGCTTGGGAATCACGAGCTTTTACTCGGAAGCCTTCGGATCACACAGCATGTGGATACTAGATTTTGACTGCTGTCGAGAAATGACCATGGACGAAGCTGGCATCAGACAAGCTTGCAGAAGCTTCTGGCGAAATGACCCTTACTACCCGCGCCCATCGCGCCCAGGCAGCAACGGCGACCCTGAAGACCAAAGACTCTGGGGTGTTTTCCAAGACCGGTTCTTGGAGACGAGCGACCGGCTCCTTCAAGATGAGGAGGACAGTGTCAGACAGCTCCCGAGACAGCTTGTCAATTTGATCCTGCAAACAAAGGGAATGTTCAATAAGGGAACCGAATTCTGGTAGACCACATGATATATGAAAAGATGAGGGAGTTAGTAGATACATGTAGCATCGCAAGCACACAATTCATGTTTTCAAAGCTCTTGATTATTACATCCTCACTAGCAACATGATGGGCCTGCTTGGGAGAGGGCTGGTGGAGGGTTTGTAGATGTTGGTGCTTTTGTGTCATCATTCGTGTCGTAGCTGTCATGACAGCAGATATTCTGGTTCAAGAGGAACTATTAAACATGTCAGGACTGCAGCTGTGGGCTAAGAAGGCGCACTTCATAGTAACCGCGTAACTTTCCTGCTGCTGTTTCCGTGATCCCACCGGAGCTGTGGCTTTGCGGGACTGCGCTTGTTCCACGAAATGGCCTCTGACAAATAGCAACGGTTCTCAAGTCCAATAAAAGTCAATGCAGCTCGATGCGCCTTTTAAATCCGAAAAAAAACATACATATTTGAATCCGCTTCGGCCAAAACGTCGTGGGTGAAGTTGTCCGCGGGTTGCCGCACGACGCTGGGGCACAGCAATTAATAAGCGCCCAGACCACAACTCGGGGTAATAGACGTGCATGTCGGTCGGATAGTTGGCGGCGTGAACAATTCTGAAAAGTCCGACGAAACTGAAACTGGCTGTTTGTCATCCACACATGAAGCAACCAGTCCACGATGTCCGAATGATCTCGCCGTTGCCTTCGTAAAGATACCCCGAGAACCTCACTTATTAATTGCAGCTGCACGGATGCTTCACCACAACATCTGTATAAATAACACATGCCTTGACCTATTACGAGACTCAAATAACCCAGTGTCGATTACTCTTCACAACTGCTACATTTTCGATTGAAAAAAAAATCACATTATGACTGAGACTGTCCTTGTTTTTGGTGCCTCTGGCAATGTCGGCGTGGCCGCTATCATCGCGGCGCTCCGGAGCAACCGCAAGGTCATTGCCGTGGTGCGAAGCCAGGCCAGCGCCCAAAAGATCTTTGATTACATCGGCAGCCGGGATGGAATCACAGTGGTGGAGGCCGACGTCACCTCGGAGGACTCCGTTCGAGAGGTTGTGGACCAAGTTCGCGAGGGAAAGTTGCCCCCTTTCCAGCACGTTTGGGCTTCACGTAAGTAGACCTTCGTTGGCGTATTGCCGCCGAACTCAAGCTGATCGTGCTTTAGCTGGAGGCCTTTACTGGGATACGCCAATCCTAGAACTCGATGTTCCTTCCATCCGCGAAGCCATGAAGGTCAACTTTGAGTCCTACATCGGTGAGTAATAGCACACGACGTCTGATCTCGGGATCTTGCTAATATCATCACCAGTTGCCTACCGTGCTACTGTGCCTTACCTGCTGGAGCAAGGTGTCGCCGACAGCAGCTGGACAATGTGCACCGGGGCACAAGGCGACGTGGGCATGCGCGCAGCTCCTGCAATGACCCAAGGTGCACTCTTCAGCTTCGCTATCGCTGCCGCTCGCGAGAATGAAAAAACCAACATCCGATTCAACGAGCTTTACCTAGCTTACCGGGTGCAGTTTGAGGTGGACAACGCCTCGCAGTTTGCCGGGTATCACATCACTACCACTTCAGAGTTCGCACCGTTGTATGAGAAGATTCTCGACAGAAAGGATGTGAGAGGCAGTCGGGTCAAGGCGATGTCTCCTGAGGATGTAAAGAATTTGAGCTATGAGAAGAAGTACTGATGACAATCAAGGGAGACGGACAGGCAATCATCTTGATCGTTGTCGGACAGAACATTGAAGTTGGGTGATCAGAGAGACATAAATACTTCGACTTTGTTCTAAGAGTACACTGAGTATTAATAGAGTCTACTTCGGGTGAATCTTTCCGTATTTGGTCAGTGTTCTTCGGGAATGTTAAGCTCTCGGCTATGACGTTCGCCGGCTGGACTCTGGATGATGCCCGAACGGACCGTTATCTCAAACCGCAAGCCGACCGGTATTCTCCAACGGACTTAAAACGGTCGTCCTCCAGGACCCTTCATACCAACCACATGGTACAATTATTCACAATATTTAACCCATCATGTCTACTTTCGTCAAGACTCTTCCACGAAGCATTCTGGTTTTTGGCGCGTCGGGACATATCGGCCATCCGCTGGCTAGGTTCCTGACGCGAGAAGCGCCTGAGATCAAGTTGCGTCTCGCAACAAGCAGCTCATCCAAGATAGAGCAACTTCGGGCGGCTTTTCCTCATGCCGAGGTTGTGCAGGCCAACTATCATGATCCGGAATCCCTCGTTCAAGCAGTCGACGGAATGGATGGTGTTTTCGTCGTTACACCGCCGGGACTAGTTGAGGAGAAGCCAATGACGGATCTAGTCGCGGCACTCAAGCAATCAGACAGTGCAATTCACATCATACGCCTGATGGGTCTGTTTCCAGAGTTTCCATCGTCGCGCATACCCCCTGAGCTCGGCCGCGGATCGCTCCCCGTAGAGCATCGCATCGCAAAAGAAGTGTTGGATGAAAGCGGGCTCCCCATCACATACGTCAATTGCGGAGCTACTTTTATGGACAACCTATCGATCTTGATGCGATCAGTGTTGGCGAAGAAAACCCTCATTTGGCCGGAACACCGAGTACCTTTCCTAGACCCGAGGGATATTGCTGAGGTTGTCGGGAGACTTTTGTTATCAAACAACGCGAAACACATCGGCGCATTTCACACCATGAACAACGGGCATGACCTGCTCACTTTCAAAGAGGTGGCTGGAGTTATTTCTGAGGTTTTCGACGAGCCAATGGGCTACGACGGCAGCTTTGAGAGCTTTTCGGGGTTTTACGGCACCGTGATGGGGCCTCCTTTGGTAAACATGTTGTGGGACTTCTTCAAGTTCGAGGAGGCGAACGAGGAGATATGGGCTCTGAATAACTTCGTTGAAAGGCTCATCGGCAGGAAACCCATTACGGTCAAGGAATGGTTGTTAGAACACAAAGAAGAGTTGCAGCGAGGAGGCGGAGATCTTGGGTGGGCTGCACGAGGATTGGATAAGCTCTAGCAACATACTTGAATGAAATTGGAATTGAATTGTTTAGGCTCAAAATGCATTCAGCTTCAGTTTCTCGCGGCTTTTTCGACTCCTTACATCGCCGTACTCCGCGCCGGTTCGGCCGGTCTCCACCCTGCCCCGAAGTTCGGGGCCCGCATGCCAAGCGCACTACCACTTGGATCCGGATGATGTCTCGGACCAGCGCGGGCCAAAGAGAGCGATGGAGGTGCCGCCGGACATTCCGTCACCAATTCCCATCGCAGTCGAGACATCGCACCGAAAAGAGGTGAGACACTGAAGAAATGAGGGGAATGCTGGCTCAAATCGTCAGTCTTGGCACGGCGTCTTTCCAACCTAACGGCCAAGGAAACTCATGCTTTCCACGCGTGATTCCACAGGCACTCGTGCCAGTCATTGTTATTTCTCAGGGACGAAAGAGACGCGTAAGTTTCTCGCGGTACTTGGGAGTTCTAGAGGCCCATGATCTTGGCACCGGTTCTTTGAGGTTTTCTTCCCGGGATACCGGCACTGATTCTGTAGGCTGTTTTCGGCTAGTCGATGAGTGTGCCCGCTGGTCCCAACTCTCAATTCAGCGGCAAGATAGAAGCTCTCAGAAGTCTAGCAGCTCGAAGGCTCGCTTAGTAGAAATATAAAAGCTGTGGCTTTTGGGCAATGGCGCTAGGAGTATTGATGGCTCGGTTATGACGTGCGGCTCATCGCCGGGGGCCACGGGGTGAACTGCCGTCGACCGCAAACAAACGGACTTGTAGCCACGTTCTACAAACTACGAATCCAGCCTCGCGATCCGCGTGGAACCTGATCAAGCTAGCTCACCGTGAGTGATAAGATCCCCTGCAAGATGCTCGTTCGATAAACCCCGCAGGACGTTGGGCGAAGACCCAAGAGCTTGGTACGGCCGCATTCGGCGTTGGACTGGTTCTTAGTCCCTCTTCAATATGACTTTCGTTGTCCACCTCCATGGCTTTTAAGATTCCTTCGCCGTGACCTTTCCTCTTCCGGTCTGCACTGCCTGCCGAAATCTCGGCCGAGATGCGACCCAGAGTGCTGGAACTGCGTCCCAGCCCAAGATGGAAGAGCGCCCCGAGAATCCGGTCTTCGGTCGGTCGATGCCTGCTAGATGGTTCCTAAGCCACGCGCTTCTAGCCACTGCCGTGCAAACTTGGTGCACTTCTGGCCGTGCGCCTCCACGGCGGGCTCCGTGGGCCTTGTTATCGAAGCCAATTCCATGAATCCCGTATCGAAAGTGATGAAGTTCCGAGTCGTATAAGTAACTACAATGATTCCCATGATTGAAAACGATTAATCCTCAGGCTCAACCAGCAACGATCTTCATTCCAGACAACAACTCCAAGATCAGACAATCTCGGTCCCAGTCAGTCAATATGCGCTTCTCAGTCCTCGCAACTGCGCTCTTCGCCGCCGGCGCCGCGCTCGCCCAGCGTTCCCCAAAGCCTTCATTGGCCGGGGGAGTCTACACCATCAACGGTGCAAACTACAAGAACAGAGCCTTCTTCGACTTCAGTACTCTGAAGAAGGGAGCTGCCATTCCCAAGGGGTTGATTGTCAGCGGCTACAAGGTTGCAAACACCCACAAGTACGAAGTCGCCAACTCGTTCATCCAAGACGGTTATCTCACCCTGCGAGTCCCCGGTAATCAGGCAGCAAAGCCTTTCAAGAGTGCTGAGGTTGTCACGCAAGTGACAAACATCAAATACGCCTCGGTCAGGACTGTTGCTATTCTTGCCGATCCTCCCGGAGTCTGCAATGGTTAGTCTTTATGAATACTTCCTTTGAAACACAGCATCGTGCTAACAAGCGTGCAGGAATGTTCTTCTACAAGAATGACAACCAGGAGAGTGACATCGAGTGGCTCTCTGACTCGTTGACCCAGAGCAACAACGGTCGAGGCAACACCCGCAAGATCTGGTTCGCGAACCAGGATGCGGACGGCGATGGACAAAAGACTTGGACCGCAGTCGCAGCCCCGGCCAACCCCACTGCTACCGAGCACGAGTACCGTATCGACTGGGTGGCCGCGGCCGGTGGATCGCCAGCCATGGTCAAGTTCTACCTCGACGGCCAGGAATCGTGGCGAACGACCAAGGACGTTCCGACGGTTGCGGGACCCTGGGTTTTCAACAACTGGGCCAACGGTGACAAGGGATGGAGCTGTGGGCCTCCTGGAAAGGATGCCGACTTCAAGATCAAGGAGATCGACATCTACTACAACACTGCCTGAAGAAAGAAAGGGGAGCGAGATGTTGACGATCAACGACCTCCAAATCATTACTTACGACTTACGCATAATACTTAATGACGAAACATACGAACAGGGTGATCATAATGGAAGGAAAACGACATATTTTGAGCATGGGCAACATGCCGGTCTCTCGGCGAAGCCCGGCCCCGCTTTGACGGGCGAACGCAACATAATGAAGGAACAGGCAAATAATCCTAATGTAGTATCATAGTCTTTCAGACATGGCACATAATCCTGAAATAATCAGAGCGACATCTGACCATTCCTGCCTCGTACCTCAATACGCAGTGATGCCCTCTGTTATTCGGCTGCCGCCGGTATCCGACCCACTCCACCCGGATCGATGGCCCCACATCTGGCCCCGGATCCCCGGAGTTGCCCCGCCAAGTTTCTATCATCACCGCTTCTGCTTTAATAGTTCATGCCAGTACCGTCACCGTCATGACGATTTCATGCAGGTAGTAAGTGACGATAAAAAATGCAGCGCATGAAAAAGGGCAGAAATAGAATAGTCAAATTCGTCACACTTAAGACGATATGGCTAGCAGCGGATGATGATGTTGAAGACGCGGCGAAGCAGAGCATCTTCAAATGGTGCTACTTAACACACAGTATTTATCAAAAGTTTTATACTAGAGTTTAGCAGTGTAGTGAACAAGAGTTTGCAAATCAAATTAGGGAAACGAATATGAGGATGCTTGACAATTCTCGCAAACGAGATGCGTCCAACATCATCTTCTGCTTAGCTAGACTAATCACGTCTAAGCCCTTGTTCTCAGGCGTGATTTTGAGGGGAAAATCTCCACGTGCAAGCCGTATGTTCTCATGACTGAGCGCAAAGTCCGTTGTTTGGGTCGGAACTGTGGCACATGCCATTATCGTGAGTCTCTGATCATTCTTAGTCTCGTCCCTTGGGCACTCACGTGAATTTCCACTCGTTGGTCTCTTTAGAACCTCCCAGGTCACATCCGATCTCGGCGTAGAGTTTTTCGGTACATTCTTGCTCAGTAAGAATACTGTCGGTTGATCCCATCCACTCGACTCCAAAGTCCACCTTCTTGCTGAGCCATATCAGTACTACTTGTCAAGTTGGGTTCAGACAGGTCCTACTCGATCGTTTTCCCGTCAATCAGTAGATTGCTACATCGACTTCTCTTGTCTCCGGAGTGGCTGGAAGTTTATTAGCGCTGCAAAATGTCACAATCCTGTTCAGCGAGACTTACTAGTTGCCGCTTAGTCCCTCCGTAGTCGTGTCGTTGCACCAGTACCGAACAGCACCCCTAGCAGACTCCTGCGCATCACTCCAACCTGTGCCGGTGAGATAGCATGCTGCAAAGGAGTGCCCGATGAGTGATGCGGTGACAGCGAGGATCTTTTGGAAATGCATTCTTGGGTGTAAGTTGAAGCAGTCGATGCCCACAGATGGTCCGAATTGATTTTAAAGTGGTGCTGCGACTTACGCCCTTCTTTATACACGGCGGTTTCAGTGCAGATATTTAATAAAGTCTCACCTGGCCCCAAATCTCACCTTTTTGGTGTTCAGTTGCGCCGACGGTAGTCGTGTAGCTGTGAGTCAGCTGTGAGTGGCCAAGATTCGAATCACTAAACGTCGTTAGCGAGAGTGTATTACGACACTGAGAGGTCTACAATTACGCATGACCTCTCACAATATAGATCACGATGTCGACCCTGAGTCTTGCGATGGGGACGACCGGACTGTTTTCAACGTTTTTAACGCACTCCTCTGTTTATCAATATCCTTTTCGTTCCCAACATCTTAGTTATGTATTGATATTCTGTCATGATCCTCCAACTTTCTCATGGTAATCCCATCCGCATTGATAACATATTATGAAGAAATGAACAGCATCGTCGTCGCTACCATGCAGTATGTCCCCCATCAACCTTAATGTCTGACCCTGTCATGAAACTGCTTGCGTCGCTCAGAAGAAACACAATTGCCCCTCTGTACTCATGAGCTTCACTCAGTCTCATCAGCATGTTATCCTCCATCCATTTCTTCTCGATCTCAGGATCCTTCAGGGAAGCTTCCGACATCCGGGTTCTGATATACCCTGGCGACACGGTGTTGACACGGATGAGTGGAATGCCGGCTCGACTTCCCCACTCGGCCGCCAGCGATCGAGCCATCTGAACCACGGCCGACTTGGAAGAATTGTACGCTGCTGTGTCGAGTCCCTAAACCATGAGTGAGTACGAGACACAGTCAGTCACGATTTTGATAAATATGCTTACTTTGTTACTGATATGTCCGCTCATACTGGCGATGAAAACAATACTTCCCGGGGCTCCTTGTTGTTGGAACTCTCGGGAAGCAGCCTGAGCACATATGAGGCTCCCCGTCACATTGACCTCGAGTATTCGCTTTGCTTTATCGATCGGGAAGTCAATGGTTGCGCCATCACCAGAGATGCCGGCACAGGCCACCATGCCTCGGAAAGGAAACCGAATGCCCTCCATAGATGTCTTGAATACATGTCGAACGTTCTCCTCGTTGGTCACATCACACTGGTAGTACCATGCGCGTGTTCCGTACTTCTTTGACGCGGCGAGAACGGTGCCTAATGACACATAGGATTGTAAGACCGTGGTCAGCATTCTGGGCCTTTCAAGAGTCGCACTTACGCCATGGCACTTCCAGCGGTTTCTCTTGGCGGTCTTTGCAAATTGCGTCGCCGCCGCTTTCGAGGACAGCACGAGCAGCTTCCAGGCCCACTGCACCTCCACCGCCAGTGACTAGAACTATTAGAACTTGCTATGAAAGGTACCAGAATGTCCCTACTTAGTACCGTCCTCCCATCGATTCTGAACAGATCAGGAGTTGGCGTTGTTGCATGGGCAAGAGATGGTTTTGTTTCTCTGTGGTTGACAGACATGGTGCGTATCATGAAGAATGAAAGTAGAGGGAATCGAAGGAGAACGTATCTGTAAGTATTCTTGCCTTTATCTCTTCCAGGAGCAAATGCGGCGTCGAACTCCTGGTCGGCTTTCGCAGAGACTGAAACCCGGATGGAGAGATTGTTGGCAAAGGACTGCATGCAGCCACAAAGCCGAGTCATCATGATTTCAATCAGAAGCAAGCAGAAAGCATAGCACGATCACGATCCGGATCGCCCGACTATTAATCGCTCTTAAGTGTTACGGTGTGTTATATGTGTTCTCATACCGTTTTGGATGTAAGCAGGAGATATTAATGGCGATTGATCCAACATTTGAAGCCAACTTGGGGCCTATTGGGTAGTGTAGAGATAAGGGCGACAGGCTGCATGAATTACAATATGTTTCTATGAAGAGCCCCTTTGGTGGGACAGACTGCGTAGGCCTCAAACTCTGAGCACCACTGCGATGGCTTTCATTCCCGCATCAAGCCCAAATGGACATTAAATACCCGGCTGTTGTACCAGTTCTTCCCGTGAAATTTCCCACCTATCGTATCTGTTGTCGGTGTTTCTTCCCGCGCAGCCATGCATTAGCCAAATCAGTATCCGGGACGATATGAATGAATGGCGAGTAGTAGTTTCAGAAACAGAACATTGCGCTCTTGAGTGCTGTGGTTTGGCGACTCTCAGCTCAGGTAGAATAGAAGACTCAGGTCGGTTTAGACATGGGGTTCCATTGACGTGGCGGGTGTTCCCGGTGAAGCCGTCGCGGCTGGGAAGGGTGCTAGAAGTGTGGAAAAGACCCTATGAGCAAAGATTACCTAGAAGATTCCAGATTTTTCGTTTTGATCTTGATGTTATCCTTTTGCTCTATTCGGAGGCGTTCTTAATAAATTTTCTCGGTGGCTGATCGTAGCGTACACACGCGGCACAGTTGTACGGCTGGAGTGGCCACTGAGTAGTGGCTGTTGATCCTCCGGCGCCTCAGTCGTCATTGTCCCTTCATCAACAAGTTTTCGTCGGATTCGCTTTTTCCACATCAGGGCACGACATGTCGCAACCGTTCTTAACCCATCCCGAGAAGCCATAAGCGAGCTTGCAGAAGGCGATCGTGAGAAAGCAGGCGAGTAGGATAGCCAATCCCCAGAGGAAGAGCAGGCCGACCCAACCAAGGCAATTGAGCAAAAGATAGAAGGACTTCTCGAGTGACACCTCCACCGTTTCATTTGTGTCTGCGAGGTTCATCTTTGTCGATCCGGAACGAGTGTTGACTCAAGTTGCTGGGAGGAGGTGTGTAGCGGGGATGGAAGAATTTCCACACAGGAGGGGAGTGTTCTGCACCTTATATAGACCAACAGATCCTGAAAGAGAACGTATAAAGCTACGTATGTCCGAAACCAGTGCTTAACTTTAGTACTATTGCGATGATACATGAAAAGCTGGCATCTTTTCGAATTTCAAGCAAGCCGCACAGGGTAGAATGTGCTCTTTCGCGCCACACTGAAGCCACGTAAATCCTGGACATCGAGGTATCCTCTGGCCAAGCTGCCTACATCCACCTTGCCGTTATTCCAAGCAGATAGCCCTCTGAGCCCTGAAATATTGTCCAAGCCGAGGCGAAGGCCACTGATGAATGGCGTTCCGGGATGAATGTGACGATAGAGACAACCGATAGCGTCAGTCTATGTTATATTTAAGCAGACTACTGTTTCATTCTCTGTTTTCCGACTTATTAGTGAACTGAGTTTTCCGACCGATTTGCAGTTACTATTCGTAATCGACACTGCTATGTACCATAATTTGATTCCATCAACTAATGCGACTGTAGCTCATTGCCCAAGTCGTCGTCAGTTCATGGCTCTTACTGCGTGTCTCATGTGGCTTCGGCGTTCCCAATCGTCCCCAGTTCAGCATCTCTCCCCATCAACATCACGATCCGAATTGGAGCAGTTTTTCATGATCATTCATTGATTCCGCGGACGATGAGCAGGCGCGGTCTGAAAACCAAGAAAGAATGGTTATAAGACCTGTTTCCTTGCCCGCGTTTGGAAGAAAAGACGGAAAGGATTACAATGAGTAGACATCAACTTGACTAGAGACTACAAGAAGCCCATTCCACCGTCCAGAATCTTGATCGAGGTTCATGGTGATTACATTAGTCTCTTCATCTCTGGCAAGCAAATGACAGAATACTGACTATGGCCGCTCCAACTCGACGTTTTAGTCACAACTGGTTCTATTGATGTTTGCCACTACTCAAAGTTTCCAGATCATCTCAAGATCATTCCCTTCATGCGAATTGTTGTTTAGGATATGGTATGCCCCTTTACCATCTTCTACAGAGCCCTGGTTCCGAGGTTGTGCTGCCAATTTGACATTCCCACCCAAGAGATATCATTGACAGTCCTCTTTGCAATTGCGGCATGAGCAGCAGCACCGGAGCTTGAAGAACATTGGTTACTGTTGAGAGGCCGAGGGTTACGAAAGGTTTTGACTCACCCGTTTCTCATGAGAGACTCACGCATGCGTTTGGTGGGTTGGCGGGTTTGTCTGCGTTGACTCTGCCTTTCCGTTCCGCATCTTCGTATCACTCTCTTGGGTTGACGTATGTGTTTCCGTCTCATGATCGATTTTTTCTACTATGCCGAACGATTCCAAGATGCCAAATGTTATGACAAACGGGCTCAGCGCAAGCAGTATGATAAATATACTGATCAGAACCCACACGGCCAGCAATGCACACCACGAGCCCACATACAGAATCGCACTCCAGATGGAACTTGCTATATGACATACAAGGCCGCCGATGAACTCTGCTACAGATGAGATAAAGAATATGGTAAACGCCCAAGCTGCGTCAAGGACTGGAGTGGTAGATGCTGCTGCCGACATGGCGATGATGACGCAGGGTTCCAGTGGTCTGTGAGAGAAAACTTGGTTTCAAGTCGCCAGGATCGGTCCTAATTTACTCGTTGACTAAACCTGTGCTGTGTAGTAGCAAGATGAACCTTACGAGAAAGAGGAACGAGAGGCTGCAATGTCTCTTGGAAGGTTGAGGCGCATGTGATGGCGAAGAAATTGAGGTGTGCGAAAGCCAAGTTGATATCAACAACAGGCCACTGCTTTCTAGCCATTTATACTCAGGGAGCCTTTCGGTCTTGCCATGCAAGTTATGCTTCAAGTTATCAAGGTCGAAGAAAGGTTCTTCACGACATGGCGCATCTTCGGCAACTCCGACACCCCGATGTCTGGTCACATTTATAAGAACTTCGCGCCTTAAGCCACATCTATTCCACACAATTTCATTAAGGCTGCTGATGCCTTGCATCTTTTCTATCCCTGTCTCAACCTTATGACACGGCCAGAGGTGCTGTCCCCTGCCCTCTTTTCTTGACACGATCTATGATTTGACTTCATCTGGATTTTCCGTTGACATTTCATCTTTTCTTGCCCTTTTCAAACGCGTCATGTGCCGAGAACGAACTACCAAACAGGGGCTTTCTCTCGTAAGACGTGATGGTACTGTAAAGGTTTTCTGGGATGGATTAGTACACCAGGCGCAGGATAGGTCATCTTGAAAGAAGATGACTTACAGTTCCGACGCGCCTTCTAATCTGTCAGATTGTGAAGTTGTAAATTGACAGCCCGCTCCAGAAGTTCAGTCTTATCTTTCGCGGCCTTCAGCGAAACCGTTCATTTCCACAGGCTGAGCCTCTTCGTCCTGGCTCGGGCTATTCAGCTCTCCCCGGCAAAATCTCACCAAACCCACCACCGCTGCAAGCAAGCCCAAGACGATAAGAGCCCAGATGAGAATGAGGCCTGACCAACCAATGGCCTGACATACGAGATAGAAGGTAAATGTCCAGGCGTGTTTGAGCCGTGAGCCTTCGTCTACTATTGTCGGGAAGTCTTGATTAAATGGCGGATAGGGTTGAGGTGTTGATATTTTGACGCGTCGAATCTTGTGAGAGTTGTTTGGGGGTGAGGAAATGAGATTACGATAAGCCCATGCGGCGATATTTTATTGCTTCTTATTGTCTTCCGGTGAAGGCTGTGAACTCTCTCAAGGTATAAATCATCCACCACCAAGATGTACTCCGATGCAAGTTTTGAAAACTAGGTTTGAATACTACATGTGCGTAAGCGACGGCGTAGCGGAGAGGCCGAGAGTAACAAAACAACCTTGTTGGAAACCGCTCCAACTGAAAGAATTCATCCGAAGCTCAAGAAGTCGAATCTTTAGATTCGTTACCTCTGCCTTCCCAGACATCGCGTGCTTGATATGTGCGAAAATTGAGAACTCTTCCGCACTGCCGTGATCGGCCCATTTCCAGTCGTGACTGACGATAACGATATCCCAACGCTCCCTAGTCTTATGATTCTTCGCCACCTTGCTGCTTTTCCTGGATTGAATTCCTAATTATTTTCAGGCTCGCCGTATTTGCGATGTCGCAGAACCTTCAGGAGCAGAAATTGGAATGCCAGTGACCTCGATAGGACCCATCTCCAAGCTCTCTGTCGGATTTTGGTAGCTCTCCCTCATCCGACTCGCACAAGAACGAAAGACTGGTATGAGTACGATGGCCGAGTAAAAGACGATGAATACAACAGTGACACCAGCTATTGTGGCGCATAGGAGTACACCGAAGACGAGGGTAGTCCACACGAGGACGTACCTCATGAACTCTGCGAAACTGAGCATGTTGGTGTCGAAGGGGCCGCTTTGGATCGTTGAAAGGTACGTTTCGGTTTTCTTTGCTTGTGGGTTGTGGGTTCTCGATGGCTTTCTTGCAAAGAAGAATAAGTCGTGTGAAACGTCTCCTCGCTGCTCAAGTGTGAAGGGAGGAGAGATCGTTTTTATTGTTGACAAGTCTTTCTCCTTTGGTATGAAGCACACACATGATCCGTTCCTCGTTCAAACTATAAGATACTTAGAAAGGCTCCTTATCCTACTTTGGTAGAGCTTTGCGAATATGTTTACGTTTCTCGTGGGTATGCTTCTCACCAAGTACACGTGAAAGCTTTATCGAAGCTTGGGTATAGCACTTGGCCACATGAAGTACATGATGTATTTTCTTCTTTTTCTGACTCTTGTGAACCATTGAACCTATATTTCAGGCCAGACGTAATCCTCCACAAATTCCATCCACTTCCATAGAAGCCTGGTGCTATCCATACATGTCTGTCTCCAAGTACGCACCCCCTCAAACGGCTTGCAACGAACAGATGGCCGCGCAAAACATCTCGACGCACATGCGAGCCCCGAACTCAATGAAGCAGGAAACACACATATCCCCGCAAAGATTTGGTTCAGCCGCCCTGCCTTCTTGGAGTTCGAGTAATTGGCCTCTCCCATCGAGTCCGTGATAAGCGCCGTATTTCGGAGTCGGTCCCATGCGAGGCTTTTCGTGAACGACGACGACCCCCGACTCGACGTCGTCAGGTTCGGACCTCAACCTTTTCCAACGATACGCGAGGAACACCAAGAGTATGACCAGAATAAGACATGAGAATTCCAGGATGAGTAGCAGTCGTATTTCCTCGGGTGTCAATGGTTTGTGGGGTTTAAGGGTGTGGAGGAAGCCGATTCCATTGTATAGCGGTTTCATGTTGAAGCACGATTGTTGGGTTGGGTTCGACCGGCCAGGTTTTGAGGAACCGCTGAGTATGCTGATCTGACTTGAAGTTTTTTTCGTGATGTTTTTGACTCGCTGTTTTGATAGAAAGAGATCGAGACGGAGATGAAGAAAGGTGACGGGAAGTAGATAGATGTTTATGTGCGCTCGCTAGTTGTGCGATGGAGGCCTTGGAGTGAGGTTTGAACGCACAAAGTGTGTTTAATGATTCCTGAATGAAGATTTCTCCGAAGGTGGTCATATATCTCGAGTGTAGAGTTCAGGCAGAATTTTATCGCTGCCGGTGTCTCGGCATCCAGGTCAGCCACGTCGCTTTCAGCCTTCAGGGTCAGTGAAAAGTTTGGAGCGGCTGTTTTCTATTTATCTTGCAATAGGTAACCATATGGGAAACGCATCCGCCATCAAAGCTCTGTCGCATTAAATTATGAGGTTGCCGAATATAATATTCGCCGTTATTCTATCCACGCCGCATCTTGTGCTAAAGATCTTCATTGAACCTCTACCCCCTGTGAGTGTTGACCCTAATAGAAGATAGCAAGTCACTCAACGTAGCAATAAATAAAGGATCGCGACCCGAAGCTTCCTCTACGCGATCTCTGTACCGACCAACGATATCCGCCTCGACGTCCTCCAACTCAGACTCCATCATTCTCCTGACGCGAGTACGCCTCCGGTCGCCTTGAATCATGAATAGCACGACCCACACGGACATTAAACATTCAGCGATCCTGAGGAATGTTTCGAGGGTTGTTGAGGGTCCTGTGGTCTCACATATGTCGGCGAAGACCATTACGGGTTTTGTTCTGTGAGGTCTGATGGACGACCTTATTGCCGTGTACGTGCTGTGTCGTTCGCCCCAATGCTTCAAGACTGGCCCGAACACGGTAGTTGAAAACTTTGCGCGGGAGAAGTTCGAGGCGTGGGTGGGACTTGTGGAGGACAGAACGAAATTTGAAAAAGGAGAAACACTCGATGTGCCTCTGTAGGTTCGTGTATACGGCTAGAGCCTTGAAATGGCTCGGTAGGGCTTTTGCGGCCGTAAAGGTTGAGAGAGTCTGCAAAGTTGAGGGTCTCTGTTGGTTGGGAGTGAATGATTTCGATAGCAAGACCTGCTCCAGGCTTCGAATATCAGCAGCATCCGAGTAGACGATCTTCAAATGGCCAGCCCCTGAATTGCCCAGGTGGCAAGATCAACCAGACTTTCACATACTGGCACGGATAATGCCTCGATGCCACCTTGATGAACATCGTATGCAAGCAAGTAAGCCACGGATCCATTTACGAGCCGTTAACGACCAACGCCTGAACCATCAACCGTCACGAGACCTCAATCTAGGTCTCAAACTTCACAATCCCAAGCCACCAACTCCACTCACGCATACTCGAGCTTGACATGAACACCATCCCTCGGCGCCATCGTGAAGTGAATATCCTTCCTCGGCTTTCCCTGCGGCCCAACCCACTCCATCTTCTTGAACCTCTGCAGCAACCTCACAATCAAGAACCCAGCCTCCGTGAGCGCGAATTGTTCTGCAAAATATGTTAGCCAGACCATATCAGCGATGTGAAAAGAAAGGGGGAAAACTCACGTCCAAGACAAATCCTCGGCCCGCCGCTGAACGGAACATAATTCCAATCAAGCCTCATCCCCTCCCACCTCTCCGGCTTAAACTCCAACGCGTCCCCTCCCCAGATATCCTCCCTGCGGTGCAGCACGTACGGCGAGAAGTTCACAGTCTGCCCCTTCCTCACCACAACAGGCTCCATCCCGTCCGGACCGCCGCCCCTCGGCAACACGGTGTCCCTCGCCGCGATCCGCAGGTTCAACGGCACGACGTTATACACCCTCAACGTCTCCCTTAGCACGAACTGGAGGTACTGCGAGCTCTTCAACGTGCCAAAGTCCACACCGACCTTCTCCTCCCCGTACGCCCCGAAATCCCGCACCACCTCCTCCCTCAACTTCTCAAACACGTCCGGGTGCTGCGCCAGGAGCAACAGGACCCACGAGAGCAGCGTCGCCGTCGTATCCCGCCCTGCCAACAAAATCCCCAAAATCTGATCCCGCAACTCGCCCTCGTCCCGCGTCTGCTCCACCAGCGTGTCGAGCAGACTATACTTCTCCCCGGACGGCTTCGCGGACCGCAGCGCGAGCTTGACGTAGTGGTCGACGTACTTGCGCATGTACTCCGCCGCCCGCCGCCCCGTCTTCGCCGGCGCGAGCCAGTACAGCCCCTGCAGCCGCACACGCATGGTAATCCACATCTGCGCCTCGTGAAAGGCGTCCGCGAACGACATGCTCGCCCCCGGTGCCTGGTCCGCCGCCATGGCCGTCGCCGCGCTCGTGTTGGCGACCTTGCCCGTCGCGGCTGCCGTCTGGCTGTCGACGCTCTCGCCGAAGAGGAACCCCGTCGCGGTGTCGAGCGTGAAGCGGAAGAGCATCGGCATGATGTCCACCGTCAGCGCCCCCGTGGACGTCTGCTTACCCACCAGCGGCAGCGCGTCGAAGAGCGCCTGCACCGCGGCCTCGGTCTTTTGCAGGTCGTTGATGTGGTCGCGCGAGAACTGCGGACGGAACAGCGCGCGCGAGTGTTCCCAGAAGGGCCCGTCGGCCGTGAAGATGCTGTGGCCGAGGAGGGGCTTGAACTGCTGGATGCGCCTCTCGCCGAGGTCGAAGTCCTTGAACTTGGTGGCGAGGATGGCCTGGATGTTGACGGGGTCGACGGTGTAGACCTCGGCGGGGCCGAAGAAGCCCGCCGCGGAGAAGGTGGTGCCGTTGGTCTGGTAGTTCTTCTCGATGATGTCGTCGAGGATGTCGCCGCCGGCGCGGGCGGTGGTGATGGTGCGCCAGACGTAGCCGACGCCGAAGGGGAGCTTGGAGGGGACGTACTTGGGGAAGGTCGCGTTGTGGGATTTGGCGAAGCGGAGGAGGTTGCGGTGGGAGAGGTAGCGGGAGAGGAGGTAGTAGACGATGGTGAAGGGGACAATGTAGGCGAGCGCCGTGAGGGAGAGGAGCGCCATGGTGGGCTGGCGTGTCTGATATCACTTGCTTGGCTTCGTGATCTCTAGTTGTGAAGCATCGCGGAGGGAGTTTTGTGAGGCTTTATAACGCTCCTGACGTTCCCCGGAGAGTGGGTAGGTTCGAGGGCAGATCTCGACCGAGTGGATTAGTCTCCGTCGCCCTGGTTTAGCGGGACGGGGTATGACGGCTCTGACATTGACGAGACTCCAGTTTTCCTTGCTCCTCAGCGATAGACCAAGGCGTCAATTGTAAGCAGAATAAGAAGGCCGTAGGTGTTTATCTCACGAACTCTGAAGATGCGGATGTACGGTCTGTAATCCCCCCTCGCTTTCGTTATCGGCATTAGGGCGGCTCACCTAGGGCGAGCGCCAAGCGTGAGTAGTGGGAAACATTAATCCAACTGTAAAATGTAAACCCCAGGCCGTTAAACTTCCCATCCCAGAGCTTCAGATCTCTATCGGCCCGAGGAGCCAATCGAGCTCTCAGAAGCCACCAGCCCGGCCGAGGCAGACACCTGTGAAGGCTGGGGGCTTCGGCAGCGTGGGATCGAGTAGGTGCCCGACGACCCGGGCCCCGGGGAAGTTTACAGGTTATGGAGAAACGTTTGGCACTTAAATTACGTGCATTTCGCGGCAGTTTGGGGAGTAAAGTCTGTAGAGGAGAACGAGTCGTGGGCGGGGGGACGTGGGTTCCATCATGACTCGGGCTGTGTTCGTCTGGAAAGACGAGACGGACGAGGACGGACTGGCGTTGTCCGATGATATCCGTTCATGATATCAGACTTGGCAACTTCATCAAACAGTCTCACGTATGTGTTGTCTCTGTAGTTGAGTAATAGGTTGATCGTCGTTGGTGACAACTCGGGAGAGTCTTCTCGGCAGTTGTAATGTTACACAAGAGCCACAATAACTCCACACAACAGGGGCAATTTGTGGATGTTCGCGCAGAGATCCACGACGGCGCGCTTGCTAGGCGTCTCCGGTCTGCGAAATCTTCAACATCAGTAGGAAGGGTGGCCGAGTTGGTTATGGCGCCAGGTTAAGGTCAGCTTAACATCTGTTTCCTGGTGGGGCAACCCGCGCGAGTTCGAGTCTCGTCCCTTTCATCTTTTGTCTTTCGCCTGTGATGACTTGATGAAGTTGATTTTTTGCCTCGCAGAGATCAAGTTGAATCTCTTCCTCGGCAACTCATAGCAACGGACATGCCATTCCGCAAAACAAGAACTTTTGTTCGTGACCGCTTCTAAACAAACCTCACCTCCCGAGATTATTCACAACACTCCCAACCATGACAGCAACCTCCCTGTCCCAGCTCCCCTCCGCCCTGCCCTTCCCCTTCATCGCGCTCGGCATCTGACACCCCCTCACCACGCACTCCCTCACCGCATCTCCCACACTCGCCCGGTTCGTCCTCAAAGTCCTCGCCGAGACCCCTCCGCGGTTCACAATCTCCTGCACCCGCGTGCCCAGCCCGCCCGCCATCGTCCTCCAGAAGTAACTCGCCAGGCTCCCCGTCTCGAGGTGCGCGAGCAGCGGCTGCAGCATGTTCGTCTGTTTCTGCGGGGCCCCCGTCACCAAGGGATGCGGCGGGATCTTGGTCGACTCCAGCACGAGCTCCAAAGCGACGATGTTCTGGCACCGCGCCGATATCTCCCCCAGCGTCCGCTCCAGACTCGGCAGCTGGCCCAGAGCCCGCGACAGCGCCGCCAGGGACGATTGCAGCGCTGAGCGTAGATACGTCTCCAGGGCCTGCAGCAGCAGCGTCGGCGTCCACCTCTCGTTCTTCGTCGGTGTCGGGGAGAGCAGGAACAGCGTGACCATGGCCGAGACCGTCCTCGCCTTGGTCTCCTCGCCCTGCGCGAAGGTGGCCGAGTTGGGCACCGCAAAGTCCCGCACAATCTTCTCCGCCGTCTCCCTCACAGACCTCTCAACAGGCACGACCACGCCCTCCCGCAACGAGCGCACCGCGTCCACCCTGCCGAGCCCGTGTCCCTCCTCCCCGGGCGCGGAGCGGTCCAGCACCTCGCGCAGACTCAGAATGGTATGCGAGCACCGCACGAGCGCCCTATGATCCTCCTTCTTCCCCGCAGCAGCAGCCGCGGCACTCACGCCCCCGGCGCCCGCGATCTCGGCGTGCTGGACCTCGAGCTGCCTCCCGAGCTGGAGACACCGTCCGACGGACCGTCCGAGCCGGAGCGTCTCCCACAACCTCGCCGCGACCAGCCGCACCTCCTCGGCCTCGGCGTGCTTGTCGATGACCTCCTTCTCGAGCTGGCGGTAGCTGTCGTTGAGGCTCCTGATCTGGGCGTCGAGCTCGCCGACGATGCGTTTCGAGGCGGCGTTCTGGCGTTCGGTGTACTGCAGCAGGGGCGCGGCGGACTTGGTGGTGAGCAGGTCGATGTGGGAGTCGATCTCCTGGGTGTCGAAGAGGACGCGGGAGAGGGGGGTGGAGAGGTCGAGGGGCACGTCGTTGGGGTTGTTCGTGGCGAGGACGAGGGTGTTTGCGAAGGTCGGGGGGTTGAAGTCCGGGGAGAGGAAGGCCTCGTAGTCGATGTAGGAGGGTTCGTCTTCGTCGCGGGCGGTCATGGTGGGCTTTGGGGGGGCATTGACGAGGAGATGTTGGCGCAATGGGTTGTCGTGAGGTTTTTGGCGAAGCTGGAGTTGGTGTTGGAGCTGGAGCTGGAGCTGGAGCTTTCGACCTCCAAGTGTCCTGTCTCGGTGATGCGGTACGTACCTTTTCAAGTCCGCTGACATAAGATAGATGTGGCTGATGGTCGAATGGCCCGAGCTCACGGTCCCGCAATTTGTTTCCCCAGCCACAGCCCAACCACCAATGACGAAACAGCGCACGAACCAACATCCCAACCCCACCGCAAAAAAACAGTCAGCAAATGGAACTGCGCGAATTCCCAGCCCGTCCCCACCTCGAGCGTCGTCCGGACCTTCGGCATCTCCACTCTCTAAAACAAAAGAAAACCACAATCAGCAGAAAAAAGACCACCATCCGCCCATTCCGCATGGATCCCGCTCCAGGTCGTTGATCAGCGCGAAAGCGGGTATCGAATTTCGCAGTCATCGTGGTTTGCGCCGGGCGAGTAGCAGTACTTCAGTAAGAGCAAGGCCAAGACCAAATCGAATCACGTTAGCTTACAGAGAGTACCGGAGGAGTTCGGATACGGACGCTAGTGTCGATGACCTAACAAAATAATCACACCCCAAAAAACACTCCGCCTTGCCGAGACTTCCATCTCTTGACTTCGTCTTGTAATAATCTCGCCGTCCTCGTCTTCTTTCTTTCCCTCCGTCCTCGTCCTCGTCGTCTCCTCCGACCATCTCGTCGCCTCGCCAGCAATGTCCTAAACCTCGAACCGCATCGTCACCCAACCCGACGACCCCGGAATCCCCTCCACCTCCACCTCCGAACATCCCGACTCCAACCATCGACAAACCGTCGCGAGACAAAATGCACCTCCCAATCCTCCTCCGCGACCTCCTCCCCCTCCCGCAGGGCTCCAACGCCTCCGACACGATCCTCGGCGGCGTCCACTTCAACCGCACCGTCCTCGACTTCTGGAACTACACCCTCTACACCAACGGCACCATCTCCAACGGCTCCAACTGCTTCCTCACCGAGCAGCCCTACACCCCCGTCTCCCTCCTCCCCAACGGCTCCTTCGTCAACTCGACCTGGTGCTACGACCCCGTCCGCTCCATCGGGCCCCGCGCGAAAGCCGGCGTCGGCTTCGGCGTCGTCTACGCCCTCGCCTTCATGCTCGTCCTCGCCTGCCTCAAGAAGCACGGCCGCCAGTACCTGCCCACCACCAAGCGCTTCTACCCCGTCGGCAAGCGCTGGCAGTGGTACTACGCCATCCTGGTCTGCGTCGCTGCCTTCGTGAGCCTGTTCACCACCATCGACGTCGACCGCTTCTGGGTCGTCGGCCTTCCCATCATCATCAACAGCTTCTTCTGGTACCTGATGCAGCAGTTCACAATGGCCCTCGTCTGGGAAGCCGTCCGCCATTGGGGCAGCTGGAGCGAGCGCCAGTACATCGACCCGGATCCGTTCATCCTGCGCGAGGGCGACAGGCGCGACAAGTTCGAGTTCTGGTTGCCGTTGTGGTATTACCTGTGGTTGTGGCTGGTATGTATCCCCGGGTCATGAATCGCGACGTCACTAACAACACCTCGCAGAACTTCTTCCTCATCATCCCCCGCAACTGGGGCGAGATCGAGAAGCAGCGCTCGCCCGACCAGACCGCCGCCCGCGCCGAACCCAACGCGACCGACGTCCGCTTCAAAGTCGCAACCTTCTGCCTCGTCATCTGCTGGCTGACCATCGTCGCCTCCCTCCGCCACTCCATCCTGCACTACTACCCCCGCAACCGCGGCCTCCTCAACAAGGCGCGCGGCTTCGTCCGCTACACCCCCTGGCGCTTCGTCTTCATCATCCCGCTCGCCGCCTGCCTCATCGCCTACCAGGGCCTCGTCTCCTTCCGCTGGGACTACTCCGTCCTCAACACCCAGGCGAACCTCGGCGCCGTCTACGCCGGCGGCTTCGGCCCGGCGCTGCTCATCCTCTACATCCAGATCATCTACGGCTTCACCTCCCCCAACGAGGACAAGGAGCTCATCCGCCAGCGCCGCGTGCGCGAGGCCGAGATCGACCACGAGATGGGCATCGTGGCGAAGCCCAAGTGGTGGAAACGAATCACCCGCGACGACCATCTCGTCGACAAGATGTCCATGCGCGAGCGCATCGCGCGCAACGTCCGCGAGGTAGGTGGCGGCGGCGCGACGGCGCGCGGCGTGCAGCAGAACTTCGACGCGCAGGAGGCGGACCGGCAGCAGACGGAGCGGGACTTCGAGATGGGCGACGTCGGCGGCAGCTCCAACACGACCCCGGTACGGCCGGGCTTCGACGCCGCCAACTCCGCCACGTTTTCTACGTACACCGGCAAGTCGGACCGTCGCCGGCAGGAAAGAACCACCAACGCCGCGGCGGAGCTCCTCTTCCCCAACTCGAGGCCGAATCGTCCGGATCGCTCCGCCGATCTGATGCAAGACGGCCCCCCGCCGCCGTCGTACACCGACGCGCGGCCGCGGAGTAGGAACTCCGACAACGTCTCGCTGGACTCCACGGTCCCCGGAGAGCTGAGCCACAGCGCTAGCACCGCCGTGTCGGTGTCCGGGCAGCAGCAGCAACATGTGAGGAGCATGCTGGACGTGTAGAGCGAGACCGGAGGCGGTCGGATATGTATATTGTAATAGAGGGAGGTCCAAACGTTTGAAGCTTATGAGCCATGACGAAAGGGTATATCAGTTTTAACGTTCGACGGCGTTTGGGGCCCTGTTCTGGCAGGCAGATTGTATGTATTAAATGCGTAATGGTAAAAGATAGTAAATTAGACTTGGTCGTGCGTCCAAGGCATCCCAAAGTCGTGGTACTGAAAGGGATGTCAGTGAGGCAATCTTCACGTAGTTCATGGGATATATGCGCGAGCATCGCTATTCAACAGCAGGCAAGCCCTGATCATCTATCTTCATGACGTTGATTCTAGTCAGCCTCATGCCAGCCACTTGGTTGACATCGATCATCATGAACCTCGTCGACCTTCGTCGTCCTCGGCATCAACGAAGATGAGCCGGACTAAGCCGAGCCCTGCTACGCCATCCCGCCGGTGTACTTCGTCTCCTTAGGTACGGCAAAGAGTCTCACGGCGGACGTACCGCAACAGCCTCATGCTGTGCTCCCGCTCGCGACCCCACAGTCAGCCTGTCGGATGGTGACAACAAATATCCTGCTCATGCCGCCGGCAAGTTCCTTTCGTCGGGGCTGAGTCGAACCACGAGATGACCCGGCGTCGAACACTCTCACCGAGGAGGCATCGTGCGTGTCCGCCGGGGTTCCCGAGCACCCGAAAGTCGATCATCGTCCCAAGTCCCTTCCAGCGTCTCGACCCTCGGGCTGCATGCGTTGCTTTCAGCGCATGATTACCCCAGCGCTCTGCATTGGTTTCGATCCCCTCGACGTCGCCGTTGCAACGGGCTCGATACATAACGAGTCGTCTTGGAGAAACCGTCGAGGGGAAAAAGCCTAATTCGAATGACAAACCGCCAGCGAAATACAACGTCGATAATTCAACGTCCGCTGGACGCGATAGTCTGATGCCACAACTGTGTCCCACAGCTTCAACATGTGAACACCCGCCGAGTTCATTACACGTGAACCAGACAGTCCAACAATGACTCGTCGGCCGCCATCCCATCGACCGTCTCAATGCCATCGGAAGGGTCAAAGCACGAGGATATGTCGTTCATCCAATGACAGCTGGCAGATAACCCAGGAACGGATTTCAGTCGATGCGGAGAAAAAGCATCCTACTGAGTAAGGTAGGGGCAAAGCACACGCAAGGTACGACGAAGTACCCGACGACGCGCGCCAGGGCGGCGGGAGAAAGAGACAGTGAGAAGCATGGCGTGCAGCGAAGGAGTCAGATGCTCAAGTCGGTGCCTGCGAAATGTCCGTCCCTTGATAAGACGCAAGTCAGCGCCTCCGTCCCGGTCCAGGCCGCATCTTTAGCCGGGCATCAAACCACCGGGGGCGGTTTCGAACACGTCGAATAGGCCGGTGGGCAGGAGAAGGATGACTGCATGCTGTGTTAGTCAGGGAGCTGAGGAAATACCGCCCTCCTACTTGCCCTGGCCGACATGTGCGTTGGAAACGAAACACTGGCATCAAGCGCAGCCACCGTCGCCTCTATGCGTTGGCTGCATCTTACGACAGGGGCATCTCTTCACAACGGACGTTTTCGCCGAATTAGATGGCTTGAGCAGGCATCATACGGATGACAGACGACCAACAGGGCGTCTTGGTTGCGGCTCCTCCTGCAACGACGAAGGCAAGCTGCGGAGAACCATCAGGTAGTTCATGTTAGTCCCTTCGGATGCGAGCTCACGCCCGTCTGGCTGTACCTGTGCTGTGCGCCGGGCTGGAGACAGCTCGCAGCTACTGCGTGCGCATGCATGGCGCTATTCATGCGTCTTGCTCTGTTCTTGCTCTCACGTCCCTGGCCACCTGCACGAGCATCAAAACGGGGAGGTTACGGTGTGAGGTATCGACCGTTCGGCCGAATTTTGTGCAAAAGTCTTGCGACTCAGGTCCATTGCGAACCGTAGCTTGCGTGAGCGCCGTTGTTCTCTGCCAGGGCGCGCGAGCGAGGTTGGATGACACCGAAGTAAAGCCCGCCAAAAGAGCGGTGAGCAAATTCAGTTACAGAGACAATCGACTCGGGGATGGGGCGCAGAGCGAGAAGAAAAACCTCAAGGATAGGCCTAGTCCTAGCTTACAATGTAAGGCCAAGTCAAACTCCAGCGGAGCGTTCTTAGATCTGCGCAAGGCGGATAAAAGATGGACGGTCTTTGGGGCCGTGTAGAACGTTGTTGTCTCTCGTCAGTCCGGGTTGGCCTGTCGTCCTGCTGGCAGATGACTTGGCTGAGCGAGTTGCTTGAATGGTTAGTAGCTCGCCGCTTTACTCCGCAAGGACGGTCAACGTTCAACGGTGCGCTGCCACTTCGCATTACCTGGAGCTCAGCTAAGGACGGCCGTGGGACTGTCGCGGCGGGGGTTTTCCTTGCTTCTGAAGAAATGTCAACATTAAGCTGCAAGCCCTGTAATCGAATTTTCGCGATACTTCGAGTCAGCCTGAGCCCGAATGATTCGAGAAAATGCCGTGCACGACATCGGTGTTGATTGCGCCATCGGCATCTCTTGTGTTCTGCGTAGCGCTTGAATCCTCTGAATGTAGGCGGTTCAAGAAGCCCTCGACGACGGCGGGGTTTCTCATAAAGCGGCGAGGGATGAGGGGTGACCTTCCGCAGTGTCGGCGGTGTTCTCCCACTACACAGTTCGCGCGGCGTCTGTCCGGTTCCTACGGATCTGCCATGATTCGAGAGGCCATGATGCCAAAGCTTGCGAGTGCCCGAGTCCATGCAAACAGGAGCCTGCTGTCCAACGCTAGAAAATCTTAGACGTAGGGTTGCCCTGTGATCATTGCACTTTGGGCAGGCGCAAGTCTTTTTAGCGGAATGGTTGGAAGATGCCTTCCGCGTTGTGCCTTGCATCGTGCAGCTTCATATCTTGGAAGCTCAAGAGAATAGAGGAGTGGGATCCGCCAGGTACACGATGGCTATTGGCATGACGAAGCCGAGATGTCGACCTCTGAGGCTTCACGGAGCATTCAATCAGCAAGGGGCACCCCAGCTCCTACCAAGGTCCAGGTTCTGCCGTTGCCCGTGGTGTAGTAGTATTGATTGATGTCGGTGCCGACGCCTGGAGTCTTGCGTCAATCGTTGGCGTTGAACCTCGAAAGTAATCCTTCTTGCGATTGAGGCGCATATCGAAAGGGTTGAGTCGCAGGCTGGCTATCGCGTCCCTCAAATGAACCCCAGGCTCTGCTTGTCTCGATCTTGTCTCACCCTTTGAGCGGTGAGATCAAGACATCGTCACTTAGGCCGGTTCAAGTCAAATCTCGGGCCCGTAAAAAAGATCGAGTGTGCGGGTTGATCATGTCTCAGGCCCGAGAAAGGTACCCGTGAGCCACCAAGCTTCCGCGTTCAGATCACGAACAGATGCTTGCCCTTGACTGACTCGGAAGACAGCCGATCTGGATGACAGTTCTTGTCTTGGAAACTTGTCGAGGAGAGTACCATCGCAAGGAGTCGTTGCAGCATTGATATCGGTAGGTACTGATGAGTTACTCGCGGGATTCAATTCAGCCTGTGGGCGGCAATTTCATCGCTCGCCATTGAGCGAGCTGCATTCCTAGGGTCGCAGCGAAGACGGATATGCAGATTGTCCTAGGGAAATCGACCAGGGCTCGGTCAGCCAGATGCGGGTGCCGCCAACCCCATGCATCTGCAGACTTCCACGCGCGTCTCTCAAAAAGGCATCCCGTTTGTTGGCAACAATGGCTTCTTCTTCCTCGCCTCATACTACTGGCGCCTGCACTTAATCTGAAACGGGCCAAGCTGCGTGTCCTGTGGATGATTTTGGATCGTCGCCGTCCCTTCTCGTCTGCTCTGTGTCTTCCATCCGTGGGAGTGGGAAAGCCTCCGTGAATGATTTAGGAAATCCTGGCGAAGGCGGATACGCGATGGAAAACTCTTAGAGAGAAGACGCACATCGAACTGCGTATATTACTGGCATCGTCTTCGCTGGGAGAGACCTTGCTATCTCAGAAGCGCGAACGTGTCCTTGCATTGGTGGTCATTGTCCTCAAATCTTGGGGCAATTCTGGGCCTGGCCTGGAAGAAAGATCTGGCTTTGATCAGCGGTCCGATGAGCTTGCGGCTTCCCTCTCCGCTGACAGTCAGGACAGACAGCCGTGGCATGCCGCTAGGCGCTAGACATGCCGGCATCTTCCCAGCAGGCTGTGGTACAGGCGAGGCCAGGGGCGGGGATCCCGATGCATCGTTTCACGCGTCCAGAGTTTAAATTCTTCATTTTCCGACGGAGGACGCAATGAGGGTATCGGATGCTATGCGTGATCTGTCTAAGCCAGGAGGCTGTGAAGTGTCAGTGTGGTGTGGAGGGTAGCCATCTTGGTCGTCATCGTCGTCGTCGTCGTCTTCGCGTCTAGTAAAGCAAACCATAAGGTGAACGATGCTGAGCCAGAAGCTGTTTCTCGGTCCATACTGCCTCGAGGCGTTCAGCTTAGATTATCGACGTTGTGCGATGTGACTGCTCAAGAATATCAATCGGGTAGTATCGGTGAGATACTCATGAAGCCATATGCAGCTTCCAGGCCGGTCGACATGATGCGCAGTTCGGGTGAATGTTTTTTTTGGACGATGTTTTTGACTGCAGCCGTTCCAGGGTTCTTTCCTCAGGGGAATCATCCTGGGTAGAAGCCAGTCGATGTTGTAATGCAGCCAGATGCGCGGGGAAACGTCTGTCTAGCGTCATCCAATGACTGAAAAACGGTCGTAATCAGTCGTCGTTCGGCTTGCGCGGACCATGTTCGCGGGTAGACGTCGGTGATGAGGAGAAGAAGAAGTATTAAACAGTGGTGTTGAAAGGCCCTGTGACCCTGCTGATGATGACATTTAGTCTCGGTGATCTTCAGCGCGACAGCGGAACTACGATCGTGAAGGAATTCTGTGATATGGCGCTGTAGATCAGTGGACACCCCTGCTCTTCACAGGGCCAACTTTTGTCCTCGCGTCCCTGC